CTGTGTTAGTCACATATTACGCCGTTATCTCACTACCGAAGGTCTTGGGAGTGTTTTGCCTGGCGTTCTTCAGAGGGAAGATGGTTTACCAATTGGAGTCAAATAGGGTGCTTGATTCATATCTGGGGCTTAAGTGGGATGAAAGAATTTTAAATCTAGTTGGAGATTTTGCCTATGTAATTCCAGGAACTATTAAGTATTGGCTGGGACAAAGAAGTCCAATCATTGAATACAAGCTCATTGGGGAACAATATGCTAGAACAGAAGTTGAAAACAGCAACTTTATAACAACTAAAACTAAACTAACTCTGGTTAATATTGAAGCTGGCATCTGGGAATCCATTTGCCACCTTCCTTCACCAGATGTGCACAGCAAATTGAAGCTGGACAATTTTTGCATGATGTGCGTGTCTTGATGTTGTGGCCTTTGTTTGAACAGTTATTGCATTTGTAGGTGTTCTTAACCCTTTCATAGCCTGCTGCCTCTAGGAACTGAATCCTGTTTTTCTTCAGAAACAGTTGTATGAGGGCATCAATCCCTTTGTGATTTGTGGATCTGAAGAAATCTTTAGAAGCTCTATCATTGTATTTTTCCAAGCCTTGCTGTGTGTAGTATGCTGTGTTCTGATAAAGTGACAGGAACTCAGGAACATGACAACATTGTGCATACATGTAGGGAGTGACGTCTTTTGCTTGGTAAACTTTGAGAAAGTGCGCATACCATGATTTGATATTTCTTTGCAGTTCAAGAATACCCTCTTCAGATGTAAAATCTAGCTTCAAATCACCAATCATGTCCATAAATTTAGCCCAGATCACTTGTATGTCTTTGTTTTGACTGCAATGAGGGAGAAGCATAGGAATGTTTATATTCTGAAAGAGTTTCAACTTTTCTGGTCTAGTAAGATCTCTATATTCCAGCTTTTTGTTCTCTTTGTTGATTCTAAAATTCAAAGTGATTCCAATATTTTTGATAAATTCTTCATAACATGCCATGTGTTTATATTTATCTCTTAGAATCCATCAGAGAAGGTTTTTTTTTTCTCAATAGCATCACTTCTTCTCAGCTCTCTTATGAACAAGTCAATCAAAACATCTGAAATCCTCAGAAAAAGATGTAATGTAACTATGATGACATGGTCCATAGGTATAAAATCAAATATTGGTTATACCTTACAGTTGAATTTCTTTCCAGTGGAAAACCTTGCTATTTCGGCAACAGTTCTAGCACCAGATATGGGGTCATTAACTGACCATGTTTTGCTTGTGTCCCACCGTTGCTTCCTGGGACACTTGCACCACACACAAGCATAATCCTCATTTGCCCTGCCTAAACCACATACCAGTGCTAAAATTTCAAATCTCTTCCAAAAAAGTATTCAATTTTATAGGTGCAATTATTTGCACTTATCTCCTTTAAGTTTGACATTTCCATTGGAAGGTCTACTAGGTTGTCTCTCAGATTATCATATGTCTCTGTAGTTTTTATAACAGCAAGTACATAATTTTCTCTTCTCACCCATTGCCACATCCTTTTCATTGAGAATAGTAAAAGTGAAGTTGACAACTGTAAGCTGCTTTCCAATATTTGTACCATCACCACTAAGCTTGATCTTAATAGTTTCTCCATCATTGATTTCTCCATTCTTCTGAAGCCGAATAATGTGCTCTTGCAAGCTTTCTGCAAATCCTAACTAAACACCTTCAACATCTCCTGGTGCTTGTTTCAAGTTCCATTTACTGTTTAGCTCATTAATTTGCTTCTTGATGGAATATGTATTGGGAGACCATTAGCCTTAATAGCAATTTCATGCCAGGCCTCATTTGAAATATTGAATTTATCTTTGAGGTAGAGCCACATATTTATGTTATCAATGTCATCATTATTAAGGGCCTTTGGGTTAGACTCTATAAATGGCAGCTCTCCCTCTCCAACAAGATTGAAAGTTTCATATTAATTAGTCTCGGTGTTGAGGACTTCAATTTTGGTTTCAACAAAATTGTACGGCCCAAGAAAAGAGAGTGTAGTTTGGCACTCCTCCTTCAGTTTAGAATAGTCATTCAACTTCTTCTTAGCTGGGCCTCTAACTTACTAATCACTTTTTTGGCCAATTTAATAAATTTTTTCTTGTAGAAGGCCCCTTTCTTCTCAACTTTCTCGAGAGCTTCTCGGGCTTTTTCATCCACTCGCAATCGCTTTGCCTTCTCCTGTACCAACGATTCTTCTAATTTTCTTTTTCTCCCCTTAACTGGCTATTCTCATCTTTAAGCTGATGCACATCAACCTCGTTGTAATACACCTTAAATCGATACCAAGGGCCCGTTTCCAAATTGCTAAGAAGTGCATTTAATTGCCTTCAGCCACTATTACTAGCTTTCTTGAGAGCTTTCTGAAGACAGAATATTTTCTTTCTGAAGACTTCTGATATGCGGCTATTGATTATTACAACTCGTATACCTGATTGTTCGAACACTTTGTTTACGATTATTGAAAGGACAGAATCATGGTTTTCTCCGTCTTCGTCTTTACACTGCTTTGAAATAGTATAGATTAGTAAGCTGAAACGAAAAATTTATCGGGGAAGTTTACGAAATATCCAGCAAACAAGCTTAAAAAAGGCATTTATCTAGACTTCATACTACGAGGAAGGAGGAAGATAAAGCTGTTTTGAAACGTCATTTGACGACGGTAAATCTGCTTTTTGTTCGACACTTTCCATATCAAAACAAAGGAAATTTGTTCCTCTTTTTGATTCTGGCAGTACATTTTTAATTTGCGCCTGCGCAAAAGAGATATCGCCCGAGACCCTTCGCTCGGTTGTGTTTTGATCAAAAACGCCTTGTTAATTTCACGCAACCGCTCGGAGAAAAGGTAAAAATGACGAGGCAAAAACTTTACCTTCAAGTTAGAAAATTAGCGAAATAGAAAGCCACAATATTATAGTTTAATATTTCAGAGGTGCATTGAGTGCTTTTTTCCGTTGAGAATCCGCACGATGGTAAAATATTCGAAAATTACACTCGATTTGAGTGGGGCGTTGAAATGGGCGTGGTCACTATATTCATGTTAAGACTATTTGTACCCCATGAGTTTGATATGTAATTGGAAATAAAATCAAAGATATGTATTTAAGGTACAAAGCACATTGGGGCACGCTACTGTGGGATTTGACAAAAATTAATGTACGGCGAGAGCCACTCCCCCGCCTTGGTTTTGCCCCAAAAAATCTCAAAAATCAAGTTTAAAAAAATTCTCGTAACTCAGGTTCGCTACGATTTTTTAGTGGAATCGACCGTCATGTATACAAAGCCGAGGCTCACATTAAGTTACACTGCCCAGTGAATCTCTTCTACTAACTGTCGCAATACCTTTCAAACGACACGAAAGGCGGAAAGATTGTGACAGAATACTGGATAAATGCAAAAACATGCTTCCGTTTTTGATGTTTCTCCTGTAAAACAACTGTGAGTACTCTTTGGAACATTTTCACCAAGTGAGATATGCCAACAGACTATAGCTATCGTGGCGGACAGGTGCGTACAGGAGATACCAGCATTGTGGCGTCATAACTGTAGATTACTGACTGGTTTTGTTGATAATTTTGATATGGAGATTTGCTTCTCGTTGTAGAGAGCTCAAGTGATGTGTCAGAAGAAAGCTGTTAGTAGAACAGTTCAATTTATTAGCATTCCCTGTACTGTGAACTCTGATTTTGTAAAGGACAGATAACTAGGGTTTTCCCAAATTCTGCATTCATTTATTTGAAGGTAACCGATAACTGCCACCGCATACTGATTCAGATGTTATCACTGACACTTATTACGTAAACCATTTCTGTGAAAAACTTGATAAAGATTCGTATTGTTTATTCGATCCCGTTATCATCACTTAATACTCCATTACGTGAGCGGCACTCACTCACCCGATGATTTCACACGGTTGGATTATCTCAAAACTGCGTTCAAAAGGATGCTCTTCGTCAACATTTGCTTGTAGAATAATGCTTTTCACGTGGGTGATTTCCGACAAAGTTACATTTAGTGAAATTCTGAATTAAAATCGTTGATCGTTGCCAGGGTCATGCACTTAAGGGGTCCGAAGCTTTGATTCTTAATTTGAGGAATGGTCGTGTGAGTATTAAATATCGATACCTCGAACTAGAATCTCAGACATGACCAGCCAGAATCATGTTTCCAGGACTGATGATCACCGAAACTTTCGAAAAACTGGCCTTGTCAAATAGACATATGAATGGATACTTTGTAGAAATAAATGACAGCCAGAGGCCGAATTACCTATATAAAATATAGTTGTGATAAACTGTGATATAGCACAACAAAACTTAAAAGCTCTTAAAAGGTTATAGTGTTGTCGATTTAAGAAATAACACAACTATGAAATAGGAAATACAATTGAAAAATTACATAAAGAAAGAAATAGGGTAAACAGATGGCCCGGTACCGCAAGACTCGATAACACCCACTAGAACTAATTTTACTCGCCACAATTCACAAAACAAGTATTTCTTCTAAATGGCAAAAATAATTTTGGATTTCTCATTAATCATTTAAGTGAACACATTGATTTTTGCCGCTCAAATAATGAGCTAAAAGCGTATGTGAATCGATTCTTAGCATTATACTTTGATTCAGCCGCTAGAATTGTTCCGCGTATTTTCTTTCTTTTGTTTTAGTATTCGATTGCCTTTTAAAAGGAGAGATTGTTACACAGGGTTGCACCTGTTGTTATTCTTTTTTTACCTAATATTGAACTGACGGCAATGCGTGGGACTACAGTTCACGCCTTCGATATAATACGAGCAGCAGGTCAGGATATAAAACCGCGCTAAAGATCATTCCAGACTATCATTTGAACTGACTTCACTCTGCGGCCAGTAAGGGCACAACACGAAGTCAACGAACAATAAGTCTGATTTAAAATAAGGAAAACTTTTAGATACAACATAATACGGTCTTTAGAAAGGCGGACGGATTACAAGATGTCCAAAAATCGCATCCTCCTCTGGACAGCCCCACGGTGCGTCTCAACAGCGTTTGAGAGATCGATTATGAATCTAAAGAACTCAAAAATCTTTCACGAGCCGTACTCACAAGCGTTCTACTTCGGTCCAGAAAAGCAAAGTGCCAGATATGCCGCCCAAGAAACAAAACAACAAGCGACCTACCGATCGATCAGCAAAATGCTGCAAAAGGAGTACGATGGCAGAGATTTCGTCTTCTCCAAGGAAATGGCCTACTGCGTGGAAAATAAAATGGACATTTTTGCAGAAGAAGGTTTCAAGAACTTTCAACATTCATTCCTCATTCGTCACCCTCTTAAAGCTGTCTATTCCTTGTACAGAGCCTCCACCAACCCGAAACTCACAGGATGGGATTACTTTGACCCCGCAGAGGCGGGCTTTCGTCAAATGCTCGAGTTGTATGAATTTGTCGACAGAAATATTCACGGCAATCCCGTCGTCGTAGACGCTGACGATCTCTTGGATTATCCCAACGGAATTTTACAGAGTTATTGTGAAGCAGTTGGTTTGGAGTATGAAGAGACCATGACATCGTGGGAACCGGGTCCTGTGCCTGAATGGGACGTCTGGGCAGGGTGGCACGAAGACGCTTTGAAAAGCACTGGGTTTAAACCAAGAGCCAAGAAGAACAAGCCTCACGCATTCACTGCGTTCGATTTAGAAGAGCTTCCCCCTGAGGTGGCTGCTGTGGTAGAAGAGTGTATGCCGTACTATGAAACACTAGCAGCTAAAAAGATCTCACCAAAAAGTAATGAACAATGCTAAAGAATCTGACTTGATCTCGCTACTGAAGAATATACAATTCCGTTATTTATAGAAGCCAATATTTATAGAGTCTATATATTATTTTCCGTATGGTTAGTTCATAGAAGGGGGGGGGGTTAGTGGGAAATTAGTCAAGCGAGATTTTGCTTTTCAATTTCGAAGAATTCTGTCATGGAGAACTTTTTGTCCAATACATCTTTGGTCAATTACATATATTATCACGTCAGAGACAATCTTACTCGACAGTTTGACGAAGAATACATCTTTCACTAACCGTTGTTTTCAATGAACATCGTTCCCGTATATTGATCTATCTACTTGTATTTGATGTTAATTTGAATTAATGTAAATAAAACCATTTAAGTAACTGGAAATAAAATCACAGATATGTATTTAAGGTACAAAGCACATTGGGGCACGCTACTGCGTGATTGGACAAAAATTAATGTACGGCGAGAGCCACTCCCCCGCCTTCTACCCATCCCCTTGGTTTTGCCCCCAAAAACCTTAAAAATCAAGTTTAAAAAAGTTCACGTAACTTGGGTTCGCTACGACACAAGTACAACAAAATGAAAGAGAAATCACTAGAACTTTTTTTTTTTTTTTTATTTCTTTGAACATTAACATCTTCAGTCTTGGTATCGAAGTTAAACTTACATTAAGCATCTGAAATAACGATTATGGTAACAATATTATCACGTTTCTTCTAAATGTGCCGTGCTCCATAGCCTCTCGAACCTCATTTCTTGTCACAATAAGTTGTTTTTCTATCATATAATGTTGACACCTTTAAAGGCTAAAATCATTCTTGCATTTTTCGACTTTCTTTTTATAAGTAAATGTTGCCCGGGTGCGAGGCTTTAAGTTTGTCAAAACGGACCCAGATAACTTTGTAATAAAAAGGTGAGAGGACCGAGAAACAGACATCATCGCGTTCTAAATGAGCTGCAGCAACCACCATGTAAGCTTTAAGAATAAACACTTTGGCTCTATTTTCGTGACAATTCGTGCACAAAAGGCGTCAAGTCATCATCTTTTGTTTACAGTCTCGCACCCAAGCCCTAATTGCAACGACGAAAGCGAAAGGCCCTGGATCGAGAATAAACTTCATTAGTTTGTTCAATACTGTAATGTTATCTCCATCAGCACTATAATTCTAGTGTTTAGGTTCTATGGACTTTTTTTTCTATAATTTACTTTAATATTATTAAAAACACTTGAGGAACTTCTCACTTATTTCACCTGACTAAAAGGGTACTGTGCCTCTTTTTTCCCACCAGCCGTACCGGACTGCACCCACGTTACATGATGGAAGCCATGTTGTATTTCAGTATTCCGAGAAGCGCTGTAACGGACTCGCGTAGTAAGATACCAGTTCATTTAACTTGTTTAAGCTCTGAAAAACAACTACACAACTATCGATTACCTAAAATAAAACCAACAAAAGGCAAAACTGAGGGCCCTTCGATTGTTTCAGACTGCAAAACCGATTTAAAGTTTAAAAGTACAGTTACGTGTTCCTGACTGTAAAAAAGAATGTCATTAATGATCTCTGTAAACGACTTCCAAACGTAGGCTCCTATTTGTTAAAGGGATCTAGAAAGGTAAAACTATCGGATTTAGCAGGGAGAAAAATCAAATCAAAAATAAAATATATTATTATTATTGTTATTCTCAGGTAACTTTAAATTCTACGGAAAGCACGAATTTAACCGTACAGTAATGATGACTAATTACTTTCTCTGAAGGAATAAATACGAGATTTTTAACATTTTATCTTAAAAACATTCAAACAAACAGAAAAATGATCTGATAAAAACCAATTAAAACATTTTCAATGATAGGGAAGGTGATTCGCTGCTAAAATGACGGTAATATCACATGGGCGCATCATCCAGTATTTTGGGTTTCGAAAAAAAAAAAAAAAAAAAAAACCCTCGCCATTTCTTCACCATTTGTTGTATCATATGTTTTTTAATCATCTCGTCTTTTAATTTTCTGTAAGTAACATAGTTAGAGTTAAAGTTCCAATTCCATGATCGCGACGATTGATGTGGTAAGTTGTTCACTATCTTAGATTTTGTGTCTTGTACCTTGAGACATCGGATTATTGTTGTAATTACCCTTCGACTGACATAGTGCGCCTCTGCGTTTTCCGCCGATAAACAAGGACCTGACAATAAGTAGTTACATCGAGTTAAAGAAATAATTACAAGCTTACAGGTAAGCTTGACTCAAAGCTAATTAAAGTTTCTCTTCATAAGACTCTTTACCAGTCCCTTCCTGTTCTTCCTTTTAACAGTTGCGTGACTAAAAGTCATCTAACTTGTTACCAGTCTTACTCCAACAGCTCAGCCACCAAAGGCGGCATATCCAGTTTACCAAAGAACTCCAGGGTGACGTAATTTTCCATTGCTTTCTCGCTATATATGCGAAGAGTAGGAAGACAGAGGAGCAGTTTTCCGAGACGATTTGCTTTCTGTGGATAGAGAGCCTTGGAGTAGTCACGCAAATAGATGTTTACTTTCTCTTGCAGGCGAGTGACTTTCTCCTTATCTTTGACATCAGGCGTATCTATTGGAACAAAACAGACCAATCACGAGAGCCCATGCGCCCTTTTAGGTTCTAAATATATCGTGAGAGAAGGCTTCCTGCGCCACCTTAAAAATTACCGATAAATCAATAAATTAACTAATAACTAAATAACAGGAAGAGATTTGAAGCATGAAAATGACAATGACAATAGAGGTTTCAGATGTGAGTACGCTCAGCTATGCTGGTGTAACTAAGATCATTCAGTGCTGATCCTCCATTCATCATCTTTCTTTCATTAATTATTTTCACTCTATAGTTCAAATATTTGATTTACACATATTCTCTTCAAGGGTTTATCTGTTCTTCTTTCTAATAGAGACAAGAAGTAAATCAAATACCACTCCCACAAACCTGGGCTGAGTAAAGCTAAAGCAGATAAAAGAGCAAACTCGTTTTGATCGAGATTCAGACTGCGCAGCTTGTCAGTAAATTCCAGGGTTGTATCAACCAGGTCTTCCGTCCAACCGAACGAAATCACTTCGTGCTTGTCGAAAATCATTTCTTTGCTGAACCGTAGGGACATAGGGTCGCAAGGCACCGATCTGTACGCCAAACGAAATACGTTCAATTCCATAAAAGAAGCTTTGATGAGGCACACTTGATCCTCCAAGTCAATGTCCTTGAATCCGGGAACATCTTTAGCCCACTGAATGATCATGTTAAGCTCCTGATAAGCCAGCTGCATGAAAGTGTTGACATCTTTTTCCTTCGTACTTTCGTTTTCAACCACGAGTCCTTCAATATGAGGCATCGTTACCGCTTGATCTCGAATATTTTCTATAAAAGCCATGTACTCTCCTTTGCCGGCTGCCGACTCCTCTTTTTTCTGTTGCTTCAAGGCGCCTTCCACACAATCATTTCCGTCTGCCGACCCATTTACTGCATCTTCTCGACCCCGTTGCTTTTTTGGGCGATGATCCTGCAACGAACGATGTCGATGTCTTCCACCAGGAGTTCGGTCCTCTCTCACAGCTAAGGGATATAATCAACAGAGAGAGGTGTTTAACATACTGCGACAGGCAGCTGTGGGCTACTAGCGAGTATTTTTACAGCAATAATCAGTACGGGAATATGCTGTAGACGAGGACCGAACAAAAGAGTTATTGAGAATTGGTTCTCTGTAGACCTTAAACCAAGTAAATTTATAGCAAATATAAAATGTTAACCATACGTTTACAAGGAGTTCACCTCTGCAATAATCAGCCACCGCGCCGGGAGCCGTAAAACACTTGTGATACATGCCATATATTGATGGCCTTCAGACTGAATAGTTCTGATGAATGTATTCAGTAACAGCGCTACGAGTAAAAGTCACTCAGCTCTGATACTGTTTACATTTTACCACACAACTGCCTTACGGTAACACAAACACGCAGAGAACAACAAAAAACTAATTAAATGGATGTCAAGGCTTGTTACGTTGCTCCAGGTAATAACTCGCTTTGCTCTCCGGCTGCAACTTACTAAAACAAAAGAAGTAGATCTCACCTTCCTTTAACATTCCTTGAGCCATACACTTCTGAAAGCGACAGTATTGGCACCGATTTCTGTTCAACTGGTTTACTTCACAGTTTCCATCTCCTTTACAGGTGTATTCCAACTGCTTTTGTACCGTTCGTTTAAAAAACCCTTTACAGCCCTCACACGTAAAAACTCCATAGTGGTAACCTGTGGCTTTATCGTTACATACAACACATTCGGATGTCGCTCCACTGTTCGCAGCCACCGGCTGACTTTCACTGTGGCCACCTTCCTCATTGTCGACAGACACGCCAGGCTTTGAAGGCTCTGTCGCCACGGTCGAGGTGGAGCTATTAGAAGATTTCCGCGTAAATTTACATGAGTTGAAATCTGCATCGTTTCCTGGTTCTTGTGGCTCAGGTTTGGATAAGGTAAAATCCATAAAAACGTCTGCCAAGTCACTCGAACTTGGGTCACAGAACCCCGCAGTGTGCCCCGCCATTAATCTAAGAAAAAATAATAGCAAAAAAAAAAAGAATGAAAAAAAAAAATAGCGTCTTCGGTTGGTTGCGTGTAGAACTCTTATTGGAAATGAGATCAATTATACATTTAAACACACCTAACTCAAATGTTTTTATTGGACATATTATTTCCAACAATTATGACCAAAGGATAGCAAAATTCTTTACTCGAATTCAAGAAAACGATCCAATTTGACAAACAAGGAGTGTTAATCACCACTGAGAATGAAAAGAAGAGAAGAGAAATTTAAAGTAATTAAAGAAAATTTGAGGAAATTTAAGTCATTGGCATATTTTCAAAATTTGAGTTTCTTCAGACAAAATAATCAAAAAATTTCACAACTGCAAAAGACTGACTGAGTGCACAAAGTAATTAAGTTATCTGAGAGAATTAAAAATTAGAAAACAAAGAAAAATCACCCTAGTCTGATATAATGAAATACTGTTTCAAATTTTTCAGCCACCTGCAGGAATGATACTTGCAGGAAACTGAAATATTTGTGATATATTTTTTCTTTGTAACATCAGCAGGACAGCAGAGATCTCTTTTGGTGAAAAAAGGGAACCTTTTCTATTCTGATTGTGAATTTGTTGTACTTGTGTATGAATTAAAAAGTTACATCTAAAGTAGTCTGGTTCTGAGTCGACCGGAAGTGATATAAGCTGCAGTGAAGTATATTCATTGTATAGTCTGTCATATCACATTCACACATTCCTTCTACTGACATTCTTACTACTCTCATATTAAAACACTTGAGACAAACTGTAGTATGATGAATATTGCAACGCCATACATGCAAGAACCTAGTTCATAACAACTTCTAAGGCCTTATATTTGCAGATAAAACCCTGTGCATTTTCAGAACATGTTGCCTTGTGCCACTGAAAGCAGTGGGCTGTAAGCTTTGTGAAAAATATTTACATTTCATCAGTGTAAATGCATTTCCACATCAGCTTTTTTAGCTGCCACTTTCGACCTTCATTAACAAATAAAGTTTAAAAAGAAGTCAATCATAAATGGCTATGTTGAGATATTTCAACAAAAAAGCTGCATTGTGATATTAGGCTGTCTTGTAAAAACTTTGGTTTTACATGCAGGAATTTACTCTATTTTAAAAATTGGTGCATCATTTGACTTTGTTTGCTACATTTGGTTGTTGGATCCAGGATTTTTGTGATGACCTGTTTTCAGGATATCCTACAATCATCCTAAACTTTTGGTCCAAATATTTTAGGGCCTTTCCATACAAGTTCACTCATACATACAATTCAATCTCTTGGTTCGACAAATACTTGCAAATAACTTCACAGAAATTTCAGTCATTTAAAAAAAAATTAAAAGAGAGGGAAATAAATAAAACTAAAGAAAGATAAATGGTTAACCAAACAAATGAAACAAAAAAAGGATAAAAAACTTTCTGGAAACAAATTATGGGGTTATGCTACCTAATAAAACCAATCACATCAGTCTCTTTTACCCATTACACCCTAACAAGCATGCACATTCTCTATACTGTTCTCTATACATTTCCTAAGGTACTGACAAGGAGAATTTGTTTAACAATCAGGAGCTTCTTTAGTTGGTGATCTTTGTTTGATTCAGAGTGATATTTTAAGGAAAAATTAGATGCTAGTCTAAGGGGTTAAAGGATTAAGTTTCCATTCCTGTGATCGTTGCATGATTGTTTTGCATACAAATTTTGATGTACCATTGAACCAATATTACTAATTAAGACTTCTACTACTGAGCTAGTGATATGATCTGATTAAGAAATCAAAAGCACAGTTCCTTTAAATGTTGCCCTAATAATAATCTTTGGTTTTGGATTGTTAAGAGTCATCATTTACATTTAGAGATTAAAGATGATTCAGTGCTCAGTTGAGGGAGGAATTGTAGTTACATTCGTATTGCAGGTAAAATGGCATCAAGTGTGTTCTAACAAAGATGTTCATATCTAGATTTAGCCAAGCCTTAAAGTGGAGCTCACATTTTTTTTTCCCCGCATGCCTTACCCCAGCCAGGACTAGAACCTGGGTCATCTGACTTGGAGCCCAGTGCACTGACCAATGGACTACTGGACAAAGCCAAGGCGTTGGCATGCCCGTGGTACAGTTGACCATGCATGTCAAAAGTAGCACCTTGTATGGTTGTATGGTCGTGCGGTCGTACATCCAAATTTTTTCGGCTTGATTGGTTACTACTATTTTGTATAATTATAGGGCTCCGCTATTACTGTTTCAAAGATACCACACTGTAGAGCAATGGATGTTTAAAGCTTAATTTTGTCAAGATTTTCAAAATTTTCAAAATCCCTCCATACACCAAAAGATACTTGTAAATCAGTCCACAATCAACACAATAGATATATGAGTTTTGTGGAAATAATTACTTTGGTTATTCTACTTATCACATATCATCTAGAATTGATTTATTAAAACTGAGAGACCTGCCAAAAAAATTCAATAAAATTATTGGTAGCCCTTCCACAGAAGTTTAATTAAACTAATCCTTACTGCAGATAGCATGATGCAAAAAAGCACTTACTATAATTTAAATCAATATATATTTCAGTAGCATGATAGCATACATAAGGTTTTCACAAAAATAATACAGTTGTACTTGTAGTGCTTTTAAATTTATTTCTTCAGTCAATAAATGAATTGTATTAACATTACATTTTGAAGTGACTGATGAGACAGAGTGATGGTCACATCAATGTAACATTTTCCCTCGTGTTTGTCATCCCAACTCAAATGTTTTTAAAGTAAAATACCTAAAAAATCATATTGGAAAACCCACACTCTCCAAATTTTACTTAAACAAAACAATGTTCCCAATTCAACAGTGCTGAGGTTGGCTTAAATTTGTTTGTGTTGACTAGAAAACACTAATATTTTTTAAAAAAGGAGGGGAAAATCAAATCATGATTACCACCACAATTTTAAATATGAGGCAAGAAAAACTGTTTTAACTCTCATGGATTAAGAAGAAATAAAGAAAATTAATTCAACATTCCTACCACTGCTGCAAATACATCTTTCTTCTAATTTTCTTTTGGGATTTATTTCTCATTTACCTGTAGTCATACCCTTTAGCGTTGTTCTCAATCCAAGCAAAAGTTTAAAATTCAGTCTATCACTGCTTGTAATACATTATTTATCCATGCCCAGACTATCCTAAACATACTGAGGCTAAAGATTCAAAGAAAGCTGTGGTTGTAAAGTGCTTTAATAGCCTGCTGTGCTTATCCGCTTCAATGGGATTGAAAGTTATTCCACAACAAATGCAGTATGACATGCTATTGGCTAATTCATATATTTCAAAAGGAGAAATGTTGTTTTGATCTAACCCTCAAAACAAATGCTCAGCAGGAAGCAAAATTCTAGCATCCATAATAAAAAAGAACTCCACACAAAGGCATGATAAAAACACATGGCCTCTTTAGAAACACTTTTGGAAAAAATAATTTAAGTTTATATTCCCCCTTTTACATACTGGACAAATTAAAGATGCTAGCCTGAAATAAAAGCTGATACATAAAACATAATCATAAATGAAAAGGAAATTTTACAATACCAAATAAAGCCCTGGGAGAAAATTACTTATACTGTTATTTTTGAATATCATGCAATCTTTTGTTGCTGTGCCCTTAGAGGAATGGATCAAAACTTGTATGAGGTCTTCAGTATGCAAGCTGTATGAGACAAAACTTGAAACAGATGGCTAATAATATCAGCAATGTCTCTCTAAGAAAGTTCAAAGATCTGGAAAGTGTAATGCTTCAATAAAATTACACTACACCACAAGATACTATGTGAGAATATTATTAAATACTGCAGGTGAGGTCCAAGGATTTCCTGTCTTCCTTATTGTTGCTAATGGTGGCAAATTTACCTACATCCATCTGATCAATCAGTGTCAGTTGTATTTCATAATATATGTGTACACCTGCGTGTCTAAGTTATCTGGTATAATGAATACATTATTTGCTGCTAGCGCGTCTCAAACAGTCAACTACAAGCCTAAGGTGTTTATTTCATTTGAAGCCCAAAACGTCAAACTTATTTTCAAAAATGCTCCTGAAAACAATCAAAGATGATAGCATGTGCATTTTAAAGGTTTGGTTCTTATTCTGTTTGAAACATAACTCTGTAACTTTCAATAATACAGTCAAACCTTGATTATCCAGACTAGTCACTCCAGTCCCACTTTTTTATGAATATAAATTAATCACATTTGCAAACCATAATTACTTCTTTTCCATCAAACAGAGAAACTGTAAAGAGACTCCTTTTGGCACTGAATTTGTTCCACTTTCTGAATGATGGAAAGACAAAACAATATTAACCCTATCCAACTAACGCAGCTTCAAAGAATGGTGGAGTTAGACACGCACACATGTTGTAGAAGTGACGCTCATCAATGATAATATTTCCGATTATCCAGACTATTGATTATCTGTACTATTCAGACCAGTCCCCATGGGTCAGGATAATCAAGGCTCGACTGTATTACTTTTAAGAGTTGAGTTAGTTCTTAAATACTTTTTTGTTCAATAATAAACAGAAAATGAAATAAATGTTCTTCTTTTGACTGCATTTACTAGTGGAAATTCTGTGGCCATTACCGGCATTTCAATTGTAGGGACTGCAGGATTTTTGAATGATTTAACTAAATTAAATACGCATACATGTATTCAAGTAGTACAGTAATTCAGATGTAAAGTACATGTCATGCACATTAGGTCAGAAACAAACAGATTCCATTAATGAAAGGAAGATTTTATTTTCCTTTTTTTACTTCAACAAAAACCAATTTGGCTTTGAAGTTCTTAAACTGTTATATATCTAAGTCAGTCTCACTAAGTTGGATCACTGTTAAACATAGACAACTTTTACTAAATTTAAAAAATATCTGTGAAATACTTTCCAATAATAGAATTTCCAGTTTATTCCAATAACTTGCCATCTACATAGGATCAATAATTGTCAAACACCACATTAAGTGCATCTCCTGACAAAAAACTAACAAAAACATCCTGTCTGATTCACTTGATGTGTTTCCATATTCAGTTAAAGAAAAGATGAACTAAGGACTACAAGGTTAAAAAAAAAAAAAAAACTCGTTGATTCCAGCGTCTGGAACCAGTCAAATACTTTCATGATCTATTCCAACAATAAACTTAGTCCATCGCTTGTATCCCTCTAATGATGATACTAATGTCATTTTCAGCATTCCTTGTCAGGTTCATTTTACTGAATCATTGCTGCTTGGAAAACTTTGTTAATGACCTTAACCCTTTAAATCCAATGAGTGACCAAGACAGAATTTCACCATAAAATATCAATACAATATCAAGAAAACAAGCAATGGGAATAAAGGAAATATCTATTGGGCAATAATCAGTTGATCCAATACCAACTCTCTACATTCAACACACAACTTGAAAACTGCTCTCTCTCAATAATATGTTCATTACTAGAAAAGTTACGTAGCGGGTGGAAGTTGAAACTACCTGCAGTTTCCTTGTCCACTATTCCCAAACTCTGATGCAGCAAAGATGAACATGGGTGAAAATCACAAAGAACTGCATATCATGGTTATCTAAAAATTCATTGTCTTGTAAATCACTGAATGACCAATAATGACTGTAATGACTAAATGATGAGCTACATAGTGAAAGAAGGAAAAAGAAAGGAAAAAAACAAAGAGAAAACAAAGGAAAAAAGAACAGCTCTTAGCTCATGAATGAACCTTAGTGCTCAATTCAAAGACAAATGGATGCTCAGTCATTTCATTACCCATCTAATATTACATAAAAATATCCATTTCAAATTCTTTCTCTCTTGTATTTTTCCACTGTTGACTAAAATTTACTCTCTGCTGACCATTTTCTAATTCTAATTTTTGGTCACTGAATGGTGCCTTTGAAAAACCTTATGCTTGCTGCATTGTAAAGTACTTAAAAAGTATAATTCACTCCTGATCAAAGTCTTAAATAAAAATGACATGCTCTCAGACAAGCTAAATCTCACAAAAAATTTCTTGACTAAATAAGAATTAATCATTTAGCTATCACCATAAATACTGTAAATATCACCATAATAACTATAGAAAATACATGCTTGTTTATGAATCCTCTTACTCAAGTTTAAGTAAAAAATGTACCATCTATACATAAGTGCATCAGTAATCACATAAATGTCATTGATGTTTTTTCTTTAAATCAACAAGTATGTCACAGTCACAAATTTCACTTAATATGAAGATCATCTTGAAAAAAGTATTTAAAAAAATGATCTGTCGAGGAAAACTATTCAAAGAGACGGCAGCAGATCGATAGAATGATGAAGAAATCTGACTCTTGATGATTTTCATGAAGATATCCAAAACAGAGTTGTATTTCACTCTTTGGTCGTCCTTGTGTTAATTTGCAAGTGGCCGTGATACGCTCTTAAACTTCTTATTTATCAATAGTAATCCAGTTGAGTATTGTTTGAGCGAGGCATAAAAATAATTAGTCACGCACTTCTCCTGACCAAGATTCACGACCATAACAATCATTAAACACTTCCTTCCGATACTGATTGAGAGAAAAACACAAACATCGGAATTATAAGCGAGCGCTGTGCGCGAAACAGACCCAAGCAATGATGAGAGCACACATTTAACGAGTGATATTGAAATTAATCTATTATAACGTACCCGATGTGAATTCGTTTAGACGTGTAAATTAAAAAAAGTATATATGTAACAATAGTGACAAAAATACGCATAAGGATTTAGCACAAAATCAGAATATCTAGATTTCGTGAAGGTGAAATACAAGCTCCGTTTTCGAGAAGATAATCATCTTCAATCTGAGATCGAGAAATTACCTGACTTTCTCTGAGGTCTAAAAAACACGCGAGTAGTTGTGAAAGAAATGACTCACGCACAGTCCTAATTTGATTTGGTAAGTGATGAGGTAGAGGTCTTTCGAACACTTCCGATCTACAGCTCTATACAACTCCATATTTAAAAGGCATGTTTTCAGGCTCGCAAGCAATCTTTGTTATGAAGGAAATTGGGAAGGAAGAAACTGCATATTAAGCTTATTTATGTCAGCAGTGGTGATATTCACGCGAACATGTTCCCGCCTGGTAAATTAGGAATTATTGAACTACAGACCAAAATGGAGCTATTAAATTTGAATATCCACAACTTGCCACGACAACACAACGCCTGTATACATTTACTTTAACGCAGCAAAGAAAAAGGTTAAAGTTAATTGAAAAATAGGATATCAAAGATGGATGTACACTACATTTAATTTGTCGACACATGTTTTGCAGCTAGTGTCTTGTCGTATTTTGAGAGTTGAACATCATAACATCCTCTCATTTAGCGTCTTCAATAGCATAAAAATAAAGCTGCTTACCTTTTGTAAAAAGACTGGGTCAGAAATGGAAAGTTATTTCCAGTAGAGCCAAAAGATTCGACTGCACTCACCTTTCACAAAAAAGTGAAAACAGACACGAATGACCGATCGTCAACTTGTCGTCGTCCAAGTCACGTGACTATCGTAGAAAGCTGTCGGGTGATCACGACGGGTAGTGTCGCAGCTGAGCCGAAAACTAGAAAACGGACTTTGACATGTTCTTTCTTTTTCAGCTGTCGATTTAACCGAAACATAAAATAGCATCTGCCTTATTGTGTGGCACCGCATGGTGCAAGCCAGTGAGTCAGACTGATGCTTTTCAAGCTGTTTATTTGCGGCAAGATCGTTAGCCACCTAAAAGTCTTATATCTTTTCAAGTTTGATTCAGATCGGGAAGTACTGTCGTAGTTGCTGTTGCAAGAAGAATTGAGGTTTGGAAATAAAATACTGACTGGATTTCCTTCTGTTTTGTTTATATATCTTAGAGCAGAACTCAATCTAGTGTTCCCCACAGGGTCCTCCGGAGAGGAACCTACACGGGTAGGGAGAGTCACACACCAACCGAGGTCTGAGAGACTGGTACAGCATCCAAATCGATAATTTTGAAAAGCGAAAGGATCCGTAAAGTCGCGGTTGTTGGACCTGCAAAAGGAATCTTCGTCCATCTCATCCATTGTTTCCAGTTTTCTTATATTACATACATAGAATTATAAAATACAGATACATTTACACCGAAAGCCGACTATTTTTTACTAAATCGGCCCAAGGAAGACAGTTTTGTTCAACTTTATCGTACCGTCAGCAATGGCAGCAACTAAAACGGAAGCAGTGCCATCCGCTATGCGAAATGCAAGCACGTAAGTAACACAATAACAAACTACGGTTCTTAATTTTTAGAAACTGTGACCCGCCGTCTAATTCTATTTTCTCTGTTTGTTTGTTTTTTCTGTTTCAAGGGAAGGACTTGAGTCATGGAAGTCTAAATTGAAAACGCCAGCGAAGGATAGGCGCATACAGACCACAGTAAGTTTTACCTGCTTGTATATTATTCGAACTAACTTGTTTCTGATTTCTTTCTTCGTGACTGAATTGGTGGACTCAAGGAACTTATTCAGAAAGCGTTCTTTTGTAGCTTTCACTTTTCAGCCGTAAATTTCCGTACATCGTCAACCTTTCCTCGCGAATAAGGAAGTCATCGTTAATGATCACCACTGTGCTGGATGATTCAGTCATATAGTCATTCAGTTAAGTTATGGTACGGGTCTCCTCATAATCACCACCCTATGTTTTATAGTTTCGTGGAAGAGAAACCATTTTTAACTCAACTGAGCTCAAAACAGACATCAATGTCAGGTCTGCCAGTTTCATTACTTGTAAAAGAAATCCCTTTTGTCTAACCACACTGATTTGAGTTCCTTGCTTATAATTCAAACTTCTAGAGTGTTCTTACCACCTGTTTCATCTTATTTGACTAGCTAAACTCTCCAAATGTTATATCTGCACCATAGTTAGTGGTAGTAAAAGTTGACGAAAGCATCCTCTCACATAATAGCTGCTGTATCTCAGTTCATGAGTGTTACTTGGGTTCAAGAATGTTTTGCCCAGAAGGGGGATGGGGGATGGGGGATGGTGGATGGTGATATGTCTGGAATGGATCGGCATTAACCCTGTCTATCATGTGGTAGCTTGAACACACCCAGTTCGCTTGTATTACTGACATCAGTGTTAAAAATATTAAATAGCAAGTGCAGAAATATGTTGGGTTGCCACATGCCCAGATAGTACAGCAGTGTTAACCTCTATACTGTCTTGAAAGTTATACAGACGACTGCAGTTCTAACATGTTATGATCTGAATAAAATAGGATGTAACAGCAACTAAAGGAAATGATTTTGAAGACTACCTGCTCAAAAGAGAATTACTCATGGGAATCTTTGAGAAAGGTTTTGAAAAGCCTTCACCTATTCAAGAAGAGAGTATCCCAATGGCTCTCACAGGAAAACACATATTGGCCAGAGCTAAAAATGGTACTGGAAAAACTGCTGCCTACCTGATACCTCTTCTAGAAAAGTGTGATGTGGATAAATCACATATTCAAGGTTAGTCTTCCATACACTGTGTTGTTATTCTTAAAGGATAAAAGTTCATAGTAAGACTTCTGCAGCCTGTAGAAGGCTTTTTTACAAATGAAAATCGGCAACCTAGTGTATATGGGAAAACTGTTGGGCCCAGGAAACAAAATGAAGGTAGCAAAGAGAGCCTAGTAGTCTGGACATACAGCTCACTCCACCTACTGACCCATCCATTTCTTTACTTTGTTTTCTTCTCTTATTTAGGGCTTGTGTTGGTGCCAACCCGTGAACTGGCCCTACAAACATCTCAGATCTGTAAAGAGCTTGGCAAACACCTTGGAGTACAAGTCATGGCTACTACAGGCGGCACAAGTCTTAAAGATGACATAATGAGACTATATAATGATGGTATGTTTATAGTAAAATGCTCGAGGTAATGTGAAGGAATATTTCTTGTCTAATGTTCTGCTCTAGGATGGTCCTCAACAAAGAGTTGTTTATTCTTATCTTTGGTACTAGATTCTGCCTGAACAGCAGTGCAGGAATGAAATTTAAAGAGAATTATGCTCCAAAAGTCACTTAATTTTCCACTCTAACCATTTTATAACCATTTGATATCTTTAAATGTACAAAAAACTCAACTATAGGCAATTGAATTTTGAAAATATCACTGACCATTGTGTATAATGCAAACTTGCACAAAGATGTAGATGATAGGTAAAAATGAAGGACTGCTGAAGTTTCTACCCTTGGAATCATCACCGGCAAAGCAGTATGCAATGCAGTTTAATAGCAACAGTGTTCAACTTCATAATGGTATATTGGTTTTTTTCCCCACAGTTCATCTCATTGTTGCCACACCAGGTCGGATACTGGACTTGATGAAAAAAGGGGTGGCTAAGATGGACAATTGCCAAATGCTTATCATGGATGAAGTAAGTGCTTGGAAGATAATTTTGTTACATAGGAGTGTTGCACCATAAATCATACTTTTTTATTTTGTTTGTCCTCTCTACCTAGGCTGACAAGCTTCTATCCATGGACTTCAAAGGGATGTTAGAAGACATAATTGCTTTCCTTCCACCCAGCAGGCAGATTCTTCTTTATTCAGCCACTTTTCCATTGTCAGTAAAGGAATTCAAGGTCAGTGGCAGTATGTCTTCAAGAATAATTACTTCTCTAATTTAATTTAATTTAATTTTAAGATACAATACTTCTTTGTGTGGTAAATAACATAATATGTATTCAGGACTCTTTGTGTTGTACAGCAGCCTTGGACAGTGTTAACTTGTTAATTTCTCATTTAATAAGTGTTATTATTATAAGACTGGCATATCTAATGAGAGGATTCCTTGAGACTAAAGAACTTCCTTCTTAGATGAGAAATCAAACAGCAGTAAATTACCAACTTGACTGGAAAAAATTTTCAGCTTGTATGTTGATGGTATCTTTGGTTTGAATCTTGTCTTATTTCCTTCTATTATGTGTGCTGGCTAATAGAAACTGTTACTTTTATTTTCTAGTAAGTTCATTTAATGTTTGTATTTGTTTGGTTGAGCTGATGGTCTTGTGGAAGTGGTGTGTAACAGGCCCAAAGAGCATGTGCTTATTGACTAAGTGGGCTTGCTGTTAATGATAACGGGGGCTTTTTTGTACTTACCATGTATTTTGTTGTGATTCAAATTGGCAGGATAAACATTTGGATAAACCCTATGAAATAAACCTTATGGACGAGCTGACCTTGAAAGGCATCACACAGGTAATCATTATGTGCAGATGTGTGTCAGTTTTTATCCCTTTTCCCTCCCTATATACCATTTTTAAAATCATTTTTAATATCTTCATTGGTTTTTTAGCCTGACACGTCACCACTCTCAATCATATGTGACACTGTGTGTGCTGTTAGTGTGTTATGGAACAGGGCTTCTTTGTTTGAAGTCAGTCCCCAAGAAAAATTATTGCGGCTGTTTTTTTGTTTCAGTATTATGTTTTCCTGGAGGAGAAACAGAAAGTACATTGCCTGAATACTTTGTTTTCAAAGGTACATTTCCTTTCTTAATCTGCTGAAGTGTCACATGTTTAATTTGCAGAAGTTTCATTTTCCATGAAACAAAAAATTAAAAAAAAAGTATTTACGTGTTGGTCTTGGGAAAAAAAAAAAACTTTCAATTTTACTTTGATAACAGTTGTGCTACCAAAGAAGTGGAGAAGCATGCGCCAAAACAACCATTAAATTACAGGATTCAGACAATGAATTCTAAGGAAAGTCACTTCAATCAAACAGTGCTTAAATAGAAATTCAATCAACCAGAGTGTAAATTATATGGTGTGCTGTGTTCTCCAGATGGAGCAGTGGTATTTGGCATTTTTGTAAGCTACTGGTTTCTGAAACACCAGCTAATGGACAGGAACTTAAAGTTATTTCAGTTTTAAAATTTCAATTTTGTTCTTCCCAGCTTCAAGTGAACCAGTCAATTATCTTTTGCAACTCAGTCAACCGCGTTGAATTGTTGGCCAAAAAGATAACAGAGCTCAAGTATTCCTGTTACTATATTCATGCAAAAATGGAGCAGAGTCACCGCAACAAGGTGTTCCATGACTTCCGCCAAGGAGAGACAAGGACTCTAGTGTCTTCAGGTAGTGGTTTGACTACAGGCCTGGAGCCTCGCAAACAGATAAACTCATTGTCATATGCTATGGTTGGAAGGGGATCTTTTGAACCCTTTAATTCCCAGAAGTGATTAATATAAAACTTCTCCCTACAATATCCATACATTCTTCAGTAAACAGGTAATGAGAATATTCAAACTTATCAGTTGAAGCTGCTATCTTGATCTAGCACCAAGTTCTCATAACTAATTTACAAGGAAATGTGTAGCAGCTACAGGGGAGAATTAACAATCAGATCTTGGGAGTTAAAGGGTTGAGAACTGTTATATAGATGAATAAGTGTCATTAGGGGTGACCAATAATTTTTTTGACAAGTTGTTCTAATAGATGAATGATTTCTGGGTAAGAGAGATAACAACAGTCCAACATATTTCAATTTGTTACATTATGTTGTATGTAAATCTGTTTTCTCACTTATGTGAGGTGATGTGGATCTATGTTTTGCAGTCAAGTCACCCGAGAGTCATGTTGCTCAAAACCTGAGTCATGAGTCATGTTTAAAAATTTCTTAATGTTATTGCCTATTAACAGTCTGAAATTTAGATCTTTTTAGTATTTGTTTCTTCAGGCAACTTGACTTTTTTTTGGGGGGGTGACATAACTAAAATTTCGGGCAACATGACTTAGGTTTCAGGCAACATGACTTTGGGTGAGATGACTCTTGGGTGACTTGACCAGTTACTGGATCCATCTACAGAATACTAATATTAGGTAGAGATCATTCTGTTAAATGATGTTCATCTCCTTATGTAGATTTGTTCACACGTGGGATTGATGTTCAGTCTGTCAATGTGGTCATCAACTTCGACTTTCCCAAAAACTCTGAGACCTATCTGCATCGCATTGGCCGTTCAGGTCGTTTTGGGCACCTTGGTCTTGCCATAAACCTTGTCACTTACGAGGATAGGTTTGATTTGTTCAAGACTGAACAGGAGCTTGGGACTAACATAATACCATTTCCCAAAAAAGTTGACAAGAAACTTTATGTGGCTGAATTTCAGCAACAAGAAGAAGAAGATGACTAATTACACCAAAACTCCTGGTAGGAAAACATGCAACAACTTTACACATCTTAAAAGTTGGGAGCTATCTTTAAGAGAATTTCAAAACAACCTCTAGTTTAATTGTTTACCACTCCATGCAAGCAAAACTTCTATATTTAAGTACCTTAAACAAACATTTACAAATAAAGTAATTGAAACAAAGTTTCCATGCATTCCTCTAGCAATAGTATTTCCTCTGAACATAAAGAGTACCATGTCTAGAGGAAACTAATTGTGATTTTTGCCCCTACACTTTGTTTCAAACACTTCACAATTTTTGTAGAATGTTTTCATGGTTATAAATCAGTTTGTTGCCTGGCATTTTGGAAACAGTCATGATTAGTACTGTGTAAGACAAAACACAATGAGCTACTAAGAAATCAGCAAATTTTCAATCTTTTTTTGGAACAGTTAGAATCAGCCCTACTCAAATTTTGATAATATTAAAATAATCCAAGAGAGATTTAGAGCACATAAAATTTATTATCATGACAGCATTATGAACAAGGGTACATGTGAGAACTTTCTCTAAACTAGATTTTGTTTTTGTCCTCAGTAAAGGAAATAATGCTGTTTTGGAAGAGGACAGTTAAATTTTTTATATGTATTTTTTTGCCCTTCCCTTCCCTTTCCCTTTATGATAGTAGCTGACTACATTCAACTAATTCGTAAAAATGTTGTGGCAAGTTTTCCCAGCAGACCTGGAAGAGAGTTAAAAGTCTTCCACAAGAAAATTGTCCTGGTGAATCTTTTAGTTCCACTTAACTAAAACATTGAGTATTTATGTCTTTCTGATATTCAGAAGGACAAGAGTTGATATCTTATGTTAATTGTATTTATGTTGTGTGTCACTTTAAGTTCATTCACTTCCATCCCACTACACCAGCTAAAAAGGTGAAAACTTGTTTGAGAGGCAGTAAATAAATTCTTCCTTTTTATTCTTGAACTGTATTACTGTGTTGCAAAAACAGTTATTGTTTTACAAGTTTAAAAAAATCTATTAGGAAGAGCTCAGGGTTAAGGAAGAAATGAACAAATTCTGTCACTTCTCATCTGACTATTAAGGTCCATTTAACAGCAAGTTAAATTAGCATTTTTGTTGTTTGACACAACTTAACCCATGGGAGAGTATGAAAACATTTCTGGATTAAGTTTAAAGGGGACTTGTTTCTTAGCTGCTGTTGGGATGGAAGTGAATGACTAAAAATGTTTTTGTGCAGTTTGTGTAGTAAAAATTCCTAACTCCAACTGAAGTGCTCCAAGTATGTGAATGAAACAATGTTTGATAGAGATGGTTATTTGAAATTGTAGTCTTTGGGTTAGAAATTAGATGGTAAAGTTTTTTTGCTGCCCATCCTTTAAGTATAGAGGCCTTAAGACATTACCTTGTGTAGTTACATGAAATAAGCTTAACTGTGCAGCTAAGTGCTGGTAGCAAGGAGTTGTGGTACACTATTCAAGGGATTAAATGATCAAATTGCATTTGGTGAGCCTCTTTTAGTGGCTCTTTCCATTGGATTAGGGTGCCATGGAATTCTGCCAAGGGTAGAGTAGAGATAATGTGTAGAAAAGAGGAGTTGAATGGGCATGGCTGATGATGAAGATATTGTTCTTTGGTCTGAATTAGTTGGAGCTTTTGATTAAGTGTCTTAGTTAAGTGGGAAATTATTTATTTGTAATTAATGTGTACATATGTATATAGTGCAAATTCTAATTATGTAGGAAGATTTATTTTCAGGACAGAGTTTGATGGGAAAGTTTGGAACTTGTAATGGAGAGATAAGAACCTTGAGAAAAGTCAACCCAAGTTCACAAATATTTTGAGTACAAGAGTTTCCCTTGTTAAATTGTTGGTACTCTTTTAGTTTGTCTCCACTGTGCTCTGTGATTTGGGTGAGAAATTGCACTACCATCTTAGCTAATCACATGTTACACTTCATGGGTCCATTACATTTTCCAGTGTTAAGGTCAGTTTGTTTCTTGTGGTATTGAAAGTCAATGTACCATTTGCTTTGTTTGGCTGTTGTAATTCTGTTAGGTTAGTTTTATGACTCTTGGTAACAAGTATCCCTAATAAGTGATTAGTTTGTTAATGTGCAGTGGTGTAGTTTGCTATTTCATGCCCACTTTACAGAGTTAACAAGATTTCCATTATGATTAAGATTTTTGTTAATGAATAAATGGGGGACAGTTGAAACTGAAGTTCCAAAAACTGTGCTCTAAAGTTTTTGTGGAATTGAGGCACTGTCTGTTATTCTTATTAATGCAGTAAAACTGCAATTCTGAAAAATGTTTTTCCTTAAGACAGCCTACTCTTTCCCCATGGAAACTTTGTAGAATTGAAGTTAATTGAGTAGGTAGGAATGGCTAACTTTGTGTTTGTATTGACAGCTGGACAGTGTGTAGAATAAGATTATACATATAGCCAGGGTCATAATGTGATGAATCGCAAAGGAACAATATTTGTGCACACCCTTTACTCCTTTCATAAAAACGGTAATTTCATTACAGCTAAAGAAGAAGAGTTAGAAGAGACTCTTGGCTCAATTATAGCAGCAGGATTAGTTACCTGTTTAATGAAAGAGGACTGGCCATTTTAACAAGACATTGTCACACCTATCTAGTAGAATAATTACTGAGGCATAACTAATAAATATGGGAAGAGGTAGCGTAATGGAAATAAGGAAAATTAAAAGCTGTTCTACAGAAGTTGTCTTGCAAAGTGGGAGAAGTTATCCATCAGGCTTAAATGGCCATTAACAAACCCAAGAAGTAGAACTGTGCAGTACACAACAAGGGTTATGAGCATTGCCTTGCAATGTGTACTTAAGTATAAAGATAACAATGTTCATTAGTATTAATGTATATTTGTACAAGTCATCTTATTGGAACCAGGTGTAGTGGATTAATGACATGGCTGGTAGAAATGTACAGTGATACTTTAATTTCAAATATCTGAGATGAGAAGGTTTATTATCCAACTTCTTTGCTAAACAAAAACAAAGAAACAAAAAAGCAGTTGTGTTGTGCCAAATATTAAAACTGCTGGTTTTTTTCTTTTTTTTTAATGGCAAGAGACATTTTTAGCCTATTTTTGTTATTATTTCTGACTTATTAATTTACTGAGTTCCTCATGAAGTTGGATAATAAAGTAGTTAAATTTTTCTGGTGCCATAGTTGAGGCTATAGTGATAACACCTTTTTGTTATCAGTGTCAAATTACAACATTTATTATTATTATTATTATTATTATTATTATTGTAGTTGTTGTTGTTATTATTATTATTATTATTATTATTATTATTATTATTATTATCTAGACTGAAACTGTTGCCTGATAATGTTACATATTTAAGCTGTTTTCAACCCTTAGCAGTCAAATATGTATTACATCTTCAGTTCATTGGTCATAAGGTATAAGTTGATACAAATGTTTTGTATCGACAGGAAGTATCCAGCACACCTCTTGGATAATTTTTATAATTATTTTTCTATCTTTATGCCTTCCTTTGGCTTTTGATTATTTGCTTAGTTTTTTCTGTTTTGTGTTAATGGATATTTTCTGTTAGCATGTGTTTTTGCTAGGTTAAAATCTTGATTTTCTTCACATGTTTTTGGGAATTCCAAGGTACTTTTTTGCTCCTGAAAGTTAAACATAACTGCATGTAATAACCTTATGTTCAAGTGACTATAGGAAAATGTTTGGTGGAGCAGCATGTAAGTTTTAAGAAATCTTGAATAAGCTCTGCATCTGTGTTTTCTTATTTAGCCTCCTACTATGCTTTTTTTACTGTTCCATGCAGAGCTTTTCATGTTTTTCAAAATATGATTTTTTCCTAGACATTGAACTTTCATTTAGAATTGCAGCAAAGATATGGCAGGGGCAGGTTGAGCATTAGCTTAAGGTGTGGTTAGTTTTCGTGGCATAAACACAGGGTGTAATGCTGCAGTACCCTGAAAGAAAAGTTTAATATGACTCAGTATTACTTGAATGCCTTGGTGTCTTTTCAGGCCCTTGACAAGCATGGCTTTAAAGTTACACTGTAGTTAGCTCCTGTTTGTTTCATTACTGATAATTAATGTAATACAGTTTTATGTCCTCTGCTGTCATGTTTCCAAAGTTGTCTAGTGCTTTTAACTTATCATGTATAGACTAACCTCTGACTGCTTATTTCCAGGTTGTTCTTGTTCACTGTGTCTTGCCTTGTTGTAACTATAAGCTTCTGTATTAGTGTTGTTGTGTTTGTTAGTTATGCTTGTTATTTTTTTTTTTTTTGGTTAATGCTGATGTTTTTACCCAAAGGACTGTTTTCTCAAAGAGAAATGTTAAGATTCTCAAACAGTTTATCTCAAGGTTGATTGTGTATTAAAGTCCAAATTATGTAACTATTTAGTTTGAAACGAACTCTTGTTTTAAGGTTATTTCTCTGCCTTTCATACTTAAGTTTTAATTCTTTCAGTGTTCAGTGTTTTAATGCTTATGACAAGTAATCCTTTACCCAAATCACTACTGTGTCTAGTTTGTTTAGTCTTATTGCAGACTTCAGGTGCAGTTAGTAAAACGGTTTTTTGTATTGTAACCGTGTGTGTAACTGGCTTTGGGTGATTAACTTAACATCAGATTTGAAAGAAACATCACCTGTACTGGTTCCTTAAAGGAGACAGAGAGTTCAGGGTGAGTTTTTAACTTCCTGAAAGTCTCTTTTGACTATTCTTTAGCTCTGTTCCTTCTCTGAAGGAACCTGGTGGTTAAAATGTATGACGACTTTATGATGTCCATTAGATAAGTCAGTGCTAAAGTAATCTTAATTGGATGACATTGTATGTAAATCTAAACGTTTTGGAGTTATGCTAGGAATTAAAGTATTTCTACAGGATTAAATTTAGTTTGTGTTTTATGTGGACCATTTTCAAACAACCTGTAATGTTATGGCATCAATAAAGTCTGATCAAATCTATGTGTGATTGGTTTACCCAATATATTCAGTTGACAGTTGTGTGCGTAATTTTTCCCATGAACCATAAACTCCACTGTTTTATTTCCAGCTCTGTCAGGAACCAGATCTAAGAGTAAAGCACTAAGCTTACTTTGATTAAGGGGAAAGGCTTGATTTCACCAGCCAAGTTGGCTTTAAATTGCATTGGATGGGTAGCAAGGGTTTGTCTTTGTGCTTCTTATTGTATCTTTACTCTTATGCTGCTGTTGGTATTTAATTTTCTTAATTTGCCTTGGAAGGCGGGAAAATACGTTTGTCACTTCTGGGTTTCTCTTTGGGTTTACGAATTCTGTGGAGGTTGAGACGGACATGTCCCTTCAAATGATGTTATTCTGTACAGTGGAAGTATTTATAAAGTAAACTCCAGAAACCATATAATTTTGTCCCTGTCGTTGAAAAGCATTGTAGATCTTATATTTTCTTCTCAAGACAGGGAGAGAGAATGAGGAAAAAAACGGGGCAAAGGGAGAGAAAGAGAGAGAATTGGAAAATAAGGGGAGGGAGAGAGAAAGTCGTTCAGCTACAGTGTAGTTCTTGACGGACCACAGGCAGCCCAAGCTCCAGCCTCAAGATGACCATCTTGCGAAATAAGAGTCAAGACGAAACTATAAGAGTTTGTTTGGGAATATTTACGACTGCTCTTTGGAATGAAAAGTTAAAGTCAAATTCTCATGAAAAAATACCTCGCCTTATTTTCACTATGCCTTGCTATATAATAAAACTAAAAATGAACTACTCCCGGAAATGGGTTCTATCTAACCTGGTAGGCGGTCAGATAACAAGCAATGCTATGTGATAGTAAGGTGAGGTATTTCTATTGAAAATTTGACTTTAATTTGTTATTCCTAAGTGCGGTAGTAAATATTCCCATACAACTCCTGTGACTAATTTCGCAAGATGATCATCTCACAGCTGAAGCTTAAGCCGCCTGTGGACGGACGAATTGATGAGAATCTCATGTCAATAGCATTCGATCAGTCATATAGATATCTGGCGTCAATTTTGACGCTTTGTGGTCCTCTGTAATAACCGGTAAATCACTCCAAGCTGCCCTTATGGGCAAGTGTCTATGTTTTGCCTGCATTGCTAGCTGTCTTTGGGCTTCGCCAGTTAAAACTTCCATTAAAAAGCCTCTCTTTACATGTGTCAATTTGAGGGTAAGTAAATAAACCAAAAAGCAAGACACGCATTCCTTGCTATTTTATTCATAAACTGAATAGTTTAAACTTTACCTAAGAATTTTACAGGACTTATACATAATCATTGTCTACAACAGCACTGGAAAAATGACTCCGCGCGCAATTTTTACAAAAGTAAAGTTCAACAAAAGCAAATTTATTTGTATAATGGAACGGCTTCTGTCGTCCAATTTCCCCGAAATGCATTGTTCCTCAGAAATTTGCCTGCTAGAAGAGAATCTAAGCCTCTCCTTCACACAATGCCCGTGCAACGTCATTTAAAATGTTCTAAACTTCAGTAAAAGTAATCCATGACACAGAACCGCTACTGTTTCGCTGGGCTGACTCGTTCTAACTGAATGCCCCCAGTGCAAAAGTCAACCATCACCTTCTGGTAAGACTTTTTTCGAAGAATTTCACCAAATTCACCTCTTACTTCTTGAGCAGGTCAAAAATGCACGATTTCTCCTCAGTTGCCATGCCTACGTCACTTTTCCGTGTCCTAATCAAGTCATGAGATCTATTTCGTGACACTTCGTCCAGATGGCGTGACGCCAGTACACATGCCTCTGCTATTTTCCTTTTTTTCCACACAGAACAGAATATAACCGTTTTATTACGTCACTAATAATACGATTCCTTCTGCTTTAAAGATTGTCCTCAAAATTTTCGGAGAACTTAAAACCTTTACTGGAAAAAACGTGCATGAGAGTGGAAACTGTCCACAGTCAGACAAATCCATATTTAACGTAAGCTTGTTCATGTCCAAGGAATTATAGGCGGTAAGTTAAACCATTGAGTTACAATAGCAGCCAATTTGCGTTCAGAGTAGCGTCTGATTCTTAGGTCTGAGTTTGATTGACGATAATCCTTCTTACGCAACGTAAACGTAGACTTTCCTGCAAGAAAAAAAAACAAGGAGGAAAGAATTATTTTGAGGTTTTACCGCCGCAAAAGATCACATTTAATATACTTAAGCAGCCTCAGAAAGACCTTTCAGTTTTAAGGAGTAAGGCATAGAACTCTAAAATGCACCCCTCCCCCAAGATTGTTGGCAGCTTAAGGCCACAAACGCAACACTGTTTTCTAATTACAAGCACAACCCAAAGTATTCAAAGGAGAAACTGAGTTACATCCATAGAACACGCATTAGGGTATTATGCCTTCTTCTGCCGGAGAATGAATGCCGTAAATAGCTTAACAGTCCCACTGTACGATCTCGTTTTGCATTTGACTGTTTTGCTAACTTGCCGTCTAACTGAGGAGTGTTATGACGTATACTACATGTTGATGTCACTGACCTGTCCTCGGGAGTCCTGGCCAAGTATTCTCTTTCAATCAAGCCTTCAATTCTCTTCTTAATAACTTGTGGACTGGGCATGAATCGAGCTTTAAGCTGTTCAGTTACCTGCTCACGACAAACACAAACACGAGTTCACAGGAATGCTTCAAAGAGAGAGGAAAATCTAATTCATTACTACAATTCAAGCCTCTTAATACAAACCTCTGCTACTAGGAGATTATGTGGTGTCTTCTTCCGTGCCTTCATTATTCGAACAATGGCGGCTTCAATTCTGTAGTTTATTAAGGAAATAAATACTCTGTACTATAGCTCAGATTACTAAAAGATGTTATAGCTTTTTGGTCATAGTCAAGCACGAAATCATAAGAAAACGCAAAGAAGCATGCACGCGTTCCGGTCAAGAGCAGCTTCGTAAATATTCACGACACGAGGACTCAGCCCGGGCTTGACCCTGCATCTTAGGATCGTGATTCTACGGCGCTAACCATTAGACCACCGTTTCTCTCAGAATACAGAGTTTGTCTTAACCCTTTACACCCAACGATCATTATGCATATTCTCCACACTGTTTTCCAGACGTTTTCTAGAGTACTGACACGGAGAATTTGTTTGAGAATCAATATCTTCTTCAGTTGGTGATCATATCCTTTATTCTCATGACCTTGATGTTTGATTCAGCAGTGATTTTAATCTTAAAAGATGCAAGTCACTCTTAACAGTTAGAGGCTTCAAAGGATACTCATGTTTTCTGTCTTCGTCCACTTTATTTCTGGTTTCCCTCCTCTCGGGTTCCATTTCACCTTTGGCGAGAACTGCACAGAGAAGAGAGAGAAAAGTTTGACAACGGTTTCTTCAAAAGGAAAGAAGAGGCTTAAGGAGAAGAGGCTGAACTGTACCTGTTTGTATCTTTACTCTGTGTAATTTGGACGTAAATTGTTCATTCACTGAGAACACATCCGTTGGTGCTGGAAAGAACAACATGACCACTCATCAATCATCATTATCATGACATCAGAGTTGATGCTCAAAGGTAAATTGCAGCTGTATTAATCATAGACAATAAGGTCACGAAAATAAAAAAATAAAATAAATAAGTAAATAAACAGACAGAGAGATAAACAAACAATAAAAAAACCCAACATTTAGCTCCCTAGCTCAGTTAGTGGTAGAGGGTATCTGTGGGGTGATGGCTATTACGGCTAATGGTTAAAATCGTGGCCATTTTACGGCTAACGGATGATTTCTTTTCGTTTCGGTTAAATGAAAAATTTTAAAAGGTTAACTAAACGGTTAACATTTGCTGGTCAATATTTACGCTTGACAGCTAAATTTTTTTTGCCAATTTACGGCTTATGGTTCACCCCATTGAGACCTTAGTGGCATCACCTATCCAGTATCTATGAGTAGAAGCGTGAAGAGTTTTCACAGGTTTTCAACTCACATATGTCCCTTCCTTTAGGATCTTTAGTAAGAACCCTCTGTGTCGCTTTCCCACATGCTAATGACTGCAGCGCTCGGTTTAAATCTCTTTCGGGAATTTCTGTATGCTGACTTATTTCCTGCAACGAAAAAATACACAACTTGAGTAGATGTGATAATATACACATGTAGGGACGGCACAAGAGAACTTGAGGGGCCTTTTGCACTTCTTAGTCGCCCAATGCGCCCTCCTTCATCAGCTGTCTATTGAGTCGTGTATACCTACCTCATACGTCCATCGTTCTTGTGTGTTGAAAAGCATTAGCAGACACATCTGATACGAGGAGACCTGGAATATATGTCGACGTGTCTCGGTCGGACCACCCTCCTAAAGATAAAATAACACTTGTTACTCAGAGAATCTTTCGAAAACGTTGCTAAAATGTTGGAAAGCCAGATCAATTGTGTAATAAACATGTAAAGATACAGATAACTGGAAGTGCGGTGGAAACATGCAAAGTTACAAACCGTAATTGAACCAAAAATTTAAGTACAACACAATGATAACACAAAGTAACTGTATTAAAAACATTTTGAACTACAGAAATAATCACCTGTCATCAAAGTTAAAAGATCAGTCGATTTTTTCAAAATCAATAGTTGTCAAAACGTGGTACTCACTTTCTTGGAAGGTGGAAATGTCGCATTTAGCTCAGCTGTTCCCTGTTAACAAGAAACAGATCTCGCATCTCATCACAACTACCACAAGTCATGTTAACGTTGATAAAAAGGTACAATCTTCGTTCATGCTGAAGGGGAACTAATCAATTCTTGTTGTTGTTTTAGTCATTACTTCAGGAAAAAATTGCAAGCCAAAGAAAAAGCTTAGAAGAGCTAATTCATCGATTGTTTATAAGTAATACTCTGGCCTTCAATATTACAGTGTGGCCATTTCCAATCCATGTGAATCTTCTCCATCCTTAACCGTCTCAGTTCCTTTTTCCAGTTTATTCTTAATGTAGTAGTGTTTCTTCGTCTTACCAAACCAATATTGTTACTTCCCTCACTCTGAAAGTAATTTCGCACTTAGAAACGACTGAAAACTTGGTGGATTATTCCTTTCGAACCGAGGTTTAGATTATTTGACTATAAAAGAATCATGAGGATACTCTATTGGCTAAGCAACAATGATCTATTGATCTTTATATAATAAGCTCAGTTATGCACGCATTCTGATTGGTTCTCACTTATGATCTATTGAAGGACAGATATATAGATGACGTCATCATTAAACCTTTTTTTAATTCTTAATTATATAAAACTAATAGATTCCAAGTTGCCACGCGTCTGTTCAGTAATAGATCACAGAGGACGTCAAAATGTGGTAAGAACATCAATGACACACTCGGCTGCGCCTCGTGTGCCACTTTTTTGTTCTTACCACATTTTGACGTCATCTGTAACCTATTACTGAACAGACGTACGGAAACTTGGAATCTGTTTGTTAAATAAAAAAGACAAACTCAGTAAAAATATATGGTAAAACAGATCTTACCAGCTGTGGTTGTAGAGTCAGCTGTCTTCCACTGTGACAACCTAAATAGAACCTGTAGAGTACAACACACAAAAAAGTAAATAATTTATCATTCCATGTCCATAGTTTTCAATTTCAGTACAACTCGGACTTCATTCGGTCACATATGTCACCTTTTGAAGCAGTCAAAGGCATGCTGGGCCTGGGGAGGAATTGTGCATTTTGGTGAGGAGGACTGAGTTGGCCAGAAACCTGTTGTTAGGACACGCACCACAAGGTCCACACCCATCAGATTGATCTAAAGATAGCCACAGAACATCAAACTTGTAATTAAAAACATGATTTCAGTTTTAGGAATCAATAAAACATCTTGTCATTGTCATCAAGATCATCATGGCTTCTATTATTAACATCACCATTATCATTCCTACCATTATAATCATAATTATTGTCATGACTTGTTTTCTCAAAAAGGAAAGTACTTTCCTATTTACCTGATTGTTGGAAATATGACTTCTAAATTCATCATTGGTTGACTGTGACAGTGTCATGTCTTTAAACATGCCTTCCAGCTTGGATGTAAATTGACAACCACACTCGGTCTGAAAAGAAAATACATGCAGTGTTATTGAAATGTTTACAGACATTAGAATAATAATTGTTGATACATCACTGTTAGTGTCATATTTATAGAGTACTTTTTAACCATTGACTAACCTTCAGCTTAGAAATCATGTTTTTCTCTGAGTCATCTGAAATGCTCTTTCCCAGAAGAAGTCTTTTGGCCAAGTGTTGCTTGTAGTACCGTTCAAAAACATCCTAAAAAAACAATTCCTTGTTATGTGATAGCCTTTGCACTGTGATCCTTAGCATCATCTAACAAAAAACGGGCTAAATAAAATAGGCCTTCAGGTTGTCAAGTTAAATTTGTTCTTATGTTTAGACTGAGTTTATCAAGAAGGGTCTGGAATGGAGTTGAGTTTAAAGATACTCACCAAAATTTCAACACTGAAAGAAAGCAAGATTGCAGTTATTGAAGGCTAAGTTCTATCACCTTTTCTTGAAGAAATCTGAACAGCACCATACATTTGTCCAAAACTGTTTCCACTTCTTGTTCAGAAAGCTGAAATAACAAGTTAAAAAAGCACTGGTTGAACAGATTTGGAAGTTTACTTTATAACTCGGATCTCTAATAGACAACCTACATCTACATGTAGTACAGAACATAACTGCTTTGTACCAGACAAAAACATAAAAGGCATTTGAAGGTGAAAACAAAGTAGTAAAATTAATACAACTTACCCCCTTTACTCCTTTCTTCAACTTGTCATCAATGAAGAGCGACAAAAACTCAGGGGATTTTCCATTGAGATTAAGGAAATGTTCAAATTCCTAGAAATGGGAAAGAAGTTGATGTTGTAGTATTTGTACTTTTTTGTTGTTGCAAGTATTATATTGCAGCATTCACACTCCAAACAAATGTCACAAATAACCCGATAACTCCTGAACTTACAGAGGATATAGCTTGCTTGAATAACCTGTCAATATTGAATGAATTGTTCAGGAAATGGTCAAATCTGTCTTTTAAGTCTAGTAGGCTCTGAAAAATGAAAAAAACAAAAAACAAAAAAATGGTAAAACAAAGAAAAAGATGTGAGTGGAGTCAATAACAAGATGGTACTACATTTATTCTGTCAATAACAAGTAACAACATGATGGCTGAGGGAAGAGGAATTCTTTAAATTGCTCCCTACAAGGTCAGATACTTTTTCTCTTTTTCTACTCACATATTGTGTGCTGGTGATAGTTGTGGACATTGTGCATTTTCTCCATAAACATTAGATAATCACAAGAGAAAATCTGATCTACCAGGAGGACTCAAGCCTCAGACCTTCTCATTTTATGGTCAGATGCTCTACCAACTGAGCTACAGAGATCTCATCACTGAGCTAGGTCATATACTAGGTTCAAGCTGCAAGCATCCTACATACTGCTAAGATCAGCATCAAAATCTCAAGGAGATATATAATGAGAATACAGTAATTCAAACTTGCTGGGATGTTAAAGAAAACCCCTCCTCCACAGTATCACATACCTGGCACTAATATGTTCATAAACTTAACAATCAATGAATCTTGATGAAAAGAAATTTGTACCTGAATGTATGTGATGGGATTTTTACCACTTTCCCCTTCTTCTTCAATGACAAGAGCTTTGCCTTGTTCACGCAAATATCCCCTCATGCAATCACACACAGTTTTCAACCCATCTTTGACTCTCACAAAAAGACGGTACATCCTTGCCAGGTCTAAATTGTAAACAAAACAAGAAAATTTTCCATTCTAATACTTTTTATGTAAGGTCCTTAGTTAACCTTTCCATCTAAAAAAGGTATAAAAATACCTCACCAGCAGCACATCATCAGAGGAGCAATTATGACAAATACTACATAAAAAATTACACGAGCTAGATCTTAAAATTCAAGTTTTCAAGTTTGTCAACTTCAATCAGTGCTCATCTTCCCCATCTTCATCAATCCATTTTCTATTTGGGATAATTCTTGTTGTGTTTCAGTATGACAGCAAATTATTTTTCAAAGGTTCTCTTTTGCTTATAGGAAACTGTCCATGCTGATATGGTGAGAAAATTGCAATAGAAGACAGAACACAAACCTTCTATTTTGTTGTGTTTTAGCATATGGATAACACCAGAGTTCTCCATTTCCACCACTGTTTTCATGTGTTTACGTATTAACTCCTCCTCCACAACCTGTTGAGAAAATAATCATTTTCCAACCAAAAACAAATACATCAAATTACATCCTAAAAAGGAAAGACACCAATCCCTATATTCCCAAGGAGTAAATGCTTATTGCTTTTTTCTCCAATGAATTATTAAAGGGGTTGCACTGAAAAAGGCCCCAAGTGACTTTTGAGATAATATCTACTTCTACTGTTGTTTCTCAAGAGAAGACAATTTACAAGTAGAATCAAACACTTCACCAAAAGTCACTAAGGCTTTCTCCCATGCATCTCTTCATTTAATCTCCATAATCAAAAGCCACATGTCATTACCTTAACAATAGGTTCTTCTGTAGTAGGGTCCAAGTAATGCTTGGCCCGTTCCGATTCTTCATTAATTCTGGCTTCAACCTGATGGAGGAGCCTTGAAGTCAGTAACTACACAACAAATTCATTGCAAAAAGACATGATCCAATTCAAAAACTGTTGAAAATGTATCCATCAAAGAGGGACACACCTTCTGAATATAAACAGATGCACTGTTTTCTGCTAGGAACTTTTGACCTTCCAACTGTTGGGGAAAGATCAAGCAAAATGCAATAAATGTTTGAGCAATAACATATATCATGGACTCTAAAGTTATTTTTGATGTAAATTTTGAGAAAAAATCAACAAGTTACAGCCCAATTTCAAAATATTCCTTGAATCACTTTCTTTTTTGACAAGTGAACTGAGGCAAAGCCATTAAGTTTCCTCTTGTGCATGGATGCTAACAAATGCAGGACCTGCCAGAAAGTTTATACCTTGTAGAATTCTGCAGACTCTTCAAGGAATGGTTTCTCAAAATCCTCCTCATACACACTTCTTGTGTCAATTCCTAGGATCATCAACATCTGACAAGCATTTCTAATGGCCATCCTAACCAATGAATACAGGGGGAAACAAGATGAGCCATAATTTCAGGAAAAAGAAATATAAAAGGTTACTTCAGTGTGGTAAAACAACGACAACATATAACTTTTTAATCAACAGTTTGGTGAGAGAAGGGATAGTCCATGACTTCCAAAGGCATCTAATGCATAACTATATTTAGTATCTTTTGACAGTTACAAGTATTATGATTATAAATTATCCAGCTACCTATCAACAACTTCTCCTTTCCGTTCTCTTCTGACAAGTGTGAGTAATGTTTGACACAAATGATCTCTGATATTACCATACCTCACCACCTTGAAAAAAGGGAAAAACGTGTAATCTAGTGATGGGTATTAGCTACAAGAAACTGTGATGAACAAACTATTGGTTTGTTTTCAATGTGACATGGATACTGATAAATTTGCCACAGAGGCAAATCCTGGAAATTAAATGTCGATGATAAACTACTTAAATGACCAAATGATCTAGCAATTGACTAGCAGTATTAAAAAAACAAAACATGTTGTTTTCATCAACAACCTCATATGAAGAATTTTAGTAGGATGTCATAACTAGCTTGGCTTTGTCTACTACCAAATTTAATAACCCAGCACAGAAACTCACCAAGTCACGGAAAAGGATCAATCCCAAGTTGTAGACATTATCAACACTGTTTTGTTGAACATAGACTCTATCCTGTGGAAGTAATCATAGAGTTAAAAGAAAAAAATTTTTCAGAAAGCTCTAAAATTTCCAGCCAGATGTTGTTGTGCACTAAAAAAATGTGAAAATTTGTTGAAGGTTGAACATTAAGGAAGCAAATTTATAAAGAGCAAATTATAAGGCTTTAACCTTTACACACTGGCTATCAGTGTTAACCCTTTAACTCCCATGAGTGACCAAGACAGAATTTCTCCTTACAATATCAATACAATATCAAGCAGACAAGTGATGAGAATAGAGAAAAATATCAAGTGGGGGATTACAAGTTGATCCAATACCAATTTCTCCTTTATGACTTATATCACAAGAACTGTATGGCAGACAGTAAGGAGAATTACTTGTGAGATCTTGGGAGTTAAAGGGTTTATTTACTAATCAGTTATCTATGACATGAAGCCAGCAATAGCAAAGGCAGGATGGCCAAGTGTGAAGACTCAGAGGCTGGTGCACTGCAGTTGTAATCCCTTGGGTGAAGTCCTTCACCTTACCACTCACTGGATTTGTGCTCCACTACCCAGAGTTCATCTCCTTAAATGTGCCCTGTGAACAACCAACTACTCTGCTCCCTTTCACCCTAACCAAGCTGTGTTTACTGAAAAGATTTGGTGCACTGTTTGTTTACATTTACCCAGGAAAGCCTTACAGAGAAACTTGTTACTGTTTTAAGGAACAAATACCAACGTGCTGTTGTCATAAAATACTAGGACATCATTTGGGTTGACATACCATGTACATGAGAATATCTCTTATCATCACCATTGAAGTCTGATGATCATTCCAAGCAGCATTCAGTGTGTCCAGGAAATTGTTATTGAGTGAAACCACCACATCTTTGCGTATCTTTAAGTAATCAAATAAAATAGAGTATGGTGGTACAAGAAACATGAGTTATGTGTAAAAATTGACTGGGAGTGTTTTTAAACTTGCTTAAGTTAAGAACAATAGCCAGGTAGCTAATATTGCCAAATACTATCTATCCAGCAACATCATGAAACAACCATGCCCAGTTAGTTAAATAAAGTTTAGGCATTGTTTAACAAAACCACCTTCTAACCACCTTCAATTTAGCTGAACCTTTTATTTTTGAACATTCAGTTTTGTGAACAGTGTCAAGAGGGTCAATAGCTGATAGTGAAAGGACAATCAATTAATTAACTCAACCCTCTAATAGAGAATTCCAGAGGCCTACTGCTTGAGTAACAACTCAGTTTGGGTTAGACCTTGTGCAAAAAACCTGTCCCAAGAGTCTTTCTAACCCCCCTATAAGATACTCTTCTTTAATGTAGACTAGTGTCAGTTTTCCATCAAGTCCCCTCAACAGTTTGGCAAAACCCATTTGTAAACCTAAGTGAGGTACTGACTGATGTATTTGTCAATACTCTAGTAAAATACTAAATAAGTCCCCAACATAAAGGAAGTGCATGTTTAATACCTTTTCTACCAGATGCTCTGTCACAACTTGTTTGAGTCCAGAGTATAACCTCTCTCCATGCTTGTGTAAGACCATAGTATAAGCATTCCTATTTAATTCAAATCAACAGTAACTTTTAACTTGCTATCCTTTAAAACATTTCCCATGTATAAAAAGAAATGCTTACCTCTTTCCACTCCCAAACATCTCAAAACATAGTATTTACTAGTTTATCGATTTGATTTTCAAATAAAAAATGAGATTCCAAAGAATGTTTATGGTACCTTAATTATTAACTGGAACAGAAGTCAATAAGTTTGAAATAAGAAAAAAAGAAAAAGATAAATTTTTTCATTGCATCCATGGCTGTGCAAAATCAACAAGAAGTAGATAGATAAAGTAATCAGTATATGAAGATCCTACTATATTTGTTCTCACTGACCGCTTCATGAGAATTAAAGGTATACCAAGAAAATTTGTTGTTACATTGAGTTTTCACATAGGATATAGGGCAAAATATGAGAGACCTAGAGAAGAAACAAGTTAACAATTCATTATTGAGTTTGAAAATATCACCTATAAAGTTCCTCAAAACTAAGGCCACTATTGTTTTTTTTCTGAATTTCCTGGATGGCATTCTTCAGCAAGTTCCAGATGTCTTCAACATACTTGTCATCCATAGTCATCTATGCAAAGAAAGAAAGAGGAAAAACATTTGAGTTTCAATCCCAAAGCTGGGGTAGAAACTGAACTCATATCTGTGTCAAGACAAAGGTGGGCTTGAAATATATAAATTTGAGATGTTTCTTTTAATCAAAAAGACAAGTTATTTTTTTACTAATCTTGTTCCCAACAAGAAAGCTACCGAAAGTTGACATACAAGTCGAGGTGATTACCATGAAATTCTCTTTCAAATTGAATAGTCTTATCATTTTACCACCACATGCAAATGATCACATGATTACTGCAATCCCCTTTGGTAAAAGCTTGTATAACAAAAAAAGGTGATAAGTGTGGTAAGAAAAATGACAAAAACATCACCTATCTCTCATGTCATGTTCTAGAAAAAGTATTTGCTTCAAAGAAAATGCATACTTTCTTACACCAATACAAGAATTACTAATTGAAAGAAAAAATTAAAATTCAGGGAAAAAACCTACATGTATACACTTTAAATAAGAAATCATTGTATTGAGAGATCATTTTACACATTGTGAGTCGGAGGGTAAAAAATCAGGCAATATCAAGAAGGATCTACTGTAAACATTACTCCTACTTCCAGAAGTGACCAATGAGTAGTTCCTCCTCACAATTTCAATAATTAAAAAAATAAAAAGGAAGTGTTGTATGGGAGAACGCTAAAATTTCAACACTAAAATTATAAGAAGAATGTGCAAAACAGTGTGAGATCTTAGGAATTCAAATTAGCAAGAGAGAAATCAGTATTCCAAAAATACCCATATAAATACACAAAAACTCAATTAACCAAAAATAGAAATCTAAAATTAAGATTCTGCTTCTCAAAATAACTAATCATAAATGACAATAAAAACAGAAAAAAATTTGATATCACTAGATCGCCAGTTAAAACATCAGCTTGAATCCAAATTTGATTTTAAAGGTACCACCAGTGTAAATATCACTTGTTCAACTCAAAAAGGTAAGGTGAGGCATAGAAGGTTAATCTTCCGTTAAGCGATTTAACTAAGCACTTAACAATACGCTACAGAATTACAACAAGATAAGTAATCCCAAAATAGCTAACAGTTTGTCATCATGGCAAATAACACTTTCAAAAAAGAAATATATTCATTTCTCTCATAATGTAGTCACTTCCAATGTGGATTGTGATGTTTTGACTGCATACTACCAGTCTCAATACCTGAAGAAGACTAGTCGTATGCAGCTGAAATATCATGATCCACATCTGAAGTAATGGCATTATAAGAAAAATGATTAAAATTTCTGTTTTGGACAAGTTAATAATTTCCTCAAATTAATAATAATTTCCTCCTACTTGATTGGCCTCATAGTGAAAAATAATGGTTATTCACATCATCATTTTTTTTCTTTGCTGTACATTTACAACATAAATCTGCCTGGTGTCTCGATTTGATTGCAAACTGTTTGCACAAACTCATTATCACACACACTGAACATAGATAATGCAGAGATATTGGTAAAGTTCCCTGTATCTATAATAAAGACTGGTTTGGATTGAAATCCAAACACTCAGGTTTTCCTGGTAAAAGAATCAACTAAAGGTTGATTTAAAAAGCTGTAAATTTAATTTTGCTGTTCAGGCATTGTATTTTCCTGTAATTGTTCCCTTACTTGACAAAAATAAGAGAGCTAAAACTAAGAAAGCATTTATGGTGCTGCAAGACTTAATGACATGAGAGATTGCATGCATATGCAGTTTGCAGTTTATACAGTATATGATCTAAATATGTACTATAAGGTCACAATTCAAGTTAAGTACAAAAAAAATCCATACGCATAATTGGGCATCAAAAGTTAACGTTAGGTTTGTGGCAGCAAACAATAGCATTAAAAAATACAACACACGTACAAATTTTTTATTTCAAGACTGCATAACCTAAGGTATCATAAGTTGGATCGATAACATAAAAAAAGGATGACAAAAGAGAATCATTAGAACTACGACATCAAAAAATGCTACATTCGTACAAGTTGTACTTCCGCAAGCTTCAATTTGAGGCGATGTACGTGTCACCAAATTGCAAATCAAGCCCCTTTCCTTCATAAAACCAAACAGTTCCTCAAAGCTGGGCAAGTGACTTATTCGGGACCAAACATTATGGCTTGACTCGCCAAGAACTTTAGTTTGACTTGGGAGCAAATCGTGTTACAAATCCCCAAATTAATATTCGGCCTGCTCAGCATAGCTCAATCATCTTGGTTCTATAAATTCTGATAAGTATGGATAAACATTCAAGGCATCACTGCCGATTGAAGCAATGCTGTAAGACTAAACTGCGGCATTTTTATTTCTGGGGAAGCTCACACTTACCGGAAAAGCCCGAATCCTCATCTTTGTATCTTTCTTCCCAGCTCGTAGACTCATGTCGGAAACTAGCGACTCCCTATCGCACGAAACCTTCTCTTTCTTGGAAGAAATTACCCAAAACTCGACGTTTCTCGCTGATTTAGACAATTTACTATTTTAAAATCGAAACGTACAGCTTTAACATATCATTTTCCCTTGCAATTTCATTATTCCCAAATCGCTCCAAGAACAACCTCAGAGAACTGGCCATAAATATAACCCATAATGCATTTAGAACTGACGTCATGCACTTCTCTTGCGCTTGCGCTAAGACAGGCTTGGCAGCTAAGCAAAACAAGGCTCGGATTCTTAGCTTTGCCGTGTGGGGAGGTTTACAATGAATATACCAGGAGGATTTCTGCCGGTTTTAATTCAGCATGTTTCCTTTTTAATGGTACAAATATAGAAATTTCGATCAAATAATAGAGATCAAAATGCAAGAACTAGAGAGGTGGCCTATTTTCAGTCTCCTGAATGAAGAGTTTTTGGTAGCTGTAAGAATAGCGTGTGTTTTTGGAAACTCAGGAAATGAAGCGATTGTTGTCACGAAAGACGATGATGTGTTCGCGCTAGGATCAAATGGAAGCAGTTGTCTTGGAGTTGGAGATGCTCAGAGTTGTCTTCATCCCAGGAAAGTAGAAGCCTTGTGTAAAAAGAATGTGGTGTCCCTGGCATATGGCAGTGGTCCTCACGTCCTTGCAGTGACAGGTTACTTTTTTATACTGTCTAGAAGTAACAAAGATATTATGTGCCTCTGATCTAAATCAATTTCTTAAATTTCCAAACTCGTTTGGGTAGATTATGCTAAAAAAAGGAATTTTTCTCTCTTTGCTATTTATAATACTTTCTAGATCGTAAATGAAATTTGAGAATTCTCAAGGAAATCCCAAAAAGACTAATGTTTAAACCATAAATATCCCATGCTGAATATTAAAATAAGCAACATTACTGTAATAATTCAAATCAAGGTGAATCTCTCTTGGAAAAATGCTACGTTTATTGACTTGTGTTTACTCATGTTAAGAATTATTTGCAATGGTCATATCCTCAAAACAACTGATGGTGAACTGATTAAGTTGGAAAATGCTTGGTCAGAGTTTGTCACCATAAACATTCCAAAGCCATGAATTTGTTACCAACTAAACCTACCCCACCCTTTAAACTGGGAGAAGCTTTGATCATTACAATTGCTATGCCTCACTTTCATACAAAGTTCAATGACAGTGCTTTCAATAAGACCTGGCACCCACTGGAGCTCTGGCAGGTATTCTGCTGTGAATCGCTGGGTATACTTTGGAAGCTTTCAAGCAGACTCACAAAGTGAGACCTAAAACACCACAAGATCTTCTAGAGTTATTTCATTCAAGTTTTATCTTTTTAAATGAGTTTTGATAAAAATGAGAGATATTTTCTTATCCTGAATTCCAGCATACATTTCATACATTTCCAGTGAAAAAAGATTTTGAGTTTCCAGCAATGTACTGACTCAAATTTCAGAGGACTTTTTATGTGAAACTCAGGGAGCAGGCTTGTGTGTCTGCAAGTGGAAGATTTTGATCAGAAATAAAACAATTAATGAAACAATTGTTATAAAGGAGACGAAAATTTAATAATCATCTATGGAATTTTTACACTGAAAACTCTGTTTAGCTTAGTTTGTTCTGAATGGAAGTAATGGGATAATAAGGGGAATATTCTCTGGCAGGTGCTTTACCAAGGTAGCCACCTTCCTCAAATCTTATTGAAAGCACTGAATGACCCTCATGATGACCCTGATGATGGTCTGGAGATTTGGAGACTCTTTTATCTTCTAAATAGGATTTTATCCTGTATTATAATCTTTCAGGAGAGAGTAGTCCATGAAAAGAACTGTTGTCAGCAGTAGTGACAGATGTTTTGACATTGTGAAGGGAAGTGACTGTCAGATTCTAATGATGACCTCTGATGATGACTTCTGCTAAGGGTGTCAAAATGTATGTGGCTACCATGGAAAAATAGTCCTTCTCATGACTAGTCCCACAAGGTCTATCAGATTACAAGATCAAAAAAACGTTACTGGTAGGTTTTAAACATTTGCTGAAATACGTTTTCTATGTGTTTTTGTCTTTTTTTAGAAGCAGGTGAAGTATTTACCTGGGGTCATAATGGCTACAGTCAACTTGGAAATGGAAACACAAACCAAGGTTTAATCCCATCACCTGTCACTTCTGGACTACATACGAAAAAAGTTTTTCAAGTGGCCTGTGGTAGTCATCACTCTCTTGCACTTACTGTAGAAGGAGAGGTAGAGTCAGAATGGAAAATTGTCTTTTTTACTTGCCAGTCAGTAGCTCATGTTTTTGGATTGCACTGATAAGTATTTCTGTCTGAAATTGTATGACAGGTGTTTGCCTGGGGATACAATAACTGTGGACAGATAGGTACTGGAAACACAAACAATCAGACTGTACCCAGAAAAATAAATTCAGCAATGATAGGTTAGTAAATGATCTCTATAGTGTTCCAGGCTGTAAATGTTTTGGTTGCTATAGCTGCTAAAATAAATTCAGTAGCCAAATTTGCGGTGTGAGGTGCCAATATGGTGACTTGTGATTGTCAGTCATTGTCAGCAAGTATTAAAATTATGTATTGTAGTTTCTATGGTCTGTAATCAAAGCTAGGTAAACAAATTCTTAAAATGTTTCACATTTTCATTTTTATATAGGGACAAAAAAGATAATTGTAATTGCTTGTGGTCAGACATCTTCTATGGCTTTGTCAGATGCTGGAGAGGTAAGAGTACATATATTCTTACTTTCACTAAAATTGTTTAGAAAATAGACAGAGTACACATCAAATTTTGTAAAAATAATGTAGTTTTATCAACTGAGTTGATGACGTAAGTTGATTACCCTGAAGAGTTTTTAAAGCTGAAGTTTTGGGCATTAGCCCTTTATTATATTGCAAGTTTGTTCTTTTTTGTTGCAGCTGTTTGCTTGGGGTTACAATGGCAATGGTCAGTTAGGAGTTGGTAACAATGCTAATCAGCTGACACCATGCAAAGTTATTGGACTTGTTGGAACAATCACAACACAAGTATGAATGAACATAAACTGAACAGTAAATTATGATGAATTAGATCAAAAACTTAATCCTTTCAAGAATTACACCTACTAACTATTTAATGAAATGATGTTTTAGATTGTATGTGGTTATGCCCACTCACTGGCTCTATCAGATGCTGGATGTCTGTATGCCTGGGGGGCTAACTCCTATGGACAGCTTGGAACAGGGAACAAGGCACACTTAGTCACACCAACCAAGATAGGGTTGGATAAAGGAAGGTATGTAATCATGTTGTTTGAAGTATTTTTTATATGACAGGTCATTTAAGAATTGTGTTGACCCAGTGGTTAATGTGCTGGACCTCAGATTGAGGATTTGAATGCTTTTCTTTTTAATCATTGACACTTGCTAGGTTTGTTGAAGTTGCTGCTTGTCATTACAGTCATTTATCAGCTGCTATGACAGCCACAGGAAAGGTATGCACTGTTTATGTTAGTACACCCTTTGTACAATCACCTTTAGGTAATAGTTTACAAAGTTTTTCTACTCATGAATCAGTATATCCCAGCAGGGCTCCAAGCTCAACTTTTTCCATTGTCACCAATTGTTTTCCTAAGTTGATTGAATGGTAGCAGCCAGAAATGTTATTTTACTCCTAGGAAAACATTATTTTCTGACAGATATTTCTTAAGTCCTTTGAACACTGAAATTAGGCAAAAGTGGCTGAAAAAAAAAACCAAACAAACTTTAGGGTCAAAAAGCAGACAAAAGAGCCCAAAAACTGAAAGAAGGGTACAAAATGAGACAAAGGTGTCCAAACACAGATTATAACATCTAAACTCAGACAGAAATGTCTGAAAGATTTAAAATATTGTCTGAAATCAAATGTTGGTGTCCGAAATAGCATGGAAATGTCTGAAAATAGACAGTGGCATCCAAAATTGGACAGAGAAGTATTCAAAATTGGAAGGTAGTGCTCTGAAGCAGACAGATGAGTCTGAGAATGAATGATTGTGATGAATTTCAGATGACAGCATCCTGCATGATATGGTAGTGTCAGAAATTGTTTAGACCACCAGAATAGCTGCAACTTGAAGCCTTCCTTATAGGGTTTTGGAATTGCTTGGCAAGAACCTGGCATTAGGGATTGTTCATTGTCTAATGGATCCTCAAAGAGGTGGAACCTTTTACGTGACTGCACAAGAACATAGGGTCCTTTGAAAATAGGAAGCTGCTATCAAAAAAGTTTTCCATTTAGCTATAATTTTCAAATTGTTAATATCTGAATAATCTTTTAAAAACTAATTTCCACTGCCTTATAGGTCTTTATGTGGGGTCAGTGTCGAGGGCAGGCTGTCACAAGTCCTATGGAAACAAAGTTTACCAGAGTTGACACCACCTTTGCATGTTTTGCCTCCCCACAGTCGATGGCAAGACCTCTTATTGTTGGTTAGTAACAAGTCAGTTGTACAAATTATTACTAATAACAGTAACTGTAAGTCAGAGTTTGTTTGAACAATGGTAAGTCACAATGCCATTATTCAATAACCTTGGGATGTTTTGTGAATAATCTGGCAACTTTATTGTCTTTGCCCCATTATCTTCAGACCAGGTTCAGGAAAAGAGAGTTGAACAGAGTGTTAGAGATGCATTTAATGATCAGGTATCGTCTTCATATCATGGGTGCGTACTCCACCAATGTATCAAACAGTAGCTTGTATTACTTTTATTTTGTTCATTGTTTTGGAACTTTAACGTTTAAAATTCTTTAAATCGAACCTACGAACCTGACCGAATCCGAGCATATAAGCCTTGTAGAGAGGGAATGCTCGTAATATGGTTAATAAATAAATTAATAAATAAACACATAAATAAATAAATAAATAAATAAAATAGTCGTTTAATTAATCATCAGACATATCAGTTTTACTGTGTCGTCTATTTGTAACAGGAAACAAGCGATCTAACGTTTTTGATTGACGGCAAACCGGTTTATGTGCACAAGTCCTTGCTCAAAATAAGGTAACGTTATCTTCATTTCTTTGCATTGGTTAACTATGTGCGAGCTTCGAGGAGCCTCGAGTGATGTAGACCGGCATACACAGACAAGAAGTCAAACGAGTGCGCGCGCGCGAGAGAGAGAAGTTACCCCTACATGAAATGATTATCAAGGGTGTTGGTCTTGTCATGACTTCTCAAAATAACATCATTTGGTGAGCAAAACTGAACAAAAACGTAGATTGAAAAGTCGTACACATTTATTTATCACTTATTTTTAGAATGTCATAAGTAATGAAGTCAAAACAGAGGTACATATTAAGAAAATCAAAGCTAAAACTGAGTTCCTTTGTTAAATCAAAACAAACTTTTTTCCTAACAGGTGTGAACACTTTCGGAGCATGTTCCAGGCGCACTGGGATGAAGATGAAAAAAGGTTAAAAGCAGTTTTTATTTTTCCTAAATGCGGTTGAAATGTTTTTAAATGAAGCAAATTTGCTGTGGCTCAGAAGTGTTTTTGTTGTGTTTGTAGCGTGATAGAAATCACACAATTCAGCTATCCTGTGTATTACGCTTTCTTGGAGTATCTCTACACTGATCAGGTTCATCTGCTGCCTGAAGATGCCATCGGTGAGTCAGATGTCAGATTTTCGATATCTAAAGAGTGTCAAACTAAGGTTCAAGCAGCTATGAGCGTTTTTCGGTTTTGTTGATGAACCAAATCCGAATAAATCACAATGGACAACTGGAACGAAGAGGAAACATCACAAAGGAGCCAAAGAGAAATCAGAAGCGTAGGATTGAGCGGTGATTGTTTTAATTTTGCATCTGATTGGCTGGCAGGGTGCTGCGAGTTTTCCAGACTTTCTACATAATGAAGTGGAGCCTTGAAAACCAATGCTCCACCGTAATACTTTTGAAACCCGATAGAAATGTTCTTGCAAACCTATTAGAGTGCATTTCGATTTAGTGTCGTAAATCCAAAACCACATTTGTCCAACGGCCATTCAGAAGAAAAGGAAAATACCTCCAGGAACCAACGAGGACTCAAAATAAATTCAATCGAACTGGCCAAAGCGCGGGAAAACGCGGGTGACTAAGTCGTGATTGGTTTTAGTTTTGAATCTGATTGGTTGAGAGATTGGCGTGAGTTTTTTACCTATCATAGATTGAAGTAAGGCAAAACCAATACAATCCCGCATTGCTGTTGGCCCCTAATTAAAGATGGCTCGAATGTGTGTTCTTGGACCAGCGTTTACCCTCCCATGCTTCTTTGTTAACTTATTTTTTCAGGTCTCTTGGACTTGGCGAATTCATATTGCGAGACACAGTTAAAACATCAGTGCGAACGGATTATCAAACAAGGAATTACCGTTGAAAATGCTGCCATGTTACTTGCAGCAGCCATCAAATACGAGGCCTCGGTAAGAATTTGATTGGATAATCAGTCTAGTATTCAGTGGTCACGCTCCGACAATTCCTTTCAGACGTGAAACGAGGACATCCTCCTCCTTTTCCGCCCATAAGGAATTAGGTCGAGCATAGCCTCCGTTACGAGATTTTCTGATAAGCAGTTGGTTATTTCTCCTGCGTAGCCGTGGTCTGGTCTGGTCATACGTTCTTGCGCTGCGTGAGGAGACCATATAACGGCTAAGCAGTAGATGGAATTGACGTCTAATAACTCAAAGAACTGCGCCGCAAATAATTTGACTTGTTCTTTTGATTAGAGAAATGTTAAAGTGATCTTTGCCCTTTCACTCTCGAGATCTGGTGTCAATTCTCCGCACTATTCCCAATGCGTATTTATAATTTTGGCTCTAGGATTTTTGTATTAGATCAAAATACATCCTCTCATTGATGTAATTCTCTCATCTCCTCACCCTTCTGCTTAAAAACGTATCGATATTCTAGGAGAAATTTTCTTTGGTCTTTCCATGATGATTCAGAATGGAGAAAAATTAACATTGTGGCGAAGAATGCTTCTTTTACCGTGATAACCAACAAACCATAATCACAAATTAACCAAATGTAATATTTTTGTTTTTTGTTTTTAGGATCTTGAGGAATTTTGCTTCAAGTTTTGTATCAATCACTTGACAGCTGTCACCCAGACTAAAGCCTTTAATCATCTTGATGAGGGAACTGTCAAAGAATTTATTAAGAAAGCCGGCATGTATGGTGCTTTTAAGTATTGACACGAATCTTGTGAATGAAAAGAAAGATCCATTGCTTCCCTGTTGATTGTAGTTGATGGAGGTTGGAGACATCGACCAGTTCGTATAATGTAAAGGGGTTACATTCAGGAGACCCAGTGTTTATTCAGCAGGCAGCTGTCATCACTAACGTTGCGGCACAAACTTTTCCTTCGCGCGTGAGAAAGTCAAAAGCTTGGGGTAAAGTGATTCGGCGAGAGATCTGCGAGGGATGAAGCCCCACTGTTAGTGCCAGACCCCTCGCAGTTTCGCTTTGTCCAAGGCCACAAACTTTCTTGATGTCACAGAGACGATCGTGCTTCAGCGCTGATAAAAGCCTGTCTGCACGCTACTCTGTTTCTTCTTCGTACCCACTGTAAGCTTTTCTTTGTTGAAAATTACCGTTGCATTTCGTTAAAAAAAATTAAATACGGTTTCTGGATTTCTTCTTCGGAATTATTTTTTTCCACTTTTCCATACGTAGGCTAACCTTTGAAAAGTGATAATCGAAAAATTCCGTCGAGGGGCCGGTGGCCTCGTTACTTTCAACACAGTCTGTGGTCATTCCTTCAGACGCGATCTTATCATTAAACTTTATCAATATTTTCTTGACGAAACATTCAGAACTAAGCTTTGTATGATATGTATCATAACGTGGAATGTTTGATTTAAGAAAAGAATGATCTACGATTTAAGAAAACAGTATTCGATGTATAATTTCAACGTGTTTAGGGTGCCTGGATGCGTCAATAATTTACTTATTTATTAGTATTTGAAAATAATATATACATATGGAAAGTAACTACATTAAAGTTCACATGTGAGATAGTGAATTACGTTTGCTCTCTCCTTTGTTTCCAAAAATTGCTATTATTGATCTTACATTTAGACAAACATGCCTCACAAAGTGCACATCGCGGAGAAAGAACAAAGCTTTACTCCTCTCGTTCTTGCATTTTTTGAAATTCATATTTGCATTGCTTCGGCTCGTTTTACATGTCGTGGCCAAAATTACAAGTAAACCTTATTACACTTTTTCCGAGTTTTGAGATCAATCGTGAACGTAGTGTGGACCTATCTGGTTCATCTTTTCACGTTTCAGCTCTGTATGATTGATGGAGTAGCTTTACCACGGACTAAGATGTCTTCCTGTTAGGGAATCTATCCTCTTCATCTTCTGGTTGTTAATTTCGCATTCTCCTTAAACGAGTAGAGTAGGAGGGAGCTAAGATGTGAACTTCAATTTTCATGTGAACTTCCATTAGTATTGTTAGGTTAGTCTGATGTTAATGTCCCGTCATATATTGATTAAGAACCTTATTGGCCTTAGGGCCACTCGTTTTCGAAGGAACGAGGGCTCTGGGAACAAGAATAGATGGGTGGGGTAGGCACCCTGAGCTGCAGCCAAGACCAAGAGAACATCAGTGTCTACCCGACAGTGGTAAATAAGCTTTAAACCCCAAGTTTTGCCCGATCTCTCTTTTTCTCCAAACGTGCAAAAGATTGCAAAAATATTTTGCGTCAGAGCTCATGGATTTATCATATGCGCAAAGAGCTTCTCCATGTACTCACTACAAATGGTTATCAATTAACCAACTGACCGGAAATTGAGGGCTTCGGTTACATCTAATTGATGTCGAGGAATGCGAGACTCGATCAATGAACCCTTGTCGACCTTGTCAGGAAATTGAAATTTCTCACTAGACTAAGCCTTAGCTCGGGGTCTGTTCCACTGCTGTGCTTTTCATTCACTAAAACCACCATTTCTTTGTTCTTGGGTGGATTCTGGCGAGTTAGGAATTGTCTAGCACATCGTCTGAAGAGAGCTTTTACTGTAGTACTCATTGGTGAACTCGTCAGTTACCGTGCGGATCGATATAGAGATGCGATCGTTTCATGTTTGCAGTTTTGTGTTGTGGAATTTGGTTTATGTTGCACTTTCAGAGGAATTGGTGAGTATGGCTGAACGAAAGATGGGATCCTTTCGCATCAAAACGGTTTTTTCCTTAGCGATTTACTTCTCACGTTCAATAATTTTTTTCACCACTGAAGAGGGGAAGTTCAGACGATGACAAAATGAACAGAAAATGCGTTAAAAATAAACAATTCATGTTACAGTTCTCACAAAGTCTCTCTGTTGTCGTAGATCAGTATTGTTATCTGCCAGATACATATGGAAATTTCGAAACAGGCAAATGAAAAACATTTTGCATGACCCCCAGATGCTAATCACATTCCAAAATCATTAATCTGTGTTTACAGCTTGCATTTGAACCTATGCAAGTATATCTGTGTCACTAAAGGAGGGTCGACGTTGTGAGAGGTTTAGTTCACTTTAGGAGTTGTGATAATAGTGAATCGTCCTAAATTACTGAAAATCATCTGTTTCCAACTTTAATAGCAATAGTCGCACTCATTTTCCGCCTTTTTCTTATGTCCTCTTAGAACCTTTCTGAAGGCAAAGAAGCGTTTGATAGAAACAACGAAGGTACACATGTTGCATATATTACTGTCTTACCTAGAAAACAGTAGGTTGTAGGAAGGGATCGAGGGGACAACATATTCTTTAGCAGTTGAGCACAGGACCAACTTGAAAAGTTCCATTGAGCAGGGTTGGACAACTGCATCTCCCCCCCCGTTCGTTGGAATGCAAACATCATCCCCATGAAAACCTGTCTCCTGCAATTTTTTCTGGGCCCCTCCCCACCAAATGCTCACGGAGGGTGGAGGCAGGGGTGACTAGAAACCAACTGGCCTTGGTGCAACAATCAAGCTTTATAAATGGATTATCCTGAACATCCATATATTAAAACAAATTTCATCCATTTCTTGCTCACTGTTTTCTGAGCACAATTCCTCAAATTAAGGGTGCATCTTTTATTAGACTGGCAGTGAGCTCTCAAGCAACAACTGAAATCTTGAACATAATTAAAGAGCAGTATGTTCAAACTGTTGTGTTTTAGATCTATGTATCAATGTACTATGCCATGCTGGTGAGGAGTGCATTGTTATCGATAATAATGCTGCCTGTATGTGTAAGAAGTCATGCCCTAACCATGAGAAACCAGTATGTGGGTCAAACGGTATGACCTATCCAAACCACTGTGAACTGCACAAAACTGCCTGCTTGGAGGAAAAGAAACTTTCTATCAAATATATGGGGGCATGTAGAGGACAGCCCACCCAAGCTCCATCTTCTGTAGAGGTTAATTATTCAAAACCTGGTAGGTTGTTCAGTTTGTGCCCTAACATTTAAGGCCTGTGTAGTTCTACATCCTTTTCATGGTTAAAATTTTCTCCTGGTTAACTGTGAAACTCAGTAAACTGTGAGCTTGATTTTGATTTGATTCTGACATGTCAATTGTATACATTCCAAAACTTTCTTAGTATTCACAGTTATCAGAGGTTGCCACTTTTTCTTCTCTCCAAACCAGTTTGATTTTTATTTGAGCAAAGAGTTACTAAAGTATACCCTTTCACTATTTAGTTGTGTGCTATGAGAATGATCGCAATAATGTACGCAGTCATTTGATTGGATGGCTGCAGAACCAAGACAAGTTGTCAGAAGGATTAGATGGCTACAGACATCTTCTGCAATCATACTTTGACAAAGTTGATGAAAACAAAGATGGAAAACTTGATGTAGCAGAGTTCAGAGACTTCGTCCTGGCAAATCAATCACAAGCTGAGGTATGACACTTCTCTTTGTGGTCACTTATATAACAACAGTTTATCATGTAGTGGGAATGTCTGGGTGATGGTTGTCCTGTTAAGGACTGCTGTTATTAAACAGAAGTCATCACCAGAGTTGAGTCAGTCCCTTCTGATACTTTTGCAAGGTAACTCATCTGAGATTAATGCACCTGTGATTGTGTTTTACTTCAGGCAGCTACTTCTGATGAGTATGTCAACCCTGTTTTGCAAAGTCTTTGTGCTGATGCTCTGATTTCCATCAGTGATGATGATTCTGACTGGGAACTTAACATTACAGAGTTTATGAGATGCCTTGACCCTGGTGAGTTGGAAAATATTAATATGTAATTATGTTTCAGAGGGAATGCTGTGTAATTCTGTTATGTTTACACCGTGTGTCCACCACACAAAATTTGGCAATGATCATCAGCTTTTGACTTGTACAGCATTAAGCATGTTCCACTGAAATGCTAAGAATGCTGGGATTGAAGTGATACTGATAACAAGACTATTTCCTACTGCGGTAGATTTGTGAAGTAATTAAGAGAGAAATTAATAGATTGAAAATGGTTCACTAACAATAAACATCTCAACTTTTTGTATTAATTTTCTTCAACAGAATTCAAGCCACCAAAGAAAGGTAAACTTTTTTTCATAAAGTTTTGCTAACTTAAACTTGGAGAGCTTGCCTCATGACCAAGAAATGCCATAATTGTATATTAAGTTTTGCTAACTAAACTTGAAGAGCTTGCCTCATGACCAAGAAATACCATAATTGTATATTGGTTTGAGGTAAAATAAGTTCCACTAAATCTGAATGTAAGTTGTGGTCAGTGGAAGTGCAGAAAAATGTGAACAAGTGGGTGGATACAGGAACCTGTTTTTCAGCCTTCTCTTGTTTCTCCTTCACTGACTTTGGTCACCCACTCATAGTCTGGAAAAAAAAGCTAAATGATGAATTGTCCTATTGTGGTACAGGTTGTGAGTTGGATAGTGAGATTTACAGTGACGGCACAGAAATTCCCATAGACTGCAACAGTTGGTAAGAAGAGTTCAGTCAGTTACATTCATTCTCCTTTAACAAGGCATTTGTTATTATTTTCTTTTTTCTCTCTCAGATGGAAAAAAAGTGGGAAGGGGGACAATGATTGTAAAGCTACACCTAAGTCAATCTGTAGACATCACCAGAATATATCCATCTTATGTTCTTTCGTTGCATTTTAGTGTTTGTGCCTGTGGCCACTGGGTCTGTACTGCATTAAAGTGTGATGGTAAGCAAATGACTGCCTGATGCTAAAAGTCAACTTATACAATCTGTATAATTTGTGACAAGATGTTATCTATGTAATAATGTTGAAGCTGGTCTTGGTACTTAAAAAGGTGGTTGTTAGTTGGGAGTTTTTCAAGACTCTAAATCTTTTTTCTTTTGAGGCACATCACCTCCTTATCTTTCCAAAGGAAATTAAGATTCTGAAAGGCATTTCTTTCCAAAAACTGTCAAAATGGTTTGCAGAAGAGTTTAGGAGCTTAACCCTTAACACCAGTATGCTCATTCTCCATACTTTTCACCATGCAATTCCTAAGGTGCTGACAAGGAGAGTTTGTCAAATAATTGTGAGCTTCCCTAGTTAATGATCATTTCCTTTATTCTCATGACCTTTATGTGTGATTTGGGGATGGTCCTGTAAGGCAAAATTAGGTGTTAGTTACTCCTAGGAGCCAAAGGTTTAATAAGATTCCAGTTCAACTTGTGATTGTTTGCTCTTAGCCTAAGGCAGAGTTTTAATGGAGTAGCAGTATTTTATTATCACATAATAAAAGTATTAATATTTAATTGACTATGCATCTTATTCTGCTCAGAGAAAGAATCAAATCAGCCACGCTCTGAGATTGGTAATGGAAACACAGAGAAGCACAAGTACATTGTCAATGGACAAGAAGCTGAGGAACAACTGACAAGAGAGAAGATGAAACATGATCACAAAGAAAGAATTCAGGTCCACAAAAAGAAAATCCTTCCACTTCATAAACCACAGCATCCTGGGAGGCACAAGAAACATCACAAACACAGCTCATATGAGAACAGCTCAAACAAGCCTGATCATGAGTAACTTTTTAAAAAAAAACAAAGGTTATTGTGGTCAAATGAGAGAAGTGACCTCACACAGCAAAATGCTTTTCAGAATTATAAAATCACCATTCTGCTAGGGAAATAAAGATGAATTGCTTTCTTAATTAACAAGTTATAAACAACACTTTTTTTAGCCTCTATATAATGCTTATTTTCTTCATCAATTTGTAAATGAGCTGCAAAAGACAAAGGCCTCAAGTGTCAATATGAATAACCATTTCAATGATAAGATCTTAGAGGAAATTCTCCTTTTAATCACTGTCTCCTAGACAATTTTTATTATAGTTTTGAGAATTTGGTGTTAATGCAAACCAGTTAAAATTCCTCTTTATTCTCCCCAGCTTTCTGCTTAATAGTGTATTGATACTGTAGGGAGAAATTACTTCTTCATCACCCCTGGGAGAGAAATTATGAAGGTGGAAGTTCCTAACAGTAATGTGGATTGTGTTTGCAGTGGAAATTTGTGGAGTTTCATCATACAAATGTTTAGAATAACTCTGAGATTTATGTGTTAGGAATGGAAAAAATATTACCTATAATTTTTTGAACATCTGTATTGTACTTTTATTATTTAATTAGTAAAATAGCCCCCTGCATTTATATTTGACCTCAAAAATAATATCTTAGCATCACAGAAAATAACTAACATAAATTAAATCGCATTGCAAAATGCTTTTTGATCAGTGTATGTTTTGATTCAATCATTCTTTAAGCTTTGGTGTCACTAAGCAACAAATAAAGGCATACCTTAAAAAAAAAACAACAATGATAACTTTGTAATCATTATGAAACCAGTTTAAAAAGATGACTGAATAATAAAACTACTGTCACTCCCATGAAAGACTTGAACAGAAACTTCTTTTGCAACTTGTTTATTCTTTCATTTTATTGTGTAGTCTTTCTTTTACAAATTTTGTAACCAAAGATTTAAAATACAAAATTCTCATGCTTCAAACATCAACAAGGTTTATATTTCCTTCTTCCTTTTTATAATATATAAAACCCAACTTGCCAAAACTATTTGGTGAATGATTGAAACAAAATTGTGTGTTCAGACATATATACCAGACACAAGAAAACAACAAACTGCAGAAGGTTAAGTTCCTTTAGATAATGTGAAACCCATTAAAACATCACACTCACAAACTTTTAACCAATCCACCTTGTTTGCCATCTGTGCAATACCCTAAGTTTCAAGGCTGGGTGGTTGAAAGGACAACCAAGCTAACCCAGGGTGTTTTGACAACTTGGAATCTATTTGTTAAATAATGGATAGAAAACCCTATTGACTGCTAGTCCTAAAATACACTCTTAACCAAGGAAAATCAGACCAAGGATTACATAGAATTCTGAATTAGTTCAAACTGCCTTTTGAACAACTGGTCTCTGATGAATCCTTGATCATGAGTTCTGATCATTTGTAATTAAAATATCCTCGTGTTATTTTGCATCTGCTAATTTCTCCCATCTAATAAATTTTCCTTACATGCTTTTTTAAGAGCCAAAATTGTCACTTGAATGATATCTAGATATCCACCAATTATCTGAGGCTACTAACATTGAACTCAAGGCAAATAAGAATCCTCGAGCACAAAAATGCCACTAGCCACCTGAGTAACAAACATTCTGCTTACTGGCAGTTTGCTCAAGTTCTTGCAAAATACTTGAATTACTGTGGTAAAGCTTTGCTTTCCCTTCTCCAGCAGCAGCTACATGAACATCAAACGTTTCCCTGTGGCTAAAAACACAACCACATCTGTATATGCAATTAGATACCAATCTCTTGACGGCTTGTTTGGCATCATTCAAATGCTCTTGCCCTAAAACAACTTACTAAACCATAGGATTTTGTAAAAAAATTCCATGAGCCTCATCTTTTGCTATCTTCTGCTTCTTTTACTGCTTGGCTCCATAGAAAAAGGATCATCTGAATCCTCACTTTCCTCCTAGAAATTTAACAATGATCATAATTAGTTCATCTAACCTTGTAGAAGTGTTAAGGACTGAAGCATATACTGCATTGTCTTCTAAAAAAATCAACTTTACTGGCCTTTTTGGTTTCTGAATTTTTACAGTGAAAAACTTTTAACTCATCAATCAAATATTTTTGTAAGCAATATTAAAGTACATGCTTTTATACTAAAAAGTTGAGATCTGTTGATCTGTAGTTTACCACACTGAATAAGCTTAATTGTAGCTGCTATAGCAGTGAAAGTCTTTGCACAAGCTAAAGAGATGAGGAATGTTATAATTTTCTAAGGTCACAAATTGGCTTGACAAAAATAACATTAGAGCCAACAGTTATTTCTTGTTGACACAGCCATTTTATAGTACCCTGCAGACAAACATAAGTTTGGGCCATACTTCATTTCCAACAGCACTGATCACGGCTGTTCTGTTTTTAGCTCCACTGGATCTCTGTGATGTTGATCTAATCAAAAGCAAATCAGCATAAATGTGTGGTAGATGTGCTTTGACAGATGTAACAGTATTCTCATTAGTTAAAGAGTGAGTGGCAGGGAGAGATTACAATTTCTACCCTTTGATTGTTTCCATAAGGTCAGTTAATAGCAAAAGAAGCTACTGATTCTTTACAGGTTGCATGTCTTAAAAATTTATCCTTCATATTTCAAGTTCATCATTTGCAATATTACTTCTAAACCATCTCCATTAAAAGCCATTTTGATTTCGCATCTCCTTATTGTAACCTCTTTGGTATATTTTTTTAATCTGGCAATCTAACATTTAATAATGTACCAGAAAAATAAAATTTCACAAACTACAGTGACATGATTTCTTTATTCTGTCAACAAGGAAAATGACTCTTGCTGATACAAAATATTTGACAGTAAAGTGCACTTACTGTGCAGTTTTTGTCTTCTTCAAAGAAGATGATAATGGAGTGTTGAATTCATCATCGTCGTCGTCATCGTCATCTTTGGAACTTACTCCCTATTAGATAAGAGACCAAGCTCACTTGCAAAATTTGTACAAGAAAAAAGCTACTTATTATTTAAAATGTCATAGGTCGACTTCAAACAAATGAAGAAGATCAGATTATATGTGAGAGAAATTTGCAAATGATTGCAAACAAGAAAAAGCTTAACATACCTTGACATTGCTTTGTTGTTTCTTTCTCTTGGATGCTGAAGTAAATGCTAGAAAATGAAGGTTTCCTTGTAAAAATAGGCACAAATTCACTATAATGTAACTTCAAATTCAATTATTCTTTCAATGAAAGCTTCCCAGCAACATATTGGACCCTTGCCACCCAGCATACTTACAATCCATTATTGTTTGAGAAGTGCTGACAGCTGCTTGTGTTGCACCCCTTCCTCTTCCACGCCCACCTCTACCCCTTCCTCTTCCTCTTCCCCTGCCACGCCCTCCAGCCGTGCCTCTTGTGGAAGTGTTAACATCATCACTGTGGCCTTTTCTCCCTGCTTGATAAAGAAGAAGGAAGCTGCCTGTGACTTTTAAAAGAAGATCATTGTACCTTGCTCTAAGCTTCCTGACTGTTTTAGAAGTATATCCTGTTGGAAGACCTTTCTCATACAAATGTTCCTTTTTTTGTTTGAATAGACACATTTGCATATTGTTTATTATGAATATGAAGCCATTATTAAAAACAAGTTGTTGGAAATTTTGTACCTCCACTGGTGCTTGGGATGGATTTTCTGTCCTCATCATCACTTCCACTCAAGTCAACATCATTTTCAGTGTTTATTTGACTGGCACGAGATTCTTCAAGCACCTAATTATTATTTTTAGAAATAACACTTGTCACTGATTATGATAGAAGTTGGAAAACCATACATCTAGGAAGAGCATTGACTCTTCAGTCCCTGAGAGTGACTAGCATCTAATTATCACCCCTGAATCAAACATTAAGATCATGAGAATAAAGGAAATGATCATCAACTGAAGAACCTCTTGATTGTCAAACAAATTCTCCTTGCCAGCACATTGGGAAATGTATAGAGAACAGTATGGAGAATATGCATACTGATGTTCAGGTGTAAAGTGTTAAAAGCTCATAGATGAAAAATGGACAAGTACCTTTCTGATATTTTCTGCATCATGCTCTTTATCTTCATCCTCTTTTTGTCGTATTTCCTCTGTGTGTTTGAAAACTTCAACCTCAATGCTTTCTTCAGGGATATTCTGTTTTTTCTTCAAGTGGCTCTGTGCTTGATCCAGTTGCCACTTAACTAAAGTAGATATTGCATCTTTTTCATCTTTTTCAACAAATTCACGAAGTGCCTGTGCCATTCTTCCCTCAGTTAGAATACGTAACTCTAATGCCTGAAATTTAAGTTTATGACCTAAGAAATTTTATTCATGTGTAGCATTTTTAAATCATGGATTATAACTAGTAATGGTAAGAGGACTGAGTAGAGTCAAATTCAGTCTCTAATTATAGGAGTGATAACAAAATCAGACGACCATGCAGCAGGAGTCCAAGTTGTTTATCACCAGTGTGATAACAGACTGGATTGGATGACACAAAGTCTTACCAATCAATCATAAAAATTACAATTTCTGAGAAAAGAAGAATAGCCAAGTTATGAAAGAAAGGGAAAATTTGCATTTAAAGACTGACAAAGGAGGCATAAATTGTTTGATAATTCTCTGAAATTGTTGTGATTGACTTAAACTACAACTTAAAATGTGATTATTGAACTGTCCGATAAGAAACACTTTGATAACACCTTGGCCAATGCCTTAGTGGAAAAAAAAGAGTTTTTCAAACCAATCAAAATTGAGGAAATTTTAAATTTTATGATTAAAATATAATCTGTCCAACTCTTAAAAGAGAAGTACATACATTATCCTTTGATGTTAAATAATCCTTGATCAAGTCTTCCATCCTTATTGAGTCTAGTGGTTCTGGACGCAGGTGCGGAACTCTAACTTTCTCTCTCTCTATCTTGTCTATGACAAAAACAAGAGCAATAATTCCTTTACTCTGTTCAAGAAAAAAATAAATTCTAACAAAGAGAACAATGAAAATTCACTGACTCTAGCCAACACTTTAGCATTTTTTCACTCCTTAAAACATTTAAACCCACTCATCTTTTAATAACATGATGAACATTAGCTGTATGCAGGTTACACTCTGCAGTGATGTCACAAAAGACCATGTCTCTGTACTATGTACCTGTTGAAGGTTTAAATGGTTCTTTTTTCCTGAAGAACAGTAGAATGTCCTTTGGGTTTGCCACTCTTTCAACAAATTGTTGTCCAAATCTTCGAATGTTAAAAGCTGTAAACCCATCACTGTAATCAACCTATCAACAACCAGAAAAAAATTTCCAACAAGCTTGAACAAGAAAATTTCAAAAAAGGATCAAAAAATGTGTTTTGTCAGTTGAAAACTTCACCCACATAAAGGCAAAACCTACCCGTAACCTAATAAGAGGTTTGTCAGGTTGACGAGAACTACCTGTGTGTTCCCTCCTTGCCTTTTCAATCAACTGTTCCACCTTGACCATCATAAAAATGAAAAATTCATTTGATTTGAGTGTCATAGAAGAAAATAAAAGAATGCAAGTCCTCACATCCATAATATTGATTTTTTAAAATAATTTTAATGGAACCCACTTTATTAACTAGGTAAGCCATGACCATGTCTTCTTGGGTGGGATCAATTTCTGTTTCCTTCAAAATCACATCTTCAATGTAAAAAGGGCGCACAGTCTTCAGTATAATCTTGTCTATTTTGAACATTTTGTCCTTTGTTATTTTAAGGATTCCAACATGCCTACAAAATAAAAAGAATGACAAAGAAATAACTGGGGCAATGATATATATGAATATATAGAAATCATAATTCATAAAATGAAATGTAATGATCATAATGATGATGACACTGATAATGTCGATGATGACAAAAATTATAAAAATGACATTGATCATACTGATAATGAAGATGATGACCACAAGAATGATGATGACAACAACAACCAGCATGACAATAATGACAATGAAAGGAGAAGAGGTGGAGGAGAAGTAGGACAAGGGTGAAGAAGATCCTCACAGAGAACGTGAACAATGACATAATGACAGCAAAAATGATGTGAATCATCAATAAAAAGGCAAGCAACCACACCCACTTAGGTCTTGATTCTCCTTCACTGAGAGAGGTTGCAACACTTGACCCAGGCTGAGTAATGTAGAATGAAAGGTTTGGGTCCTCTGCATTCTTTGGTGCTATAATACACTCATGTTCATGGCCCCACATTATAAGATCAAGAAAATCAGCAAGGAACTTCTCTGGAATGTAATTGGTTGAGCCATGCTTTGCCCTGGAGACAATGAAGAGATTTAAAATATTTTTCATGAGTTCGTTTAGTTTAATTATAGTGCATGTCACAATCAGTTGCACAATGGATTAGGGACCAGCCCCTCACAGGTAAGTTTACACTCTGTACCATTATACCTATTCTGATGTAAAACAAATAGATTGAACCATGATTCAGGATCCTGCTTAGGTCTCAGCATCTTGACCTTGTGATTAAGAAAAGTGCGATGTAGACGCTCATCTCTGATGGATCCCAAGCCATAAAGTGCAATCTTAACACTACCCTTCTGCATCAAGATAGGTGACACAGTGATGTCATCAATTGATGGAGCTCTACCAAAGTAATTAACAAATCCACAGACACTGAGCAAATCCAAAGCACAAAGGTTCCCATCCTACCCAAGGAAGTAATGAAAAAATACATTTCAATAAATACATAAATAAATAATTGCCAATTAACTAGCACAAAGTGACTTGCACAAAGAGGAAAAGCAGTAGCCTTCCTTTTCATGCTGAGTCTGTTTAACCCATGAACATCTTGGTGTTACTAGCATCTAATTTCTCCTTACAGTATCCTTGCTGAATCCAACAGGATGATCATGAGCATAGAAGAAATGGTCGCTAACTTAAGATTAAGCTCTTTTTTGTCAGAAAAATTACTGTGGTGCGCATTGTTGGAAATGTATAGAGTGCAAATAATATGCTTTCTGATGTTGGGGTGTAGTGGAGGTGCAAAATATTATTATGCATTTTTATTGCATAATCTGTTGTATGAAGTAGCCAAGGATGATGCCACTCCTCCTGAATCCTAGAGATACCAGTCCCAGGGTGTTTATCAAGCTCTCGAGATGGGACAATTCTCTGCTCATAATTCAGATATTCTCCAGCTAACCTATGATAAAACCTCTCCTCTATTTAAACAGGGTTCATTAATTAATTATAAGTCACTTCTAATTGTTGACCTTTTGCTACAGAGTACTTAATCCTTAGCACAATTGATAGACTTTAGCTGTGTCTCCTGTCAGTATATAGCTTCCTTACTGTTGAGTCCGTAAAGATACCAAGACGACAGGCATAAATACAACATGCTTTAATACGATCGATTCATACAGCTCGAACCTCCCAACCTCCTACTGCCGGTCAGCGGTCAGTTAGGACTTCATGTTACTACACTTACCCCAGCAGGATCATCATGGTTTCCATGAATGGAAAACACTGGAATGGATATGTTGTAATTTGGATCCTCATAATTTACCCAGGGAAATCTGAAAATAGATTTTGGGCACATTTCTTGGAATAAGGGTAAAATGTCTTAGATCACAACTACAAAAAAATAATATAAGTTTTTTTATATGACTCACGTAGAAGATGGAACTTACATTGTTGTAGTTGGTTTGAGTCAGAACTTAACATATTCATATTTTTTGAAGCAATTTGATCATCAAAAGAGTACTACTGCAAATTTCATCCCAAGTCACTAGGTACTCTAGACTTAATTAATTTATCAATCTAGACTAAATTAATTTACCAGGCTATATATAATATATAGTTTACCCCTGATTGAAACAGCTTGTCGGGAATTGCGTCGGACATAATATTTATATATATATATATATATATATATATATATATATATATATATATATATATATATATATATATATATATAAGCGGTGGACATACCCTTGTGCACATGAACTAAACTGAATGAGAATGTTACTAAAATGATCTAAACATAATATGCAAATTCTGGGTTGTCACTTAGCTTTTTTCACCTAAACTCAGCATTATACCTATCAGGAAAAGTTTTATGTAACATTTCCCATACCACAGAGAGAGCTTCTCCAAATGCCATCAAATATGTAATTTTAAACAGTTTCTGTATCTAACCTGGACTGAGAAAAGTTCACGGATTGATCACTGAGAAATTCCATCTGACAAGCTTTATCCCCCATGCAATACTTCCTAAAGAGCGCCATTGCACCATGTAGAGTCTTCCGGGAAGGTTTATTCTCATGAAATAGATCTCCTCCAAGGAGAATAAAATCTACCTTCATGGCACAAAGAAAAGTACAAATTAGGAATTAAATGACAGTGAGTGCCTTCACCAGTATTAACTCTTCTCTTGATGATAAAAGTAACACCAAACAGTGACAATTCAGCTTAAAAATCAAATGGTAGTAATTATTGTTAAATCTTGCTTGTCAGCGATATATTGTAGTACAACCTTTGCTTACATTCTTCTCCTTTGCTATCTGAAGTATTTCCTCGAATGTAACCAGCGAGTCATTTCCTCGGACCTGGTCTTTTTCCATGTACCCGAGATGGCAATCTGACGCTTAAAATATATGGAAAAATATGACACCACAGACAACCGGTAATATGAGCTAAGATATATGGAGCTCAGAAAAATAATCTAAAAATTTGACAAACGATCCCTTCGAACCTATCGGTAAAAATTGATTGTACAACATACCAATGAGGATATACATCGTATTTTCAGGATCTTCATCTCCTCTTCTGGTGAAAAAAAACAAAGCACTAGTAAACAATTTTGGTCAATACACTACATTGAACTCAAAATTTACGGAAACGTACTCATCCGCCATTTTGATTTCCCGCGATTTAGAAGAAATCCGCTGACTAGTGTTTTGGCGGTTTTTCGTTCACCTCCGCTTGTTCGAGCGTTATCAGCTTTGACTCCCTTTGAACTCCCAAAAATGATTTAAAATGGTCACAGAATACACAATATATATTTTAATAAGTACTTCCATAAGGATACAAACATACCAATAAATTGTCGCATTATTTAGTAATTTCTTTGCAGATGCAGTCATTCCGCTCGGAAGTCGGAAAAAATCGCGATAACTTCGGATTATGTCGTCATCGTTGCCATTGGCTAACTAATTGAACAAACTTCGTTGGGGGCCCCCTAAACGGCACATGCCTGCAGTAGCAAGCGCCATTGTGAATTTTGAGTGTCACTTGCCTTTGGCTCTTTTCGTGGCTAAAACGGCTGTGGTCGTACCAAGAACCATTTGATCGTTATTCTGGCATCCTCTTAAGGAACTCCTGATACTAACTATAGGTTATTTGGCCATAAATGACAAGAGAAGCGTGCAGTTTCAGCACCATTCCCGCGAATCACTTTTCGGCGTAAGGTGGCTTGAAAGCAACTCTCCATGTTGAATATAAGCTGACGACGGATATGTAATGGTCCGGTGATCCTTCGGGTTCATCTACGTCGGAGATTTCATAACTATGAGTGGCCACAGACCTAGAACAACGTCTTTTGCCGAAACAAATAAATCACATACACCAAATTTTGGAGGAGTAAAAATTAGTCGTAAGTATATAGACTTTACATAACCTAATATTCAAGGTGTTTGGGACCGAAAACCGCTAGCATTCCAGCCTGGAAAATGTATTAAGTTGTATTGCAATAGTATCTTGTTCTGTTCTTATTTTAGGAGATAAAGATGGAAGTAAAGTGACAACAGTTGTAGCAACTACAGGTTCACTGCCTGATCGGACTCAAGAGATCAGTTACACTGACACGAAAGTTATTGGGAATGGATCTTTCGGAGTCGTGTACCAAGCAAGGATGTGTGATTCCTCTGAGCTTGTAGCAATAAAGAAAGTATTGCAAGACAAACGATTTAAGGTGGTTATGGTTCTTGTATGTTACTCCTATTGTAGAATATAGAGCAGAAAATACGTGTCGCTTATTTCCTTGCTAAGATGCCGAAATTTTACTCGCCTCGGTGGTGGTAACAGATTTTTTTCCCTTTCAGAATCGAGAGTTACAAATCATGAGAAAATTAGACCACTGTAATATCGTCCGATTGCGCTGGTTCTTTTATTCCAGTGGTGAAAAGGTTGGTAACTTGTTCGTGGTATTAAACAAGGCATAACGTTTTTTATGTACGCACAACATCCTTGCTTTCAATATTTGAGTGAATCGAGCCGAGTCGTGGCCGGTTATATCGTGCTGTTTGCCTTAAGTATGTAAGACTTGAATTTAGCCGCGTACGTGGGTGTATGTGCACTGATTGCCGTAATTCACTAAAACTAGCATTCTATTCACTATGGTTTATATTTAATCCATTGGTCAGTATTATTGTGTCGGCGACACGAAGACGAGAAACAAAGGCAAGATTGAACAAGCGTCATTTGGTTTATCTTTTTCGAAATGTACACTCCCTCGAAGTGAAAACAAGTTAAGCCAAACGAATTTTACCGCAAAGACACGAAGAAGCAAGTTTACAGCATATTTGACTGCATATTTGACTGTGGGTCCTAAGTCCGTGTAGAAGATTTTTTCATTTACTCTATCGAATAACTATTAGCATTTGTATCACAGTGGCTTCTTTTCAGATTCGAGTAACGTTTCTCTAACAAGAATATTGTTTAGAGAATGTGGATCTTGATGGCAATTGCAGGAAAAAAAACTTGTCGCCACAGCTGTATATCGGCTACAGGCAGCCTGTTTATATTACATTCACTGATGGCTTTTCAGCTATATTTTTTTCCCAACAAGAAGGAGGAAAACAGATTGTATATTAATTTATAGGGCTCTGAAAGAGTTCTTACACTCGGTGCTTTGTAGTTTTCGTTCTACGTGATTTCAAATTTTCATATCACACTTCAATTTACTCTAAAAGGATATCAAGGAAGTTGTGTCTTAGATTTGAAGTGGCATTTTTTATTTAAATGAAAATTCGATAATTTTTCCAGTGTTTTACCTTGTCCTTTGAAAATAATTTTGTTATAATTTCATTTTGGCAGCCAAAAATTATTTGAGAATCTTAGGGGAAAGGTACAATGTATTTGAAACAAAATTAATTTTCTCTGATTTGAAAAATACTGTTTTATTTTCAATTTGAATTGAACTTTGTTAAGGTCATCAGAATCATTTTGTGGACCTAATCAACCTTGAAATTAAACCCAGTTCAATCCACAAGGGAAAAAAAAGATATTGTGAAAAAAGAGAAAAAATGTTCTTTACTTCCTGTATATGCAAACATTGTAACAGATACATGGTCAAGAATAGACTTGTTTTTATATGAAACTGAAATATAAACAGTTTGTCATTCACATGAAAATGACTATATTTCATGTGATGACATGCTTACTCTGTTTTGCCTCAGCTCTTAAAAAAGATTAGTGATCTGGAAAAGAAAAACATCATCTATACTTTTTCAGCTCTTGGACACAGCATATTCTTATTCTTTTTTAACTTTGTAGAAAAATACTCACCCAGTCATTTACAAACACTTAACTTGCATTGGTAATGGGGAAATCACAAACCTTGACAGTCCTTACATCACTAAACAATATTTAGTCTTCCCAGGTGCTATTAAAAAAATTGTTGTGGACCAACTCAAAAGATGTTTTGTACAAGGAAAACAAAATAATTTCATTTTCTTGTAATTTTTTGTCACATGATACTTTTGTTTTTCACACTGAACAGATGAAGTCGTACCCTGAACTTAAAGACACTCCCCTTTTTTAATTCACATGCTGAGTTTGGTCAAGTTGTAGCCTTGATATAGTTTGAACCTCCAGAGAATCTGGACTGTTGTGCAAGAAATGAAAGTGAGCATGCCACAGCATGCAACTTTCCCTTTTCAACTGGTTATACCTCAGCTATCAAAAGCTTTTTTGGCCAAACATTCTGGAGCTTAGGATGGTCAATTCACAAAGTTTTAATTCTTTCAAGATGTGACATTGTACCAAAACTAATCCCATCCAAAGAAGAGCAACAGTATCTTAAAAGTATTTTGCTCCTAATTCATGCACAGTAGGCCATGTAAGGAATTTACCAACTTTTGATTTTAAGTCATAATTAATATTCTCATAGATAATTTTGTTTGCATTTTATCAAACCAATGAGGTTTTGTGGAACATTTCTTCTGGTAATTGGTATAAATTAACTGATATATTTTGTGGTTGTTCAAAATTCACCACAATACTGCTTCCTCATAATGTTATAATTTGCATTTGTTGGATTTAAAGGTTCACATCATCACTTGTCTACTTTGGGTAACTCTGGAGCAAAGAAACGATTGTCATTAAAAAGGAAGATCTTTTGATTTTGTGAGAAGCTTTTCTGATGATATGTTATCTTTAGAAAAACAATTTGCTGTGGTTAACCATTGTTCTTCATAGCAGCTGGTACATTTTAAAGTTTACACCTGGAAACACCTTATTACTTGAACATTTGGATGCAGTGATTTGGCAACAAATTTTGGTCCATAAACAATTAATTTTTATGGCTTGAGTTTTCTAAGTTGTGTCGAGTAAGGTTAAACATCAATGAATATGCTCCATTGTCCTTAGTAAAAGGCAAGTGTTTTGATCTGCTTTGAAAAGAGTACAGTCATATCAGATGTAGTGGTGTTTAATTTTTTCTTTTCTTTTCCTCAACAGAAGGAAGAAATCTATTTAAATTTGGTTCTTGATTTTGTTCCGGAGACAGTTTACAGAGTCGCAAGACATTACAGTAAAGCAAAGCAAACAATCCCCATATTGTACATAAAGGTAACCTAAACTCAGCAACAAAAACAGTGAACTTAGAAATGACCTGTGTTATTTAAGCATCTAGAAATCCCTCTCCTTCAATTCCTTCCTGTTCTCTTAGTGTTCCTTGTTATTATGGTTGTTTTTGTGATGTTTGCGTTATTTTAATGATCATTTGTGTCTGTAACTGTAGATAGCTAGAAAAAATCAGCAGCAGCTAAGTGTCACAGCTGATGCCACTAAAACTCCAAAAACAAGAAAAGCTTTTTTTTTACAGTGAAGGTCAAATTTTTGCCTGGTGACCAAGAAACAATATGCACAATTCAAAATTGTTCTAACACTATATATTTTTTTGTAGCTCTACATGTATCAGATGTTTCGATCTCTGGCCTATATCCACTCTGTTGGTATATGCCACCGTGATATCAAACCACAGAATTTACTTCTTGACCCTGAAACTGCTGTGTTGAAGTTGTGTGACTTTGGCAGGTAAGAGCTAATAAAGGGGTGTCTCTGATGCATGAAATCTCCTATTTCCTGTGTTTGGTGGGAAGTGACTTGTACTTGTATGAAAGGCTTTCAAAAAATTGTTAATGAGCTTGTTGCAGAATTACCGGCAAAACTTCAATGTGGCCCACTCAACTGAAGTCATTTATTCACTTTATTCAACTTTCCACTTTTCTTTTGCATTTTTCTTATCACAAAAGTCAATTTCTAACCAATTTATTTTGGTCTTTTTCTTAGTGCCAAAGTTTTAGTGAAAGGAGAGCCCAATGTTTCTTACATATGTTCAAGATATTATCGTGCACCAGAACTCATATTTGGAGCTACAGACTACACACCTGATATTGGTAAGTCAGCTCATCAGCAGGCCCATCAGTTATCCTACTTTACAGTATTCCCTTTCACAAAGAAATGGCTGACATTGAATGATAGTTTTGGAAATTTCGTCTTGAGCAGGTATTGGGACATGAGTACCTGTATTTTGCTGAAGGGATGGATGGATGGTGTATCTTCTTGCATTTAGTATAGCAAATCAATGCAATAAAATGATGTTTTTTTGGCAGAATCCAATATAAGGACAACTGTCAGGGCAGAATAAATGTTTATATTTGGTTCTGGCCAATTAGAAATTTTTGGAGCCAACAATTGGAGTGCTTATAGCTCCTTGTCTCTTGCTTGTTGCATATTTTAGTTTCCTCTTAGTAATCTTACTTTTGCTGATTGAAAGATTTCTCATTGGTGCACACTAACCAGCCAATGAACCCTGTGACAAAATGTGTTGAAAGGTTGGTACATAAAGTGCAATTGAAGGTATTTCAAAATTTGTTCACAGTATAAATAACCAATGTAATGAGCTGTCTTTAACCAAAATTTATCAGCTAAAAGGATCCTTATTGAAAGATATATATATCTCTCTATCTCTAAAGATATATATATATTTTTGCCTTCAGATGTGTGGTCTGCTGGCTGTGTGCTGGCAGAGCTTCTCCTTGGACAGCCCATCTTTCCAGGGGCTAGTGGTGTTGATCAGCTTGTTGAGATAATTAAAGTTTTGGGTACTCCAACAAGGGAACAAATCAAGGAAATGAATCCACACTACACTGAGTTCAAATTTCCACAGATCAAGCCACATCCATGGACCAAGGTAAGGTTATATAAGTATGTTTCTGTCTTACTGAATGAGCTGTCCTAGATATGCAATGAAGCTTCATCTGCACATAGTCTGTTGATGTTGAAATGGTTTAAGGGTAGAAGCGTTTTTGCATCTCCCATCAAACATCACAAAACCCAAGCCAAATGGTGTGAATTAAATGCTTATTGGTCATAAAAGCGGATTCAATTCAATAGAGTAGTGTCAAGAAACTTTGGCATTTTTCATTCTTGTTTTGCCTGGACCTTGATGAATGGATGAATTTAGGAAAACAGATTCTACAGACAAACAAAAGACCTAAGTTTTACAGCCAGAATGAACAATGTATTGAATGCGATTGTGAGTAAAATGGTTTCACCTCTGAGCCAGTTTTGCAATAGATAAGGCAAATATATCTAGAAAAATATTATTTTTATTCAATTGTTATTTTAAATTTAGGGTTAGAAATTAACTTAATGTTAACTGTGTTTTTAATTTAAGGTTTTCAGACCCAAAACTCCACCAGAAGCAATAAACTTGTGTAGTAGATTACTTGAGTATACTCCATCAACAAGACTCATACCTGTGGAATCATGTGCACATGTTTTCTTTGATGAACTCCGTGATGCCAACACTAAACTTCCAAATGGACGAGATCTACCCCCTCTTTTTAACTTTACACCTCAAGGTAAGACTCTTCTTCTTATTAAAAAGTATTAACCATAAGTGAGTGATGCAGAAATGGGCCACATTCAGTTTTAAGAAGTATTGGCCATTGTCAAGTCAATAGTTCTGCTTGCTTTGTGTGTGGACCTGGTGATTTCAACGCAATTTTTGATGGCTTTGGCAGATCCTAATGCCTAATTTTTCCTTGGCTGCCAAATTTTTGCAAGTTTGATTGTGTTTTTTTTTTCTTTTGCAGAGCTATCAGTAAAACCCTCTCTAAATTCAACCCTAATACCCACTCATGTGCAGAGGAATTCTGGAGGGGCTGGTACAAGTAGCTCAGGGACATCCACAAGCACAGGCCCAGCAGTTGTGGATGGGGCTGTGGCATCAGTCTCCCAAGCAGGCTCCTGAATTAGAACTGATGACAATTATTAAAATTAATGCAAGATTCTGTCCATGAAAAGGGCCTTGGTTGCGAAAGAATTTCATGTAAAAAAGAGCCTAAATTGTATTGTAAATAGTGTTGAAATCAAGTTCCCCATTCCGATTTTTTTGTGTGTATTTTGGGAGTGCACAGGGTTACAGTTTTGTTTAAATCTTAAGTTTTACTTTCCAAGGCTCATTATGTACAATTCATTCCTAATTTACTTGTGGTTGGATCAAAGTACAGTATTTAAAGGTGTTTGCAACTAAGGCCAGTGATCAAAGCAAAAAAAATAATGCTTCCTCATGACTTTAATGTTCTATTTATTTCAAGAGGTTCTCAGGTGTTTACCATCAATCTTCTTTTTTGGTGTAACTGGCTTTCTTTGCTAATACCATTAAAATTTGTGCTCAGATTTTAGGTGCTGTTTTATTTGCAATGTATACAAATTGTTCTAAACAAGAAATTTTTAAATGTACTGCACTACAATTGTGCATTTCAAGAATGTTAATACACTTTTGTACTAAATGATGAGGCACCATAATGAAGTGATCATAATCATTAACAGGAAATTCGAATTAACACAAATCCTTTAGGGCATCAGCATGGTACTGGATAATGTATTTATACTGACAGTGCCATAATCAATATTTAAATAATGTAAAATATGCTTCTTGTACTTGTGCCAAAGGCCATTCTCGGTGTGGCTGTAGAAAAAAAAACTTCTCATTTGAGTCTGTATAAAATTTTAAGGGCTTGTAAATTTAAGCAATTTTAAGTTTTCTTCTTATGTGTAAAATTTATAATCAACTCTTATATACATCCTAGTGAGTAATCTATCAGGAGATAATATGAAATTTTTGCTGTCAAAATCGAATCCTTCATGAATTTCTCTCTCAACGTTTTTCCTATTGTTTCCCTGTTCGATAGTTTTTCAGCTCTTTTTTTCTTTATCCCAAACGGCGTATCGATTACTGGCCAAGATTTCGGTAAAGGAACTTTTCTTTCTCTTCCTCGTTGGACTAATAATTATAATTTAGTAACCGAGACCTAGTGGAGACGACTGAATTCCTTCTTGATATTCCTATTCTAGACGGTATCTTTAAATACCCCACTGAGTGCCTCTCCTAGCTCAGGCAATAGTGGTTTTTATTGCAGGGGTAGGGGGCAGTCGGGAGAAGTTTCTGTGAGTGACGAACGGGGATGCTCGATGGAAATTTTGAACTGATCCTTCAATGTCTTTAACCTTTTCGTTACCTTGGAAGTAGCAATTTAAGGTACATCCAATGCACCTCTTAAGAGGTACCACCTCCGACTGCTGACCAGAAGGAATAGTTGAAGGGCGTGTGACGATTTCTTAGTAATCAGTGAACCAAGAGTCATCGGCTGACTTAAAGGACGGGGGATAGTGACGGGGGAAAGTAACGAGAAGATTATTGAACATACTTTGAGGAATGTTACACCACATTCTAAGATTGCATTTCATTGCGGGCTCAACAAGATGGCGGATGGCTAGAAGCCAAAAATGCCACACTTGTTATTTGCGGCTTAGATGCATGGCGTTTTAGTTATATTTTCATAATACATCGTAACATGGAAAGGAGGAGCCTATAGCACCTACTTCTTGGTGGAAAATGGCAACAGATCCTTCCCCTTTATGTTGTTGTGAATTTCGTAACCTTCATGGCCAAAGAACACATATACTCGCCTTCTGTTGTGAGTGCGATGAACTAGACAACGCCGTGGATCAGTGCCTCAAAGGAAACAAAGTTTCAAGGCAAAAACTGCATGATATATCTATGGTTATTTCTGATCGCATTCGTATTCCTTGGTTTAATGGCGCCCTGAAATTGGAGTTCGACTTTGTTGTTCCAATTCTTTTTTTAGGCATATCACTTTACTTTGCAAGTCACAGTCTAGTCTTGACGGTGCTAGCTCTGGTCTATGTTCCTGTCTTCATCCTTATTTATTACATTTACGTGCTCAACCAGCGTAAAAGGACCTGGTTCTTCGTAAGTTGGAATTTAGCATCTCTTGTTGGTAATTTTATTCTATATCTTGCTTATGTGGCTTCTTTCTATTCCTACCTTCATTCTGCAGTCCTTTCTTTTGGGTTTGGTCTTGTGTTGTTGTTATACTTACGAGTGATATTGTCAAGAAGACTCTTAAATACGTACGCTTTGAGTTCTAAGCCCCCTCCTCAAAACAGTGCAAATCACAATGACACGGATTATAAGGATATAAACTGCTGCTTCTGTACTGAAGGACCTTTTATCAGGGCAAAACATTGTAGGTAGGGTATAAAGCTGTGTTCTTGTTATTAAATTTAGTGGAATTCCAACATTTTGAAACAATTTAAACAGGGATTACACCAGGAGATGTAGACTGAAGAAAACTGTGTAAGGAAATAATAACAGGAGAACATTCTCTATATCTGAATGAAAACAGCTTGATAAGTCATGAAAATTTAGGAAGGACCAACATAGGTGTGGCAGGACGCAAGATGAAGCTTAAATCAAAGAGGATATGGGATATGAGAAATTTTAAAGGGGAGACACAGGATGAAAATTGGAAGGAAAAACCGGAATATGCTCTCTTTTGAAGGCGGAATAGGGGACAGGATGGGTATAGGCAAGATCACAGAACTCAGGTTACAAGTTACTTGACCACAGAGACATTAAGAAGTATTTATTGGCTTTAAAAAGGGGCCTAACTAATGCTCCTGTGTAAAGTGAGGTTGATAGGCCTAAATGACTCTGTGGTAAGTCCAGTTTTTTCTGCGTTAGTTAAAAGTGTTCACTACATAGTATAATTTTCCAACAGAAGTTCACAGGTCTTTGTTCAAATGAAGACCCTTGTGGTCTTAAAGGTGCATTAGGGTAGTGGTAGTGGTGATATGTGAGTATTGACAATCTGTTTCTTTGCCCAGATGCTTTGAGATTACTGTAATTTTATCTCTAATATTTACCATTCACATATTGCACGGCATACATACAAATTCAGGGTCAAAGGTGCAAGATTCAGTGACTCATTTATAATGACATATTTTCTCTCTCTTTTTGTAGGATTTGTGGTTACTGTGTTCCAAGATCTGACCATCATTGTGTTTGGTAAGAATTAATACTTGATAAAATTTTTTTTTTTTCACCACTTGTGTTCAGGTTTCCTCTGCAGTCACCCTTTTATTGCATTCAACATGTATTGTGTCTTATTCACTCAAGTGACACAATCACTAAAAACATTGTTAGCTTGCCAAACTTTTCATCTGTATTTTGAAAGTGAAACCAAATTCACAAGTTACAATAAGTTTTATCCAGAGGTTGCACAGTGAAAAATTAAATTAAAGTATCGTGTGGGTTCCTTCTTGACTGAAATTCAGATGAAAGAAAATTTCTTGGGAAAACATATGCAGGCACTTTCCTGCTGGGAGTCAGCAATTTCAATCTTCAATTCAGTTCAATTTTGAATGGACATTTGCTACAACATGTTTGATTATTAGTGAATTATCAACACAATCTTTCCTTTATTTTTTTAAATCTGGCAATGTTTTGGAGATGTATTTATCATATTTGTTATTGTTTTCCTCACAGGACAAACTGTTGTATTGGACAGCACAATCATCATTCCTTCCTTGCTGCTATAATTACTTTTGTGGTTACTGGACTATGGGGAGTCTATCTATCTTTTTTCACTATCTGCACTTCTAAAGACAACAGCATTTTCCATGTGGATTGTTCAGATGTCTATGCTAATTCTAGGTAAGTTTAGTCCAATTCTAAGTCCTCTCTCTTCTTCAAACCCATTCTTTGGGATGTTACACAAGGAAGCATTGTGTGACATCTCAAAGAGGAGCTTCATAGGAGACAATGTCACATGGTATTTTTTGTCAAGATTGATTTAAGTGCCATCTTTTTGTTCAAATTAGCAAAGGTTTCCAACTTAATCCTTTAATTTCAATATTTCCCAATAGCATCAAAGCTTTGAGTTCTGTAATCTCTGGCTCACTCACACATAAACTTAGTTTTGACCCAAACAGTATCTGAAGTTGTTGTTGTGTTGATTAGTTTGTCAGAGAAGGTAATTTCTCAACATTATAAGACAAAAATTCATATAGGGAGGTGGAAGAGGATTTCACATTCTCTATATGTGATAAATGCTGCACACAACATACTGAAATAACCATTGAGAAAATACCAAAATGTACCTGGCTTCGACCAACTTCAATAAAGCCTTTCCCTGACAGGTTTCATTTTCCTTTTCAGGTCTTCTGTTGTGTTTGTTGCATGTTGGTACACGATCATCTTCTCGTTAGGCATGTGTGGGCTTCTGTTACAACAGCTTGTATTTATTAGCCTGAATTTGACTGGTGATGAGTTCAGAAGATCTTCTAAGAGGAAGTCATTTTGTGAAGTGATAAGGACACATAGCTATAACAAAGGATTTATTAGGAACTGGATTCAATTTTTATGTCCTCACGATATTGTCTCCATTTCTGGAGAAGTAGTTTAGAATTGTGTGGCTAGTAATCAAATCTTAAGTGTTTTAAAATAGCAGCAGTAAAAAAAGGAATAGCTGATCTGCTTATGGACCTTTTTATTCTTCAAAAGGAGGAGCAGAAATAAGAGGCAAGGGCAAGGATATTAAAAGAAAAAAAAAAGAAAGAAAGAAACAGTTGTGGACAAACCAAAATAATGGCTATGAAATGAACCTAGTTTCTTACTCATTCAATTCATGGAAAGTATTTTCTGCTTTGAAGGTTATTGATTATTGGATAAATCAATTATAAGTTATTACTTGTTATTAAATATTGACTCTGATTATAAGAATATTATGATTCATAACTTTGTATGTCAGTGGATTTTGCTGTTAAATTTTTGGTTTTCAACCTGACAGCACAGAAGGGAAGGGTGGGTAATCTAGGTGTGAAAACAGTGTGAGCCTCCATTTAAAAATTCCCAGCCATGCCTTTGGGCTCATATTCTCCTCATTTTCAGAGTGAAAATTTCCTTCTTAAAAAAACACCAATAAAGCAATCATTGCAACGAAATTGCGATTTTGACCAGCATGCCAGTAGGGCAGAGTACATGTGGTACTCTGCAGGTTTTTTGTTTGGTTGCCAGGTAAGTATCAATCATATGTTTGATTGAAATATCCCTTTCCCTGACAAAATGTCCATGCTAAACAATTAGCCTTCTGCCATTTGATCAGAAAAAGCAAGCAAAGCATCCAAGGAGAAGATTTGCTGGTTTTCCTTGAAAGGGCGCACAGCAATGGGGGTGTGCTTTGCTATTCCATCTCAGCGGGCTCTTGCAGTCTAAATTACATTCGTTACCAGTTTCTCTCTTTGAGAAATAGGACAAGCGAAAAATTTGCCGAGTGTGAGATATAGTTCGCAGAGTTTCCTCCCATTGAATTAGGAAATGAATTACTAAGCCCTCAAATTTGTAAATCGTAAATTATGGCTTATTTTTTTGGAAAAAGTTCCTCTGGCCTCATCCGGTGAGACGGACAAATTTCAACCTGAAGTCGAGGTTAGCATTTATCCGGCGCGAATCTTCGTCATTTGTCTAGTATGCTGTTGGAAGTGGTGTGAGGGAAATCTCAAACTAATTTGAGTTGGCCATGGGAAAGACTTTAGAAGAGTGTCACAAGATCCTTGGCGTTGATTATGGCGCAACAGAAGGTATTTTTTTTTTAGGAATTCCTGAAATTTACCAGCTGATTTTTGAGTGAATTTCGTACGTACCGGCTGCGACAGTTTGACGGTTAGCATGTTCTGTTTTTTTTCTAATTCGAAGAATTTTTCAGCTTAAACGTCCGAATTTTAGCCAGAGTTACTTTGAAACTGATCAGTCGTGAGTTGGAATTACTGTATCCAGGGAAAGGTTCAGCCTATATGCAATGGAGTACTGTGTGTTGTTTACTTGGTCTTAGTGTAATCGTCCATATCATCATCAGATCTGCATTGACTGAACCTGGCTGTAAATAGCGCAGTAACTCTTTGTAATTAAAATCTCTGTCGCTTAAATGTTTCTCGAAGGTGTATTACCTTTTGAAAGTTTACAAATCGATCGGTTTCAGGATAGATGTATGAAGGAACTAAAGAAATAGATTTATGGCCTGCGATTAGGCTTCCATATCATGGATTTTGTAAAAATTTCACCATTTCAGTTTGGAAAGTAGGAAAGAAGCTGTTACAGGGATGATAATGTTTATGATATATTCCAGAAGTGATTTAGCCCTTCAACTCCCGAGAGTACAGTTCTTACAGTATCGACTAATACAGATTTAAACAGGAATGAGATGAGAAGATCTCCGTATGGCACTGAACACAACGGAGAATTTCAATTTAGACGATGGGAGTAAAGGGGTTTACATACTGAAATTTATCCTTTATAATATCAATTCTTTATCCAACAAAACTGGTGGCGAAAGGGAAGCAGTAAATAATAAAATAATTAACAAAGAGGTAAATAATTAACAAAGAGGTGTTTAACAATTGATAGAGAGGAGTATTATCATTTATAATAAAGTTCGGATATAACGCACGCTGTCATTGGTTGAAAGAGCGTGCTCTATGAGAGGATAGAGCATAGAACTGAGCTAAAACTGTCACGCCATCTGCCAAATTGTACTATGTTCGACCTTTTCCGGGACTTCTTTTTAGCTTTCTTTCCGATAATTGAAAGTGAAATTTCGGAACAAGCGAGCCGGCAAGTAGCAACAGAAGAACCAAAAAAAGGTTTGTAAACATACCAGGCGCCGTAATTTACGTTATTAAAACGTGAGCAGATACGAAAATCCTCAAAGGAAAAACAAAATAGACATTCCGAGTTTTAAAGATTTTCACGCTCAGTTAGATTGCAAGCTTACTTGCGGTAATAAAAATCAAACACAGCCAACACTCGTATAGTATATAAAGTTCAGAGTTCAAAAACAGAACAGAAAAAAACAGAAATGATGAAAAATATAACAAAACTGGCATAACTGTTAAAAATTCATACTTATCATGACGGTGTCTGAGCAAATATGATCATGCTGAAGTCCATCGCGGTTCGCTTATCATGGCGATCTCCAGTCATCACAGTAAAGCAAGCCTCAGAAACTACATCGGCTGCCCTTTGAGTGAAAAAATAAGAGCTCGTTCTGATATCCTTTCGGATGTGTTGAGTGGAAAGTCACTTCAGTCACTGCAGCCGAGTTTTGCGGCGCTGTCATCCCGAGCGATCTTCATGTTCCGGTGAATTCGGCTGTCGTTCATTTAAAAAACACTCTCCTTGAACAGTTTGTTTTCTACCTTGTCATGTGGAAAAACTCATGTGTTTTTATGAGCCATAATTCAGCTGAAGTTCACTGAACATTTCACTTCAAGATTCTGTATTAAAAACTTCAGGCAAAAGCGTTAAATTTGACCTGCTGAACTATTTTAGTTTGTAAACTATCGCAGATTGTGAACTTTGATGGTTTGACACTTTTGACAGCTTTTGTCTTGTACAGCCAATCAGATTATTTGAACCATTCTAACAGGGATTCTGATTGGCTTATTTTAGCGTGCTCTATGAGAGTATAGAGCATGCTGACGAAACTGTTGTTCGCTTTGGAAATTAAGTTTGTTTTGAAAATTGAAAGTAATGCAAAGGGAATTTAACGGATTCTTTATTATAAAACAAATAGAGAAGCCTTGACTGTGCTCTGTTCTGTTATAAAGCACGCAGGAAGCGGCTAGAGCACTCAAGAAGTGGGAAGAAACACTCGACTACGTCTCGTGTTTTCCCTACACTTCTTTCATGCTCTAGCCGCTTCCTGCGTGCTTTATAACAGAACAGAGCACAGTCGAGGCTTCTCTATTTGTTAATTAGACTTGGAGACTTAAGAGTTGAAAGTATTGAAAAATTCTCTCTTTATGTCAGATGAAATCAAGAGTGCTTACAGGAAAAAGGCACTGCAGTGTCACCCAGATAAGGTACTGATACCCAGGCTAGAGAGTGTGGCAGGAGTGTTTGCAAGTCTTTTGCTTAAGTGTTCAGTTTGCATATCATTAGCATATGGTTTTATGTGGTAGTTTTAAAACTAAAAGGCAGTACTGTAGCTATATATGCATGGGTTTTTGTCTCCCAGTTGTTTTGCCTTTGGTAGATGCTGCCAAAAATGACTGCACTGACAAAAAATCTCCATGGGTTCTGCCAGACTCTGCAGACTGGCCTGATACTGTACCTTACACAATAAATGTGATATCAAATCCATATCTCAGGCTGGGACAATAAAAGATGTTATTCCTAAGAGGATCATATGTGAATATTTTCTGAATAGTTAGTGTATAAAAGACTGTTAGAAAGTTAAATTTCTTGGCAAGAATATGTTTGTTTCATATAATGCAATGAAATAAACTCAGATTATAGTAATTACTGAATGAGTTTCTAGCTGTCTCCCCTCTTATGTGTGCGGTTGTAGCTCTGTACTAAAATATTCATTTATTTCTTAGAATCCTGATGACCCCTTGTCAACACAGAAATTCCAGGAGTTAGGCCATGCATATCGACAACTGACTGGTAAAGAGAGAATTGACTCTGTTCCAATAATACATGGATCAAACAAATTTCATAGAGAAAAAAATTTGGCTATGAATTTAATTAAAACCAACTGCAGAGTCTGTTTATCATTTTTTTTGTGTGTGTTAAGGGGATGAAGATGATGACAGTGATGATGATTACAAAGACTATGACATGGATCTGTGGAAAAAGGTAAAATCTGAACTCCGAGTTTGTTGTATAGAGATTGAAACAAAAAGCTAACAAAGAGCATTCTAGAAAAGCAGTAATATGGGAAATATTAATAAAACTGATCATCTTGAAACAAGCTGTATGGAAGAGGATAGTGTTTTCAGTCTCTTGTTATTTGACCCAATATATACTTTTTTAATCTTTTATCACTGTTGTCTGTGTGAGTTGTGTCATAATTGTTAAAAAACCCATACTAATTATTTTTTCATCAGTTTTTCTTCTTTTTATTCAGAGATGAGTTCATCCAAAGAGGTAACAGTATTTTAACTTTTCCTGGTTTGCACTGGATAAAATAAAATATTCCTGTGAATAAGTTCTTCAAACTTGTACCTCAAACTGCTTCCAGGTAGCAATGAATTACTGACAAGAGAAAATATCCTTAAACCTATTCTTACAATAAACTACTTTTTTATTTTAACCCTGCTACCCCACTGGAAATTTCTGTATGAGTTTGAGTCTAGCTCTTTGGAAAATTTTTGCCTTGACAACTTCCTCCCTGTTGGTATTTCAAACAACTTTCCTTGTAATTGTTTTGTATGGCATTGTCGCAACTGTAATTTTAAGCTAAGATTTACATTCCCTTTTTTTTCCTCCTATAGTTTGTTGCCAGTGCAGCAGATGTGTAAGGTAATATGTGCAATTTAAAACTTTAAACTTAAAATGTTCCTAAAATTCTTTTAAATTTTGTATTAACCTCCCTGATATGTAATGTATTTGGGAAGCTTTAAATATTAATAGGATATGTTTCCTGTAATATCTCTTTTGCAGATCAAGAGAAGAAGAAGATGATGATGATGATTTCCTAGCTTCCCTTGTAAAGGTGCACAACACAAGATCAAATTGTAAAAAAAATTTTTGAAATTTAAAATCACAGACGTATTTTGACACCCTGTTGGAAATTGATATTTTTGTTCCTTTTTTCGTAAATGATAGGAGCAGGATGAAGACTTCACGGAAGAAGAAGTATGTGTTGAGTTTTAAAACTAAAATTATCATGGGCCAGTAGAATTTCTTTGTCCTTTAGAGTTGTTCAGTGAGTTGTCTTTGGCTCATAGTGATGAATGCACAAATTTTTCTCATCAGTCTAGTTGTTATAGAGCCTAGAAATGAACTGCTAGAATGAATTTTAAATTTGCTCAACTGTAAGCTTAAATGTTCTGATCCTTTGTTTTTTTCCACTATGTATTAGATGGCTCAGTTCACAAGTTTTGCAAACCTCAAAGAGCAGAGAGAGGCCAATAAAAAGAAGTTCTGTGATGTAAGCATCAATGTGATTTGTAAACAACTAAATTGCACTTGATATGATTTATATATTTATTTGTATAACGATGTGGCTCTTTTTGAAAGCAGAGAAACCTGTCAAATGGAAAAATTAAACAAAAAGGAGTGAAAGGAAATCAGGCAAGAAAACATCCAGTTTTAATTCTCGCTAACTTTGACTTAAGCCAAACCTATTATACTTAATTTGTAGGGTTTTATTAGGCTTTGATGACCATGTTTACATGATATATTATTAGGTTAGGGCTGGTTATATCTTTCAGAGTTGTTATTTTGCTATTTTAGATTTCTTAAGCTAATTGCTTGAATAAGTCTCTGACATTTCTTTTTCCCTATCTTAATTTCCCTCAGCCAAAGTTAAAGAATAACAAACAACTTAAAGCAGAACAATGGAAACGAGAAAAGGTGTTTAAAAATACATTACTGAAAACTCCTTTAGATTTGCTGCTTAATTTAAACTGTAAGCTGATGCCCAGCTTAGCCTCTAGAGCTGTAGCCTCTCTGTGGCACTGAAGCATGTGTTGTGGATGCCTGTGTGTTTCAAGAAGCCAAGCAAAGCAAGTATGTAAGAGGTTTATTAGGTTTGTTTGGGTCTGGCATCAGATTCTCACAAACCTGTAGTCCAATTGAATTTTGCTTGAATGCTTTGCAGAAGTGATGAGAGCCTGCTCGTAGATTTCTAGAGTCAAAGAAATAATTAACAGAGAAGTGGGTGATTGAGCTGAGAAAGAAATAGGACTCATGGTTTCATTGCAATTTTCACATGTATTATTTGTTTAATGCTACAGGAAATATCTGAAATAGCAGTCCAAACTAAAGGTGTAAATCAAACTCTACAGCAAAAGCATAAGGTAAGATTAATATACAGTGACATTTTAAAGGCACTGCAGGACCAAAGGTTGCCACACACACACACCCCCCCCCCCTTTAACCGCCACCCACCACTCAATAGTGGTTTTCTGTCATTCATTTTAGTCTTGTGGATGAGTAATGTTCAGACATATCATGTGGTGGCTTTAGACAGAGGTCACTTCCTAATACATTAATTCTTCCTTGATGATTTTTTTGTTCAATTGCATGTCCTTTTCAACTTTCCTGCCACTCCACTCCAAGGATTGCATGTGTGGTTGAAAACCAGTAAAACTGAATTTGTGAATCTTGGCTTAATCCAATTCTTCAAATGAAAGTTCAATATTGAAATGAACATTGGAGTCAATATTTCAGGAAGCAAACTCAAATTTGGTTCCTCTTACAGACACTTAACCAGGCATCAACTCTGATTTTACTATATGATTACTATGGATCTTTTTCCCTTGTTTTGTCCTCATAACAGGCTTTTTCTAGAGATTCTAAAACAAAGACACCTACGCAGCATAGAAGGTATGGAGATGACATGATCAAGAGATCAAGTAGCCTATGGATGAGTAATGTGATAATAATGCTACTTTATGTACTTTGTAGTTTTGATCATCTTGGCAATGTTTACTTTGGTCAAGAGAAAAATGTGAAAGAACGCAGTGATGGTGCTTGTAACAAGAGGAATGCAAGGAAAAAAAAGAACAGGAAGGTATTTGTCATTTGTTAAGTCTAAGTTCACTTGCAGTTTTTATTTTAGACTGGAAGAGAGATGAAATGTAGAGGTGTTTAGTGCATGATGTCTGGTACTTTGGCGTATATTAGCTCCCAAGAATCTTATGACTGCTTCTCTTTGTTACTGTTAAAAACCTCTGTCACCTAAAACCTGAATGCTTACTGAAGTTGCACATTTAAGGATATCACCTGCTTTAAGGGAGCTCAAGACTAAAAGTTCCTTTTGCAGCTGCCAATTCAAAAAATGTGCTTTTTCATCGACTTCAGCAAACCCAACCTCTTTAATGTTATTACTTTTTTAAAGTTGTATTCTTATGTTGGTTTATTGGGAGCTGTGGTTGTTTTTGCTTTTGTAATTTCTATATACTTAACTAAGCAATATTATCCTAAAAAGCTATGTCACAAAAAGAACATCACGAAGAAAATATCCTCCTGGGAAATTGAGAATACCTTTCAATTTTAGAAGAAGAGACCACAAGATTACTGCTCTGTAATTCTGTGTTTTAAGACAATATACAACGGTATTTTGAACTTTTCAGAAATCATCATCAAGACATCAAGATGACAAAGAAACAAGCTCCAAATCCACAACAACTGTTCCTGAGCAGAAATTTGTTCCAAACGTTTTCAGAAATGTCAAAATCAAACCAGAAACAACGCGGAGACAAGATGAACTTACGGGGAGGTTACCATGTTACACAAGTCAGAGAAGTGTTTCAGGCAAGGTACATTACGTAGTATAAGTACAAAGAGCATCATCGATCTCCTTGTCATTTTATCATCGTCTAGCAGCTATTCAGTCAGTCATGCAGTCAGCCAGTCAATTATCTACTTCAATTTAAAACAAGAAGAAAAAAGGAAAAATAAATTCAAGGATGAAATCAAACCGTAATATTATTCACATTTCTCACGAATTCCAACTTTCTGGGCAAAACTGTGAAGGACCAAACGGTTCTTTAGAAATTACATCAAGGCTTTTTTTTAGCTATCGAACTTTAAACCTGCAATTCTTTTTATTTTGGGTAGCAAACTGGAAGAGTGTGGTATGAGTATCCAAAATTCGGCCCCGCCCCATCCAGACCAAGTTCTGTTACGAACGTGTGGCAGAAAAGACAAGAGAAACAGATGCTGCTGGCGGAGCTACAGCCTTCTGATCAAAGTGATGAAGAATTACAGCTACAAATGGCCTTGGAACTGAGCAAGAAACAAGCAGAAATTGAGGAGCAACAAAGGTTAGAAACTTAAAAAAAATAAAGTAACAAGAACACCTGCAAACGGTCATGAAGAATCAAGGAATATTATATCTTTAAAGAATACAACTCTGAAGAAGTTTGGAGTTTGACCTAAACAATTTTCATTTTTGTTCACAGAGAGATCACCTTACTGGAGAGACAGATGGAGGAAACACTCCAGTTGGAGAAAAAACTTAAATGTCAATCCAGCGAGGTAGAGATTCAAGCCAAACAAGCCACTGTTATGGGTCATGACAGTTTTCCACCGCTAGTGGGACATGTTGATGATGAGTGGGTGCTACCTTCGAGCGGTGAGAATAAGGGCGAAGGAAACGAACAAGAAAAAAAAGACTCCAGAAAATTTGCTCGCAACAAGGGCGATGATGACAATCATAGTAGTACTGAGACCTTAGAACGGTGTCACAAGTCCAAACCTGAATACAAGATGGAGCACTTAAGAAAAGGAAGCGTTGAGGCGAATGGAGTAAATGATAGGACAATGTTTTTAGGCAAGTCGCACTTTCAATCGCCACAGCTTTGCCGAAGACACGATTCTGAAACCAATTCTTGTCCATACGGGAAAAATTGTTGCTTGGGTAAGCACTGCAAGTACTTACATCCGTCATCGATTGACAACCGTAAAAGATCAAAATCAGGTGAATTTAATATGGGCAGTCAAGATCAGTGCGATTCTAAGGTTATTGACAGGGATAACAGATCAGAGCCAAGCAGCTTAACGGGAAAACAAATGCAATTAGTTGCGTCTTGTGAAGGGGTGGATGGAGAATCGGAACCCTGCTGTGGATTACAGAACTATGGAAAATCAGATGATGTCTTCATACAATCTACTGGCTTTTATACGACACAGAAATCTCGCTATGTTGGAGAGACGGACAATCCTAACACCGCGTTGAGAGAGGAACATAATCAGTGCGACATAGGTACCAGTGAATTTGAGAGTATAAGCCAGTGTTCAAGATTCGACATTCCTGTCAGTAAGTCAAAGACATTACTGAACAACAGGTTTTCATTATGTGAGGGGACAACTGAAAATAACAGCAATGCTGATCAACCAGGTCTCTGGAACAAGAAATACGCACCAACAGGGAATCCTCAGAAAGATGCCAAATATGGTTCAATCTTGTTTAAAAAATCCTCGTCAGGAGCAACATCAAGTGCAGCCATTACTGTTACAGCTCCAACTGTGTACGTTGTTGCAGATTCTCAGTTTCCTTTTGGGGCACCTGCTGGTAAAGGCCTCCACCAAGCAGCTTTGGGGTTACGATCTAATGCCAGTCTTTCAAGTGAACAGAAACTACAGAATTCACCGGGAGCCTTTAACCAGTCTTCGAGTTCGGTTAACAATAGTGAAAGACAGATTACAGAAGCCACAACAACAAAAGTAATGGCTCAAAGCCGGAAAGAAACCTCTGCGGGTCCTGGTCCTGGTCCTGGTCCTGGTCCTGGTCCTGGTCCTGGTCCTGGTCCTGGTCCTGGTGTTTCTTTACTTCAAACTGCGTCAGTGTCGTCTGAAATTCTGCCAAGTCCACGCTGTAGTTCTAGTACTTCTCTGCAAACCCCAGCAGCCATTCAGACTACGACTACTAATATTTTCCCGGTATTTCCTGGTTTTCCGTTTCTTCCATTTGCCAGTGTTTATCCTTGTATTAATCCAGCAAATGCTGCTGCTTCTGCAAGCCTGATGGCGGGATCGACAGACGAAATATCCTTTCCAGTGACATCTGGAGCATCTAGTCAGCATGAAGGATCTTTCGTCTCGAACCAAGTAGTACTACGAGCTCACCTAAAGGCTGGTCTCAGTGGTGGGTTGTCACCCTTAGGCCAGGTTCTTCCAACGCAGAATGCCCCATCAATAATGGCTGCGGAAGGAAGGAGTGAGTTAGTGCCAAACCTAGCGCAGCTCTCCGAACCGGACGACCTTAGTGAGCTCCAGTCTCCAACCTCAATGCTACTAAAGCCATTTAATGTCGCATTTCCATTAATCAACCCTCTATCATTTGTTAACATCAGCACAGGGATGGCTTTAGGGACACCATGCTCAGTGCTTCAGAATGGCTGCCAAACTAGTTCTACCTCTGTGCTAACTGCCCCATCTCAGGTGCAAGGTAATGATAAAACCAGAAAGCAGTCCGAATTGGAGCAAAAAGGAACGGGTGTTAACACTCCCACGAAGGTGAAACGTGATTTTGGAAAGGAAGATGACGCTTCTGCTGGTTTTGGCGGGAAAACGAAGATGCTTAGAAGACCTATTACAAGTGAGTGTAGGATTTTGCTAATCTTTTAACTCCCAAAAGTGATTAACATGCAACTTCTCCCAATAATATTCATACATTATTCAGCAAACAGGTAATGAGATTACTTAAAGTTATCAGGAAGATATTATCTGGATATAAACTCACAAGGAAAGGTGTAGCAGTCAGAGGGGAGAATTAACAATCAGATCTTTGGAGTTAAGTGTCGTGATACAGTGATCAGAAGAAACAGTCAACAATTCATCTGAAAAGACAAGAGTATCAGTTAAAGAGAAAGAGGAAGTTTCACGATTAATTTACAAGGAATCCATTCTGATTGCTTGAAGGGAGAAAGAGTAATCGACGTGATTTTGTAGGGCTTTTGAAGAAAAATTTTAAATTTTAATGTGAGTTTGTACTATCGATCACAAAGGTCTGATTTGTTAAAAGCTGCGTTCTGGCGAAACGATCTTGTCGCACCATTATTTTAATTGAGTTTTCGAGGCCGCTGTTTTGTTGTTCAGTTCGTTTACATTCATTGGATTTATTTTTCCTCTTCGTCTACAGTTCCTATGGTGATGCAGCAGCAAGCATCCAAGTAAATTTAGAGATTTTCATACATTTTTAGAAATGGCAGTACTTCCTTGGTGAGCAACAGGTGACAAGGCCGCCATAGCTCGGAAAATAGTATCAAGACGAATCAATTTCCCAGTCAAAGACAGTTCGATACAGCTGTTGTTTGAATTTCGAAAATGATATTAAGTGCATGGTAAAATACATCGATTGTATATTAAGTTTGAATATTTATTGTTGATAAATAATGTTGCAATTCGTATTGTCTCTCACGGGAAAAGGCTACTATGTTAGAAAATAGAGATATTTATTGACGAACATCTGAAAACTTAAATCAGAACAACAGACCAGAAGTAATATTTGATGGTTACCTTGGAATGACGCTTCGACAGACGCTTGTACTCTCAGAAGGGATATCACAACTTTGCAAATATTTGGTTTGGTTTGGTTTGGTTTGGTTAGATCTTTTAGTCGTTACAGTTGAAAAAATTTTCGATTTGATGTGGAAAAAGGCTTACGGAATAAACTCAGAACACTCAATCAGGAAACACTACCGCAAGTTTACCCTCTGATTCATTTCACTTTTCCTCAAATCTCGTGTAAGGAGATTCTCCTTATACACACCCCGAAAAACAAAAAAAAATACCCCCTAATCACCACGAAAGCACATATTTTTACCGCTTTTCAAAGTGGCGGGCGAGCCGACCTGTGCATCTCCAATTAACTGACATAAATCTTCTCGTGAGTGTTCCGTATCTCAAATTATTTTGTATTTACTTCTAAGGGAAGTTTTGGAATTATTTTGCCTCTAACTTAGGAATTGCCCTTTGTGTGACAGAGAAATAAAATAATGATTCACTTTTACTTATGAATTTCATTGTTGTTTCTAATTGCTTTGATGAAAAATGCTGAGATCTGACAATTTCTTTTGCGTCTGTTCCCCTGGTTATTTTCGAAGCAATTCCCTGAAGTCCATAGGGAACTCAAAAGGATGCAGGCCAGTTGGACCAGCCTTTTGTCTCATTAAAACTGCAGACATTCAGATTCAATTACACAAGGGAAGTGTGCAGGGAAAATTCATGCGAAGTCATGCGCATAAACAAAAATATTGTTGTCAGTCAGGTGTAGATTTTTTCCTTATTTGAGTTCTCTTACAGTTTTAAGCCATTCATTGTGGTACATTGGTCTGTATGTCTAACAGCGTTTTATCACAAACGCTGCAAACTGATTGGCTACGCTAATCGCCAACTATTCTGTCAGAGTGCTGAGTCGCCTAATAAGTCTAATAACAGTGCACGGTTATAAACTCAATTGAATAAAAACGAGAGCCTCTTTTGTCATGAGATTTTGAACGATTAGTAGATTTATGCTAGAGCGATTGGAATTAATCGACTACGATTTCTGTGTTTGCTGATTTGGGCCATACAACACCTTTGTTCCCCTTTATTCTGCGTGACGAGCCCGAACAACAGTTGCGAAGGAGGTTAGTTTTTAAGGCTTGAAGGACACGGTAATAGGTAAAGAATAAACACACTTGTTCAGTTTTCTGTGATTATGTCCTCACAGACTTGCTAGCAGTGAGAATTTTGATATATTGCAAGTTACGCATCGCGTGACCTCCAAGTACTTTACCCCGACGGGAGTAGGGTAAGCCCATCACGGTCAAGGTACTGGAATCGACAATGACGATGTTTTGTAAACTGTAAAAAGAAACATGGCGGGTCCGATTATGGACACTGCTTGTATTACATATGAAGGGGTTTCTTTTGAACAAGATCTATTCCCAAGAACTAAAGAGCCAATATGGATTCTTGGAAAGAATTACTCTACCAACAAAGGTAGAGATAACTTTACTTTCAACCCTGATCTCGTGAAAACTCATATTTGCCACAACGCAACTCTGCTGTAAAATTTTTCACTCGCTTTGTTATTGTTTGGGCGTCAGCATTAACTCCTGCGTTATCTTGAGGATGCATTCATGCGCTAATCTACAGTAACTGATTTAACTCGTGCTGCTGATGTGTTTCATTTCTTAATTGAAACCTTTTTGTGGAATGGCAATTGAGACGTTTCAGTTTTGTACAGAGATGAATAATTTTTTTTCCGAATGTGAAGCGAAATTAGATATTTCCGTTTTTGTTGTAGATATGCAGTGTTTGCGTGGACTTGATTGTAACCCATGCCTGACTTATTTATTTAGCCATGATTCAGGAACCTAATGGTGTCAATGCAAAGAACATTTAAAAAAATATATATTAACATGTTTTTACTAGTAGAGGATCTAAATTTACTTAGGCTTTAACTGTTTTTTTTTTTATTTCAGGAGAAGATTCAATTCACATTCTAAGAGATATTAGGTCTAGAATTTGGTGCACATATAGGAAGAATTTCTCAGCAATTGGTGGGTAAAATAATTTAATTTTTGTCTTGAAAATGAGATGTCAATGAGTTGTCAACCTTATCATCAGCCCCTTGAACTCTGGTTCAAGAGGTCCAAGCCTATGTGTTATTTCACCTGTCAATATAATTGGCTCCCAGAAAATAAAAAAGTTAGAAAAAAACTGAAAAATTCTTGCTGGTGGCTTGAGAGAGACAGTTATCCCAATGTTCACAGTTAAATGCCTTGTACTAAAGAAACAAGGTCAAGATTTGACATGACTGTTGACTGGTGTGTATGACTAGGTGTCACATTTTTTTTGTCCCTTTTGGCTATTTATAATTCTTCTTGTCTGTCCCACAGGAGGCACAGGGCCAACTGCTGACAGTGGCTGGGGGTGTATGCTGCGATGTGGACAAATGATTCTTGCAGAGGCTTTGATTTACAGACATCTCGGAAGAGGTCAGACTTCCTTGAATTCTCTTGAAACCATAATTATATATGATAACAAGTATAACACAATGAAAGTTGTAGTAACCTAACCCTTAGCACCACTACAAGCTATCTAAAAACAGAAACTTTCTCTCATCCACTTAGTGGCCACATAGGATAGCCTACATTGTAATCAAAGACAATATTTTTTAGCAAAAGCAAATTGTTGTTTAAAACTGCAAAATTCTGTTGTTGATCAGTTATCAATTTTCACTCTCAGTTTATTGATTAGCATCACTTAACATGAAATATGTTCATTGGATATTTTGTGAAGTGTTGATTGGGCTATTTATAGATTTTCCTCTTCTCATACAGGCTAAAAATTAAAAGAACCTATAATGTTTTTTTTTATACTTTATAGACTGGCAGTGGGAGCCTGATGCCAATAATGTTGTTTACATGCAGGTATATTAACCCTTTCACTTTCAAGATCTGCAGCCTAATTCTCCTTACTATTTTCTATACCTTTCATTTAATGTTTGTTCAGAGAATTACGTGTTGACTTAAATTAATTGTGGGATTGATATTTTTTTCTTTTTTTTCTCATTGCCACCCTCCTTGATATGCAAGGGAAATGACTTCTTAGTCATTCCCAGGAGTTAAAGGGTTAACTAGGACTTTCTCCTTATCAATATGTAAATTAAGTTAAAGGTGGAATATTGGTTTTTAGTACTGTGACATAAATGTGTGATAGATGACAGTAATTGAATTTATTATGTATGATTATTAGATTTTACAGAATTTTCTGGACAAGAAAGATAGTTTATATTCCATCCATCAGATAGGTGGGTGAAACACGACAATGATAAATTTTATAACTCCTTTAAGTACAAAATGGAATGATGAACTCTTGACGCAAACTGATATTTACTGATATATTTTACTGATCTTTACAAAAATTAAAAAATCTTTTATTCTGATATCAGCTCAAATGGGTGTATCTGAAGGCAAATCTGTGGGGAGTTGGTTTGGACCAAACACTGTTGCACAAGTACTCAAGTAAGGTCACACTCTCAGTCCAGATTGTACAGCCCTACTCTGTACAGATATATTATAACAGTTTCCTAGTTTTGGATGTGCCACAACATAGAATTTTAAAATTGTTTATTTTTTTAATTTGTTATGTGCACTCTTAGGACACAATGCTTTATACTAACTGTTGCATGATGGATTTACATTTTAAAATCACTTGATCAAATTATGGTTCTTCTTGATCTGCAGAAAACTAATGTGCTTTGATGACTGGAGTTCCCTGTGTATTCATATTGCCATGGACAACACTGTTATAGTTAATGATATTAGTGAGTTTTAACAGTAATTATTCTTTATAACATAAATGATTTAATTTGAAATGTCTTTGGCTGATTCTTTTGTTGGCCTTTCCTGTGCCTTTCTTGAAGGTGGGTATAAAGGTTTTCTGGAATCACACAATTATTGTTCTAGTGTTATTCTAAATCATTGCATGATGTTATATTTAAGGATAGAAACTGATGTGAAAAGCAAGTTATTTAACCTTTCTGTGCAAGGACACCCAAGAGATCTCAAAAAATATCCACACAAGCAAAGATTTCTATCAAACAACATTCAGTTCTACGCTAATCTTCAAGTGTAAATAACCTTTTTATTCCTTTAGAAACTCTTTGCAAAAGAGATTCACCAACAAAGACTCATGGAGAAGCAACAAGCTACAGCCATACATCAGCCGGGGTTGGAAGACAGAGAGGAGCAGCAGGTGGATCAGACACAAAGGATGGCACAAAACACAGACGACAGGGCTGGAGACCTCTTTTATTGTTTATACCACTTAGATTAGGGTTGTCAGAGATGAATTCTGTTTATAATGAGCCATTTAAGGTGGGTACAATAATTTTTCACCTACTGTATGATTGATTGTTAAATCAAAGGCTGTAATGACCAAAATGTTCCTGTCTGTATGGCAGATGACAAGATAGAGGCTTTGTTTTCAATACCATAAAAGTCTGAAGAAAATTATTCTGAAAATTACAGATAGCTCCAAGAGGATGAAATGGATTTGACTTGGTCACAAGGTGACCTGTTCCTCTCTCTTTCTACCCAAATTGGAATTTTATCATTATTATTAAATTGCTTGATTAACAGTGTGGTGTCAGTATACATATGACTTGCCTTCTGCACTGCCTCCCCACCTTGCTGTCTAGGAGTGTAATCTTGGTTATGTTGTAATGAGTGTGGGTATTCTGTGACAGACTAGCTTGAGTATGGATGGGAAGTAGAATTACTGACTAAAAAGTCACTCAATGATGAGAGAATTGGGATAAGCTCCAGCCATTGTATGCCATTATGTGTGTCCCGTAGGCTGCAATGCAAAATTATTTAGGCCATGAGCAGTCTCCTTTTCTCAGCATTGTCCATTGAACAAACATCATAGTTTGTAAAAATGAAATTCAGAGCCATTCGAGATCTGGAAATGGGTTGGTGCTCTTTTTCCTTGTTTATTTTTGTGAGGTACCAATGCAAATTCCTTTCACTTACACACTAGAAAACTTAGAAGAAAGCATTTATTGTACTCTTAAAGTGATGACTTTTGTTGTTTTTCAGTCTTGTTTTACATTTAGGCAATCAGTGGGCGTTATTGGAGGAAAACCCAACCATGCGTATTACTTTATAGGATATTACGGTAACTATTTTTAAATGTTCTGTTACTACAGTGTTTTTCAGCAAGTGATTAGAGGCAGTCCAAAGATCTGAAGAGGGGTTGTTTGCACATTCAAACATACGATTATTTTATCCTTCAGTGGAATCTATTTCTTAAGTTTTACTTAATTGCATTTACGTTTTTGTCATCCCCGTGTGACATTGGTAACGTTTCCAGATTGCTTACTTGAAGATGACTCACTTTCTCATATTTCCTCTGACTAAAGGAAATACTCTATTGTATCTCGACCCCCACACGACGCAACAGGCTGTGAACCCGGAGAAATTGAGTCAAATCCCAGATGAGGTAAGAATGTTGGTGTTCCGCACGAAACGCTTGTAGTGAATACTGTGTACGTATTCTTAGGTTTGCACGAAAAGGAATAAAAACGCCATCGTACTGTTATGGTGGTCTGAGTCGAGAAAAGAAAAGATATCTTTAATGAGCCCTATCAACTGTCATTTAACAAGCTTCCCCGTTCGTTATAGAGGAGAGCCCCTCTTAACTTAATACGGGATGAGGAGATTACATGCGACGTGGGAGACACGCATCAAACTTTTCTCAAAGGGAACTCTCGCTTGTTACACTTTAGTTTTGTTTTTACCTTCTAGAAAACTAGCAACATCACGGTTTTCATTAAACTAAGACTTTACTTCGGCAATTACTCAAACTGGCTGTGTTTGTTGTACTTACAGAGTTATCACTGTGCATATCCGAGCAGGATGAACATCGCAGATTTAGACCCATCCATCGCTTTGGTAAGGAAAACATTAAATTCTGAAGTCTCTAGAACATCGTGGCATCCTATATCCAACGTTTGGCGCTTCTTTAAAAAATGTAAAAGCAGGGTTAAACCTTTTAAGAATGTGCGTGCGGCTTGCAGACACAGTTCCGCAACTAGCGCGTTAACAATGGCAAATCTCGTCAGTCTTATTTGCATCAATCCGCGAGAGGTTTTCCTGAACTTAAGTAGTGACCGTGTAGTGGAAGCAGTGGTGAAAGTTTATATTCTAAACAAGTCAGGTAACTTGCACTGAACGTAAGTTGAACGAATTTATAAAAGTCTTTAGCCGTTGCTAACGAACAGAGTCCCCAGTTCTGTGTTAATGACTTAGAGATCCCTCTACTTGGAGTTTTTACGCTGATTACTGAAGATTATTTTTTTGCGTTTTGCGCCTTTACTATGAGTTTAATACCTCACGATTTCCGTGCAGAAGACCTCACTTGGCATAATACTTCTGATTTCAAGCTTGATCATTGTCTAATCCTCTTGATACTTATGTAGCCCCTGTGCTGTTTCAAGAAGTGTTCAGATTTCCACACCTTTCTCCGATTTGATATGCTTAAGAAACTTTCTATTTCCAGGCAGAACTTCTTGTTACAAGACAAAAAAAAACAAAATTTGATTTGAGAAACTATGCCTCGTGATAGCTTCCAGTGTGTCAGAGAGCTCGGCATTTATGTATTGATTATTATTTTGCGCGCTCACCGAACAAAGCTGAAAAACAGGAACTGATTGTGGTTTTATGCGAGATAACAGGGGTGGGGGTACATACATTTTCCCCGCATATTGAGATATGGATAGTGACTGAAGGTAGTGTAGTGGATCGGGAAAGGGAGGGGGGGGGTGTCACTAAAAGATGTGCTTCATAAGGCTCTTTTACCGGTCTATTAGAGTAGCTATCCGAGGTAGCATTGTACAAATACCAGATTAGTGTCTCGTCTTTAATGTTCTGTGTGCTTTGCAGGGATTTTTCTGCCATTCAGAAGAAGACTTCGATGACTTATGTCTGCAAATTCATAAGGTATGTTTTTTTTTAAAAAAAAAAACTTATTTGTCTGTTCTGAAGAGAGCGGCTAGCGGGGCTTGGCATACAGCAGTAAGGTAATCTGTAAGGAATATAGTTGGTTCTATCGCGGCCAGGCTGATGTATTTTGTACTGAAATGACATCTTCTTTCCTTGGTAGCATATCCATTCCGGACACAGGAGACCCATGTTTGAGCTAGCAGCTGTCAGACCACCTCACTGGCCGTCATTAGAAATACCGCAGAGACCTGGTGACGAATTGAACCGCAGCCAGCAGTCTGGTAAGATAGTGTGCCAGTCACGTAACGAGAGTTTACTTATTTAGCAAGCTGAAACTAAGTAACACGTATTTTCTTTGTCTTCTTTTTCCTGTTAGATTTTACTGAGCTTTCTTACGAGTCCGACGATACAAAGGAATTTGATACAGATGGAGAATATGAAATTCTGTAAACCCGCGAATTATATTTGAGTATGCAGTGGAGGAAGATTTCTTTCTAAGTGTGTCATTTGATAGCTCCGAAAAAAAAATGACAACATATCTGATGTCACATACGCATCGTATTAGTGTACGTTTTAGAAGTGTTCACAGCTTACATATTTTGCACCATTTCCTTGTCAGAAACCATGGCACGTATCAGAGAATCAGATAAAATAGAGTGTATTGAACAGCGAACAGTGACCACAGTGATTAACTACGGAAGATTGTCTTTTTGCAAACCATTGTTCACAAAGATAGTTCCCAGCTATCTTGGAGAAGTGATAGAGGTAATAATATGTCAGGAAAAGGAATTTCACTTGTAAGTGCTTAACACTAACACAAACACGATTCAGTTTAAACTCTATAACAGTTGAATTTTTTCTCTTTTGGTGTCTAAGTTATATTGCACATCAATTTGTGGTATTCTGTTCACACCCGCCTCCAACCCTTAAAAGAATTGGGAAGGGACCCTTTTCCTTTTTTTCTTTTTTTCTCTCTTTTTTTGAGGACTGGGGGCGGCTGTGCTTAGGTATGATACGAAATTTTTGAAAATTTTTGGTGAATTTTTTGGTAATACGGCGAAAGAAGAGCAAAGAAAACCAGTTCAAGAGAAATTTAATGTATTACGATCAATAATTATACGAGTTGAATATATTTTAAGATGGCGTTGTTTCCTCATCAAAGAGAACAACACGTGTATATGGACATGGAAATTTATTTTTAATGTATAATTCTAAATAAAATTTCACGAAATTTTGCATCGTTGCTTGTGGTTCTTTTGTGATTTGAAACCCAGACCTCTCTCAGAGATTTAAAACTCTACTACTGTGTCTCCCAGGAGACAAACTCTAGTCCAGCCTGACCCAGGATCCCTTTCGGTGGAGACGTTACACAATGTACATGTGATCCGCGAACATTGAATATTGGATACCACCCTTTTTAAGCACGTAATGGTGCAAATTATACCACTTGAAGCAGCGCCAAACCTTTAAAAAGGATCTAAATTAGGCTTTGGCAATACTTGATAACATTTTAAAAGCTTATACATTATTCTTAGTAAGGGCCTGAATTTATCTATTCACAGTAGCGACCCAGTTTTCCGAGCCCACGCTTTGATAAAACATCTAGCGTCCGATACAAAGCACGATATTGATGGGATCAGCGTCGGATAAATTTGATCATTCGAGCGAAAATCTGAATGTTTAGATAGAGGTGTAAGTTTTCCAGAAACCAGCCTTACAATTTACTTTTGCGATCATTTACCTCGAAGATGGCGAAACTGTATACCATCAAATTTTTTACCAATCATATATGATTCTTCTTTTTTTGTACGAACTTCACATCAATGCCGCTTTTATTTTCATGGACATTAAAATACCGATGCGAGGTGTGAAGAGGAATTCAGTGGATAACAATTTTAGTTTTTTCCGGTTGAAAAACCTCAACAGCATCTGAAGGAAGAGAAGTCTAATAACTTCTTCCCCTCTTTTCGAGAAAAATGTATAGTCACAGGGAACGTTTTTGTTGTGTGATCAATGCTTTACCGCCTTCAGTATGCCCTCTTGTTTAGTTCCATATGTTTTGGTGACGAAAAATTCCACCGCGAAATTAAATGGACCTTACCCTTCCTATCAAAGATAGCAAAAAACCACCATTTTCCAGTATCTTCGTTAAACACATGTCGCCGAAATTCTTTCTTGAGCGCAAATGTCGCAAGTTTAATCGCACGCACGACAAGTCCGGACAAGACAAATTAACAGACCCCGCAGTAGGATATCAAGTTGATTATTCCCGTTATCGTGGATGATCTTATTTTCAAGAGGAAAAGGTCGCATTCGGGGCAGTGTGCTTTAATCTCTGTCAGTCCTCAAACAAGTTTAACATCTCTGGTGGGATCTGAGAAGACTTTGTTTTGATTTGAACTCAATCCAAACACTAACGATAGATTGGAAAATATGACTAAGTATTTGAATTGTTTTTCGACGAATTCGAGCCTGCGGAAATTACCTCGATATCTTTAGATCTGTAATTTTGATGGCAACGTTTTTCTCACTCGGTTGACAGCCAACCTATGAAACAAAACAGTCTCCAGTACTGTGACTGGTTTTGGAGGCAGGAAGCTTTCGTTGTCAACAACGAGAAGTTTTAATACCAATGCGTTAAAAGTTGGCGGAATGAGATAAAGTTTGATTGAAATAAGATGGAGAAAAAGCCGACGCAAAATAAATTTTTCGCGCGGAGCATAAGAAAACAAAGACCGGAAACGTTCAACTTGCCGGAAGTTGGTTTAAAGCAATTACCATCAATAATGCCTGGAAAATTCACACCCGACTGCGACAGTTTATAATTCTATAGAGGTGTCCTTCATATGACTCCCCCTAATTGAGCAAAACAATAAAAGACTCACAAGTTTAATCAAACAATATTAGTCGGATAAACCCTTTTTACCGTGACCGAATCAAGTTTGGAAGAGATTTAGCGAGCGTTTCTTGTTAAAATCATTCAATCATGGAAAAGGCCATGTTTTGTTTTCGGCCTGGTTATCATGTGTTTGACACGGTCCGGATATTTCAACAAGTTGCTTCGGAAGCTATATTACATAGCCCCCAGGGAACAAAACAAATAATATGGCATACGAAGTTAAGGTTCAAGGAGCATTTGCCAATGATCCTACTCCTCTTAAGCGGTAATGTTTTGTTTCGTTCTTTTTTTTATCAGATCTTAAATCGATCATACGTGTGGAAACCATAAGCTAGTCATTACCACGCCTGTACTGTAATGGTCCGAGATTAGTGCCGCATATAACGCAACGAGATCGCTGATTGGTTGGGTCTATTGTCGCGCTGTCAGTCGATACAATCGCCAGCCAATGGCAGATAAACATCAATTTACCCCCAATGGCTTCATGTGTATAGCGAGTAGTTTTCATTGCTGGGTCGTGTGAAGAAGTCAACAGTCTTGGTTGAGTGCAGATTTGGAAGTTTTTTCTTATTAACTCGTGCTAATCACGCGCGTGAGAAAAATGGAAGCAGGACCGCTAACGCGAAATTATCCGAGTATTTATGAATGTTTGACGAGCCATAGTTCCTCCATACCTCCGTTTGGCCTTCAGAGATCTGTAATTCCTGATAACGTAGAAATTACTCAAGACCCAAGCCATGGTTTTACGTACGCTGAGTCTCCCATGCATTTGCCAAGCTTGAGGACGGGCGCGCACGATTTTATCCACACACTATCAGGGGGTACCGCTCAAGGGGCATTTAACCTGCAGACCAATTATCCTGTCCCAGCGGCGTATTCGACGTTGGCTGCCCGTGGAAGAGAGTTCCTGCTACGCCGTGAACACACAGTAACGCTTCCCTCGGTATCGTTACCAACTCACACCATCTCCGCGGACGTGACAACTTCGTCGGCGAATCTTGTTGTTCCACCACCGCCCCCTTCTGCGTTTCAACAAACGATCTTCACAACAAGCAACGCTGCGCTCCATGCCATAAACATCCCGAGTTTTTCAAGCACCACGGCTCCACCGCTGCCGTCGCAAACGTTTGGACAAAATGTGCAACACGCCGCCAGTTTCACCAACTCAAGTCTCTCGAACGTTCAAGCGTCACCAGCATCTGAAAGCAGCAACAGTAGCGGTGATTCGTCAACAGAGACCTCTCGTGTAACGGTGAATATCGGTGACCCTCAAGGAAGTATTACATTGCCTCGTCCAAGCCCGCTAAATGCAATGAAAGCTAATTTTGTTCCCTCACCCAATAACGTTGTATCGTCCATGGAACTCTCATCTAACGGCGCGTTCTTCCGTTATATAAGACCTCAGGAAAAGCAGGAGTTTGTGTGCAGATGGACTCTTTTGCGAAACAAAATATCTGTTCCTTGCGATAAGAATTATCAGTCTATTCAAGATCTGGTAAAACATCTTTCTTTGGAACACGTTGGAGGGAGCGATGGAAATTCCTCCCACGTTTGTCTATGGAGCGATTGTCACAGGGAAGGCAAGCCGTTTAAAGCCAAATACAAGCTTATCAACCACATTCGGGTCCACACTGGAGAGAAGCCATTTTCGTGCCCTTTCGCAAACTGCGGTAAAACGTTTGCTCGCTCGGAAAATCTCAAAATACATAAGCGCACCCACACTGGGGAGAAACCGTTCGTGTGTGAATTTCCTGGATGCAATCGTCGCTTTGCCAACTCGAGCGATCGGAAAAAGCATTCGCACGTTCACACTGCTGACAAACCGTACCTTTGCAGAGCGCCGGGATGTGGGAAAAGCTACACACACCCCAGTTCTCTTAGAAAGCATTTAAAGATGCACTTAAAGGCTGCTAATGGCGATCTTTCATTGGACAGTAACGACAGCATGGCGTTCATCTCACAGGCGGAACTACAATTGAACAATGCTAACGCTTCTAGAAACATTCAGCCATGGCTTGCGTTGTCTCAGCAATCAACAAAAAATCCTAGTGCATCGAATTCTTTGGGTGTGAAAATAGAGCCCTCGAACTAAATTTAACACTGACAAATCTGAGAATAAGACATTGTGAGTAAACGGGACAGATCCAGTGCTGTTCTCACAAGTTTCCTTTATTATTCAGTTGGAACTCTACGGAAGGGCATATGAGACATAAGATATGATGTAACGATTTTTTACGTAAACGGAAATCGTTTGTTTTACTTCGACCACTATTTAAAAGCAAGAAAGATCCGAAATGTTAATTCTTAATTCAAAGGAAATCTAACAATATTAGTTTCGTTTTCAATTCTCGCACACAAAGATGAAACTCGCCGCGACTGTTCTAGTGGAAATGATGCCCGCTCGATTAGTTATGTGTTAATTCAAATCACGTTTATTGTAAATTCCTACGCCTAATTTGTGTGGAATCATATTTACAAAAATAAAATGGATATCATCGTTCGCGGTAAGAGTGTCTTAAAGAATAACATAGATGTTCATTTTCAAAGAAGGAAAGTAATTTATTTTTCAATCTATTTTTTCAGGCTCACATCCAAGCTTGTAAAACACAATACAAATAAAGATAGTGATGAGAGATGTATCCTGTGTCTGTGAATTTTATAACGATGTTTGGCTTAAGGACCAGTTACCGAGTAACCTAGGGTGGGACGGAAATACATGTCGACACTCAATAGCATATTATCTGATGTTATATTGGGAACTTACATTGGGGGGTAGAACCCACGGGATACCCTTATGACTCTCATCTCCAAAAAGACTGACTTAAACAAACGCGATTTGCGAGATCGTCTTATTACATGATCTGTAGGGCCAGGTTCAAGTTTCTGAGATAAAAACAGTGTGGATTTAAAACTCGTAGATCATTGGCATATCACACGTACGCCAACTAATGAGAGTGTTAAAGTAAGGACCAAACGTGATCTGTGATAGCCAACATTTCAGCACTGTTCTTAAGTTGAATAAAATCCGCGCTTTAAAAGTTAGCTTTATGACGTAAGTACTGAAGTTAGCCGTCAGCCAGAGTCCTTTTTCAAAGCACTTGACTGGTTCCTTTACAGTATTGTTGTAGACCTGAATTTCTTTATCGCCATAATGCGCTGCGCTCTCTTTGACAACATAGAATGTTGCTTCCCCCCAACTGCGGGTCAAGATGTGGTTTGTTCAGTTCTTCCGTGTGTTTTGACTGTGTATTTAAATCACTTTTCAAACAGGCCACCAAAGGATTGACGCGTGGCAAACCCGAATTCATTTCAACTTTATTATTTGTAAGCTCCACCTGAGTTTTCAATTCAATCATGACTACAAGCTGCTCAATTAATAGATGAATGTCTGGTGCAACAGAACACATGATTGTCGTTGAACTAAGATCATGTGTTCCATTAGATTTACGTATGGAGATGCGCTGACCTTTTTAGTCTCATTTGATCAGCCTAATGGTCAATCGTGTTTATTTGTCCCTGCACTCTTGAAAACAATCCCCACTTCTAAAGCAATCTACTCGTTGAGGAAACGTGCTGGTACAACTTAAACAAACAAGTTTGTGGGACAAACATCTAATTGTTTTGATAAAAATTTTTTTCACGAAAATACTGTTCTTGCTCACATTTATCGAGGAAAAAGATATGATCAGTTGTACAACGAGGTCACGTTTTTTTCCGCCCGCAACAAAAATAAAATGTTAGTTTTTAAACAATTTTCCGTTTTAGTCTTAAATAGTTTAAGACGTTTTATCTATGCTATCACAATGTTTTTATATGCCTCACACGAACTGTCCGAGTTTACAAGTATTTTTACAGATTCGTTCATATGTGTTTGGTCTGTCTGAATCCAATTGACGCCAAGTCGTGCTCCAGTCTGTCAGGAGGGCGGCACAAGTTATAAGCCGTGAATATTTTCTGTTTATCGCAATCATCGTGGGTAGTATATTTCATTCTTTCGACAAGATTTATCATGATTAAGTTGTTAGGGAGATGTGCGGCGCTCTTGACATGTAATAAATCTTATAGACGCCATTTGACTGATCTAGGCTTTATAAAAAACACAGATATACTATACTTGGTTAAGAGTACAATAATTTGAATCATGATCCCAAATAGCTGATAACATACTCGAGAAAAGAAAAAAAAAACAAGAAAAAGAAGAGTAACCAAGTTTGATGATCATCTTACAGTTCTCTGGTTAAAGTTAGCTTTCGGCTCTTCAAGAGCTTGAATTTAATGGCGCGTGGTGGAAAATACATGGGAGTCGAAAGCGTGAAAAATTAGATTTAAAAGGATAAAATAGGGAAAATTTGAACTATTTTAGAGAGAAAATTGTTTTAAAAGCGACTTGGAGTTAATTCCTGATACATAAAGTTATACTAGTTACGTTTCTCCCAAGTGCACACAAGACCCATCCTTAGGATAATTCAAATATCATTAAAATTCTGCCGACGAAAAAAAAATTAAAAGGTTACGACATTGCAGTTCATCTGCTAGAGGCATCGTTCCGTTAAAATTCGGAATTTCCGAGCAAAATGACAATTTGAGCTAATTTAGCGGAGGAACTCCTATTCGGGTCCAATTTCTTGTGTTTCTCTGGTAGGAAGTGTGACGGGCAGTTACCCCGATTGTACCAATTCACGAGAAGTATTCCTTTTTGATCATTCGACCCCTGAGAGTGACTTGGATCAAACTTCTCCTTACAAGGTCACTCCGGAATCAAACATCAAGATTACGAAAGAAAAAAAAAAAAGAAAAAAAGCTCTTGATTGTTACACAAATTCTCCTCGTCGCCACTCTAGGAAATGTCTAGAGAAAAGTAAGGAGAATGTGCATAATAATGTAAAAGGGTTAACGAGCGGGAAAGCCGCGTTCTTAACTGAGAGCAGAGAGCAAATCCGTTTATGACGCCTCGTTGTTTTTCGTTGCAGGGGAAGCCTGGGAACCAAACACTTCACCTCCCCAGATTGAGGTTAACTATGGGACAGTTTCTCTTCTCCGTTCCACACACAATATTTCTTCCTCAATTTATTCACGTGCGTTCAACTATCAAACCAAGGATTTCACAGGTATCTCCCTCAGATATCCTTATCTATTTTGATCCTTAGAGTCATTTCTTCTCCAAGTTCTTCAAGACAACATCGATATAAATTAGTTGCCACCAATCAGCTTTCATTTGTCCAAAGACGTTTCAATGGTGTCTTGCTGAATTGTTCTTCAAGTTCAAGAAGAGTATTCCGTATCTCCTCATGAATTTCATTTTTGTCTTTCATAGCGTCTACCACCTGCACATAACAAAAACCGGAGAAACAAAAGAAAACAAGATGTTACTTCCCTGCCTCTTGGAAATAAAAAGAGTAGAGAGTATCTACTCATGTATGTTATTCAATCCTTCTGTCACCCGTTGTAAGTTAGTTAAGCTCAATATGTAAAATAAAAGCTACAAAAAAATTACAGATGTCAATTGAAGCACTAAATAATGATTATGCTTGTCCCTTTTATTTTTCTTTCCATCCAGATTTAGACAGAACCACTGGAGCCTTTCAATCAAGGGTATCTTACCAAATTTATGGTCAAAACAAACTCAATAAAAACCTCACTATTTTTACTAACATTCCATCTTTGCCATCACATACTACATTTAAATTCCACTGGGCTTTGAAGTCTTGATCAGATCATCTCAGCGTGATAAGTCCATAAAAAAATCTCCCCAGGGCAAAACATTTTTACTTACAGTTCAAAAATGTTAGTAGTGAAGATCAGGGTACCAGGAATTGTCTTTCAGCAAAAATGCATAAGAGGGATTTGAGGGAATTGTTTAAAGGGGGTCCAGGAGAACATCAGAAAATTCTATTGTCTCCTCCTCTGAATACATTTTCATCTACTATGTAATATTGCAAAAGCATGCTCCATAGGTGTTATAATTGACCTAACTTAACTGTGCATATAATTCACAAGTAGAGCATTTAGTTGTTGTGTGTGTAGGATCAGAAGAGATAAGCTTAGTTCAAGTGTTGGGGAAATAGAGTTCCTTTGTCTTATTTTTGCAAAACCTGAACCATCCATGGAACCAGAGCTTGGTGGTATTTACCTTCCAGTCATTACTTTTAAGTTGTTCATAAATCTCAGCGACTCGTTCTTGGAATTCAGCCTTCTCATATCTTTCCTCCCCATAAGATCCTCTAGTTTGTGCATCTTTTGTTGAGATGTCTAAATAGAATATTAAATCAGGATCTGGCAAGCCCCGATCAGGATTCTTACACCACGTCACATCATAGCCCTATCAAAGCAAACCAATGTTAGACTTTTCTAAAGCTATGAGCAAAAACTCTGATCAATAAATAAGAAGTGCCAAAATATATAAGGAAAAGTAGCAGGTATTTTGCAATATCCTCCCACCTTGGCTGCTGTAAAAGCAACTCCTGAAAAAGCATAACGATCCACAACTACAAAGGTTCCATTGTCTAATAGTTGCTTTATTCTTGGTCTGAAACCGGAGAAAAGTTGTCAAAAATACTTTGATAAATATAAATAAATAAAATAAAATTGTGTAATAATTTCTCTAGAATTTATTGAGGGTAGCAAAGAGATTATAAAGCAAAAAAGACTAGGTAAGGCAAAATTTTTCTTTTCAAATCTGTGATGCATGATTTTCCTAAAATGTGTGTGTGAAACATGATCAAGAACCCCCTCCCCCTTCTTTATTGTAATTGAAATATGGAAAGCTTCTCAAAGGAGAGGATTTTGCCACAAAGAAGAGCAAGTCATTCAGGGAATGTGAATGAAGACCTTTAAAGGTTTAAATTAATCCTCAATCCTTCAAGGTAACAATCTTGGATGGGTAGATAATTCCCTACAAGGTTATTTTCTCGCTAGATCTTGTGCAAGACTAGCTCTATATGAAGTCACACAGATGTGGTCAGAATTAAAAACCTTTCACATCTCAGCTATCATATCTTAACATGTCACCTACTTTGGAAGAGCCCCACCAACAACCCTCTGCTCTCTGCCCTAGGAGATACCCCACTACACCAGTTCACACCCCCCTCCCACCCAGCAACTATAGACCCAAATGTAAGTGGAAAGAGGACATCAAGGAGATCTAAAGGTGCATGCATCTCTCCCTCCATCTCGTTCCATCTCATCTTGTGGTGGATACATAATCAATCCCTTTGAATACTAAGAATGTAAAAGTCAAATTATGTCAATAATTTTTTAATTGAAAAAAAGCAAATAAAGATTGTTGGACTTAGTAGATGTCACCTACACCGACTCCCATCTGTTGGCAGAGAACAGTAAATGAATGGCATGATCTTCTAACTCTGTTGTTCCTTGAAGATAATCATTAATAGATTGTCCTATGGCCGTTGTTCTGTCTGTAGACAAACAAAACACTCTAGGATACATTGCAAGACAAGAAAAGACAAGAATACATTACTTCCACAAGAAATAAACATGTAGCTTCTTCTTAAACTCTAAATACATTATTTTGTAAACATGTGATGAGAATTGACACACTTAACACGACGACACTGATGTATCACCAAATTCCCTATACTTATTTATAAGGCCGTGTGAAGTAACTAAAAGGGAGAATTACAAATCAGATCGTCATGGTAGGATTGTGGTTTGAGAAATGAAGCATCAAGAGACACTGCACATAGGCAACTGCCTTCATTAACCAGTGTAAGCCACAAACGTGATCGTAAGGATATAAATGGTGCTTGAGAAATCATTGTGTTATCAGTGGAGAAGAAGCAAATTTCCCAGTTTCATGTCAATACAACATATTACTGAAAATATTTCTCAAAGGAAGAGATAGCCTTTAATTTACCTGGAAAACGCAAATGAGCTACATCTCTTCCAATCGATTTCAAGTAATCTACAAGCATTCTACACTGTGTCGATTTCCCACTTCGATCGCAGCCTTCGAACACCACCAAAATACCACGACTCCTTCGTGCTACGGAGCTCATCATTATTCTCAAAAATTAGGTTATAGTCTATACGACCCCAATAAATAATTAAACTGTCTCAGGCATCAACCGAGGAAGCGAAAATTAACGTCAAAGTTTTGGCGGATTTTGGAATAATCGGTTCCAGTCTTTCAACCGGTAATTGCAATTGCATGTCACGTATTTATGACACCGTGACTCAGTGCTTGGTATGATATAATACCCCGCAACTTTGGTCCGCCTCACTTACATGTGTCGGGAGGCTTTGAAGATCGAGGCATAACACAATAGACGCTATTCTTATTCAATGACATGTAAATGAGTTGCGGGGTATTCTGAAGTTGCTCCATTACTTTTCTCATCGAAAAGAAAAATACTAGGCGTAGATCTCGTGGGTTCGATCTGGTACCGAATGAATTGAGTTACGGTATAATGAGTTTCAGAGCTACTCAAATAAGCCGAGTGTCGAGCCAATAAAATAAAACTCAAAGAAGAAGATTTGTAGCACCTTCAGCAAGTCATGAAGGGTGATGTTGAATTTGTCCATTTTCATGCAAATTTGGTTTGTATAAAAGTACAAAGCCTTTTTACCGTTGACTTCAACCGACGGTTGAACCAAGTCACAAAAATAAATTAAATATTGCCAAGAAACCCACATAACACAATACTATAAAAATTATTACGCAATTGAAACGTAGCAATATCGTGAAGTCAGAAAAACATCGTTCACGGAAAATCAAATTTCAAATCACGAATTTTTAAAAAGTTTCTAAGTAATTACCATGTCACCATACTGTATGATACAACTCCTATGTTTGGCTAGCACTGAAAATAAATTGCACCTGTTCCAGATGTTTTAAGTGTATTCTAGAAACTAGATTTATTTCAGAGCCAACCTATAAATATTTATAACTTTTAATGTCTTAATTCTGTTCAAATGACTTTCATTACTGAAAAGGAAGTTTTCCTTCATTACCTTTTACCAGCTCGATTGTGTTACAGAATTGAACTAGTTATTCTTACAAAAAAATAAAGCAAGTCTCTATTCCACAGAAGGAAGAGTCTGCTCTTTTATCGCCTGATTGAAAATAAATGTTTTCCTGTTCATTTGAACGTATAAAGCCACTTGACCACAACGCTTAACCAGAAAGTTTTTCAAAAACGTCACAGCAGTGTAAGTATCTTTATCCATTAGCTGTATCGATATTTGATTCTATTGTCGAAGTCTTGGTTCAGTTTTCTCAGTTTATTAGTTCTTGCTCGCTGTTGTGTAGACGTAGGCGATCAGCAATGCAAACAACCCAAGTAAAACAGGCAACGCCACTGTTAAAACCTTTTGATGTCCCTCTGCATTTCCATGTTTTCTCTCCCTCTTCATTCTCCTTGTTTCTTTGGACGCTTTTCCTGGTAGCTGCCTCATACTTGGTTAGGAAACAAACCAAAAGAAGACGTTGAGAGATCGTCAGTAAATTGTTCGACAAAGTTCTCTGGTCCTCTGTCACGCTACAGTGGCGATAGCCTTAACGACAACACGACACGTCATGCGTTGATATCAGAGCTAACGTTCTTTCTGACCAGCGGTAGATTTTCTTGAAAAAACAACCATGTGGTGTAATGGTCATATGGTGGTTTGACTAGGTGAGAAGAAGGCGCTAGTTTTGTCGACCAATCACAGAGCCTCGTGAAGGAAAAAAAAATACAATTTAGTAATTCTTTCGGCTCTCAATTAAAAATTTCAAAAATGATCAACGTAATAATCCATGAATAAAGCTGTCGGCAATAACATTTTTAATCTGTCTTCTGTGGAAGTAAAGTTGGAAGATCGTTCGGTGCACTGTTGTTAATGGAATTTAGAAACTTTGGGTGGGTTATATATGAAAATCATATATGTGCTCTGCGGTGAAGAAACAGGAATAAGCGATCCTCGCAGCTATGGACACTACCGAACCTAGCAGCTGAAATAAGACCTGAAAAAAATTCAGCACTGACGAAGGGCTAACGCCCGAAACGTCAGCTTTTTTACTCTTTACGGTGGCTAATTTACGTTTTCAATTCAGTTATTAACACTTAATTACTTGCTATACTCTCCTACCGACGCAGCACCTCAGTTTCTCCAGAAACTTACCCCCTTTATTCATTTATGAATGGTGACACTTTCGTGGTTTACTTATGTAGAACTTTACGGTCTACCTCGCATAAATTAGGAGTGAATATAAGTTTTCCCTGGGCCAAATGTCTCTCTTTCACTGCGCAGGGCCCATGCCATCAATACATCACAACTAACCCTAATTACGGACTAATTAAAACTATGTGCTTCTCGATCGTACATCCTAAACGAAACTTACGGATATGACAGTTTTACTTACGGTTGTCCTTGAAAAGAAGAATACTTTTTAAGACTACTGGTATTTCACATTATGAGCTCCTTTTTAAGTGCTCATTTTACGAGGAACGAAGAAAGCTTTATAACTATCTATCAAACGAACGAACTTAAAGCTGTTAACAAGTAATTTATTAATGCTTAAAGTAATAAATCGCGTATAACTTGTTTAGATAACTTCCTAATCAACACTCATGGAAAGTTGTTTGACAAATCACTGCTTTGTGTGTGAATTTAAACCAATCGTTTTATAAACTCTCGTCTCACAGTAATTACTTAAGACGAATATAATTTACCAAAATACCAGACTACAACGAAAACATATTACCTGTTCGTTTAAATTTATCCTACCAACCACCTGCTGCATAATTTATTACCATCGTCAGATCACGTCACTAAACGGACCGACTTGATCTCGGCAAGAGATTAGTTTGTTTAGAAAAAGCCGCCTTTATTTCCTTAATATTTACAATGGCCCTTCCTTTACACAGGAAATATGACTTGGATGTGCGGTGCGAAGAAAGATGATAATGGATTCATGGATTATTTATCCCTTGGTCTTTCTATTATGGAGTCAAGTCTGCTTGTGCACTAACCAACAAAATTCTACAACAAAATTCAAGAACTACACGGACATAGCGCTGGGATTCTTGAAGAACTATGAAGTTCAGGCAACAAAGATTTACTCTGGGGAGAGCGAAGCCACTTGGAATTATGAAACGGACTTAACCGAGAACAACAGGAAACTCTCCGTTTTCAACGCGACTTTCGCTAAAGCGTTCAGTGTGACTGCCAGCAAAAATGCTTCTCTCATTAAAGATGTCGACTTATCAAACGATATGGCACGCCAAATTAGGATAATTCGCCGTAACGCCCTTCCTAAATCACCAACAGACATGAAGTCAATAGATGACCTTATTTCAAATATGACTAATATTTATAGCAGTGGAAAATTATGTACGAAAAATGAATATACCAACAAAACCCGCTGCTTCGAACTCGATCCAGACCTCAATGATTTAATGGCGAAGTCACGTGATTACGATGAGTTGTTATGGGGTTGGAAAAGCTGGCGAGACAAGGTTGGTCCTCCGATGAGACCGCTTTACGAAAAACTTGTTGTCCTTCTAAATTCCGGAGCTCGTGAACATGAATGGGGAGACTACGGAAATTTTCAACGAAGCGAATATGAAATGGGAAATGACTTTCAAACAGCTATCAAGAGGTTGTGGAATGAAGTCAGGATGTTATACCAGGAACTGCATGCTTATGTGAGGTACAAATTACACGAGAAGTATCCTCAAGTGCCGGTGAATGGGAGCATCCAGGCCCATCTCTTAGGGAACATGTGGGCCCAGGAATGGAGTTTAATCTACGACATTGTAAAACCCTTTCCAAAAGTTCCATCACTGGATGTTACACCGAACTTAATCAAGCAGCAGTACACTCCCAAAAAGATGTTTAAACTTGCGCAGTCGTTTTTTGTTTCCTTAGGTCTAGATCCAATGCCGCAGACGTTTTGGAATAAATCCGTTATCAGAAAACCTAAGGGAAAACAGATGGTCTGTCACCCATCGGCCTGGGACTTCTGCAAAGGAGATGTTCGGTAAGGCGAAACAAAATAAGTTTCTTCCAGTCAAACTCGACTGACCAGATAGCTGACTGATTGACTGACTGACTGGCTGACTGACTTAATGACTGACAGACTGACAGACTGACAGACTGACAGACTGACAGACTGACAGACTGACAGACTGACAGACTGACAGACTGACAGACTGACAGACTGACAGACTGACAGATGACTGACAGACTGACAGACTGACAGACTGACAGACTGACTTAATGACTGACAGACTGACAGATGACAGACTGACAGACTGGGTGACTGACTGACTGACTCATTCACAGACTCATTCACACATTCACTGACCGGCTGCCTAGGGTACTAACGAACCGACTACGTCAGTGATTTCTTTCTGACTGACTGAAATACAGAATGAACAAATGAACGAATGAGCAAGCGGGCGAGCGGGCGAGCGGGCGAGCGGGCGAGCGGGCGAGCGGGCGAGCGGGCGAGCGGGCGAGCGGGCGAGCGGGCGAGCGGGCGAGCGGGCGAGCGGGCGAGCGGGCGAGCGGGCGAGCGGGCGAGCGGGCGAGCGGGCGAGTGGGCGAGTGGGCGAGTGGGCGAGCTAGCAAACGAGTGAATGGATGACTTCATAAATGAACACATGAAGAAGGGAAGTACTTGATGAATCCATAAATTGATATCCTTGTTTAACCAATGGATTGATGTGTTTTGGTTTCGAGCAGATCGTTGTGTACTTTTTACTTAACAAACCTAAACAGCTTAAAAATAGGTGAATGAATTTTGTTACTACAGAATAAAGATGTGCACCGGAATGACTCAGGAACATTTGATAACAATTCACCATGAGATGGGACATTGTGAATATGATCTCGCATACAAAGACCTCCCGTATGCCTACAGAAGTGGTGCCAATCCGGGATTTCATGAGGCTATAGGAGATACAATTGCACTCTCAGTGGAAAACCCAAAGCATCTTAAGTCCGTGGGACTACTGTACACGGTTGGAAATGATACAGGCAAGCAAGTTCTTTGAACTCTTTAGGTTTGATCTGAAAGACGCAGAGGGGCTTGAAGCAGAGTGATCTGCGTTGTACTGGACGTGTATTTAACCCTACGAGTCATTATTGATTTAATTTCCCATGCTTTTATTAAACTTAGCTGCTATCCAAGAATAAGCTAACAGGCACTATAAATATGTTCCTGAGGAAATTTATCATTTTGTCTGAAAAAGAAAATTCTAAAGACACTTTACTTCCCTGTCGTCAACATGCTGTGAAAACCTACATGAGTATTTGTTAACGTTGTTATTGCAGAGGCGGACGTAAACTTTTTGATGATGCAAGCATTACGCCGTGTAGCTCCCCTTCCTTTCACATTACTTGTCGACCAGTGGAGATGGAAGGTGTTCTCCGGAAGGATCACACCTTCAAACTACAATTCAGAGTGGTGGCGATTGCGTATGCATTACCAAGGTGTCATGTCACCAGTCCCTCGGACGGAGAAGGACTTTGACCCGGGGGCTAAGTATCACGTGGGAGCCAATTACCCTTACATCAGGTGATGCACAATTAATATATAGGATGCATCATAGTTCAGCCTCAAAAGCCAAAACTGAAAGTGATCACTACAACCAGTCAGAACAGAGGAAAATGTCACGAGCAGCTAAACTGTCTAAAGCGGGGGAAAACGCGGGTGACCGAGTCGCGGTTGGTTTTGGTTTTGTATTTGATTGATCGAGAGAATGGCTCAAGTTTTTTAGATCAATTACGGAGCGAAGTGATGCAAAACCAGTCCAAACCCGGTTTACCAACTGAATTGATAATGTGATTTTTTTCTAAAGCTAAAGTTTCGAACGTTAGCCCTTCGTCAGAGCTGTCATCCGAAACGCTCTAAATTAACTGAAAATTGTCAACAGCTTTAGTTTTTAAGGAAAAGGCTACTGAGTTTCAGTCGCTACTAGCTGTGACCGAAAGGTAACCAGTTGCAGTTCTCGGCCGCCAGGTTTTTTCTAATAAACGCACATCGAGCGCTAATCAAAAGTCCGGCAAACAGCGACTTTTCATCGAGGCACTTATTTGAGGTAACGTTCAAATGATTGTTTCATTTTTTATGCTAAATCTATTATTTTGCTATTTTTGTATACAGCTATTTCGTGTCACTGATCCTCCAATTTCAATTCCACCGCTCTCTTTGTAAAATTGCTAAGCGCGAAGGGAGTCTACATGAATGTTCAATCTACAAGTCAAAAGAAGCAGGCCAAAAATTCAGGTACAGTCCGTCAATTCATAAGTTAGTCCAGTATGAAAACACAATGATAGAGGATCTACAGAAAACAGAACTCTCAATTTGGTGGCATAACGAAGGGATATACCCTAATGTTTTTTAAATTCAAATAATATCCTCAAAATTTCAAGTTTCCTTCGAAATTCGATTCCCAAAACACAGATGTCAGACAATCTAGACGCCTAAGACATTGATTACCTTCAGGACTTTTTGAGATGAATAAATTCACCATATTTTGAGGAAATTTGTAATAAGAGCTGATTTCTGATGTTGATTGGGCGCTGTGTCGATGTAAGATTAAACTTAAGATTTAATCTATACTGAATTTACAACAGTACCGCTCGATCTGCTTATCATTTTTATCCCTCTCTGAAGAGACATGCTCGCCGCCGGACGTAGCCGCCCATGGCCCCAGACCCTTTACCACTTAACAGGCGAGCGCGAGATGACAGCCAGCGCCATATTGGAGTATTTTGCCCCTTTACAACAATGGCTCGTCAAGTATCGCCTGGAAAAGGGATATACTATTGGTTGGAAGAAACGGAAGATGGTTCCAAGTCCAGTAGTAAATGGTGCCAGAAAAACATTATCATCTACAAAGTCGAATTCATCCATCACAAAACCTCAAGTGCTCCTTAATAAAACCCGGTCAGACCTTACAGAGAAAGGTTCAAAACCAGGCAACAATAATGGAACTGTCGATGTATCATTTCCAGAAGTCAAGAAAAATGACGATGCCATTAATTTAGGCAAACCAGATTTAAAAGCTGCCTTGGCAGCCATGGGGCCAGTACTAAAAACATCAGAAGAAAACTCAGGCAAAGATAAGTCACTCCTTGACCCTAAGTCTGACATCTTAGGGGCTAAGCCAATGTTTGTTCCTAATAAAATCAAAGATCAATTAGTGTTAGGTTAGTTGTTCCGGGGTTCCGTCTGGCTTGTGAAATGTTGTGCGATCTTTTTTTTCCATCAGAATTAAGGTTGCAAAGATGCAAACCCTTATTTTGTCGGAATGACTTTCATTTCGATAAAATTTTAGATCAAATATTTGATTGTGAAACAGAGAAGTAGCCGTGAAACCGATCATAGTCGGAAAGAACTAGGTCAAAAAGTGTTTTGCGCAGCCCAACATCAAGTAGATTTTCTCCAATTCCCCATTCGCCTTAGTAAGGACTGAAGGCGTTGGGACCGAGCCCTATGTACTATTGGCTGAGCCAATATACGGATCAAGAGACTAACACACGCGTTGGTTCCTCAGAAATGGTACAGGGAGGATGATTGTTTACCACTCACGCAAATAAGTACAAAAATTTCCCGTAAATTTATTACGTAAAAAATAATTTTGTAAAATAATATTCTTAACAATAAAGTGCTTGCTATTATCGGTTATAAGTTCCTTGTCGTTCCACTCCGCACGAACTCACTTTGCCTTCAAAGGCATGTTACACTGTCAACTGGATATCACACCATTGTCACAACTAATCGCTCACTAATCTTCTCTGGACCTAGGAAGATTGTGTTGAAATCCCCTATAACATGAAGTGTTTATTGTCCTTACTGACAAAAATTGTTTCTTGGAATTAATAGTTAAAATTTGAATGTTATACCTCAAGATTGAACGCCATTTTAAATCTTGAATGAAGCAATAACAAGCTAAAAATTGGGAGATTTATGCTTCAGTGGTTATAAAATTAAGGTGAGTATACAAGAACAAGATGGCAAATAAAGCCGTTTCATAAAAAACAATTTTAAAAAATTTCAAGAGGCATTTGTCTAAATAAAGATGGTCGAAAAACTTAATTTTATATCGAAGAGCAGCGCAGCTTTAGCTTCAAATAGAAGGGAAAAAATTACTCTCACTTTAATAGCCGACTGGAAACAAGTCACTCGCTACCTTAAAAAACCTACACAGCAAATACAACTACTTGAGAAGATTCGCAGGTATACCCAAAATGAAGGACTATGCTCGCTTTCTTTTCACCGCGAAGAACGGAAAAGTCGTTACTGCTCTTTTTCTTCTTTTTCCATTTTATCATTCCATTTGTAAATCCCTCTTACTTTCCATTTCTGATACCTAGCAAAGTTATCAACTTTTTCCTTTCACCGTTAGTCTTCCGTGATTCATTCGACCGATCTAAACCAATTTTTTGACTAGTCTTTTGTCCAGGTTTTGTGTTATCAGCTATTTACTTACAAAATGATCTAAAGCATGATCTAGTGTTACGAAACCGAAATAATGATGACCTTCAGCGTTCAATGATTGTTCCACTTCTAATCCTTGATGATAAGGAAAAGCTCTTTATCAACTCAATTGGACCTAATCTTTTGTCCAGGTTTTATGTTGTCTGCTATTTACTTAGAAAATGATCTAAAGCATGATCCATTGTTACGAAACCGAAATAATGAGGACCTTCAGCGCTCAGTGATTGTTCCACTTCTAATCCAGTCATTTACAAATAAGTACCGCTAGCGTACTGGCTGCTTACCATGGCTGGCCTGTTCCTGCGTGCTCCATCACCATTTAGATATCCGTATGGCTCAGGGTAGCCATGTCTATAGCTCCTGCCACTTTCTTTGTTGTGTTTTCTGTTATCTTGAACTCGTTCTCCTGGCTGAGGGCTGAACCATTGGTCTTTGGTTGCGTTTTGATTGCTGTCGTATTCGTAAAATACTGGTTCATCCTCCTCAGGTCCTCTTGTATCATTTGTGTAAGGAATTTTGATAGGAAGACGTTGCTCAGGTTCATATGGGTGTGGCACCCCCCTGTGTTCGTAGGGTTCCGGGTAAGGCACTACTCCTCCATTCATTTCCTCTGCGTATTCATCGGTTACTTCTTCATAGACGTCTTGATACCCGATGAGCGTTCCGTCATTGTCATAGACGCCTATTATTCTCCTTTTGTAAGAGCCCTCCGGTTTCCGCAGGGGTACTTTGTACGGATCTGGATATTTTTCCACCTGACCGTCAAAATCGTCAGGATACTCCCCACCGGGGCTACTCTGGTAAGAATAAGCCTCCCGTGGGGGCTGCAGTGGTGGTTCCTCCCAGTCGTACGGTGGGGGTTCGGGCCATCTTTCTTCCCGTGCATTTGGCTCCTCGGGATAATACTCTTTGTTATTGCCGACACCATTTTCAGGCGGCTGATTGTACACATCATTGTATACGTCAGGTGGGTCATGATGGTGCGCATGCGCGTGTAAGAGACCATCCAATTTAAACTGATCCTCTTTGCTGAATGCCCTAAATCTTCCCTCTGGTATCAGCTCCTTATCTGATAGTTCTTTCTCTAGAGTCTGCCCTGGTTGATTGTTATTTCGGCTGGGTACCGGTTGAAAGGCTCCCCCACTGAGACGCACTCCGGAAGCCTTGAGAAACGGGAACCTTTCTGGATCAACACTCTTAGGAAGCTGAGGCCTGGGTAGGGCTTGAGCACTCACGAGAATTCGCTCTGGGTCGGTAGATGGAGATGTGAAATTGAATTGTGGGGCACTTTCAACTTGCGGGGCTGAGTAAACAACAGGAGGAACATCCTCATCGTCACCTTCGTGAGAGAAGCTATCTTCATCGTTATCTTCTGGTTCGGATGCAGTGAGTTCCACAGGGTGACTAACCAGAGGGTTTCCCTCTGAACCATAGTCCACAGTGACTGCAACAGGCTCTCCAATAACAACAGTTCCTGGCAACTGGCTGATGGAAATCTCCAGCTCGGAAGTACTACGACCAAGCCCGGGGGTAACAACACGACTGCGTACACGTTCTTGTACGAATACACCTAATTGCACCTCAGGTTTCCTTTCAACATCAATAGTTAGGGACGTGGTTTCCGGTGTCTTTTCCGGTACCACAACAAGACCAGCGCGGAGTTTCTCGATTTCTGTGCGACTCGCCTGATATCGCTCGTAAAGGACCTGAATTTCTTTTGAAAGTTCAACAACGTGAACACTAAGGCTCTCCTTTTCCTTCTCACATTTGTCCAGTTGAACGGTCTTTCCATCGAATTTTTCCTTAATTTCCTTGACGCTGTCTTCCAAGAACCGGATACGATTATGTAGAACAGATTCGTCCTTTTCCGACGCTGGTATTCTGCTTTGAAGGAGTTGTATCTCTCTCTCGAGTACGATTATCTGGTTATCTTTGTCACTGTCCTCCATCTTTTCATTCAGTTCTTTTCCTAGTTTACTAATTGTCTCTTCTCTTGTCAACAGCTCCTTCTTGATCCATTTAGCTTGCTCTTCGGCTTGCTGTTTCTGTTTAGAAGATCGTTGAAGCTCAATTTCCAGTTGAGTGATTCTTGTATGTGATTTGTCGAAATCCTTGCTTAGCCCCTCTATCTCCATGTTGGCCTGGCTCAGCTTTATCTCGAGCTCAGCGAGTTTTTCTGAATCTTTTCGGAGATCATTTTGAAGATTATTCTTCTCTTTCTGCAAGGAATCCTTTTCGTCTTCAACTTCGTCTAGTTTGAGTTTCAGAGATTCAAACTTTTCCTGCCAACCGTCTTCACTCGTCTGACGAAACAAAGATCGCTTCAGCTCTTCAAGCTCCGTTAGATGTTTCTTGCTTTCTTCTTCTTTCTTTCGTAGCGTTTCCTTGAGTTTCCTGAGTTCCTTTTCCAGGTCTCCAGAGTCCTTGGAGAGCTTCAGTTCCGATAGTTGTCGACGCAACATGGCGGTCTCACTTTGGGCATCGGTGAGTTCACGTCGAACTTTGTTGTACTTGGTCTTAGTTTGCTCATGTTCATCGTCGTTTCTTTCCAAGTTTCGTTCCAGGCGTTGCTTCTCGATTTGAAGGGAATTCTTCTCTCGCTTTAACTCATCAAACTTTTCCTTCCAGTTCTCGTCATCGTCCTTTTTTCTCAACTTGGCTTTTAAATCCGATATTTCTCCCTCCAATCGACGGATCTTGTCTCCCAGTTCCTTGTTCTTGCCGGTCAGCTTTTCCTTCTCAGTGACGTGCAAATCCTCTTCCTCTTTCAGTTCATCACCGAGATATTTCACTTCTTCCCTTAGTTTGTCGACTTGTTTCTGAAGATCGTCGTTGTCTTTCTTCAGGTCATCATTCTCGTCACACAGAGTGTTGTACATCTCTTTCCCTTTATCGAATTTAACTTTCATTTCCTCTAGCTCCTCTTCAATGTCTGCTTTCTTTTCAAGAAGATCTTCGTTGTTGTCTTTCAACTTCTTTTTATCTTCCATCAGCTTTTGGTATTGCTCTTTTAATTTCTCATATTCTTCACTCAAGTCTTCGATGGTCTCCTGTGATTTTAGCTCTAAGAGTTCCTTCCTTGCTTTTTCCAGTTCCGCTTCGATGTATTCTTGCTCTCGTAGTTTTTCCTCCAGGTCACTGATGGTGTTTTTATCCTGAGCAAGATCTTTTCGTTGCTCATTTATTACAGCTTCTTTCTCTATGAGCTCCTTTCTCATCTCTTCACATCGATCATTTAGCTGCGTGATGGTCTTAGACAGCTCCTCCGTGGTCTTCTTAGCTCTTTCTTCGGACTCTTCTAAGCATTCTTCGACTTTTTCTTTCTCTTTCTTAGTGCGCTCCAGAAGCTCTTCGAGTTCTTGTATCTGCGATTTGGAGTAGTCTTGACTGGACCACGAATCTCCAGACTCCTTTGGAACAGCAGCAAGTTGAGGAGTTTCTCCAATCGCAACTATATGCTCTTCAAAGTCATCAGAATCACTCAGATCCTCATTCGGTGCCAGTGGAACTCTCTGAACAACTCGAAGGTGCTCAACCACAATTTCATCTGAATCTCCGCCCCTAGGTTTTTCTTCCTCTATGTATTTCTCAGCCAGTTCGCTCTGTAAAGAAATCACCTCATCTCTCAGTTGCTCCAATTCTTGCGTCATCTCTTCGTTTTCTTCCCTTAATTTGGTTAGTTCGTCGTCATCATTTCCGTCCGCCTTGTCGAGGTCCTCCGCAAACTTCGACAGATCGCGATCTTGAAGGTCTTCTAATTGCTTCTGTAGCAGAGCAATATCATCTCTCAACTCTCCGTTTTCAGCCTTCAATGAAGAAATCGTCTTTTCCTTGTCAGACACCTCTTTCCGGAATAGTTCAGCACGGACATGGGTTTCGTTAAGTTGCTTAGTGCATTGCTTGGAGTCCATCTCGGCTTTGTTTTTACTATCCACAAACTGGAGGTAGAGAAGTTCCTTTTCTTTGCAAACCTCTTTGAGATTCATCTCCAGCTGTGTAATCTTCTTGTTTTGAATATCGAGCCTGTTGGTGCCCTCGCGGAACAAACTTTCACGGCTATCTTTCTCTGCCTTTAAGCTACTTTCCAACTCGGTTACAAGGCCTCGCAGAATGGACATTTCTTTCTCAAGCTCGATATTTCTCGTTCGGCTGTTGTTGCAGTTTTCCTCTGACTGCTGAATCTGCACGTGATACTCCACAATCTGTTGTTTCATTTCCTCGATAACTACGTCATCGGCCGACAATTTAATTTGCAAGTCCTTCAGTCGCCGTTCAAGATCATCTACTTCGACCCGCAATTCTTCTTTCTCTTTCAGTAGATTATCATTTTCCGTTTCGATCTCTCCGTATTTGAGCTTTAGGGACTCCATTTCCAGCAAGATATTGTCTTTTTCGTCGCCGTTGTTGTCACGCAAATCGTCGTACTCCTTCTGCAATTTATCGAGCTGTTCTACTAAATCATCGTTTCCCTTTCTCGCCTCATCAAGCTGATCTTTGAGATTTTCGTTATCCCTTTTAATTTCGTCGACTTTCTCTTGTTCCTCTTTGTAACCACGAATTGTCGCCTCAAACTTTTCAATGGTGATTTTTAACAGCTTATTTTCCTCCACAACCGTTTTGATCGTCACTTCATGCTCTGAGAAAGACCTGTGATAAGAAAATGCCGCGTTTTTCAATACGCCGATCTTCTCCTCGGTATTTTCACAGGCGTTCTCGAGGTTTCGTAGTTTTTCACGAGTATTTCTTAACTCCTGTTCAAGCTCTCCAAGCCTGTCTTGTGCCTCGAAGAATCGTGTTTTGAAATCTTCGTCGACCGGAAGCTCCTCGACTGTAACTCTAATCGTTTCTTCTGTAGTTGCAGAATTAGATGTCTTGTAAACATAATCTGTTTTCGCTCTTCTTATTTCAGGGTCGTTAATGCCCTTGACAGGATCATGTGAAATTTCACGATCATTCGTTCCAGAAAGCGACCCTTGGTTCGACGACAGGGCTTTCTTAAAGTCCGACATACTGGGAGATTGTACTTCAATAACTTGACAGTGCTGCTGAAATACAAAACAGAAAGTAAAGTGACTATTTCGTAAGCAAATAGCTCACGTTCCAAGGTCGTGTATGTACACGCGTGATAGATGACAAGAATTATGTCACGGAGAAGCCACAAACGAGCGACGCGCGATCGTTTGTTCGATATACTGATCCAATGATTCGAAACGCAAACGAAACTAATAAACCAGAAGTCAACAAATTGTGCCACAAGATAAACACATACCATCAAACAGTGACAAGCGAGTAAAACGCCATAAACGTTTGTCAACAATTCTCATTTGCGTACCACCACAGACGCAATTTCAAATACTAGACGCCTGTGCATAATTAGCATTGAGTAAGTATCAACAAAAGCGCGTTTAAGTTGAATTATACCGCGAACAGCGAGATGTTTTAGTGTTAAAATACCTGTTATTTACGACGTTTGTCAATCACGAGGAAGTTATAGCATGTGGTTGTATTTTCTTTCGACAAGAGCAGTCATTTGTGTTTTCTATGCCACTCCGCATTTAATAGTAACACATAGGTAGGCTTCTCCCGTGAGAACCGTAAGACTGACCACTTCGAACAAAAGGTTGCACAGCCAATCTATAAACCATTTGAGCAGAATTTGCATACCAATAACGGCTCAGTCACGCTCGAAGAACCGAGAAATAATTCGAAAAGGAAGTCATGCCTGGATTAACTCAGCAAACGGCAAGGCGAGGTAAATATTTTTAATAGTTTGAAAGCAGTGAATGAAATGCAAATCTTGGGATATCAATGGTTCGAGGTGTCACGCCACTGCTCATCGAGCATTAGATTACGAAGGATTTGGATTGATTTGACCCATCTCTTTACCGACTTGTAACTGATATGCTGGACAGAAATATCTCATCCTGAGGCAAGGCAAACATTTGGCCGAGGTTTTAGATGGTTGTTGTAAAGAAAATTTTAAGAACTGTTAATTGTGCTAATCACTTTCGTAATCTAACGCGTTGTTGTTAAGAGAATTAGCATGCATTCTTTGCACTTTTGATCCGTGAATTCTTGAGGGAGAAATCTGAGGCCTTGAAATCGAGACGATAGTGGGCACGAGGTTGCGGTATAATCGTAATTCAGTATCAGCCAGAAAGTCGTTTTTCCTTCGATATGTTGGTCCTAAAGAGGTATCATCTGGAGAATTTTCCAGCTGTTTCTAAATTGTTTTTCACCAAATGTTTCACTGTTCTTACGAAACTCAAAACTTACTCGTTCATGAAACCGCAAACTATTTTGGAACTTTCTTACCCTCGGGGCTCAAAAGTTGAAAAACAACTAGCCGATGCAAATGCAGCAGGTTTAACATATTTCTTCCTTGGGAAGGGGTATCTACTTCGGAATGTGAAGAGCGGGGGGAGGAAGGGGACGATAATGTGCTCCTAAAATGGGAATTACGATTTTAAAACAAATCTTCAAAGGAGTGAATACTGTTAACGACGTACGTCTTAACCTTTCTGTCAAATGTCAAGACATTTAATTACATTGAACAAGAAATCCAGTGATTGTCAGAGACATGACTTAACAGCCCAGGTAATCTCTGAACATTATCTCACTCTTTGAAATGTTTAAGCTTTCAGAAGCCACTGTCCTTTTATTTATTTAAATTTAAGGCCGATTTACATAAGCACTGGATCAGAAATTAACAACGTTTCAGCGTCATTACGGAACTTTAACCTAAGATCTTGATTAATGGCTTCTTGTGTCTATTATAATCGTATTTAAATGCTCTGAACAGCTGACTTATGTCATTAATTATAATTCAACGCACAAAGTTCTTACTTTGTAATCCACATTTCATAAATTTCAATACCTTTGATTCTCTCTGCGTCCGCTGTCTCTGATATCCGCCGCGACATGTAAACAGTAGCGATTTCTAAATATCAATGACGTATGAATAAACACAACCGCGCCTTCGTTGCGACGAATACTAATTTCGACAGGCGTCAAATTTATGCTTGCTCGGAGAGACTGGACCGACACACGAGGCTTCCAAGATGGCGGTAAGTATCATTTCACATCATCTGTTAGCTCGAAGTAGCTGATATATAGCTAGTAAAGGATATCTCATTCAATTTTTCTCGGCAGGCCGAGGAGGTGACATTACTTAGTCAAATCTGAGTGTTTCTTTGAAAGCACGGTGACGAGTAAAGAATACCGATAAGCGATAAGTGTTTCAATTCTGTGTTGTGTTTAGTGCAGCGTAGTTTTGTTCAGTTTTGTTTTTGTTTTGTGTGTATTGGGCATGTGTTGATATTGTGGTTACTATGTGTAGTTGTTGTGATGTGTACTGTGTTTTTTAATGATTTTTAAATTCACAGAGCGATGATTAAACTAGAGAAATGAGCTTCAAACATTTTTCGTTTGATAATGATTGTTAACACTTGATTTCTGAGCTCTGTGACCGAAGTGGGAATTTTTTACAGTGTAATTAATGGAAAGGTTTCCGCATAACCCCTTACTATTCTAAAAAAATTGTTCCAAAGGCAATCTATTTTTTTTACCAGCTTTTTCTCTATCTTAGGAATGTATGCGGGTGTCTGGAAAAATGAGACCTAAGACCTCACACTCAGGAAACTAAAACCTGACTAATTTCAGTTTGAGAATTCTCCAATATAGATTCTGCAATCTAAGTCTTGGTCTGCACAAGCCAAATTCCTCTCCTCTCCATCTCTACGTCACGCTTTGCCTCACGGTTGTTCAATAATATTTGCATTGTGACGCAGTGAGCATGTGTTTACAGGTTTTCCTCCCAGGTGTATTAGATAACAAACTTCTGTCAGTTTTCTGCCCCAGAACAATATATTTCAGAACGCATTTAATATGACCGCGAGATTTTTCAATCAAACAGTGAATTCACATAGTTTTCTTTTATCTCAGGAAGCACAGCTTTATTGTCCTCAAAAGTGTTACTGATTGTATGGGGCTGTGTGGAAATATTTCCCAGTTAGTTCTAATATAGTGGTAACTGTTATGGTATGATAGGCTCTTTTTATGTTGTAAGCTCAGTACTGGATTTAATTTTGGGTCAAACAACAAGGCCCAGGCTGGAAAGAGGCTCTCAGATAGGAAAGTGTATTTCTCATTATTGATGGGTAAGAAAGTTCACACATCAGGTCAGTCTAGAGAGTCTCTAGAAGACCCATTCATTTTTCTTTTTGGTTTTCTACTGGTAAACAGTGGTACAGCAGTGCAAAATATATTTTCTTTGAGTTGAAGCTGCACTTAGAATAAAAGCACATCAAGCTGTAGTTAGCATGTCTCATAGGACTTCATTCAATGGTTTTGTTTTTTTTTTTCAAAGAAAAGTTTGATACTGACCCAAATAGTAGACACACAAGAAACTTAACAGAACACTAACATCTTTGAAAAGTCTTTGTTTATTCACATTTGGTTGGTGAAGCTTCATCACGTGTTGTTCACATCAAGGTAGAGAAAGTTACATGGCTGAATGAGACTTTGTCAGATGTATGACGTACTCTTTGAATACTATTAGTAGTATGAATAGTAAAGTTCCACTCTAGTCCTTTTTTTAACTCAAAGGTAGATTTACAGTTATTTTTAAACCAGCTATACCATTTGGCAGCACAATAACTGATGGATTGAATTATTTTCTTCACATACATGGAGGCAACTATAACTCAAAAGTCCTGTGAATTTTGAATCCATCCTTATACAATGTTTCTGTAGGACTGAATTTTGGTTAATTGCTAAACTCTCTAGTTTTTGTTGAATTTGAGAGTAAATCAGATGCCTTCTGAATAGTCATGTTGGTTGACAGATAATACTTCTATCTTTTTCATTTGAATCCTTTGACTTTCTCTGGTATTACTGTTGTGTTTGGTTCAAAGCTTTTGATTGACCTGATCACAGTTCAACTTTTAGGAAGTGACCAATATTTAATAGAGGTAGCTTTGTTTGTTGTTGTGTTGAAGGTTTGCGCAGAGTTTGTGAAGGAAACTTTGCTATGGACTGCCTCCTCTGCCAAAGAGAGTTGTTCATAATCTGCGGGAAAATTTTTAAGGTTTTTAAATTAAAGATCTTTAAAGTTATATATAGTGTCTTTTTTTTACCCACCAGAGATCACTCATATTGTTACTGGTGGGTATTTTGTTTGCTGTGGTACAGATGTGACACCTCTGGCTTATTATGGTAAATGTTGTGATTTTATCATTGCCACTCTCAAAGCCTTTATTATTTCATGGCATCCTCTTTGTTAAAAAAAAAAAGGAAGAATTATTACCTATTTGAAATTTCAACTTACTGGTAGCTTTGTAGCCTCATTTTGTTCTTCCCTTTTTGGTGCCTCCCCTGTGACATCCACCTTGATTGAAGATTGACCAACTGCTCCTTGTATCTGTAATACTCGGGGTAGGGAGGGTTGGGCAACAGAGTGTGTCGATAGGGGAAAACTATTTGTTAGAGAGGGTAGGGCAACAGAGTGTGTTTGCAAGGGAAAGTTTTGTGATAGTGTTTGTGGTATTCCTCTATGTCTGATAAATGAGGAGAAATAAATATTAACGATAAGGGAAATGAAGGAGTGATAATTGAGATTGAGAGATCGGAATATCTTGATTAGCAAGATAAAGAACACTCTGATTAAATAGATGATAATATTGATAACTGAGAACAAGGAGAAGCCAAGGCTGACTGTGGAGAAAATAACTGACAGAATTTTGATAAAAGAGAGACTTGAAAACTAAACCATTAATAAAGGGAGGGGGAATTAAGGAATTTAAAAGGTACTTGAATTTTTTTTCAAAAGTCTCTTATAGGAATTTTTTTTTGGTAAAATCTCTTGAGGCCCACTTGTGCTGAAATTGTTTGAAGGCAATTTTGTAGATGTGTTTTCCTTTTATGGAGCACATAAGGATTAAGTACCTCTGAGGTTCTTCCATGCCATCAAATATGTTCCTCAAATTGGCAATTCTGGCATCTACACGTAAAACCTTGTCCATAATCTCCTTTTGTTTGAGTAACAAATCTCGTCTTGACCAGTTCTTAACCTTTCCTCGCCTCTTCATCTTGGTTGTAGAGACCGTAGGAGGGATGGGGTTGGGTGTGGCTCCAATGATCATCATCTCTCCTCCTTGAGAGAGTTGTACTTTGGACACTGGCATTCGTTCCCCAGTCTGATAGCTGGACACTTGGGGAGTAATTGGTGTGAAAAAGGAAGATTCCTAAAACAAGAGATTTTGTCAGTGTTCTTCTTTATACCAAACTTTCTTTACTTAGTTTATGTATTTTGTGTGTTTGAAAACTTGGTGCTTGCACATAATAGAGAATTTTTTTACAGGTTCATTCTCTTTGTATTTTAATCAGTAAAACAAAAAAAATTCCAAAGAAACCACAAAACAATTATGTTGGCTGTGAATAGGCCAAAGAAAAAAGTTTCTCGTGCACTCCTTTTCCCTTTTGATTCATATTGTTGCAAGCTCCCTTTCAGGTGGAAATTCAAGGAAAAGCATAAGAAAATACTGGGCTTTAAATAGTGTAAAGAAAAAAAGCAGCATTAAGCGATCAACTTGTGTCGCAGCAGTCCAGTGTTCTATTAGTGAAAACATTGCTATTGGCCATCAGAACTTATTGGTTATTCATCAGTTTCATGGACTCCTTTACAGTTGTTATTTTGTTTCATGGCATGGAGAATATGTATGGGTCAATAAAGAAAGTGACGGCTTCAAAGGATACTGATCTTACAGTAAATGGTTTCAACCAAGGAGTACCATTGGATTATATAGTATGACTGTCCAGGTGAGAATAATCCTGAGAGGAACTGTTTTAGTAGTAGTGACTGACGTTTTGTGAACTTGAGAAGAAGTCACCATTAGAGTCTTATGGTAAAGAGGTGTCAGTTGAGTGTTAGAAGTTCAGTTCAAGTAAACTGATTGGTCAATTTTACTATAATGTCACTGTCTGTCTGATTCAAGGAGTGTAAGTCGGTTGTGATTGGTCAGTGATTAATCTTATTACTGACGTGCATTATTAGATAAAAGTGTGTTTCGTGAACTTCCCCATGTCACTGTACCTCGGGTTTAATGGCAGCCTCGCTGTCTCTGCAAGATAATTCAAAATACTTGAGCTTGGATAGACAATGAATGGGCTACAGGCAGTATGCAACTCCTTACTTGACTTGTTACTGAGGACTATGGAAACGTTGCAGTCTTCAATTTGCGGATTATGCAACCAGTCCTCAATCCGTAGGGTTTAGCGGAATTTGTCCAGTGAGTTATATCTTAAAGCTCACAGGGAGATCTAATGTACCCCTACCCCCCCCCCCTCCCCATGCACGCACACACACCCCCACCCACACGCCCACTCCCCACTAGGCTCAAGCTGGTGTAATAAATGAAATGACAGGAGGATGGCATCTTTACGTACCTGGTTTCCTTTGCTTCTTCAAGCCTAGGAAGAGCCTGGAAAATAAAGGCAGAAAAAACAGATTTCTCTGACCTGTTGTCGTGATTGGAAACTTCGTTTTACGTGAGATTCAGACTCGATCCGAATTCCTATTTATTTACTGGCTAAGAGGCGAGCATGCATCCTTTCCGAGAAGGATCTATACTCATCTCCAGCCTTTTCGGCATATCGGTCATTTAAATGCAATAAGGATCGGAGTAAATAAAGTCACCGTGAAGATCGTTAGGGGGAAGGGGTGATATGGAAACCATCCGCCCTCGTTTAATTCCTGGTCAAAAATGGGCAGCGCTAAAAAGTCTGCCTTACAAGATGGTTACACTTGACACATTTGCTTTTGTTGAAATATCAGTTAAGGAAAGAAAAAATTTTTTATTCGTTAACCGAGTACGCCGCTGCTTCTCATTCAGCGAATAAACTTTAAAACGGAAATTTGCTAGGAAATGTTACGAAACGGAAACTGAGCATTTGGCAAACGTTTTGCGGGATTCTCTCTCTCTGACCAAGAAAAGACAATGGTCCCAATTTATATGGTCTTGTTACGACTAAAAACGATCAGGCGTTTCCTTTTTTAGAAGCAGCACTATCATACTGGCCCCAGACTCTTTGTTGCTTCCCTGATTTCCTGAACGTTACTCTAAGTTACTCTTAGACCTGTGTTCATTACAACACTTCTTACTTGTCTCCCGATTATCGGTACTTCATCTTTTCTCTTCGGAAGATCAACAGTTGACTGTCGTTTCTTTAACAAAGAGAAAAAAACAAAGATTAAGAAAAAAAAAAAAGGAAAGAAAGAATGGAAAGAAAAATTTTAAAAAACTTGTATTCGATAACTCCATGAAGTACAAAAGAAATTACATGAAAAAAAAAATCCATGAAGTACTATCGAAAACGACCATGATGCAAATACAAAGCGCTCATTCTATGGGAATCTGATAAGTTTAAATTCTTCAGTTATTGAAATTAACCCTCGCCCTCTCAAGTTTCAAACTAATCAGAAAGAAATGATTTGTGGCTTTAAAAGGGAAAATGTCACTAAATTTGCAAGTATGATTGATTCTTACCTCCCTTAAGTCATTCCACAGTGTATAGAACCTCTGGTAAATACTTAGCTGGTAAAGTAAGAGGAACTGTAAACACGTGTCGAACAAAAATGTATTGTGACGTGGTCTGAGAATATTTTTGTACCTTAAACCGAGGTATCTCTTTAAAAGTTTCGGTAGAGATGGGGGGGAAAATTGTTGAGACAAGATAGCAACTCAGCGCTGCCCACTACATTTCGACGAGTTTGGAGGGGAGCCCTAGAGACCTCTAAGTCGAGTTCATCATGTCGAGGCTGATTTGGCTTAGGGTTAGCATCACACGTGGGGAATTTAGTCGAGATGAACAGGGTGGGGTAGGATAGTATATGCGACTAAGGAAGAGTGGTGACAAACTTTCAAACTTATACGAAACAACGTGTAACCTAAAATATCAACTTAGCCAGCACGTTTTAAGAGTTGTTGCATTACACTTACACCATCTTGTAACTCGTGGTTCACCAACTTGGCTGTCGATTGAAGCGCTGTGAAAGAAAATATGTTTTTATTATTGAAGGCTCAGCACAAGAATTTAACTGGAACCTAGCAAGTGCTCGATGGGTACAATTGTCCCATATCGAACGAGAACGAATGAAATAATTGTTTACTTTAGGCCAGCTCCACAGGTTATCTCACACGGGAGCTGTTGATTACCAGCTGTATGTACCTAGGTGATTAGGAAATCAAATTAGAAGCTCTGCGGGTCTGATGGTTTGTTTTCGCTGGGGCTTATTAGTCCAAAGCCAACTCCAGGGCCATTATATCAACAGGAAAAGGTGCGGCGAGGAGAGCGACCCAGAAGAGAACATATCTTCCCCCCTTCCCCCCGCCCCTTCACCCCGCCCCTTCACCCCTCCTCGCTCTTTACGGCTGTTATTTCGTTCACGTTCGGGAAGATGATCTGAGCAAAGACAGGAGGTTTGTTAAAAGTCTATGCTGGGGTCTTGGTGTACGTGGTGAAACACTCATGGTTCACTTACTATCAATAGCGTGTTGTGCCATTACTGTCAACTGTCCCTTCACTAGGTCTTCCCTCAACGGCGCCCCTGATGCTGACCCGTCGGCTGTAACTTTGACTTTATTCGGTACTTTTGAGTACGGCGGGAGCAAGTGAAGAATGTCATTCAGTGTGTTCCATTGACTCTTCTTGACAAATTCTGCGTCGAAAGCCTGACCGGGTTCCTCAGAGGCTTGTTGACTAAGGAAGAAATTGTTAATGCGCAGGTCTGGAATCCCTGGCTCTTTCTTGTCAGTCGTGTCTACCTTTTGAACCTCTAAATTCCCTTGTTCTTTCGTGGCTGCCATGATACTCTCTCCTGTCAGGCTATCATGCTCTTCTACCTTCTGCACTGTTTGCTCAGAGGACACCACCTCAGGATAAGTGCTGTCCGCTTCAGCGCTAATACTTTCTCTCTCCTTTCCAGTCATTTCGTCTTTTGATATCTGATGTTTAGACGCCCTTGAAATGGTTTCGCCTCGCTTCAAATGTAATGAGGAACGCCTCCTTTTGTTCCCAAGCTTGTTTAGTCTGCCTTGCTCAGTTGACTTGACTGCTATGTCTCTCTCTCCTGTCAGGCCGTCAGGCTCTTCTACCTTCTTCATTGTTTGCTCAGGGGACACCATCTCAGGATGAGTGCTGTCCACTTCAGCGCTAATATTTTCTCTCTCCTTTCCAGTCATTTCGCCATTCGATATTTGATGTTTAGACGACCTTGAAATGGTTCCGCCTCGCTTCAATTGTAATGAGGAACGCCTTCTTTTGTTTCCAAGCTTGTTCAGTCTACCTTGCTCAGTTGACGCAAGAGCCCTGATTACTTTAGCTTTATCAATCTGACAATAAAAACAAGGAACACAGTAATCAGGGATGGCATCTCTACAAATCGTAAAAGACCAACCATCTTAGTTTCCCTTTCTGTGTTCTCATTTTACCCCTCCCTGAAAAAACGATTGGTTTGACTATAAAAGATTAAGATAAAAAAAAAAAGCCAAAACAAAACAAAAAAAATAACAGAATGGGCTGATTGACCCGGAAAACATGATGAAGGTTTCATACTGACACCAAGTTTATTATTTCACGTCCGTACTTCCTGGTCTAGTTTCCATGGCTTTCACCGGATAGCTTGGAAAAAGAGTCCTGGGAAAGAGTTTGTCAAATTACCGGAATATTTTCATCATCAATGGACTCCAATATTTCCATTGCTTTTTCACCAAGGTGTTTCTCGGTCACTGTTCGCAAGGTCTTCGCTGTTGATCGAAATAAATGAGAAATTATCATTCTGGCAAACCTCGTCTTTTGAGAAAAACTTAAAAAAAAAACAAAACAACAACAACAACAAAAACCACAAAAAATACCTCCTTGCTCAACAAGATCATATCCGTATTCGACAAATCCAGATATTTCATCACAAAGTCGGTCTACCTGTTCAACAAAGAAAGCATAAAAACAGTTCGGGTAAATTGCTCCTTGTGAACTAGCGAAGACACTCATTTGTTCCCACCAAGGCAGTTATTCTGACTTACGTGTGGTGCTCATGAAAATGTACAAATTGCAAACTGTTAGTCTCAGGTCTGACGCAGTAGCAGTGGTTTTCTCATCGATATCTTTTCATGACGCCTGACCTGGTATCGAGATGGGATCAGGTGGTATCCTAAGATTTTTCTTACCAAATAATCGATGACTGGTTCCAGACCTTCATCTTACCTCGTCCTGTATAAATGTCACAGCAGAGGTCGTTTCTTGCTCGACGACATTAGTCGGTTTTATCGCCACGATAGCCTCAGCCAGTGATTTACCATCTTGCGGCGGTGGCGGTCGTGAAATAGATTGCCGCTGACTTATGCCCTCATACAGCTTGCGGTCATACTGACTGGTCTGAGTCCCCTTAAAAGACAATTCCTTCGATATTAGTGCAAAAGCCAACAATATAATCTTATTATATTATGCATGTAGTACTTACTTTATTAGCAAGCGTGACCACTTTTGCCTCTCTTACGGTCACGTAAGGAGCCTTTTCCTCCCTACATTCACCCAAAACTGAGTTACGTCCTCTTGATTTCACTTCTATCCTCTCCTCCTCTCTTTTTAAGTCGGCCGCCTTTCTTGGTTTGGCAGCGTTATCATCCTCTTCCTCGATACTTTTATCCCCTTCCTCATCGTCGAGTGGCAGTTCCTCTTCTTCCTCCTTCCGTTTCCTTGACTTTTTGCTCCTTCTAGCCGTCTTGTTTTTTTTCTGTCCGCCCGGCTCTGATTGATCCTCCTCTATTTCTTCTATACTAGACCCTGTTTCGTTTTCGGATGAGATCTGGGTTGGATTCACGGCTGTTTTTTTAAAAGAGAAATGAGCATTGTAAGGGGTTTGGACATTATCAACAAAGTGCAGTGCACAGCAGCAAATCACTGGTGCGCATACTTTGCTCGCATAAGCAATATTTCATGAACGCGGGAAAAGTTTTCAAATTCCGTGTATTTGCTTTCAGTTCGCCCGCAGCTTGCAGATATGTTAACGGTATTACAGTCGTATATATTATAAGTGACAAAAGTTGAATACCTTTTGTGGTTGATGTCTTTTTAGACCGTATTTTTGCCTGCGCTTCAGCCGGCGTCAATTCAGATTTTGTAGGGGTGGTATTGTCCTTAAAAAACAATGTACCAAGTTTGCTATCTACACGAGACATGCTGAAACTTATTACACGGCACATACAGTATAAGTTAAGATCTTACAAATTTCCAAGGATTTATTGTTATAGATACCTTTTCCTTAGAAGTCGTCAATTCAGATTTTGCAGAGGTGGTATTGTCCTTAAAAAACAATGGACCAAGTTTGCTATCTACACGAGACATGCTGAAACTTATTACACGGCACATACAGTATAAGTTAAGATCTTACAAATTTCCAAGGATTTATTGTTATAGATACCTTTTCCTCAGAAGTCGTCAATTCAGATTTTGCAGAGGTGGTATTGTCCTTAAAAAACAATGGACCAAGTTTGCTATCTACACGAGACATGTTGAAAACTCATTACATGGCATAAGCAGTATAAGTTGAGGTCTTACAAATTTCCAAGGATTTATTTGTTATAGATACCTTTTTCTTAGAAGTACGCGGCTGCGATCTTAATTTATTCAACTCTTGTTTAGTGCGCGTGATTTCTTGTTCCTTCTCCGTTATCTGTTGCAACTGACTGGTCAACTGGTCTCTGTAAGAGGAGCAGTTGGGACACTCCGCAGCAGAAGGTTCAGTCTGAATGTTTTCGACCTCACTCGATGGATCAGTTTCTTCAAACGGCTTTTAAAATTAACAAAACCAGAAATTTCTGTCATCGATCACTGAGTTCAATTTCATATTTTCATTGCCTATGACCATAGTTATCAAACATAAAAATTAGTTTCAATCATCATACAAAAAGAGTTCTTCAGACCTTTCTGTTACCATCTAAAGATTCCAACTTTCTTTGCAGTTCTTTGTTTTCCTGTAACGAAGAATTAAAAACATTGTGATAATGAGATATATTTAAACATTTCACTTCCCCGAATCCCAGTTTTGAGGAAAGCTGAAATCTCGGCACTCGCCTTTTCAAGTTTCTGCGCCACATTCCGCGCGTCTCTCACTTGAGCCTGCAGGATATCAGTCGAGGCAAAATCCTCGCTTGAACTTGTAATGGATTTCGTCTGCAAAGGAAGCAACTGGAGAAAAAAAAAAGATCTGATTTAAAAAATCAAGGCCATATTCATCTTTTCCAAGGAATCGGTTTTTGACTTCTCGGAACTTTTCTTGATACAAATGAAAAGTTTTCCACACAAACAAACGCAAAATTTTAGATATAGCGACTGGTGCGCAGTTTTCCTCCAGCTGATTGACATATTTAAACAAATCGTAATCTATTTTTATGCCGTGGCCACAAAAAATGATTAAGGCCGGAAAAATGAGAAAAAAAGCGTTCTTCACGCAATGAAACCATCATTGGCAGAAAATGACATGAAAAAAAAATTTTAATCTATCGGTTGCCACTAATGTCATCGATGTCTAGATTTCTTAGACAAAAAGAACCAATCATCTTGCAGGAAATGAGCAATTTACTCTTTACGTGGGCGACGGACCAAGCGTAAGCGAGTGCTACTTATCGGAGAGCCACTCAAAAAACTTTTAATTTTAAACATTTGTCTTGTATCCACAGATTATGGTACAGGATTCTCACCTCCTCTGTTTCCTCGGTCTGGTCAATTACTGCTTCACTGATTTTAATATTGTCTTTTTTTTCGGCGAGAAATCTGCGAAGATGCTGCAATATGAACAGAAACACAGACAGGTCAATAATTGTGTTGATTTTCCTTTGCCTGTTTTTTTTTTGTTCAAAATTATTTTTAGGAATCACCCTCTTGAAGCCTAGGGAAGCGATTTGCTCCCTCACATGCATGTACGATCGTAAACATAATTACGCATGAGCAGAATATTTCCGATAAAACAAAGTTTGAGTGGCATTACGCATGCGTACACCAATTCTCGGGTATGGGGTCGGGTATGGGTAATCAGCATGAAGGGCGGAGGCTAAATTTATTAATAAGAACATTGCCAACCTGTTTACACTGCTTCAGTTCAATCTGCTTCTTTTCCAGTTGGCCCTCAACTGAAATCTTGTCATTGTATATACGAGTTTTATCTTTCTCGAGGTTCTTCTGGCTCTGCATAAACAGAGTAATGAATAAATAATAATTGATAAGGTAGCTGAATACGCGTTTAAATGTATTCGTTGTATTGGGAAAATTGCAGATGTTCCTGCTCTTAGAAAGATGTCTCTTACATAACTGTTTTGCAAACAATTTTTTTCTTATGGCAAAAATCTAAGAGAATTCCTAAAACGTTGAGAGATTTAATTTGATTCAACTTGTTTTCGTACTTACTTTTTCGTGTTTGCTGATGTCTTTTTTCAAGCTGGAATTAAAAGACGGTCATAGATTAACTGAAAGTGAAGATCTAAATCAAACTGAAATGTTGTACGTGTTTCTCTTTCAGCGCGGAGAGGAACCACAATCTGAAATTCTAGATCGCGGTTTTCGCGGTGGTCTTGGGCGAGACACTTTGCCCTGTTTGTGTCCCTCCACCTAGGAGTCTAATTATACAGGCGAATTGTAAGGGAAACCTGAAACAAAAAAATACTTCGGGGGAGAATGAAGGGAAACCTGAGATGAACTACCATCCCGCCATCTCATCGTAGGGGAAGTAAAAATACTCCCAGTCCCTTCATGCAACGGGAACCACGATTAGCTCCGTCGGTGCGGCTCACTTGGCTGAAGTGCTGATTCTTCCCTAAGTTGCTACCAAATTACGCTAGTATTGCCAAGATTAGATTTAGTTCATTTTTCTTGAGGCATTTTGATACCGCTATAGGTGACACTACGAAGTATCAGTCGGACATTCTTGAACTGACAAAGCATAAGCCACAGTAGTGACCATAAGTCCTGCTCCAAGAGCTTAGCTTCCCTGTGTAAATACTTACTTCTCGATGTACTCATTTTGATCGTTAAGAGTCGCCACGATTTTTTGAAGTTCCTTTTCTAAGGATTCCTTATCTATGAAAAAATGAAGCAGGATAATCATTGAGGTCTACAGTCTCAATGTAGTAATAAAATTAATAAAAATGGTAACAATAAAAATAATAACACTAAGAATAGTAATAATAATAATAATAATAATAATAATAATAATAACAATAATGATAAAAAAATGACAGTGGTGATAATTATGATAATATACAAACAATAGCCATTTGGCCAGAAAGTATGCACGGATATTTGCTGAGGACATTATCTAATCCGAGCTGCGAACAAACACGAAAACTGTGAGCTTCGAGGAACAGACAATGTATGAGGACAACTATACGAGCATGCTTTCCCATCAAATGGAGGCAAGTGCGTTTGTTATCCTTCAAATATCTGGAGATTGTGATAGAAAATAGTGAACAAAAGGGGTCAGTTCCCCTCAGTTTTACCTAAATTTCCCTCGTTTCGCACCATGTGTAGTATTTCAACCATTTCACCAGCCACAAGTTTCCATTGTTGTGTCTCATTTCGAACGCTTTGCCTTCCTGTAATAATAAAAGAAACACCATTACGAAACCCCGATACCCTGTGACTTCGCAAGGCAAAATACCAGCTCTCATAGACTCATGGATGGCTGATTACAACACAGAAAGTTTATCCACTGTAAAGGTTACACTGAGGAATCCAGAACTTATGGTTTAAGCTATCTTCGGAGGATCTGAAGGAGGACTGACTTTGGGAGATCGTTGACATTTCCCCTACTAAGGTCATCTCGAAGACATTCGGGCAAATTTCTGACTGAATCAATATAATAAATTTATAAAAATTCGAAAGAGCGACCTTTGTTGAAGTACTAATAAACAAAAATTTGCCTTTCGTGAAAACTTTCGCCAGAGAAAATCTCGCTAGAAAAGATCTCGCAAGAAAAGAGATTCTGAGTTGACAGATCAAACAATTAGAATACAAGTTCATACGATAGCAATGGGATCAACGTATTTATTCTAGGGTTTTTCTTTCACTACAGTGTTATCTACCCTCGAACATTGACCAGGAAAGATGGAAGCTTTTGCCTCGGAATTATTTTTGCCACAAATCAAATTTTTGAGTCCTAATTACTTGAAAAAAGTTCCTTCCTTTGTTGCGTGGCCATCCTTTTGTGAATCTGCAACTCCCGTTCCAACTGTCTCTTTTCTCTGGAAAAAAGAGAAACTCACTCCTAGGATGATCATGATTTTAGCTTCACGTGAAAAGCGACCCCCCGATTGGTGTAGAGTTATGAACAAAAACGAAATAATGTATTAAGACACACATATGTCTATAGTTGGTAGAAATTTGATTAGCAATATTGCAGTTCGAATGAGGCCTTCAACAAGGCTGTAGGACAACATTCAGACATCCTTGAACAAAGAATCATCCAAGATTCGCCTCATTACTATTGTGTGAATTCCTTGCAGTTGGTAGTAACTTCCAACTAGCATCTGAGAGGCCTGGGTTCGAATTCTGAATTTTTTAGGCCTGATTTTTCTCCCCAGATGATTATTGACAAACAAATGGTACATCTGATAAGGTAATATAATAACGGAATGAAAATAATAAGAACGTTTGGCTGGACTGAGAGGGCTTTAGGTGAGTTGAGGAAGGGAAATTTGTTCCAGAAGAGGAGACCAGAGTATCTACACCTTGAGAAAACAAACTTAGCATAGAGAGCCGGCGAAATACTTATTTAGAGCTTATGGTGCAGATATGGAGCCAAACATACTCCTCTAAGGCCCTAGTAGCTTCTCCTTTTTTCGATTCATCAATCATCCTTTTGTTGAGTTTCTCCAATTTGGTGGTAGTGTCTTTCACAGTTTGGAACGTTTCCCTGTAAAACAAAAAGAGGATAAACATCATGAGAGCATGAATTAACGTGTAACTTAGCAACTGGGTTAAAACAGACTGCAGAATCTTATACTGGGATTAGCATAAAGAACGGCGGAGCAATGAGGGGGCCTAGGTGGCCGCAGTTTTTACTCGTAATTCAAATAAAGTTTATTTCTTCGTGTTTACTTTTCTGGGGGAGGGGAGGGTTTAGAACATTTCAGACATCCATATATAAGGTTCTGCCACTAGCACCAGCCACACATTCCCTCTCCACCTCTTCGCTGTTCGCGAGGAAAATAGTTTACAGTTCACATACTGAATTGCTCGCTGTGTGCCCTCCATGTCTATTGTTTGATCTTTTTTGCTCATCGCCTCCAGCTGTAACAAAGATACACATAACATTTACTACAATAACCGAATCACAAGCAACATCCTCCAATCCAAGTCACATATTCCCGGGTATTGTTCCGTTGGATTGAGACTCAGTCATGGAGAGTAAGAAATATAAGTGAACACTAAACAAACAAAACCTAAAAGTTACCTCATTTAAGATTTCTTCCTCGTCAAATTCAAGCGACTGTAGAAAAATGAGCCGAGAATAAAAAGTAAGTCAACACCGCTTCACACGACAAGTAAATTGCCTTCCGTAATGGCAAGTTAAAATGCCGTTAAAAATTCCCGATGTAGACCATAACATCGGTGTGCCGCCTGTAGCTTCGGGTAGGATGTTTACGCAGCCATAAAAAGCAGTGCAACAGGACGAGAACAAAAGGATAATACTTACATCTTGAAGGGAATTTAGTAACTGCAATGAATAAAGCAAAATTAGCTTCTACTGTCGATGATCGTTGTCGTTAGAGGTTAAATATATCCACCAAAGAAAGTTTCCTTGATTTGTGACATTAGGTGGCTTGCGGGGAAACGCGGGGAGAAAAAATGCTAAGATGAACCGTCATGTTAGAATTGTTTTGTCTCTCTCCTTTTTGCACGCATTGAATATCCAAGTAACGTTGAAACAGTTCTAGAAAATTTTGCTCCAAATTTTGTGAGCTTTATCAGTACTAAGAATTATGAATATCAATGTGCGTGAATCTGCTACGTAAGCAGGCGAGCTTACGGTTGAATAACACGCAGCGGATGTTAAACCACAATTAAACTGTAGATTATCTTTACTCAGTTTTGTGGTGAACTTACCTCTTCTCTTTCGTCACACAAAGTTTTGTAATCACTTAACAAACTTTCCATGGCAATCTTAATAAGAAAAAAAATGTGTCAAATCAGCGTTTTGAAATTGGATGCGTTTTAGATTCTTAGATACTTCAGTGTGGTAGTTTTTCTCGTCATTGTGAGGATCAGACAAATTCAATTTCAGATGAATTTTTTTGAAATATTAATATTTGTTTCTCAGGCGATGTTGTGGAATGGAATCAGGGAGTGCTATCACCTCTACATTCTACGTCTAATGGATCAGTTTATTTCCGTTCTATTGGTGATAGCCCGTTGAAAAACGCAATCCTGGCAGATAATTTATGACATGAAGAACGAAAGATAATTTTAACAAGAGCAAAGAGAAGGGTGCAATACTTGGCCGCTGAGATGCTCCTGCATGGCGCCATATCCCTGAGGAGACAAAAAGATGACACACTGTTTGCGATCAAACCTCCTTGAGGCTACCATTAGCGGACACACACACATGAGTTACAAAGTGAAAACACGAAAGCTAAAAATTTAACTTAAAAAAACTGGACTTTCTTTGACTTTTATAAAGTTGTTAAAGATTACAGGATGACGCTAGGCGTATCTTTGGTTAAGGCGATGCTGGGTATCCTGTGCTTCTTGTTGTTTATAACACTTGTGCCAAGCTCAGAGCCTTCCCATTCCTTATGAGACCTTTCAGATTTGTAATTCCTTAGGTTATAATGAGAAATGCTTCCTGATAATCTAGTTTACAATTTTATGCACGCGGCTTACTCTAATCAAACTTAACCGTTCAAGTTCCAAGAGTTATCAGCATCTTATTTCTCCTTAAAGTAATACTCCTGAATCATTCATTAAGATCGTGAGAATATCGGAAATGGTCGACAATTGTTAAACAAATTGTCCGAGTCAGTCCCAAAGGAGAAATATAGAGAAGAGTATGAAAGATATGGATACTGATGTTAGGGTGTAAGCGAAACGTTTCTTGTTTCATAGGCTTTACCTTTGGATCTTTGTCATCGTACATGGATTCGTATTCCGTTAGCAACTGAAAGATAAAAAACGAATTCTCAAACATTAAAATTTGTCTGAATCGAACATATGACGTCTATTTTCTAGAAAGCGACCTCCAGGAGATCACGCAGTCTTAACTACAAATGCTGACTCGTCTACGAATTTTTTTCAAAAATATTTTGATCATCTTATCGAGTAACTCTTAAAGGATTAAACAACAAGAAAATCGTCACCATACTTTTTAAGCGGTATAATTAATCAGAAAATGATTTTTTTTAAAACATCTAACAGTTTACTTATCAAACAAGGATAATGGTATTTATCGAGGCTAAATCAAATGTGAGCTTGGCCTATCATTCAAAGTGTAGTCTCAAAAATCTCTACATCTATCATCCCTCAGTTTTTACTCTCCCTCCCCAGGGGAACTTTTGCCTACAGCTTCTTAACCTACGAATCAAATACATGTCCCTCGCTCTGACGAAGGGCTAACGCTGGGAAGATCAGCTTTAGAAACTCTTTACGGCGGACAATTTACACTGTCAACCCAGTCGATAAAATCAAATTATCTTGTTATTCCGCCCACCGACGCAGCGCCACAGTTTCGTCAGAAGCTTATTTCCCCTCCCCTCCCCTCTCCACCCTTTATTCGTGATATTTTACCTTTGATATTCTATCAGTGATGCCGCTAAACTCCTGCTCGATGTAGTCATTAGACTTCTGTTTTCCTATTCCCACTGCATGCACTGTTAACGGAAGATCACTCTCACTCTTAGCAGCTGTCGCTAGGTCTTCCTCCTTTTCCTCTGGTGACAACAGATCTTTTCTCCAGCTGGCCTCATACTCGGATTCCCGTTGGTCTTTGATTAACGGTAACGCCTGGAGATCAAGTGTGTTGAGCTGAAGCTTTTCTTTTGTTTTTCTCCTCTGCCCTTTACCATGTTTCTGCATGGCGAATTCGTATCTTCGAGACATAGTGTGCTCGGAAGGAAATGTTTCAGAGTTTCAAAAATTTGCACCTCTGTAAGGAAATGTTGGTGATCATGTTGTCAATCGCTGTGTGAACCCCACAAGGGTTTCCGCTGCCAAAAAAAATAATGCTACATGTTTTCTTCAAAAAGGCTTAATCACCTGGCGAAACCGTTCGACTGGTAGCGCTGCGCGCGGAAATTTGCGCTTATGATGTCAAATTATGATTGTGTCGTCACATACGTCATCAGTTGTCTTAGTTACGACGGAAGAATTCTCATCGCAAGGGAAAAGGTAGACAATTGCAACTTGAAATGAGGCAGATGCATGACTCAGCTCTAAAACAAGGGAAAGGGCGAACCAAGAAATTGATTCACAAGAATAGTTCTGTAATTCGCCTTAATTCGAAGGTCAGTGTTCTTGGAACTTGACGAGTATTAGCCCATAACTTACACTGGAGAAGATTTCAAAAAGGGGAACAAATGTATCATATTCTCCAATAGCATCCTATTCGTGCATTACCACCATTATATCATCTTACATTTCACCACATTTGCAGGGACCGGAAAAAACGAACAGACACACGTTATTTCTCTTGTGAACTATTTTCTCATTAAGGGGTTGTTGACTTAGCCGAGCAAGACTCAATTTTCTAATTTGGCCTGATGAATTGCCTCCAACTATAATCATCGTGTGGGTGTAAAGAGAGACAATTAACCAACCCCAAAAAAAGAGAAATTTTCTACTAGGCAATTAAACAGGGTGTTGGTGAGCCCCTTTACATTAGTGCATAAGTTGCATACTGCCATTCTCCGGGGATTCCACAATTTCTTTTAAAATGCTTTTTCTATACAATAAATTCAATTTCCAGATGACATTATTCTATTATGGTAACAGATTGTTAGGTGACAAAATACATTGATAGTTTGAGTGGCATTGCAATGTAGTACTCAAAGGAAGTACAGAGTTCTCTTTCCAATAGGTTACAAAGTGGTGAAAAGCAAAAAAAACAAAACAAAACAACAACAACCACTCACAACTTAAATATGTTATGAAGGGATTTTATTTGTACAACTGTAGAGCACAAGAATTCAACTTAAATCCTTGAAGGGTACAACATCTGTGAACAGAAAGAAAGACAATACATAAGATTTGTCAGATACTTATCTGTCATACAAATCATTACCTGGACTAGTCCTGATAAGAAAATTCCAAGAAATTTATGATGCTATAAGAGAATTAAATATTCTGAGCTCTGTTCAAGTGTAGTTAAACATCAAGAATGCTGAATTAATAAATCAGCATTTCACAGAAACATATATTTCGTCACAGCTCAGAACTTCAAAATTTTCCTTGATTGACTAAGTTAACCTAAGCCACATTACAATAAATTTGAATTTTTTTCAAACCACATACTTTTCCATAGATTTGCCTAGTGTATACATGAATTTCATGAAAACCACCAGTGAAATATCTGTTGTGGTTTTACAGGCAAAGTTTTGAAGCTGTTCCACTAAGTAGGCTCAATAATTGATCAATCTGAATGACTTGTTGAGGATAAGAGTGTTTTCACTTTGTTCAGCTTTATTCATAGACACACTCTAATACACAGTGAGAATTTTGAATATTTAAGAAAAATACAAAAAAGAATTATCTCTGTTTGATGATCATCAAATAAAATGTGAGGGTGAAGAGAGCCTTATCCTTTCAACTTCCAGAGGTTACTTTAAAAGACCAAATTCTCCTGTGTTATTTACAAGGTATGTGCTGCAGTCAGTGGGGAGAATCACTCATTGGATCTCAAATGTCTAAGGTATTATTTTGGAAAAATAGCTTACCACTCTAACAGTAGCACCCATTGCTTTAGGTGGAAGGTTATGCCTGAACTTTGCTCGTACAACACCACTGTTTCCATGAGGTCTTGTGATCTTTCCCCACATCACTCGCACTTTACTGGCTTTCTTATCTCCCTTGGCTACTGACTTTCTTTTGGCACGGTAGATAAAGGCAACGCGTTTGCCAAGGTAGAAATCTGTTTCATTCTTGGCAGCTACTCCTTCGATTCTTAGAAGGGAGGTGTTTGGTTGCTGATTACGCAAGCCTCTCTTGTAGCCAAGGACAATGCCTTTTGTATACAGGCTAAAATATAAAAACAAAAGTGCTCTGATAGGAAGGCTTCTCATCTTAATGTCACAACCCTTTTGCTCCCAGAAGTATCAGATCAAAAAACAAAAAATACAACATTCATTGATAAGAATAAAACACAGAGCTTATCAAGAAGTTTTAAGATTGACTGCCAACTATGAGTGATAAAAACCTTAAAATCACTTTCGAGTGAAGAGCTCCAAACCCGAAATGCAGAGGTAGAAAGAAATGATTTTCGTATTCAACAATTCTTACAAACACATTATATTCTCACTACAGTCACACACAAGGTTTTATAGACACCAGTGTCTGTGCTATTTTAGGCTTTAACTGGATAGGATTCTTTTGCAATTTGGCAAATAGGGAATGAGTCCAAATACTGTTTTAGTTTTTCTGTGTGAAAATGTGATTGTGATATTCTTTCAAACTGTTATTAACATACATAACGGATGCTACCCTTATGTAGTAAGCATCGGTTAGCTAGTAATGAAATCGATGAAAATTCCGCTCATAATCAGACAGTAACAAATTATACTCGAAATCTACTACAAAGCTAAATCTAAAAATTTAGCATTTCTTAGCTTAACCTCAAAATCTTAGATAAACATAAGCATGGGCATACATTAAGATGAACTTACCGTGTAGGTTGTGACATTTTAAATCTTCTAGTTACCTGAAATAAACCGATCAAAACAGTTAACGTCAAGGAAAATAATCATCATTCGAAAATAAGGCAGCCATACTAGTCTACATACGAAGAAACAAAACATCAAGTGATATGCATTTTTTTCTAAACTTGAACAGACAGAGAATGGAAGTAGTATATAAAATAAGTTTCAGTTGCGTAAAAATAGGAAATAACTGAAAATATACGACGATGGAAGAAGATTTCAATCTCCACTCACTCAGTAACTCAGAAGCCGAGATGTCGACCCGAAGAGGAAGAATGAGCCGGCGTTCATAATCTTTAGACGGTCAGCGATACACTAGATTCCAGACTACCAGAATTTTCGTTTATAGCAACAGGAAAACAAACATGGCGGTTAGATTACAATGTTAACAGTGTAGTATTTTGTGAGAATCTTCAAGCTATTTCACGTATATTATGGATTTTGAAAGAAGAGCTTTATCATCTAGGTCACCTGCCACGAGGTATGAAGTCCTTCTTGTCGAAGATACGCCAAAGAAAGGACTTTCCGAAGAACGGATGACAACATGTTTTCATGTCTATGATGAACTAATTCCAGAGTTGGGAGTTTATAAGAAAGTTTTGAAGATGCTTCGGGATGAACTATACGAAGCTGTGTATAGTAATGAATACACTACAGCAGCACCTAAAAAAGGGAAAAGCAAGACGACTTATATTCAACGCATTCCTTATTTCGTACTTGTTAATCGAGTTTTTGAGGAACGCGATAAAAACGCAGACCAGCTAAAAGAAGCCATTAATGCATTAGAAAACAAACTTGCTGAGAAAGATCAACAATTGGAAGAGGCTAATAAAAACATCGAGAAACTTAAAAAATCACTTAAAGAGTGCAGTGATAAGATTTACAAGATGGAAATCGAAATGGAAAACCAGAATCTCGAGCAGAGGAAACTTGAAACAAGCGTCCAATATGAACAGATGATGCAACAAGCGGCTAAAGACCGTTACGAAAAACGCATTTCAGGTCTTAAAGAGGATCTCACTCAAGCTAAGGAAAGGAACAAATTCCTTGAAAAGTTTAAAGAAGGTTATGACGCCCTTGAAGAAGCATTTAATGATTCAACAGTGTTCGATAATAAGCCTCAAAAACCAGCTGTTCTAACAAGGAGAGCTCAACTCATTCAAGAAATATCCAATGCTAAGCTTCTGGAAGAGCAACTCCTTACCATGCAGAATTTAGTTATTGAGGAATATGAACTCTTCTTGGAGGAGAATAAGGCTTTGCCAACAGAAGAAGTTGACTTGAAGAGCAGTGGAAGTAACTTTCGTGCAACACCAGATGATGAACACGAAATGAGAGTGAAACTGGAAGAGGAGCTGCACAAAGTCAAGGAAAGATTTAAAAAGAGTATTGCTGATATTGAAAACGAATTTCAGCTCATTGAGATTCAAAGGTCTAGTCTTGAAGATCAGTTGGCCGAACTTGAGGAGGAAGCTAAGAGGATAGAAAGAGAAACCAACGAAAAGAAAGAGAGAAAGAAAAGCATGTTTTTCATGGAAGGAGAAAAGGAAAGGAAACCAGATACACCTGAAGACGATGACGAGATTGACTTTGTGAAGATCATGAACAGTGCACATAATCAAGATCCATTTATTTCACACGAAAGAATCCTGAGCAAGTACTCAGCAATGATGTACTACTCCTGCAACCAGGGAAAGAACTATCACGAGTTTAAAGATGCCAAGTTTTGTGCAAGTTGTGGTGAGACAACTCTACTCTGTCCTCACAAAGTTACAGATCACAAGGTTGTTTCATTGCCTCATAACTGTACCCACATAAAGATCATCAGGCCAACAGTGCACATATCACGTGAGGAAAAACCTCCTGTTCTTGTAACCGAAACTCCCGAGAGCGTCCGAGCGATGTCGGCGATTTCAAACAGCACTGTAACTTACGGAGAAGAGTCCATCTTGAAAGAACAACAACACCTGACCACGACATACAAGTTCCTCTGGGATGACTACTACTCAAGGACATCAATTAGAAGACAGATACCAAGGGCTCTTTCTCAGGATCGTGTATCGTCCATCATTGAGCAGTTTTACTCTTCACTTATCTGGCAGGATGATTACGCAGTGGAAGATGAACAAATTGTTTCAGTTGTGGATACGCTGTACTCTTTCTTCCACGAACGATATCTTGTTCCAGATGTCACATTTCTAGCTGTGTTTGATTTCTTCACAAGTGTGATCAAGTTTGCCTCGGGCAACAAGAACATTCAGTTGTTTGCTCAGGCAATGTGTGGCAGCTTGGACCCAGTTGTGGTTCGTTACATCCTTCTGATAAATGAGTTTATCGATCTGGTTGAGTGGTTGGCCGTCAAAGACATCAGGATTTTTGCTCAAGTTGTTTATCCCTTCATGAATGAGGAAGACATTGAGCAGTTCTCAATGGGCTACACCTCCTTCAGCGAAAACAAGATTTCTAAAGAATTGGTGTCGGAGTATTTCCTGTACATCATTCTGAAGTACAGAGAACCTCGCTTTCAAGAAATGGAAGTTAAACTGCTGCAACAACCAGGAAGGAGGCCTGGGTTTATGACCGATATTGAATATGCTGAAGCTATCGATAACATCTGTCCCTTGGCATCGGAACGCATGCGGCGCCGTCTGTTTGTAGAGTCTGTGGAACACTTGAGAACCACTGATGACTCTGTATCCGTGATGCGACTGGCACAGATCACTGGTTATCTGACCCTATTACAACTCACACCCGTCATTAAGAATACGGTTTCCCAGAGAGTGGATGAAGTACGCCTTGTCGTCGCTGAAGGACAGTCATCCCCACTCCCTGATGCTCCGGTGAGCAATGCATCCAAACCAGGGGATTTTTTCACCACAAGTAGCGCACGTGCAGTAGCGGCTGAGAATGCCAAACGCTCAAGGACTCGGCAACTAAAAAGGATTGAAGAATACCAGTATGACTGAGAGCAGGAACCCTCAGAAATCAGGAACTGTTACCCCAGAATTATGAGAGCAGTTCTCAAAAATTTATTTTAAGAGGAAGCTATTGTTACTTTTGGCAAAGTTTATCAAATTGTTAAGTCTTGAGGCAATTATACCGTAAAGGAGTAATACTTAATCAAGGCACAAGGGAAGGCCTGACATGTTTTGTTTACCTAAGTTAACGCACGTAGTACGACGTGTTGTCAAGAAAAGAGGACGTAGAGCGTGAAAAATAAGGACAACCCTTTAGGTAGAATGTGATTTGAGTGGAAGAACTTGTTCTGTGAATAACAAGTAAATAAAGCAGTTAGTAACACTGAATGACTACAAATAACTGTTTTTCTAATAACTTACAAGAACAGCCTCACTTAAACAGGAAAATTCTTATTACTGCTTAGCTCTTGCTTTTTCACGCAATACTCCAACCGTACCTTCACCTTAAACTTTAGCCCGCAGAGCGGGCGTAATTTTGGCGAACGAGTGCTTAGTATTTTCTTAACGAAAATTGTGACCACCATCTTTGATTTTTATGGCAGGGGAAGGCTGGGGAGAGAAAAATTTATACCGAGAGGGTGGTCGACAGTCAAAAATAGGGAGAGGGGGGGGGGGGAGGTGAAGATTACGTCTACCTGAAGTCGTTGTTATTTTCTCAAAAATCCGTTCGTCCTCGAACGGAGTTCCTGATTGGTGCGGTGAGGCTCCAGCTGTCAATCACAAGCCAAATGTGTCATTTGAGCGTCATTCTGACAGTTCGCTCCTGCTGGAGAAAGAGAAAGATGGCAAACTCTGATTGTGAACTTGTTAGTTTTTATTCTACTGTCGAGGAAACACTTAATTGTCTTTCGGAATTTAATGTCCGAAAAAAAAGAAGCAGTTTCTATGCTGGTTCCAGGAAAGGATTTACTGACCATGTTGCCAACTAGCTTTTGGAAAAGCCTGATATTTCAGGGTTGGTATTTATGAAAGAAATAATGACGGTAAACCTTTGAGTGTAGTTGTCGTTTGTTCGCTTCATCGTATAGTTAGAGATCATAATGGAATGAACATCTTCGATCGGATTAACTGTAGCTGCGCTCACGGGTTGTCATTTGGAGGATATAGAATGCGGCAAATATCAACTCGTATTTGCCTCAGCAGAGAACGTTTTGGTGAAGCCATTTTTTTCGTTGATGAAAAAAACACCCACACCGTTTCACCAGAGTTTTCCGGTTTGCATCAAACAAATTATGGCAGATAAACCTTCGAGTGCAGTTGTTTGTTACTTCCAAGTATCGTTTACGATCAAATGGAAGAAAAATTGTCAAATAGATTAATGGCAGCCATACTCAAGGATTTTCGTTCGGAAAATCTAGAGTGCAGCAAAAATCAGCTCATATTTGTGACCGCGGAGGAGGTTCTGTCGATGCCATTTCTTTTCAGGCTGAAAAAAAAAACTGCCCACCGTTTCACTCATTGGCTCTACGTATGTTTGTTTTTGTCAGAAGACAGTGCTTCCGGTTTTTAATTTAACTCATTTTGATTGGTTATCTGCTCATTTCTTGTCGCCCTTTCCCTGCCCTCTACCCCCGCCGTCCACTCTAACTCGAAATCAAATATGGCCGGTTAGATAAACAATCGCGAGCTTATAATGTTAGCTCGCTCTAATAAGACGCCTGCACTGCAGGCTTCTTAACTTTAGGGGTGGTTTTATATAGTGCCATTCCGTCCATAGTTCGTCGGAGCCCAAGCTATATTTCGGTGTAATTACACAGAACGCTGATAAAGTGCTATGATCTCATGGAGTAACGAAACGGGAGAGATACTGTCCTTATATATACAATTGTGTGCAGGAAATAACAGAAACATGCCCCACAAAGTTTGGAGATCTATTCAAACACTTCTAATTTCAATGAAAAAAACTAAGATTAAGTTATTTTCTGAAGTTTCATTTTGACAAATCCGAAAGTTACATGGTTCTGTGCAAATACTGAACAACTCCTGAACCTCGTGCCTTAATTTTCCTTCAAATCGTACAACTTAAGTCAAAAGCAGAATCAAAGTTTTAATTCTTAAAAAAAAACGCTTTCAAACTTGTTATATGAAGGAGGTCCAATAAATAATCGTTAGTTATGTGATTATAATAAAGAAAAGGTTAACTTTGAAAAGTTAGACTTTACAACAATGCTAATTTTATCGAATCATTTAATTGGGTGTCTTGTGAGGTCAGTTATTGTGTTCAGTAGCAAAATTGCAGTCTCGCAATCGTATTGCCACGCATCGAGCGTGGAAACGTCGTAGGACGAGTCTGACGTGGTTTAAATGACATTACTTAATCTGATATGTGTTGCAAAAGCTGTACCGGATTCTCCAACTTGTATCAACCACAGGTCAACGAAATTTGGCTTCAGTCATTCCTGACACAGAATTCTGGAGAACAGAATACTTATTATTATTATACTTAAAGAAGTAAATTAGCAAATCTGTGTTACTAGCCCAATCTAAACTGTAACTGGTAACCATCCTTTGTGCGGGCCTTCGACGACCATTTGACACATCCTAACACTGTTCTACATAGAAATATCAGTCATTTGATGGTAATGTAACTGTGATGGCCGTGACTCAGTGTCACATCTAAATTACTTTAAATGAAGTACGTTTATGTTTGCATGATTCGTCAGTAGATACAGGCCACGGTTATCACGGAAAACTGCGGCACTAATATGTTAGATATGTAAAACAATCAAAAATGACACAACTGGCTAATTACGAATAGTTTAGCGTTACTGCTTTTGAATTCAGGAACAAAGTTTTACATTCGCTAAAGTGAATCACAAGGTTTTGGATTCTCATCTGGGGTCTAGAGTTCTCTGCATTACCAGTAGACTGAGTATTCGTCGTCGCTATCGCCACAGATAAAATAATCGTCGCTATATCGGGAAAAGACTTCAGAACGGAGGAAGTTTTGCATTTCTCTGCTATTCTTTTCGTCTTCTCTCAGCTTTATCTCCTTGCACACCCTGCATTTCGGATCTCCGTTTCTTAGCTGCGTATTACTGAATTCCTCTCGTGTAAACCGTCGCAAACATTGGACACATTCGGTATTGGCGTGCGGAAAATAAAGTTTCCCTTTCTCTGGGATTATCTCGAGTGGAAGCAACGCATTCATCTCGTAATCATCAAAGAACCTCACGGATTTCTGCCGATAGAAATTAGCGTATTTCTCAGATGCCACTCGGAGACGAGCCTCTTCTCTTTCTTTTACATCTTTCATCTTCTCGTACAACTTGAACATCGCCGTTGTATCCACGATGCAGTACTCCATCAATTCATCCGATAAGGGTCTTTTTTTCCAAACTCCATAGTCTTTCTTCATAAGAATTTTTCCCCCATTTTTCACCTTGATCAAATCATCATCCTGAACGTACAGCTCAAGACAACGACGAAAACCATAGATGCTCTCTACTTCGTAGGGTCTCTGGCTCCGACGTGTGTACCCTGCGCTAAAAGGTTCGTGGCGAGTAGCTGTGTCATTCTCACGGCGGTAGAGGATTTCAAGCAGCTGAAGATCCAACACTCCCGTCAATTTTATGTTAAATTGATGCCACAGGGCGTCTGAATCTTCCCGACAATCAAACATCAGCTTCCCAATCGATTTATCTTGCAGGATTTCGCCAAGGCCAAAGGAAAAAACTGCTTTCTCTAGTTTGAGAACATCGAATATGTAGACTTTATCTTCCGTTGCGACTGTTATGATGGTGAGCGCTCCCTTCCTGCTCAGGTTAACACCTTCACAATCAACAGCTATAAAGCGAGAGTTATCGATAATTTCTCGTTTAAGCTCATGAAGAGCATCTTCGAGACCAGCTTCATCGTCGATCAGTCTGAAATCACTTGAGATCTTGCACGCCATTCTTGATTTCACTTGAATTTTTGCCCTGATTTGATGAAAGCCCGTCTTGTGAAAGGAAAGTACGACGGCTTTCTCGGAACCTCTTGAGTCATGAGTTCTGAGAAACAATATTTATTTCCGCTGATTGTGATTCCTCCCTCCCCTCCCTTCTCCTGATGGCCATTGAATATGACAGATAGCTTCTGAGTGACAGAGGATCAGAGACAATCCTTTCATCGGCTCATTTGAATTTTTAGTTTAAACAAAGCTCATACCTGACAGCAAAGACGGAAAGTATCCCTTCCAAAAAGGACGGCTGTTAATTAGAAAGCAAATCACAGGAGAAACGAGACTCCTTAGGGCTCGTGGCACCTGACCTTGCTTTGAAATTACGTAACCGGCCCACTAGCTGTGAATAACGTTTGGCCTGTTTATGAACATTTTTAAAACGGGAGAACATTTTATCAAGAAATATCACCAATGGTCAAGAGGGAATGAGTTTGAGCCCTCGGTATCTTTCCTCAGCTCAAGTTTTTCTTAAGGCGTATGATTAAACACATCGAGGACTATAGAGTCAACCTCTTGATTTCTTATCATTTGTCTCTTCACTAAACCGTAGTGAACGTGTTTTACCTAGTTACCCCACCCCCATCAAAGACGCATTTGGCAGAACGCTGAAGGGGTGGAGTGAGAAAACAAGGCCGGACAAAGCTGACCAATGAGAAACAAAGGTGGAGTTCCAAGAACTCATTAATATTAATGAACACTTTCTACGAATGCACAATTGGCAGTTTTGTTGATTAAGCTTAGGAAAAAATCAATGCTTTGCTTATGTAAAACCAAACAGAATGGCCAGCAAGATCCCGTATGATTATAAACTGGTTAATAACGATCCTAGTCTCAAAGTCGCCATATCCGAACTCAGACAGAAAATAGAACATAACGCACTCTTGGCGGTTGATTGTGAAGGTGTTGATCTCAGCAGAAAAGGTACACTTACTATAATAACAGTTGCTACCGAGGAGAAAGTCTACATATTTGATGTTTTGGAGCTGGGAAAACGCGCGACAGTCCGAAGTGGACTTCGTGAAATCCTGGACAACAAGTCATGTACGAAGCTGATGTTTGATTGTCGGCAAGATTCAGATGCACTCTGGCATCAGTTGAATGTCAGGCTAACGGGAGTGTTGGATCTTCAGTTGCTTGAAATCCTTTACCGCCGTGAAAATGACACAGCTAACAGCCATGAGCTTTCCCGCACTAAGCATAAAACTCGAAGCCAGAGAACAGATGAAGTTGAAAGCATCTATGGTTTTCGTCGCTGCCTCGAGCTGTATCTAAAGGATGAAGATTTGCTTAAGATGAAGGATGAAGGAAGTAAATTGTTAAAGAGGGACACTGAAGTGTGGGAGAAAAGGCCTCTACCTGATAAGTTAATTCAGTACTGCATCGTAGATACAATGGCGATGTTCCGATTGTACGAGAATATGAAAGATGTGGAAGAAAGAGAGGGGGCTCGTCTACGCGTTGCCTCCGAGAAGTATGTTGATCTGTATCGAAACAAAACGGGAAGATCTTTCGACGATTTCGAAACCAATGCATTGCTTCCACTCGACATCATCCCGGACGAAGGAACTCTTTCTTTTCCGCCTGCTGACATTAAATGTACTCGTTGCAAGAGACTATTTCCACGAGAAGAGTTCACCAAAACACAACTAAAGAATAATGAGCAGAAGTGCAGGGTATGTAAGGAAATAAAACGCCGAGCAGATGTACGACGAAAGAGAGAAGCGAATAGCCAGGATGACTTTCTTTATCGTGTGTAGTTATGTTATTGTTATTTTTGGTTCTTCTACTTCTAGCGAAAAGGTAAATTAAGCGTATAATTAATTTTTATAATTATCAGGAAGAACTAACTTAAATATCTTTAAATCATAAATAAAAAAATTGTACAGAAGAATCGAATACTAGAACTTGTCTTCACAATGAATTTAAGCATTCCCGTCGGTAGCATTTTTTAAAACCGCTGTTCACACGAAGTCAGTCAAGCGCTCGCTTAGAGACTCGAGCTTGGCATGTTTCGATGTTTTTTATTGAAGTAAGACAAATCGATTACGCTCTTAGTTAGTAAAGGGTCGCTAGTTTTATGGTTTCTATATTATATCCCATTTTTTTGGATTGCACGTTTCCGAATGAACACGAATAATTTCTATAATTAGTGTGAGCTTTTTAGTTATATGAATAATCTCCATAAATAGTAGTGACTGCCGATGACTGCCTCTAAGGGAAGGTGACTTGCGCGGTGGTTCAAATTTGTTGCCTCGCCTAAAAATGCAAATATCGAGAAAGTACTGTATAAAGCTTGAAACATACGATTTTATTTGTAGGTCTCATAGATGTGGCGATAATTTTTCTAAGGTATCTCAAATGTCATTAATCATGATAACTAAAACAATAAAATGGCGTTTGATTTTGGGGTAAAAAAATAAATGACCTGTACGTGATAAAGCCTGGTAGCATTTGTTTCGCTTGTTGTGATTTGCGGTCATATGAAATGTTTAGTTATTAGTAATTATGTCGTCTGTACATAGAAATGAATGTTAGTAAGTATTCTGCCTTGTTCATCCGCCTTATGTATGCACATCGCGTTTTTACTTAGTGCAAGAACCCAAGTAGATGGGTATGTCTCGTCAAGGTCAATGCATTCCCTTGAGGTTCAACAGGCGTTTTAGTTTGAAAATTGGGGAGTTAGACCACGCTGGACTCCTTTCACTTTAACATTCATAATTACAACTCAAAATGCACAGTAGAGACAGATTGACATCTTCAAAGTCAACGGCTAGAATTCTGTGTTTCATATTCTGTTTGAGTTTAGACATGGCAAAATTTCCCTTTCAACTCCAGGTTATTCTGCTCCACACCCAGCATCAATCAAGGCACCACGATATTCTGCAGTAGATCCAAACTACAACACTTTGCTTCTTATCATATGACCCAAGTGTAAGGCCATTCTTTAACGACAATCTCTGCACCTTTTTGTTAATATTGAGAGCATCCTTCTTCCTGCAAGCTCCCAACCCCCTCCTCCCCAATGTAAATAAAAGAAAAATGGCCGCCGGAAGTGAAAGTGGAAACTGATGAATTCTTGGAACTCGTTCACTCGAGAAAGAGAAAGAAAGCTCGGATTCGCTCTAAACCTAAAAATAAGGTCTCAAAGAAGGTAGGCAGCAACCTTTTTGCTTGAGTGGAAATCGTGAACGACAAGCAAGATGAAAAATTACTACAAAGTTGTCGATGAACAGAGAAGTTTGAAGGATGCTATTTATAACCTCAAACACAAATTAGAACATAATAGCTCACGGTTTATCGCTGTTGATTGTGAAGGAGTTTCTTTGAGTAGACATGGAGCACTTACAATTATAGCAGTCGCAACTGAGGAAGAAGTCTACATATTTGATGTCTATAAGTTGGGAAAGTTTATATTCAGTGGTGGACTGAGTCAAATCCTTGAAGACAAGTCGTGCACGAAGCTGATGTTTGATTGCCGAGAGGATTCAGATGCTCTCTGGCATCAGTTTAACATAAGACTGACAGGTATTTTGGATCTGCAGCTCCTTGAAATCCTCTACCGTCGTGAAAACGACTCAGCGACTGGTCAGACCTTCTTCGGTGCGGGCCACTCTCATCGTAATCAAAGACCAAATGATCAAGTGGAGAGCATTTTCGGTTTTCGTCGCTGCCTTGAGCTGTACGTCGGTGATGAAAATTTAATCAAAATGAAGGATGAGGGAAGGTTTTTATTGAAGAATGATGAAGAAATATGGAAGAAGAGACCTTTGTCAAATGAGTTAATACAATATTGTATTGTTGATACATTGGCCATGTTCAGTTTGTATGACAAGTTGAAGGGTATCTTACAAGGTGCTGATCAGATTCGCCTACGAATAGCATCCGAGAGATACGCTGATTTCGTTCGATGTAAAACCAAAAGGTATTTTGACGAATACGAGAAGAATGCTCTTCTTCCTCTTAACATCATACCTGATAAAGGAAATATTTATTTTCCTCGAGCTGATACAGCATGCACCTGCTGTCATAGGTTGTTTCCAAGAGATGAGTTCTGGTCGTCGGAACTCAGACGACGGGGGCAAAGATGTAGGGTGTGTAAGGAGGTTGCCCGTCGCGCAGGTCTACGAATTCTCAGACACAACAGTTGGGCTCAGAACTGGAGATACAGGGGCATAGAACGGGTCGTCACCAAATCCTCGAAATTGGATCCTTCAAAAGGGAAGACTCCCTGTCATTTTGATGCCAAGGAAAGGACAACTTCCTCAGAGTTGGATCCCAAGATGGAAGAAAATCCCTGGAAATCTTGGGGGTGTATTTTGTTCATACTAGTTACCATTGTGGCAGCATTGTTACTGGTGGCAATATTTTAAGTCCAGATGTTTTGTGCTCAACAAAGGACTTACATGCAGGGGTACTCTCTCAATGTTGATACTGTGAACCTTAATAATCTGATGAATCTCTCCTAACTTTATTTGCCTCTGTTCTCAAGCTGATTCATGTTCTCTTTTCCGCTGAACAAAAGTATAAAAGAATGTTAACCCTTTAACTCCCAAGATCTGGTTGTTAATTCTCCTTTCTAGCTGCTACACATTTCCTTGCAAATTAGTTATGTGAATATGGTATTAGATCAAGACAACAGCTTCTAACTGATAAGTTTTGAGTATCCTCATGACCTGTTTGCTGGATGATGTTTAGATATTACAGGCAGACGTTACATGTTAATCACTTTTGAGAGTTAAAGGGTTAAGTTCTCCTTGAATTTACAAACTTGTGTTTTGCTCAGGTTTACCATTTACCTTAATCCCTTTCTTCCCTTTATTTTTGTACAGAAAATAGTTTGAACCAGGAACAAGCACACAGTTGTATATTACCTGGTAAATAAAGAGACTGTGGCAGTTCTTGATGCCTTTGAAGCAAGATTTCTTATTTTCTAATTCATTTGCATAAAATTCTCTGATCAAATCTTTTCCCTCTAGTGCAAATGTACCTAGCTGTAATGGTTGGCCATTAGTCACTGTATTGTTTTAACCAGGCAGTTCTGACTGAAAGATAGAAGAATTCCTTGGGCTGCCACTAGAGTTGACCTTAATGATATTCTTTAAACATCCTAAGATCTTTAATGTTTGTTTTGGGATATATGTACAGTTGCTCTATATGAAATAGCATTCAATATTAACAGGCAACTGTGACTCTTAAGAACCTTTACCCAACCCAGCAATATCCATCTGGCCCTGGTTGTTCAAAAGTTGGATAATGCTATCCACTTGATAAACTCTATACAGTGAACAATGCTATATGTTTTGCTATTACTTACCCACCCAATAGTAATTTATCCAATGGATAGCATTATCTGACTTTTATACAACTGGGCCCTGTATGAAAGAATTAGAGTAAGTAAGCTGTTTTATTGAATGAACTTTGCTTAAATGGTTTGAGATGGGGATTCAGATGAGCGTGTTATCTACAAGGGTAAGATTACAGAACAAAGCAAACCAGTCAACCTAAAAAATTGACCTTCCTATGCATTCCCCTCCCACAACTTCAAGGGAAACTTGAAACAGATAGTTATGTGTCATAATCATCATCTTCATCTTCATGTTTTCGCTTAAGTGGAGTTATCAATGGTTGCTGGGTACTGGCAACTGTTTCATCCATGCTTGGAAGCGCTGACACTGTGAGCATTGAAGCTGGGTTGCCTGTACCTTGAGAGGCTTTAGCTGCTGCTGGTACACCTGTGATAGGCTGACTTTTAGTGACAGTCGCTCCTGGTTCAATTTTCACCTGAAGAGAAACACAAATTACTTTGTTGTATTTTCCTGACATCATCAAATATATCTTACAACTTGACTGGTTGGCTTGTGAGTTTATGAATAAAGGGGGTAGGTTTCTAAAGAAACTGTGGTGCTGCCTGGGTGGGAGAGTGTATCAGGGTAAATTTAGTATCACCAAATGAGTTGATGACGTAAATTGACCATGATAAAGAGTTTCAAAGCTGGCATTTCAAGCATTAGCCCTTCGTCAGAGCAAATGGAGGAAAACACACAACCCACAATTCCTCCATTCACTTTGGCAAAGGGCTAACACTCAAAATATCAAGCTTTGAAACTCTTTAAGGTGACCAATTTATGATATCAACTATGTTGATAATACCAAATTAACTTGTTAGTTTATGCCCTGCATAAGCTGAAGGATGTGAGACAAAGAGCCAGAAACAGTTTACTGGTGGTAAGAAGTATTTGCTGAAAAAGCCAATTATGGAAGGATTTTAGCATATTAAAAGGTATATTATAAGCACATCAGATTAGATTCAAATTCCACCAAAAGTTTTATTTTTTTTAATCATGGACAGTCATTTTTACCAAATTTTCTTAATAATGTGGCAACTGTTCAATAATAAATACTACATTTTATTGTACAGTTGGCACACATGGCCTATGAGAGTTTTGACGCACATTGTTGGTTCATTTGAATTTTTTGACATAACAGTTTGTAATGGTACTGCAAACAATGTGAGACTGAAGAACTATGGTAACAATTCAGTCACTGTGAAATAAGTTTTCCATCTAAATGAGTATGTGTTACAGGGAAAACCATCAGTGTAATTTGTCCAAGCAACAAGTTTCCTGGTAGGTGGGTAGCTACAATAAAAAGAATGTCTGGTTATAGAACATCACACCTGTATTGCTGGGGTTCCTGTAGCCACTGTTGCCTGTTTCTGTACCACAGTGGTCCCTGTTGGTTCCTTTTTTACTGCTACACTAGCTGTGACAGCTGTTGCAGTATTTGCCGCAGGTCCTGCAGATGCTGTGACTGGAGCAGCAGTTGGCATTTTGACTGTTACAATAGTTGCTGGTGTTGGTTTTATGAGTGTTGATACAGCTGACTGAGAGATTGTTCGAGCTACGACTGGATTGGCACGAACCTGAGTGTGCTGCTAAAAGATAAAACAAGTAATTTTAGAGGCATTGGTCAAAGCACAGGGACACAATGTAATAATACTGGTTAGCCTGATAGACTTGGGATTGAAAGGTCCATGTTAGACACCAGACCAGATCATTGCATTGTGTCTTGGGCGGAACTGGGTACCTGAAAGCTGCCAAAGAAATTTGATGAAATGCTATTGGGTAATGTGTGATTGGAACTAGCATCCTATCCAGGTAGGAATGGCAATACTTTTAGTTGTTTCAGGCTCTGCAAACCCACATAATCTTCCACAATACAAGCCACAAATTTAAGAAGCAGACTTGACTTAGTGCAGGCACATAAGGAACCCTGTTTCATTAAGCCTTTACCTCCCGCAAGTGACCAAAACAGAATTTCTCCTTACAGTATTTATACAATTTATCAACCAGATAAGTGATGAGAATAAAGAATGAGAATAAAGAATGAGATCAATGTGGGGATAATTAGTTGATCCAATTCTAAATTCTCTGAACTAACATTATAAGAATTGTACGGTTGACAGTAAAGGGAATTACAAATTTGATCTGGAAGTAATAGGGTTAAAACTTTCTTCATCACCTTTTTCTGTGTCTTGACTTTGTAGTTTGTTGAGGTGAGACAATAGCGGTCAGGTGGTAGCCGTAAACCACTCTTTGTCTGAATCTGAGGTAAAGGGTGTCGATTCTTCTGCCGTGCAATCTCAATCAGAAACTGATAAGAGAAATTAATGTAACTAATGTAACTTTCCTTAGATAGAGGGGTAAACAGTTATGATAAGTGCTAAGGACCCTAACATTTATGCTAAGAGATAAGCTGGGTGAAGTCCTAAGCAGTTTCATGGTGACTCCCTTCTGATGTATCAGTCTATTTAGTGGATCCTGAATGACAACTACTAACACAATTTAAGACCGTCAAAATATGGATGAGGATGGGAATTCCCTTCCCAACAGACTTGAATATGTTTTAAAAGTATCTGGAATTTGAAGGTTAACATTTATGAGTGCAGTTCTGCAGAGGTACACAACTTCAGGACTTGCTTAATAGGAGATTGGAAAAAGGGAAAAATGTCATGAAAAAAAGGTGGGGGCACATAGTACACAAAAAGTGTTGTTTCTTTGTTTAATGTTTGACAAAAACTTTTTTAAGGTGTAATATTTTTGCTAGGAACACAAAATTTTAATTCATAACTTCACATGTACATCCTTCCCACCCCTAATAGAGAGTATCCATGGAATGTTATATTTTGGCAAAGATATAATGAAATAAGCAGCTATGGTGTAGGTCTCTTACATCTTTAACTCAAAAAAAGGAAACAGGGACAAAATGAGCTGTGCATCTCAAAACATACCTCTCTAGGTGGAGGATTAGTATAAGAATGGTCCAGTCTGGACTGGATGGCTAACTGCACATCTTCCGCATCAAGATCTTTCTTGCCAGCATGTTTACTGTAAACCATAGCATCCTCTAACACTGTTGTAATGTAACCTGTAGGCAGATTCAAAATATTTTGTCCCTAACTTGTGTCCACTATATTAAAGTTCCACTTAAATTTATGAAAATAATTTATGACCCTACAAAAGCGACACTGAAAACTACCGAGAATGAGCAAACTGCAGCTCATTCTCACAATCGAGTCACATTATCCCAAAAAAAAATCATAATGGTTGACCAAAGTATAAAAAAGAGAGTATAATCTTGATCTGAAATCAATCCTTTTAATTGATGTACAACGAAAGGTGTAAAAGTTGACGGGATAATTATTAATCAGATCCTGAGTTTAAGGTAAAAAATTAGCAATGACACTTTTGCCACCACTATTTCAATTCAACATTGCTTAAATTGAACAAAAAATATATCAATAGAAACAGATGCCCTTGTCCCTGAAGTGGATCACATCTGAAAATGTTAGTGACAGTTTAAACTCACGGTATGTGTATTCTAGCATTTGGTTGATAACTCTTGGCTCGTATTCGCTGATTCCCATCTCTTTTAGAATGGCAGCCATGACCAAGGCATCTTTTGGTGTGCTTTTTGCAGGTAAAGAACCTTCTGCCTGTTCATTGGTATCTGTTTTGTCCGCCATGATGTTTTCATTAATACTACTACATGACAGTTACACCGCAATCAAAAATATTTATGAGGGATACCGCTGTTCAACTCCAATCGAGACAAAATGGCGGCTGCATTTCCTTCTGAAAGAAGCACGAAAGATGTTATAAATTCGATATTAGATGATTATGAAAAATTAACCAAGTACGTTGCTTGTTATACCATTTTCTTAAATCAGTTATTCTGCGTCATTTCTAATGCGATGAGTTCTGTTCTTTAAAATATCAGGGTTGTTTATAATCGCGACAGATGTTGATTAATGCTTAGTTTCATCCGCTTTTGTATGTAGAGAATTATTCGAAAGTTTGTCTGCAACTTCATTGTATCGAACAACAAAGCAAGATGCTAATTCAGGAGAAACAGCAAAGGTAAGCTATTTTATTAAGGTTAAACTTTGTCAGACGCAATCACGAAGGACAAGGGAAGGTCATCAGTGAATTTAAATTTTTGTTACTTTGCCTTTTCGGCGTAGGCCGTCGATCAACTTATTTCCAAGGAGAAAGAACTGCAAGCAGCTATCGAGAAAGTTCAGGAGCAGCAAGCACGACAACAGGAAATCCAAACTGTGAGGGAAGAAATATCAAAGAAAGATCGGGAAATACTTAACCTTGAATCCCAGCTAAAGGAAGCTGAAAAAATATTGGTAGGTAAAGACACAGGTGTAAAGAAATAGTGTTGTATAATAGAACATGATACTGAGAATGACAATGATCTGTCTTGTGTTTCAACTAAGTCCTTGAGAGCTTGCCTGTAGTTTTTTTGCATCCATGTTTACCTGCAGTCAGCATTTGTTATAATTTTGTCAAAAAGGGTAGTAGCCCATCTCCCCCTGGTCACTACTCTTTACTCACCACTGACCCAAATGGCACACTCTTTGAAAATATAAAAAAATAGGAACACTTACATCATTTGGTTATATTTAGTCCCAGGCATTATTTCAAGCAAAGAAAAAGTTGTCTGCCATTAATCAGGCCAGTAAAGGTAAATGGAAAGGATTATTTCAACTGTAGAGATCTTTCTGGTTTTTTTTGTAATTATTTATTTATTATTCTGTGTTAGGCAGGGTTCAAGGGATTGGTTACGTAAGAGAGAGAATAGAAATGAGTATGGAAATTGACAGGAAAATCTGAACAAAAGTGAATTGCCCCCCTTGGCTCATGAGATAGCAAACTAGTGTCAGAGTCAGAGCCCTCTTTGTCATATGTCCATGTCATTGCTAAAGCTTTCAACTGTTTCTTCAAATTTGAATTTGTAGTAACAGATAGAAAAATAGTAACAGAAGAATGAAATTATCAATTTCTATACCATGAAAAGTTTTTTAACCCTTTAACTTCCAGAAGTGATTAACATGAAACTTCTCCCTATCATATTCATAAATAATCTGGCAAACAAGTAATGAGAGTACTCAAACATATCAGGTAGAAGTCTTTATCCTGATCAAACACTTAATTCTCATAACTTATTTACAAGGAAATGTGTAGCAGCTAGAGGTGAGAATTAACAATCAGATCTTGGGAGTTAAAGGGTTAAAAATATAATTGCCCCTTTTATCTTCTCCTCCCCCTCTCAAAAATAGACAAATATTAACACACGAAAATTTCTGAAAAAGAAGCCTCTTCTTTTGCATGACTGATATGATCTTTCATTTTGATAAGGAATGGTTTCATCTGAAGACCTTATCAAGTATGCTCATCGAATCAGCAGCAGCAATGCTGTGGAGGCCCCAGTATCATGGATGCCAGGTTTGTTTAGTCATGCTTCTCAATAGATGAATTTCCTTTTGTTCTATTTCTTGTAAGACTATTGGGAAGAATTTAGTTCTTTCATTGTTTACATTAAATCTGTCATCTGAATGCTAAAGCTCTAAAGTTTTTTCCTGTTAACTTATCAATGTCCTTTTCTTTCTTGCTCTCGGTGTTTGGGAAACTTAGTTGGTAATCTGAAGGTCATGCAATGCTTATCTTGCAGATGTGATATTTAGTTATCTAGTCCTTCCATGATTTGGTATGAAATTAATAACTGCATGATAAATTTATTGATGTAACATCCAGAGCTTATCTAAGAATGCAAAACAATGACCTTTCCAAGGCTAAGCCTCAAGACTTTTTATTTAATGTTCAGCTTAAAAGACCACCTCAGATGGCTAATTATATTTACCCATCCTGATGTATCACACAGGTGACCCACGGAGACCATATCCTCAAGATATTGAGATGCGATCTGGCTTGCTAGGGAGACTCATGGAAGGTGTGCCTGGTGAAACTGAAGGACCTGGGGCTGATCGTTCAGCTCCTCAGGAAGTGGTCCAGTCGTCCGCCTCTGCATCACAGATGCTGCAGCCTACTGGTGGACTGGGTAAGATTGAATAAAAATTGCACTCAAGGGAATTCATTTTCTATTTTTGTAATTCTATCAGTACATTTGTTGGTTTCATTAAATAGTTATAAATAACTGAGATTGACTTTTCCATTCTTTCTATAAGGCCTCACAAATGGTCAAGCAGCAGCATTTTCCTGGCAAAGCCAGCTTCCAGGAGTGCAGTCTGGACCTTTACAGGTGAAAAATGATTGTCTTGATATAATTTTTAGTTATCCAAGTTTAAATGTGGGAATTACAACCATAATAATGTTGTGGATATTTGATCTTAATAAAGCTTGTAAATATTATTTTTCTCTTGAGTGAGTAGACTTAGGAAGCATAACAGTCTCCTCTTTGGTGCTGTAAATACATAAACAAACTGAGTAAAAATGAACACTTATCACTACCAATCCAGACTGCTGGGAGGCCAACAAGTTGGTCATTTACAAAGTGTGGCAGAGATGTTGAAGCCAAGACATCCTAGAAATGAGTCCAACTGAGTGGTAGAGTGAAGAATGTGAACCTTAGATCAGCAGTTCTTAAACATAGGATCCTAAATCACTTTTTTCGTGCTTCCTGTATCTGAAAATTGCAGTGACAATACTCAGTCATCTCATTCTACTAAACCTTTGATAAGCCAAGGGCTTGTTGGGAGTGAGGGGAAGGGGGGAGCAGTTTGACCAAAATAAATGTTTTTACTCATTAACTTATTTTTATTTGCCTGAAAATGTTTTTTTTCACAGCAAGATGCATCTTCCAGTTTGGATATCCTAACAAACAATCTGACAAAGGAAGTGACCAATGGTAGACAAGAACAAGGTGTGGATGAAGTAGAGTTCATGTCATCATCATCATCATCATCTTCCAGCGACAGCCCATAACAGCTGACTCTGTAAATTATAGCTTAAAATAAATGTATTAAGGACATTTTCAAAGTTGTGGCTATTTAATGAAGAGCTGATAATGATTTATTGCCTTGCTGAGCTGCTTAGATCTAAACTTAAATTTTTCTTTATCTTTACAGTATGACTGTGTCTTGTTTGATTTATTTTATCATGTTCAGGACTGATTAAAACAAGAGTCAGTTATTGCTCTGTTAGTTCGGTGGAATTGGAACTGAAGTATTGATGTTTTTTTGAATAATTGTATATAGCTCATTTAGCTCTGAACTTCGACTTCATGTGCAATGCGTTTTCAGTTACCAACTGAGTTAGAACGTACGCAAATGAAAAAATTTAATTGAGTACGTTTGTATGCCATGAAGTGGTCACATGGCTAAGGAAGGTAAAATTACTGGTTTTTAAAGATCCGCCGTAAGATTTGCCGTGATTTGTTTTTATTTTAAGGCCGCGGAAATCTTTAACAGTACGTGTAGATGTCGATGGTAATAATTTTCATTTTCAGCTTTTAAAATCAGAAAACTAATAAAATCATGAACCTATTGTATTGCCAAACTCATTAAAGAGTTCGTTGTGGCTCAGTTGATGTAGCAGCCGACTGTGAAATCGGACTTGTACAGGGACTCTGACTCATTATTTCATCCTCACAGGAAATATAGATGTGTAGGAATTTCTTTAAAACAAAATCCACGTGCATAAAAAAAAGCAGTACAAAGCGACTTACATTTAAAGTTTTGTTAGTTTTCAAACAATGGCTCTAAGTCAACAAAGCTTTTAAATTTTCCACGTGTTTACGATTGGCACGGAAATTGTAATTAATTTTTCATGAATCGTTGAAAACCGGGAATCTTTTATGCATAGAATTTCATATAAGTGCAGAGGAACCTTTCTACATTATCCGTCTGCAGAACTCGGAAATAATTACGATATAGTTAAAAGGACTTAAAAGGTGTTGAAACAAATCCCCTTTATTTTATATTTATGGTGTGACTTTGCATAAGTGCTTGTTACCAAGTTAAGAATTGACATACGAGTGAAGTTTTCACAGACACGTAAACAACACAAGTAGTACTCTTCTTAAACTCCCGAAAAGCAAATGTGTACATACCTGCGTTTGTATGAGTAACTGCCATGGGTCACGAAGTGTTTCTACTTCTTTCTGATTGGCTGAACAGACCGATATTTTGGCAAGGACTGGATAGTACTTTGTTATGTGATGCCTTGGAGGTAACAAATAAAAAAGTTATTACATTGAGTCTCTTGGTATTCAGACAAAACCTGCTTAAATTTAGGTAATTCAATTAGAAAGTGACACGGTTTTGTTACTTTTTGTTGATTGTTTCTTTTTTTTCGACTATGAATATATAAAAATCATATATGCCCAACCAACGCAGCACCACAGTTTCTTTAAAAAACCTTACTCTCTTTATTCGTTATGTTTTGTTACTTGTCTACGTTATGACTTTATCAACCGTTTTTCTAGTTTTCTGGAAAACTTCCGCTGTCGTTGTGTACATGCCAAGTTAAATTGTAAACAATTTTTAAGTATTCTGTGAACTACAAACAGTTAAAAATACCCGCTGGCATGAAAGAAACGTATGCTCGCCCGCACAAACTTCTCACAGGTTTATGAAGAATACCTATAAGATTTTCAGAACACTGTACCACGAGGGGCCAAATTGTCGATGAGAATTCTCCAAAATATCTTGCAAGAAATGTAGCGATTTTTTAGGCAACATTTACATCTTAAACTGACACACCCCTGAAAAAACCGTTGTTATGTCTATCAAAATCTTTGTGCTCTCCTAATCAAAGGCTGAGATCCCACTGAGCGGAGGCTAGGAGAATATTACTTGTGTCAGTTTTTCAAATTACTCGAGTGATGCAGACACGAAACTCATCCTGCCCTACAAACACACGTGCTACGATACAGAATGAGGTGGGATAGCATTTCAAGTGTTTATTAGCTTGAGAATTTTCATTTAAAACTAAGAATCGGTTCTTGTATTTTGAAGTTGTTTGGTAAACTTGAATGATTATGTCAAGGAAAATGACTCCCTGAAGTGACTGATTTATTACTTGTCAAATCTGTAGATTTTTTACTATTATTAGATCGATATGTGGCAAGCACTGGAGCCTGTTACTATCACAGTTTGTCAAGTAAAATCACTCTCTTTTATTCAAATTTGTTCTCTGCGGGGAAGAAGGTGACCCAGACACTAAACATTTTAACCCGTTCAAAGGACCACAGTCGACTCGTCTTTAGCACGTGCGAGGCGACAGGTTATTGAAATTAACTTACCTAACAATGAAACCCTTTCATCTGACGGCCGAAAGAATTCCTGGGTGGTCAGATTGAATTAATTATCTTATGGTATGTTAACAAGTTGCTCCACCCTCCCGCGTTAGAGAAGATCAGAACCATTGCATTTTTTAAGGTAATTTAAAATTTGCTATCTTGTTAGTGCGAGCTCGAGAAGAGTTTTTTTCCTTTGTTAAAAGGTCCGCTATATTTCTTTCTAACTGAAATAATGTTTATAAATGAAAATTCAAAATCACATTTGAATAACGATCCGTAAACAACAGGAACCACGCTGATACAACGTTTTCTAATTTTTTCTTCGATAAATTTTTTACTTTACCTTTTCCCATAATGGAAGTATCGACATGCTAATACAACCTACGCACTATTTTTAATCTTCTTTGTGAGTTTGTTCTAAGAACAAACCCTTTTCAGCGACTGATGAATTTTAAAGTAATTAAAATCAGACTCTTTTTTTAGACTAAAATTCTATTGTATGGAAAGTAAATGGCTGATTATAACAGAACAGTTACGTCTGACTTAGAAGCCATTCAATCTTTTGTTTTAAGTGATCACTTGGAGTAGCCACAACACGTCATTTAAATCTCTTCGTTTTATTGCAAGATGAATCTTTAGGTTTTTTGACTTTTTTTTGTCCAATTAAACTTGATCTTATTAGGTGCTGGATATTATTTTATTTTTTCGATTTTTGTGCGCGTGTTATTGGTCAGAAGAGAATTGAACGCGCGTGGGATGGGCCACTTGACTGGCAGGCACTGCCCCCGGAATGGTCTCTCACCCACGCAATCGACAGGTTATGACTGCGCGCGCTCGTTAGAAATTCGCCAATATATGGCGCACAACGTCAAAATCGGGACAGAAAAAAAATCGTATTTTGGCAAATGATTTCCGCGCAGTCAAGGAACAATTTCTTTTTCACTTTAAATAGAACCAAGGTCTTTGAAAAATGTGTCAAATCGTTCTTGAAACGATTTAAAGTTTCGAATTGACCATGGCATCCCAGAGACTAGATATTTTCAGTTTTAACGTGATTGTCTTCGAAAAGGAGCCACCGCGTGTTGCCGGCTCTGTCAGCAGTTTGATCACATCTCTACCATAAAAACACCCGATTCTCTAAAGCAGGCGATTGCAAGTGGATTATTCTTTACAAGGCTTCGATTAATCTAACAGCTTGGTAAGTATAAAAGGTAACGACTGCAATTATATTTTTTAAGTACAAACCTTAGAGTGTGCGATCGAGAAAGATTTTGTTATTTATGTCTGTAGCCACTTCCTGTTTCCTTCAACACTTCGTGCCAATTTTTTTTGGTCTCTCCTTAAGGATTCGACATTTTTCAATTGCGATAAAACTTTCAACCTCGCACAGAAATCCCACAGTATATTTCTTGTCACGTCTTACCTTCAGTAAAATCTTACTTGAGTTTATGCTAGCCATGCTGACGTGTTACAAAAACGACCCCTACTCTTCTTAATACGATGAACTTTGATCGGTTTTTTTTTTTAATAAATTGCACAGGAGAATTCTTTAATATTCGATATTTCTAGAAACACCCCACTGTTTAAAAATTTAACTCAATGATTCGGATTTTTAAGCTTTGCGTGCGGCCAGTGCACTCTTTCATGGCTTTTCGTTGGAAATGTTAACTCCACAATTTTCTTGAGCAAGTAAATATAAAAAGAAAATATGACGCTGTATGAAACCAGTTAAAAAAATACTACATGGACAAAAATATTTCAATTTAAAATTTTCTTTCTTGCATTCGTTTAAAAGAGGCTGTTCTTCTCATATTTCCTCTACCAAAATAGCTTTATTGATTCTCTCGATGCTTTGTAAATTCTAACACCTACACAGACAGACAAGAATGGTAATTGAATTGGTTTGCTTCTTCACTGAGTCTCATAATTAATAATCCTAGTAGAATTTTTGCATACGAATCACACATCAAACCATCAAACCCGGAATTTTCAAGCCAAGAAACTACTCAGCATTCTTTTTTATGCTAGTAGTTTTCACCGCTTTTCTCTGACCGATTATATAGAGACACATTCTGCACATACTGCCTGTGATCAAGTTAAATCTGTGCTTTTGTCAATTTAGTATTTGAGCAAATAACTCAGACGAAAAAAGCCTTCAAGAAAAACATAGCTTATGTATACGTGTTACATCAATAATTCCTCAAATATCCATTGTCTCAACAGAATGAATTCAGCGATCGCTTTGATAAATGAATTGCACTTGTCGTTATGTTAATTTACGAGAAACTCTATGAGTAGTTTTATTTTCCAATTATTGAATTCTGCTGCGTCGGCGGAAAATGTGCAACACGTCTTCATTTGCGTGGATTAAGTTAAAATAACCATTTTTACACAAACACTTGATGACCTTGAATAACAGAAAAGGTTGTACTCTTTCTTCTTCTTCAAACAGTCTACACACTAAACCGGAATCCATGCTGACAACAGGAAAATAAAATCTCTTCATCTTGTATCGGGCAAACGTAGACAGAGTCCAATTTAACGTTCGCGTGCATAAGTGAAGTCGAAGAATATTTATTTCATTTTCAATCTATACAGCGGGTAATGATAAAATCTTGTTTCTTATTCATAGCGTCTCCCTGCTTTTTCGAGTCAAAGAAACTTTCCCATTCAATGTATCTACATCTAAAAATTTTAAATATATTTAACAAAACGAGGCTTTAGGTGAAAAATCGAAGAAAATCAATAAGTTCAGTCATGTGATCTGTCAATTTGTAAACCAAAATCATGCAACAGAAACGTTCCTGATGCGTGTGAAGACGAAATTTGTGATTCTTGAACTCCTAAGGGTTTGTCTCAAAGCATCGCAAATTAGATGGCAAATTCGTTGTTTTTGAACTAACTCCATATCTGAGTGTATTGAAGAGTTCAGTATGAGAACAAAAAATTTGGAGAGAGAAGGACTTTTCCTCTTTCGAACTGAATGCAGCGAGGAGAAAGGCTAAATGATATTCTGAGAAGGAGTCATCAACATTACTCATTTCTAACGAAATTTTACAGATAGAAGGAGTTTCACGAGGGGATAATTGACTTATGGAGGCGTTTATTTCATTCCAGCGGTGTCAAGATGAACTATAGAAACAGATTACTCTGATACTGGTCTCTCTTCACCCCACCCTACCCAGGCCTAAGACTGAATGGGACTCACGGCGGTGAACTGATACGGCAAACTAACTAAGTAGGGGAGGGAGGCGTGTGAAATTGATATCCCATCCAGGATGTTAGGGAGGGGGGAGGGGGGGAGAGAGGGGATACCGCAATTTCGCCTCTAGTGGTCGCTTCGCACAACGAAAACTGGAATAAACTCCTACGGATGTGGGCCACATGCCCTTGCGAACATTGTGCTTTGCTTTTATCAACTAATGTCTTATCATTTCTAAGAAGATTTGAAACGCACTGAACGTAAGGCACAGGTATTGAGGAGATCTTAACTGGTGTCCGTTGTTTTATCAAGCAGAACTTTCCTTTATTCCTGTCGTGTATTTATCCTAAAACTCTTGAATAATTAACGTATTCTCAGCCTCATCTCCATAAGACGGCTGGTGGATGGCTCTCAGTCACTTGAGAGCCAACACCTCAGTCATGAAATCGGTGAGTGCTTATAGCTACAAGGTGAGTCCTACATTTTAGCCTGCGATGAACAGAATTGAGGCCGCCAATTTCAATATCTAAGCTCAGATCCTGCGCTCACTTTGCCGATCAAAGAGAAACTGCCCACCATTACTGATAGAGGTAAGAGACAGTGAAACCCACGGAAATTTTTACGTTTTATCTTATGGATCATTAACAAAATGTCAGTAGTGAAGCTAATTATTAGGCTTTAAAGGGTCCACATGTGTATTGATGAACTCTGACAACTTTTTAAACATCTCAAAAGATGTAGTTATAATAATCCTAATTATTCAAAAAGAGGGTAAAAGCTGTAATTAATGAACTCAAACAGGAAGACAATAAAATATCTAAATTTGTAAAACATTTTAATTTACAGTTTACCAATCAGCCTGAGGTTGTTGTCTTCCGCAGGAAGTTGTCTCTAGAATTTCGTGTTCCTGTTTATATCTGTATATTCACATCTGTCATTAGCATAGTTGTCAAAGGGAATTCCGAATTAAGTATTACTTCTTTCTATGTTTCTAATGAAAACATTTAACTTTCCGTAACTCGGAGCAGCTCATGGAGCCCTGACAAATTGAGGATGCAAATTCGTATCGAGTTCTTTTTTTCACGAACCTTAAATAAGTTAATATTTACATCTGTGAAGACTTGGCAAGTAATTGAAATATCCACCCTGTAATCAACCTATTTCTTCTACGAATACCTTTGGAACCATTTGTCATGATTTTTTTCGAAGTTTTCGTAGGTGGCACTTCTTCTCCACGAGGAACAGAACTGTTTTTGTGATAACGAAAGTGTGGAATTGGCGTGCGAATGCGTAAGCGTGAATATGCGTTACCTCACGGCTGTTCAAATATCATTCTTATGTGTTTACGTTAAGTGTAAAATATGGGGTTTTATGCGACTTTTAGAAGGATGACACATAGTAAACGATTGTGGAACAAGCTGCTGTCTGTGGACATGGTGAAAGTCGCTTCAATAAACATTTGACTGTATATTGTACGACTCTCATCGTGTCCAAGGCAGCCTCGACCGGAAGCCTAATCCTTGAGTCGCGCTTGTTACAAAAGAGAAATGTAATATTTTCCAACGTCCTGAAACACGCATAGTTTTGAGTCTTCCGACGAGTGACTTTAATTTCGAAGCAATTAAAAGGTGCATGTTCACTGGCAGAGGTACAATTTAAGTCTATCCCTTGACTGTGTACTTTCAAATAACGATAACTCTCTTAATGTTTGACTACTCACATTCACAAGCGGATGACTTTTAACCAGAAGGCATAATCGGCCATTTCGATGCTAATTGCGGACAGTTCCTTATCATCCAAGATCACTTTCCCCGAACTTCTCCAATCTCAAAGTTTTGACGTCATGTTTAGATCAGGAACAAAGAATTTACGCGGGCACGAACACTTATTTTGCACTGAATTCATGTCCACGCCCTCTTCCTTAAGCCTGAGAAGAGGACTCCTTCTTTGGGTATCACGCGGCAATAAAAGAACCACATCTGAAAGAAGGGCGTTTACTGTGACTTGGTAATGCTTGACCATGAATTGTACAACGTACCAAAATTAGGAAACACAGCGCCACGTGAAATGAAACGATTAAAGACGTGTAATCGCCTGAACGCGATGATTTTGACAAACTAGGTCTGTTCCCAGGACGTTAGAAATATTCAATTGGGAACCGCGCCTGTACAGACCTGGAGGGGATCATGAGCTCCCGGGAAAACCTCAGCTGAAGACAGAGCCTTACCAAGCCTAACTGGTCCGCTCGATTAGAAGCCTACGACCAGGAAGTGAGCTCGTAATCCCCCCTGAACTGAGCAAACTAGTCCTGGGTACAAGTTTATTTGAGAATCTACGTAATATTGTTCTAGGCTAAATTTTAATTTTAGGTCTCTTCTAAATGATCAAGTATGACACTATTTCTTTTAATAACCCAAATGATTCTCAGTTCAAGGTCTTACGGCCCAGTAAGCTGACTAACAGTTCAATTCTTCGGCCTTGACAAACCATTCAACTCAGATTAAAATTATTTATTTATCTTACAATACTTCTGTTAAATTTATGGATAACACAAAGGATTATTACTGCACAAGTTAGAGCGATTTTTAATGAAACTTTTAAAGGAATCCTTAATTCGAATTTTTTACTGTACATTTTTGGCTCCGTCATCAAACGATTTTGATCCGAATTCTCACTGTTTCATAAATTGTTTGCCTTGATAAGATTGACAGTTACATTAAAAACCGCTCTAACCATCACTAGAAGGTAAGAGGGTAACATTCAGGTTAACTCGAATTAAAAGACGAAGCGTAAAGGTAACAAAAGTTACGACATATTGAATTATAAAGCCCAAATGGCATTCAGCAATCTAAGTTACACCAGGATATACAAATCCGACAGGTGGTTAAAGTTCAATTAAGCGACTGGTCAGAAAGTCACTTTTATATTTGAGAAGCATTCTAAACCAGTATAATAAAGATTTCGTCTTTGGATAAATCAAGAGCCGTTGTTTGATCTATGCGCTTGGAAAACAATTGTTACGCTATTTCGCGAAGTATAGGTGTGCGTGACATTACAAATAAGAGCTGCGCACGGAGGAAGTCACGAAAGAAACATAAGGGTGTTCGTCAGTGACAAATATATGAATAAAGACGATATTGTGCACTAACTTTGGCAGAGTGCTACTTCTAAAATTCAGATGTCTAACTAACCGAAAAAACCGCCGAAATAACGTCGCCGACTCCTACAAGCAAAGGCAATGACAATCAAAAACGTGGCTGGGCAATGAATTTTAGTCAACTGAAAATATATATGCTGTCAAAGTCACTTCAACCCAGGCGCAGCCAAATTAATCTCTTCCCGCAAAAGCAACGAAGCACCATCGTAACGCCACATTGCAATCGTCATTACATAACCATGGAAACACAGGACAACGGATGCGCATGTCTGGAGGTTGATCCGCTGACTCACTTGTGTGTGGACTACGGTTCTACTTAGAGTTTTTCTTTAGAAGGGATCCATATAACAGGCCCTGACTGCTGACGTATAACTTCCTTACATTTGGTGTAGATTTCATCATAGGTATCACCTTGGGCAACCGCTAGGGAAAAAAAAAGGGGAAAAAAGATGAACGAAGTAAATTTACTCTTCCACAGTTTTCATGTGACCGGGAAATTCTGGATTCTCTCCTTCTGAGCTAGGCAAAAGGGGTGTGATCACTGTCTGGTGATAGAAATTGAACACTCCTTGAAAATATAGAAGAACCACGATAATTAAAACAAACCAAAACAAAGGGAAAGCCAAAATCGGTTTGAATTGACAAAATTGGTGCTTCATCAAAACTGGCAAATAACGACAGAGGTAAGAGATATGAAGATATTAAATGTTTTATTACTGATAAATGAAATTTGTGATAGTTCCATGTCAGGTTTTATTAACTTACCAGTAAAATACTCTCCAAACTCTTGTTCTAGTTTAAGGGCTCTGTCATAAGTCTTCTGCGCTTGCTCCTCCGTTAGTCGTTTGTTGAGTTCCCGGATGGAGTCCACAGATTTTGGTTTCAAAAAGATGGCGATCGGATAAAGTGTTGCAACTTGGAGACGCTTTATGGCATAACCACTAACGTCCAGAATACAATGTTTATTCTGCGAAATAAAGCGTTTCATCGTAGTAATTCGGATTTGTAATATTTGAAAGTTCTCATCAAAACAACCACATTTTCAGTGACGTAAAACTACTTGCCCAGTTCTACTGACAACAAAACGCGTTGTGATTCCTTTGGGGCTTTAAGCCTTCTTTGTTGTGTTTTTTTTGGTGTTGTTTTTCAGCAATCTTTGGTATTGACTTCAGCGGAGATAATGAAACACTTTTATTAACATTCTGATACTTCTGTCTGTTATTAAAGTGGATTCCACATTGAGTAGGAAAATCATTTAGAGACAAATATTTCATCGTTTGGCAAACCCTGGGATTCTTCAATTGAAGAGAGACAAATTAATGTCCAATGAGTGTCCATATCAACAGGACTTTTTTGGCACATTTCTCTGGAGACTAATAGCTACGGAGAGCCAAACTAGTACCTTCACATTTACGCTTCTTTCATTTTACAAAAAGGGACTTAACCACAGTAGTGACGACAGGGAGAAAGGAAAGAATTTCCCAGTCAAGTGGGTCTACATTGACGTCTTAGTATTTGAAGATGGGGATACTGAGCTGGTTTATAACTTTTTCTGGCAAATGGGAAGGGGGGAGGGAGGGGTCTCTTAGCTACTCCTAACCACACCCTTGCATTTGCGAGTGTACCTTTTCGGCGACTTCTTTGACTGACTGCACACTGGTCCCATACAAATTATCGTTGTATTGACCGGCTTCGATGAACATGTGGTTCTGAATTGATCGCTCCATCTCCTCACGTGACTCTACAAAATGATAATCCCGCCCATTCACCTCGTAGTCACGCCTCTCACGCGTCGTATCTGTAATCAAAAGAAAACAGTCAAATAACAACATTGAATTTTTTTGTTATCCTGCTGTTTGGTAAATCTTATGTTAGACGCTCTATGAGGAAAGGGGAGTGTGCGGAGGAGCGGACGAGAGGGGAGGGGCGGGGCGGGGCGATGCGAGGCGGGGGTTGTACTTTTTCACGGGAAGCGAAGGAGAGTCGTCCGGTTGTGGAGAACAATAGTGGCACGACGACGAGGTAAAGGCGGGGTAGAAGTGAGCCGTGTGCAGGAAGGCAAGCAGTTTGTTTGTCAAAACAATGCACTCCTACTAATGAACGAAAACTGAATCAGCAGACAGGAAGAGATCATGGTCCCTTACACTAAAGCTTTCAAAACAAAACAATCAGAAACAACACTGTTCAAGTGTTTTTGGTATGACTACATACGGGGTACACAGCTGCCAAATTTATCCGGAAATTCTGAGATGAGGTCATCATTGATTCTGTCCTTAAGCGGTCCCAAGACTATCACGGGCCGAGTGTGTTGTAATTCGTGTTGGACCACAGCTTCGTACGATAGGATGTTGTCCTCTGCGCGTGCGCTGTAACTGCTTTCACTATCGCTAGCATTTGATGTATAGCTTGGTTCTACGTCACTTGTCGTCTCGTTTTCGGATTCTTTCTTGAAAAACGGTAGCTTCTTCGAAAATTTGAAACTTCGCTTTCGGCCTCCTGTTCCTTCATTAAACGAAGTCTACAAAGGATAAAAACAAAAGAAATTTTTTTCTCTAATTCAAGACGAATCTTTTCTGTTTACTTTACTCGTGTTACACGAAATGAAACTATCAGATAGCTGCTGAATGAAATAAGTATGAAAGAAAGTGATCAAGATCAGTTTCAAACTCAATTTCCTTTCCTCTTGTCATGAAATTAGCGGATAATGGTGAATATGGGAGCTGAACTACATTAATTCACCCCTAAATAAAAATACTTCTTTCCATCAAAAACAAATAAATCGATAGACTAATGAATATCCGAGTAAATAAATACACCACTGAAAAAAATTAAAATGGGTTTTACCTTTGTTTTATTTTCCTCGCTATTTCTTGAGAATTTCACTGTTTTCATTCTTGATTTTTCTCTTCTCTCGACTCTGAAAAACAAAAAGGAGTTAACTTTACAATTTGCCTTAGGTTATGAGAAGAAGTATCTTGATCAATGAAGTAGCCTTGTCCTAATCTTACCTCCTCTTACTGGGGATGACACCTCTCCCTTCCTCCTCCCCCAGAGCATTCAGCCGTCTGGCCTGCCACCACTCGTCATCACTAGCATTGGTCACATGAAGAATGTCGCCGTACTTGAAGCTCAGGCCCTGACTGGGGAGACCACTGTCCTTTGTTTTGTCGTAGTCAAACAGAGCCCTAAAAAACGTAAAATGTATTGAGTGGGTCAAAAATCAGACTCCTATGATCAGACAGGATTATAAACTTAGACCTCGCTAGGTTTCAGAAAACAACTTTTCAGCAATTCAGGGTGGACAGTGAAATCTGCTTTAGGAATGAAAACGCATAAAGGAGGTCTTCCTTTAACCTCCTTAAGAAATTTAGGATGACAGATGAAATGTCTCGACATCAGGAAAGACCTCGGGAGTAAATGAAAGCCATGATAGGCATTCCGCTCCTCTCCCAAAGATCACACCCACACCAACGACCACACCCACCCACAAAAACAACCGCACCCACTGACATGAAATAAGGAACTCAGGAACGTGACGTCGGCAACAGAGGAGGGGCGCCGTGAAAGCGGAAGCAACTAGGATACTTTGAGTCTAATAAGCGACTCAGAAAACTTCCATAAAATAAAAAGAGAAGGCGAACATAAATTGAGCTGAAATACATTAATAAGGAAAAGGAAGGAGAAATCCCCGTGGATTACCAAGAACTACAAATGGGAGCTTGAGATTAATTAACTACAAGCACTATTGATTTACTTATCTCCTTCACCACCATCTAGAATAATTGTCAATTGAATCTGTTTAAGCCTGATTTGCTCTCATACCTTCGACCATTTAGACTACTTTAGTCACTAAATTTACTCTTATTAGGAAAATTCTTTAATCAAGTGCATTCATAATTGGAACTAAAAGCCTGGATACAAAGCGAGTGTGAGGCATTTGTGTAAAACCCAGTTTATATCTTGTTTTTCTTCTTCTATTAATTAAAAGCTCTTTCTCATTCTAAAGACATCGAAAGAAAAGCATGCGGAGAAAGATACCGGGCGGCAAAATTTTTAGCCCTGAACTCAAAACCAGCTCCAGCTGGAATCACACAAAACAAAACAAATATTCAGAGCAGATTACAGGATAAGAGTAATATATTAGTTCAATTTAATCAGCTCAGTGTATCGAAACCTGCCCAAAAAAGTGTTATTAATCAAAGCAGCAAAGCTGGAAAAAAAGCGTCAATCAGTATTCGCGCTCATGGTGAAAAGAGGAAAACTAGTCTGAAACTATGAATACGTTTTCTGATTTTGTACACAACAGGAGGTATATTGAAGGGTTGTCGCCCTGAGTGTGTTTTGCAAATAACGCAACAGGAGGGTTGTTTTGAGATAGTCACGCAAGACAACTTTTGTGAATATTCCAGACTATCTCTCCGTTTCACCGTTGTATTGCTTTGCACATGAAACATCCGCTAAAAGATTCACTTCCACGACAATAAATACAAGAGAACAGCCATTGTAAACTTTATAAACTACTTGGCGCGTTGAAGCAAGTGAGAAAATAACAACAGCAAAACTAAGTCAGATCGATGTCGACAGAAAATGACGAACATTTCAAGAATGCCAGTGACTTCAAACAAGCATCACAGATTGAACTGACTGAGAAAGAAACAGTGTTCAAAATAAAGATAGCAATTTGGTATTTGAGACATACAAAACTCCTCGTTTATAAGTGAACACGGGATCCTAGCGAACATGATACCCATCACAGAAAAGGGTGAAAAGAGCGTTATAACTAATTTCCTTAGATTTAAGACACGAGTCAGGGTCGTATTTTGAGTCAAGCGGGCTATTTTTAAAACACAAGATAAATATTCGCGTTTATTTCTTACCTAACATATAGCTGGCGCTTCACGGACGTCCTCAAAGTTCCCGGACTTCCACTGTTCATCATTTTCTCACGAATATCGTGAATTTTCGCTTCAAACTGATTGTATTCTGTAAAGAGACAACAGACACAAAACCACACCGTTATTTCGCTGCAAACTTACAAGAAAACCACGCGTTCACGCGGCTAAAACAGACAAAATAACTCGGCGCTAACGAGTAATTTTCCCACTCCAATATGCAAATTGTTGGAGATACTTGCCTGTTACGTACATAAACTCTTAGCGCAGCCTTGTTCATCAATTAACAACCGACCGAAATACCCACTAGAACTCTAAAATCAGATCCACGAAGATAAACTAACTAATAAATAATCAAATGTAACGCAATATTCGTTTCACAATCGACGAATCAAGATTTCAACTTTGGTGTAACCATATGATATTATATTGGCACGGGCGTGCGGGCTACGCGAAGCGCCGAACTGTCAAACTCGATCGACTAATAGCAATTTCACTGTTGAGTTCATTAAATTTTCCGCGATGGCCAACGAATGCAGACAACAGCAGCAGAAATCGTTAGCCGCAGCGCATATCTAATCCATTATGTCCGTTCATGTTTAATGAACTATCACAAGCGCGTTCCCTTCTGGGTGTACTAAGCTTTTGTTTATTAATTCTCACAAGGCCACAAAACTCAAACTGAATCAGAACAAAACACACACTGATCATCAATAAAAATATAAAAATATTAGTCAAGTAAATAATCCACGCCTTGGCATACATCCACTTTTTGAAAACTTAGCAGTATTCATTCACAGCACAAGATGAATCACATATTCGAGTTGAACACGGCGACATCTTTACAAATTGCTTTCATTGGTATGCTGATGACTTTCTGAATATTCTGTCCTTAGATGAAAGATACTTCAACGAATAAGTCAAATGACAATTTGAGTAGCATTTTTAGAACATGATTGTCACAATTATGGTATTTTTCCTCTCTGTCGAAAGGGAAATTACACCATATGAACATATGAAAGGGGCATAGAAAACATAGATATTGGAATGGGAAGAACAACGGAAACTCAACATAATCTGTTGAAACATCACACATACATTATTTTCAAGCATGTCACTTTCAATCAATGTCCGATCCTTACGAAAGTTTTGATTTATCACAATGTTGAACCCCAAAAAATTCGCAGTGCTGAACCCTACAAAATACTATAAAAATCTACAAAAAGCTTCAATTTCGCCGAAAACCATTGTATAAACATCACTTTATAACAACTCTTAAAATAAAACACTCTTGCAAAAAATTACCATGAGCGGAACAGGCGCCTTGATAAAATTACAGACACACATGGCGATATTTGTAAACATTTTATGCAGGAAGTCGAATAAGAACAAATCAAATGTATACACACTGTTTCATGCCAACCAAAAATACACCAAGCGGTTAACGAGACCTAATAAATCTGTCAAATTAGTTACAAGGTTTTTGTGACCATCAGCTGCGATTGTAAATTTTACGACTCTCTTAAGTGTGAAAATGACAATTCGAAGGATGAAAACTGGACAGAAAAAAACTAACAATATCATGGTCCAAGACGCATATTCATATTTCCGTGAGACGTGAAAACTCGAAGTTCACCGACAGTATACTAGTTAATATAAATTCGAAAAACCGATTCTATAAATAATATTATTTCAAAGAAATTTTGTCCAAACTAATATTGAGCGTTCAATTCAAAACCTAGCCAATTGGCGAAAGTTTTTTAGACTTTCGGAGAAACTTTTAAGAAATCGAGGGAAAACCACAGATGAAATTTAGAAGAGTTTTTCGTAATAAAATCAAGAAGCAATATAGCCCTTACCTTCGGGTTTATACTGAGCCACTATCACCACAGTGTTCCCAGCGCCCTTCAATGCAGCGGCTGCTTTTTCGTGTGTGGCGTCCTCCAAATCGGCATCATTTACCTGAAGTAAAATGAATCGAACGAACTCAAAAAATAAAAAGGAAAATACATCAAGAAAAGCTTAAAACGTGTTCTAATCTTAAAAAAACGGTTACATGAACTCAAATAGAACGCCCTGTCTCTGAAACACAATGTTAAGAACGATGCTGTTATAATGAAAATTTTAACAAAACTGACTCGAATATCATGGCGTCTTCTCGCACAAATTCGGTTTAATTTGTTGGCATATCTGATTTCGTTATTTATAATTCATCACATGGGTCTGTACAACGATAGCGACTCTTCCAACGACAGCAATTATGTAGAGAATGATTTAAGCGCGTCAAAATTTACATTTTAATTGCGACTTGTGAAAATATTAGTACTTGTTACTTAATACTGATGGAAAATGAATAGCTAATGCTGATCAAGAAGAAACCTTCTAACATCCTTTCAATTCACGAAAGAAACCAACACCAAGATCACATTGCGCTTAGATCAGTCTAAGAGATCAAATAAATGACAAATTTCATCTAAACATTTCATATGTATTTCCTTTTTACCTGGAAGATGGCAAGACAGGCAAATTGTTAAATATTGGTTAAGTCATTGACGTGTATTGCTGTTTCCTTCTCAATACCATTTGTTCAGCGGATCTATATTTGTTTCTTGTTATATCTCATTGAATAAATTGACGAGAATCGACTGCGCTACCCACGGGTTACGGAACAACACCGAAAATTCCCACCCACGCTGATTTCAAACGAATTAATAACAACCAAACAATGCGGTTACTGCACAAATATTTGGATTAAAGAACAGAAGAATAACTGTTGCAATATTTGTGGTCGAATCAACAAAGACAGGACATTTCCAAGAAAGGTTGGGAAATGATTGATGTAATCTGCTTCTGATTGGAAAGGAAGTTCACTGGTTTAAAGAAATTAGACACGGTCAAATCACAGTTTCTCAAAGCGTGGGGAAAATATCGATTCAAGCGTTACACCTGATTGTATAAGAGAACGTCATCTAAGCTGTGATTAGCCACACGCGCGCCCTGATTCGCCTTGATGCTACATACTCCTCCTTTTTAGAAGAATTTCGACGAAACTAAGAGTTACATAGTCAATAACAATCTTACCGAGAGGATTTGATCGCCTCTTCTCAGTTCTCCACTGAGATCAGCCACACCACCAGCAAGAATGAAAGAGATAAAAATTCCTTCACCATCTTCACCGCCCACGATGTTAAACCCCAGACCCGTGAGTCCCTTGTTCAACACGACTTTCCTTGGCTCTCTGTCAAGATACCACTTCAAATTAATCACAAATTGAAACCTAACTTTCTCATCATGCAGTTACAGTTGTGTAAAGGGGGGGGGGGGGTCAGTTCTGTTTGTATTTTAACTAAAAACAGTATTTCTGTGTATGTTGATGGTTTAGAAAATCTGCACAAAAACTGTGAAAGTGCATTAAAAAATAAAAAGTGCGATGTATTTCCATGAAAAATTGTCAGAACGATGTTTTTTTAAAAACGCTTCCTTACAAGAAACGACACCTCTTTCGTAAACATAATACAACTGCAATCTTATCACTCTCCAAAATTATAAACTTTTCAAACCTCCAAACCAAACAATCAAACAGAAAAAGGGTCCTAACTACAAAACTACAAAACTGCTTCCATTCTAACCTTGTAAATCCATCATCCTCTGGCACTGAGGGAGCTTGTGGTTTTTTCAAACTGTTAGTATGTTCATTTGGTGGAGCACTTTCTTGAACAGGCACCGCTATTGGCAGTATGCTATCTGTAACTTTTTCTTCTGGTGGGGGGGATGGTGGAGGTGGTTGACCTGCCATGGAAATAGATATACTTTAATTTAACTTGCCTCAGTTGTGCAGCTCCCATTAACTGGGTTTGACCTTGTCACAAAATTACATGTTTCTTCCAAAAGTTTCAAACAGAAACAAATTTTCAAATAAGCTTTAGCAAAGACCAAGCTCAGAATGCCACATGCTATGGTCTTTGTTTTCTCCAAAATTGCATTAAATTTTTGTTTGTACCAGATTTAATGCCCCAGAGAAAGTGTTGATCATAGATCCTCTATGATTCACACTTTGTTCCATGATGCCATTCCTGTTGATAGGAGACCAAGAGAAAATCATCCAAAACACAGCCCATGTTGGTACATACAGAAACCACATAGAGAACACAGCACACTATGTGTTCCATTTAAAAAAAGGGTAGTGGCATGATCATGTGGAGAGTGCCTTGGACTCTCAACATTGAGGTCCCAGGTTCACAATCCTCTCTGGGTAGTCCTTAGTTCAACTCCTTAATCACACTGGTAAATACCTGACTGGTACGCTTCCTTCCGGCTGAGGCAAGAATTATGGAGGAAACCCAAATACCAGGTTTTCAGTCATGTTTTACTTGATTTGTATGATTAATATCTGGTGCTTTTTATTTGTGGGCCAAAATAAAAACTTTCATGTCACTAATAATAACATGTCACCATTATAAGTACAAGTACTGTCTGTCCATTCCAGAATCTCTGCAGAGAACAACTTACTTTTGATATATTCATATGTAACCAACCAAAACAACATGTTATGTCTGCTAATTAAAAGCTATGAAGCCTGGTACTTACTTAAATTTACAGCTTCATGATAAACTGGGGGAGGGGTCCCTGAATCAGTAGTATGCATCATGCCCACTCTTGACACAACTATAACAACTTTATTTTGTGTCTTCTTAAGAGTGGCCACAGCGTCTTCATGTGCCACATCCTCCAAGGATGTATCATTTACCTACAGTGGGGCAAAGACACCACATGTCAAATATATTCATGTACCAGCAGCTAAGGGAGGAAGTTGGCTAGATTGTGATATTTATTAAAAGAATGATGTAAAGTACTTAGTTTGAACCATACTTATTTTTTCCCTTATTCCCATCATATACACTACATTCTGCTAATCGCATCCTGTCTTTTTTCCTAATTTAAATTTTATCCAGTGGTGGCGGGAAAATTTAAATAGAATAAGTATGCCACACCTAAGATATATCAATAAAATACTTAACCCTTTAAACCCTATGAGTGACCAGCATCTAATTTCTCCCTACAATATCACTCCTGAATCACACATTAAGGTTATGAGAATAAAGGAAATGGTCACCAGGGAAGGAACGTTTTGATTGGCAAACAAATTCTCTCTGTCAGCACCTTAGGAAATGTACAAAGAACAGTGTGGAGAATATGCATACTGATGCTAGGCTGTAAAGGGTTAATTACCAACGTGTAACTCACCCTAACTATCTTGTCTCCTACTTGTAGTCTTCCATCTTGCTGTGCTGCCCCTCCATCAATTATCTTGGTGATGTAAATTCCATCATCATTTGGTACATGTTGATTTCCTTTGCCCCCTGCGATACTAAAACCAAGACCTGCATGAACAAAATAATATGGCATCTTAATCACTTGAAAAGTGTAGTGACAAACAAAATCACCTCTCTTACCCTTGGTTCCTTTTGTCAATACTATTTCTTCAGTCTGCTGATTTTCAGAGCCTGGTTTGGCAGATTGCTCTCTCTTTAATGTCTGTCAGTTCAAATAATCACATAGTTACTCATAATTGCAGCTGTTTTCATACAATGTCATTTTGATTTCTTGCATAGAACAAATATCAATTAAAGTTTCTCTGAGACTGTCTTGTGCACCTTTCCCACTGAGCTTTATATCTGTACTTCTGCACATTAAACTTTATTACATTACCAAAAAACAATGGGTAATTTGATTTAAACTCATTAATATGTCCTTATACCATCTGTATTTATTAATCAAATTCTGTAAGAAAGGATGTGACAACAATCAAAATGCAGAATAAATACAACTTTAAACACCTTGACTACTTTCAAAATACTTCCTCAATATTTCAAATTGTGAGCAAACATAACAGCACTTGTTTGATACAGAATCATTATTGATGAAATGGTTGGCAAATAAAAGCAGGCAGTTACCAATGTCACAGTCCCACCAGCTGCTTTCAAGGCTTCCACAGCTTCCTGGTGAGACACATTAACTGTTGATGTATTGTTTACTTTCACTATACAGTCTCCAACACTGCAAATAAAATGAACAATTTAATCAATTAGCAATAATAATTTAAATAAAAAAGATACTTCTGGTAAAATCCCTAGATGTCAGGCTTTAAATCCAAGGTGCCATATAGAGCACCTATGTGAAATTAACCTTAACTTGTCCTGAATCAAAGTAAAATGGCATTAAAAAATATATTGACCTATGAATGAAGATTTTAGATATATGAAAATTCACATATTTGCACTGTGGTGGAAAGATGAAATAAGGAGATCCTCGCAGCTAAGAACACTACTGAAACGAGTAGTTGTAAATAGGAACTGAAAAAAATTTCAGGCCCGTACGGGATTTGAACCCATGACCTCTGCGATACCGGTGCAGCGCTATACCAATTGAGCTAACAAGCCAACTGGGAGCTGGTCAATGAATTGGGTCCAAATAAACATCCAAGTGAATGAAGATTTTAGATATATGAAAATTTTTTTTAGCTTATGTATGTGTATGTATATATATATATATATATATATATATATATATATATATTGGGAGTCTGCAAGTCGATTTTCGCGTGGAACAGTGCTCTATACTCCCAGTTGGCTTGTTAGCTCAATTGGTAGAGCGCTGCACCGGTATCGCAGAGGTCATGGGTTCAAATCCTGTACAGACCAGAATTTTTTTCAGGTCCTATTTACAACTACTCGTTTCAGTAGTGTTCTTAGCTGCGAGGATCTCCTACTTTCATCTTTCCACCGCAGTGCAAATATGTGAATTTTCATATATCTAAAATCTTCATTCACTTGGATGTTTATTTGGACCCAATTCATTGACCAGCTCCCAGTTGGCTTGTTAGCTCAATTGGTATAGCGCTGCACCAGTATCGCAGAGGTCATGGGTTCAAATCCCGTACGGGCCTGAAATTTTTTTCAGGTCCTATTTACAACTACTCGTTTCAGTAGTGTTCTTAGCTGCGAGGATCTCCTAATTTCATATTGACCTCTATTTGGCAAATAATAATAATAGTTTAGTTTGCAGAAAACTTACTTCAGTCTCCCATCCTGAGCAGCAGCACCTCCTTTGATGATTCTTGTGATGTAAATGCCAAAATCATTATCTATATGTGGGTTATCTTTTCCTCCACCAATACTAAAACCAAGACCTGTTGTCCCCTGAAAACAAAACACAATCACAACCAGCTGAATCACTGAAGAGATAATCAACAACTCTTTAGGTCAGTTGTGAATGGACAAGGAGATTGAAAGAGACATTTATTTCATTTTTTAAACACATAAAAAAAAAATGTGTTTGACAAAGAGCTTTACAAATGCATGCAGCTTCCTTTTGGGTAGTCTGCCAGAACATATCAGAATATTTTGCACCTTCATCTTCTATCACTAAATTGCACTATAAAGTGCTGATTACAAACACAATATTCATGTTGCTAGAGTTCCTTGCCTCACTGGCAGGACTTGTCTCAAAAATAAATACAAAATTCCTAGGAAAGAGAGAGCACAAATTTAACTTTAAAAAATCAGTACAATAATCTCACCCTTTCTAAAGTGATGTCAATGCATTGATAATCCCCAGAGTCAACATGGCCATTTTCCTGTAAAAGAAAAAAGAGGAAAACCGTTTAGAAACTTTGTCACATTCACAACTGATGCATACAGTTTGTTTACAGCTGCAGCATCTGGGTATTCATAAGCTCTGTTTTCAATTAGTTTCAATGACAAGAACTTTCACCATAGATTCCCTCACATTAACTTCCACATTTGACTTCTGTGCTTCCACAAAATTGTCACCTTGCAATTTCTTTGTGTCTTTTATGTGAGCTGAGATTCAAAATCCAAAAGTATAGGAGAATCAGTCCAATTTTTTCCCCTTTATTTCAGAAAACAATGTGGGATAAAAAAACCAATATTGTTAAATTTGTTGCTTGAAAGTGATGGGAAAATACAGCTCAAGTTAACTCAACTTGTCATTTAATTTTCACCAAAGAAACCAATGTGTTTACCACAACAGGTGGTCATTAGTAACTTATCAAAACAATTAGCACTCTATTGTGTATGTAGCTACATTGCAATAGTTATAAAGTGGTTATCATGTTGAGAGCCCCCTGTATTAAGCGAAAGACTGAACAGCTTTAAAATTGATGATTAAGCAATTAAACTGGCTTTGACCACAAGGACAACTCCAACTGAAGAGAACTTGTTTGAATTGAACAAACATGGATGTACATGTATACAACAACCAATAGTGAAATCAGAGGTTTTTCAAATTTCAAAGAATAAACAAACTTTACTGACTAGAAATTATACATCTTTGAGGACATTTAAACCATCTCCACCATTGTTTGAGGTTTTTTTTAATGAAGCCATTCAAAGAAAATATAATTTGAACAACAGCATCTTACATATTTTTTCTTTATTGTTTGCACCTTTTTGGTGTATAAATAAATCACTGTTTAATACTAAGCAGCTTTGGTTTAAAATTTGTTTTTATTCATTTATTGATATTTCCTGATATTTTGATTTTTTTCTTTTCAAGAATGCAGATGACAGAAAGGAAAGAGAGAACATCATAGACAATCTTAGCAAAGAAAAAGTTGTTGAACTTCCAGAAACAACTCCACTTGTCCATAACATAATTTACATTCGGAAAAAATAAACTTAATTGTTGTAAAAAAGGTATTGACAAAATAACAGCTTTTAAACTGAAATGTCTATTTTCCCACCCTTGGTGAACTAAAACAAACTTAACATGCAAAAAAAAATTCTCCAGAAAGGATATCAATATCTGACACAACATCATTTCAAGGTCCAAAGGTCTGATAAATCAAGATGAACTTTGCAATTTCTATTACAAATAAGGCAGGGAAATGAAAGCAAAAACTATCCTGGAACAAACACTGCCCCTAGGCTAACATTTGCAGCCCAAAAAAATTTGTTGACCTCTCCTGACAGCTTTAGTGTAATAATCTCATATTAACCACTAAAGACTGGATGTGCAGACAACAGATTGTATCATGCTTTTAACTACTTGAAGTGACACTCTGTTCTATTTATTAGCATATATGACAACCATCAATTGTCAGCTGTGCAAGCTCCCTTGTCACTTTCAAATGAAACCGAACTACTAAAGCACCATCTGTTGGCCAGAAGAATTATGTAAGACAACCCACTGGTATCAGAAAAATGACAAACACAGAGCAGTGTGTAATTTTTGGACAATTGATAAGCATAACAATATGCTGACTTCTATCAATCGAGGGCACTTAACAAGTTTAGTTCTACAGTTCTATTTCTCTACTTACCAATCCACTATCAACATGCGAAGACTCTGCAGTTGATTTCTAATGTTAGAGGATAAAAAAACACAACCCAAGTTAGGTTGAATAGATATACAAGTAACATTCAAAAACAAACTTATTAAACAAGATACACTTCAATGAGTGTCTGTACCCCACTGAAAGGTGTACAGGATCTTAGCAATTTTCTCATTGTGAAGTTGAAAGCTATGTGCTTGTAAAACTTAATGGACAAGGAATTTTCAGTGCCAACATTTTCCAATTCTTTGGGTGAATTTATCACGAATTCACACAAGAAGTTGATGGCATCTGTTGTAACATGAGACTTCAAGCTTCAGTAAGTAGTAATAACTATGCATACTAATAAGCTGCTTAAGTCAAAACATCATGCAAACAAAACCACAATCTTTTTAATACTGAATACAAATGCCAAGCTTCAGTGCACAAGCTGATAAAACCCAGACAAAAAGGTATTCTTTCCTTAAATTTTTTAAAAAAAATGTGGTACAACTATTGGCATAGTTCAAGATTAGGACCTTCTTTTCTCCTACCACATTAGATGACAATCCATTTATGACACAATGCAATTAATTATCACCATAGGAAAAATTGCGGTTTCACAGGAAACACCCTTTCCTGATCCACTCGAAGAAGTATTGCAAGGATGATTTGTGACTAACTTCTCCATACATATCACATGTATGTAGTGAGAATGAAGAATTTCACAAACTACAGAAAACTTCAACTAAAAGATGAAAAGCAAATTTCGCATAATAATAACAATAACAATTATAATAATAATAATACATGAGATAACATACAAACAATAAAGGGAATCTTTACTTTGGGCTCAGAGTACAAGGCAGCTCCAACATGAGAAAACATAAATCATTTTGGAACTGCACTACACATAAAAATATCTAAACTAATTTGAAACTGGAAATTTGAAAGAAATTCCAAAAACCAGTCATCATTTTATCTCACTGATAGGTGGTTGACTAACTTTCAAGGAAAGTGGGAATATCGAACAACCTTTTTGGTAACAGAGGAGAAAGAATTTATCTAAATCTATGTGTAAAAAAATTTGCCCTCTCAAATCAAAAATAAAGTTTAGATTAATCCAAATTGGAGTTATGTGATCTAAGATTGTTTAAACTAAGATGTGTTCAAAATGTTAAGTAGGTTTGCACTTAGACAAACCAGCAATGTGTGGAATTGGTTTAATGAAATTATATGTCACTAATAAGATAAAAAACAGACACACTAAAATTATTTCATGCATTGTCTAAAAAGATTAAAGCAGAGTCTTGTACTCAACCATGAAAACAAAAAATGAAGGTACAGCACTTTGACCAAATAGATGATTAGTGATGCTATATAAATCAAGAGCAAACTGAAATACTGTGAACACAATTTTAGAAACTTGTAGATTTAATTCACTTTAAAGTGAGTCCTCTAATCTCCACAGAAACAGACATACATCAAATTAGATCACTAAAAACCTTACCATACAAATTGAAATTTGGATTAAATTTTAATCTAAATTGAAATTTGGATTAAACACAATCTGACAAAATCATCAAAATAATCCTCTATCAAAGTTTCAAAATCTTCTAAAATCAGCAATATTTAGACATTATAGTTAATTCTGGTAGCAGTTTTAAAGTTAAAAGCAATTTCAGAGATGCTTTACCCTTCAATAGCTTCCAAGATCTGAAATTTCTTTCTTGACTACTTTGGCAACTTTGCTGTTACATCAAGGCAACATCTCCAAATAGATAGTTATCCTTTATCCACTAATAATTTCTGGGAGTCAAATGGTTAACCCTAAACTGTTACTGGTGACTAAAAAGTGATTTCTCTTTACTATGTTGATATATTACCCAAAAAACAGGTGATAATAATATATATAATTATCAGCTAAAAGTAGTTATCTTGGTTAAACACAAAAATTCTCTTTGTTGATTTTCAAATAAACGTATAGCAGCCACAAATAGAATTACAGATAAAATCTTAGGTTCATTTTTCAAAAAAACAATGGCAAACCTCCACAAAGCTGTCTTGCTGGTCACTCTGGACAATACTTTGTGTAACCACTGGAGTCAGGACTGTTTCTCCATTTACACCTCCCTAGAAGATATAATAAGAACAAATTGTAAAATGATAGCTTTTTTATCAGGTATACAATCTTAATAACAAAATGAAACTAGATATCAATTCAAAAGCATGCAAAGTCACGAGGGACAGCATTAAAATCAAGCAACAATTCCTGAAATTTTTTATTTCTTGTGCTGCCAAATGGAATTATTGTTTGAAAGGACCAATGTCATTTTTAGTCATGTTAATAATGCTGAGATAAACCTGGAAGAAAATCTTGAGGTACAAAAGTATAAGGAAAAAATTTCCACCAATATTGCAACTTGAAGATTATTTCCTGCATATCAATTTGAAATCTAAATCCTTTTAACACTATAACATCTACAAAAATAGAAGGTAAATAAATTTATGATTACAAGTAGAACTTTTTGAAACATGTTCGCAAAGGCTCATGAACTTAGCACAAATTTAAGTTGCCCTCAAAACAAACTGCAGAACAAAGCAGAATTTTGCTTAAAAATAAATCATCACTAATATTTGGTCAAAAATAGGTTGAGGGAAAAACCTCACAGTTTAAATGTCTTGCCAAAAGCAACATACCATTTAAAAATGGTTTATTTTGCATTATGATAAATCACAGTTTAATCTACAACAATAAAAAACTTAATTATCACTGCTGGTAACAATAAATTTTAAATTATACGAGTCTTGTCAAAGACATCTCTAAAACGTTGCTTTAACGTAAACTGATCGCAGATAGTAATGTTTTATACACAAAAGAATAATTATAGAATTCTTTTAAGGACAACGATGAAGATTCACCTACACATGACCAATATTTCAGATTTAACACACGCAATCTGTCATTTTGTAAAATTGCACCTTGCATCAGGAAATGTTCCAATGTTTAAATATGTCAATTTCCATTTCCTTTGTGATTGTCTCTCCTCGAATAAGACACAAACTTCAAGATGTTATTGTTAGTTATTTCGAACTTTCGCTACATTATCAGATTTCGTTGCGCTCCTCTAGAAAAACCGTTTCAAAGTACAGGAAGCAAAGTCTAGCTACAAATTTACCTCTTCGAAATCCTGATAGCTTGGAGGCGATTCCACAGGGGCATGATGACTCTGCCAACTTCGTAAGGCTTCATGCGTTTCTTCAGCTTTTTGTTCGGGTGTTTTGGTGTCATCTAACAATGTGGTTTCGTAAAACTCTTGTATATCTGAATTTTAATTATACAAGAAACATACAGTTTGAAAACACAACAGCGAGGGGCCTACAGAAATATTAGAAACGCGGACCTATTGAAATCCTCTTCGACGGCTTGCTCCAGTGGGTTATATCTCATTCTAGATTGTCAAGACAACGAAATCGAACAGAAAATAAAACCGCACAATAATAATTATTCAGGTACCATCGCTAACTAGTACCCTTCACTAAATATAACACTCGAGAAATGCAAATATCAAACGGATCTTACCAAGTAGAGCTAGAAACAGATGACTTTGAAATATCCGAATTACTCTCTCGATGGCCATACGAAGCGCTCGATCTTGCGGCTTGTTTAACTTCTCATAGTAACGCTCCAAAAGCTCGAGAGCTTTACTAGCATCTGAAATAATAACATTTGAATTTAATGCGAAAAATCACTTCATGGCAGTAACATTATTTTAGTGATCACTACTCATTGCAGAACTCCCCGTGAATTCAAACTCGCGGAGACGACCTACCTTCTTTACGAACCGGCATGATCCCGCCGTTTTACGCCTCCCAGATGACTGAAACAAAAAACTCAAAGCGAAACAAAACTTAACGGTATGCTCCCGAGCCCTCTGACGAAAATTACCCAGGTACTAGTCCCGAAGGAAGGATAACTTAAATCCAAACCGCTCCACATTCGATAAAATCAACATGATAAACGCCTTTTGCGTGCCAGCGGCCACAGAGTGAGTCACGTGGATGTAATCAGCCAATTGCGCGCAAGAGAAAGGAATGAGCCATCTCTTGCAATCGTTTCTCGTGATTGGCTGTGACTTGAGGAGTTAAACCGCTCATAAAGCAGAGAAATGCACAGCGTCTGCTGTAAGATTGCTCCTTCTCTACCTGTTCGTAAAGAATGTTCTTTTTCAGAAATTATGCTAACGGTTTTACTAAGAAAATCTACTCTCATTGGTTCTCAAGATTCTAGCAGCCACTCAACAAAATCTGTCATCAAAATAATTCATGATATCAGGAATAACTCTTTGGCTCACATGATGGTCGGTGAAATTATCAAAACTAGCACCAGGCAGGATGTTTTGTTCAATACTACATGCAAAATGATAGAATCCTGTCGTCAAGGAAAACAACTTTTATCTTTCCGCTCGACAACCGTACCAGACATTTTTTCCTTTTTTTTAAATCTCTATCCCGACCGCCCGGTCTGTTCTGAACCAATCCAAATGACAATATCTGCTTTTTAAGCGGTTATACGCGACAAATGTCATCGATGTTTTTAAAACATAATTTTCGCGCCGATAGTTTTGGTTGTTCTTATCTTGAGAAGTCCGGAAAAATGTTTTTCTATCCTATTTTTCATAAGAACACGAAAACTAGGAAACGAAAATTGGAGGAAAAAAGAAAAGCAGGCTTACTTTGGTCACTGTTTAGATAAGCAAAATAATCACTCTTGTTCGTTCTTTTGTTTTTGTTTTTTTCGGGGGGGGAGGAGAAGTGGGGGGGGGGGGTGGTAACAAGTCATAACATCCACTTATAGTTAGTTGCTATTTTTGACAAGACTATTCTCGGTACGATCTGGAGGGGAGGGGTGAGGGGTTGGCCTCTTCTTTCGGTTCTCCCCTGAGGCAAAGAAGTCTTATTTCTCGAACAAAAAATTTTTAACGGTAATACCATCATCTATAGCCGTAAACACAAATTAATGCATAGAAACTGACATTAAAGGAGGATCTATAGTCAAACAGATGTAACTAGATGTCATTCTTGTGACTCTCGCAACTTCGCTGTCCAAAATAAAAGGACATAGTTTAGTGTGAGAGTTTGATGGCAGTTTACCGCCCCAGAAAGGATCTACATATCATTTCTCCTAACGATTTCGATGCAACATCCTTCAAAGGAGTCGTGAGAGTAGACTAGCTTGTCAGCTGGAAGGAGTCATCTTGATTCAAAACCAAATTCTTTCATGTGACTTTCAAGGAATTGTGCGGCAGGCCGAATGGAGAATTACCAATCGGATCTTGGGAGTTACGGGTTAACACAAGTGATTTTTAAGACCGTCGCTATCTGCTTTCCGGCCTTCAGGGAAGAGTATTTATGAGAAAAACTTTTGCAATCGTTATCAATGGGAGATATACTCCTTAAATATATATCTTGGAATTAGAAAAAATCCGGCGAAATCAATGTTCATTCATTTTGTCAAATGTGTTGGCTAGTTGTTAGTTTTTAGCTCTATCTTTTGGCCCAATGATGTTAGAGCAAAACATAGTTACACTGTTCACAATTGAACCACGTTCTCATATTTCACTCAGGCACTATACCTAGATTTATTGAAGGAAAATTTAGGACTTCGACAACATACTGAAAGAAAAAAGATTTCTGAAGTCTACGTCTACTCTGCATCAAACAGGTTTGTAATCCAGTTTAGACTCCAGCTTCTTATTGTCGGAGACTTTACGTGCAGCTTTCATAAAGTCCTCCTCGATGACGTAGTCTCTCTCAGCGCGAATAGCGAACATACCTAAAAAAGAAAGAGCAGAGAATTTATCTAACTACAACAAATGTAATAACACTTAGAGATTTATTAACAAGCTCTTAGGTTCATGGATAGATAAAAGAACTCTCAGATATGTTCTTCTTGTAACCCAAGCTACACTCCCTCGATCAAAAGTTTTGAAACCTTTAGAGTAACTTAGTTAAGGGTTAAAATGGAGAAACACGTGACTTTTTTAACCTGCTTCGGTGCACACGTTTCTCAAGTCAGCGCCGTTGAATCCGTCAGACAACTTCACAACTGCTTCGTAGTCTATAAGAAGAAAAACCGGAAACAGTTACTTCTGTTCCTCCCGAGATTATAGTTGCTCCTTTTGTATTTTTAGATCTTTCCAAATCAATAAGTACGGTGGCCCACAACTGTCACGGCCAAAGAAATAACCTCACGGCAAAAGGAAGAACCTCGAAGCAAAAAAGAAAAGACTCACGGCCAAAGAAAAAACCCCACGGCAAAAAGAAAACGACTCACCGCAAAAGAAAAACCTCACGGAAAAAAGAAAACGACTCACGGAAAAAGAAAAAACCTCACAGCAAAAAGAATAACCTCAGGGCAAAAGAAATAACCTCATCGTGAGGTCTTTTCTTTTGCCGTGAGTCTTTTTCTTTTTGCCGTGAGGTTTTTCGTTTGCCGTGAGGTTTTTTCTTTTGCGGTGAGTCTTTTCTCTTTTGCCGTGAGGTTATTTCTTTTGCCGTGAGTCTTTTCCTTTTTGCCGCGAGGTTATTTCTTTTGCCGTGAAAGTTGTGGGCCACCGTAAATAAGGTCCTTGAACGTCACAACAAATGACCAGAAAAACAAGAAATAGCGCACATGGTAACGATGTCTCATTCGTGAAACACAGCTGCTTGTAAAACGACTCACGTGCCAGAAACGCACCTGCATATACTCTAAACCAATCAATATCATTTTGGAACTCAAAAGAAATTCTACAAAAAGTGCTTACCAATCTCTCCATGCTTAGTTATCTTTGCTGAATGGATCTTTAGGATATCCATACGAGCTTGTTCATTCGGCAGCGGAATTTCTAGAGCAGAAGGGAAGGGTAATCAGAAACTTTATGTTTTTGGAACTTAACATACCCAGTGCAGATAAACGAACAATTTTTTTTTTAAAAAAATATGAAAAACAATTTACTTTCACGCAAAGTGGTAAGGTTATCTTATACCCACCTATCTTCCGATCGAGACGGCCGGGTCTGAGGAGAGCTGGGTCGAGGGTATCTGGGCGGTTCGTTGCCATAATGATTTTCACCTGGGGACGGGGTAGTAATAAACGTTGAAAAAAAATTGCTGCATAAAAAGAAGTATTTCCAGCCAATTAAAAAAGGAATGTGTTCAGGTAAAATTGTGGAAAGGGAAAAAAAAGCATCAATAAATAAAGTTAATCTCACCTGCCCCAGAGCATCAAAACCATCCATTTGATTTAAAAGCTACAATAGAAGAAGAAAAATTGAATTAAAAATTAATTCATTGTCATCAGCTTATCCCCGAACTCATGGATTCTATGACTATAATATTTAGGTAAATCATGCAACGTTTTGGTGTAGGAGTTACAAACCTCCATGAGTGTCCTTTGTATTTCTCTGTCAGCAGATGTGCCCTCAGAGAAACGCCGTCCACCTATGAGAGCATATTCTTTTTAAATCAGAAGGTCAGGTGGAAAATTAAAAATCATTGAACCACAAACTAAACTTCTTTGTAGTGGCACTCTGTAGGGTAAGATTTAACCTTCCTTTTGACAGTTATTTTAAAAAAAACTTGTTCAACAGATTACATACCTATGGCATCAATTTCATCCATAAAAATAATACAAGGTTCATGATCCCTGGCATAACCTGTAAATCAAGACAGTCTGGTGAAAACTCATAGCCTTGAAGATGCTGAGTAGTGGCTGTATTGCTTACACCGACAACAAAAAATGTCACTGTAAAATAACACAGTAGGTAGACTGTGCTCAGATACAGAACTGCCATAGAAAATAAATATATTGAACAGGTATAAAGGTTGAAGCAGAAATTTCTTTGCTACTTAAAACTATGACCCGAGGTTAAAAGCTTCCTTGCTTTGAGTTTGGACCATGTGCCTAGAGTTGTTATGATCATCATACATGAACTTAGAAATTCTCTATCATAAACGATAGTGTAAGACAGCAACTACGAATTAGAGGAGCCTTCTTTAGCTAAGTACCCAGTGATAAAGCTAATGGTCTACTGAAAGGAAAATAAACAAACTTTCAGAGATGGTCATGCATTTTATCATAATTTCCACCAAAAAAGTGATTACTGAACACCTCAATTATTAAGAAGAACAGCATTTAATTTCCCATCACAAGATCAACGTACAAGTAAAGGTCTCAAAAACAAAGGAACTGATCACAAAGGAGAAAATTTCCTTATCTTCACCAAATTTTCACAATAGTAATAATAAGAGCTGCAATGAAAATCAATATGCTGGCTATCATGATAAATGCACAAAACATACAAACATACCAAACATCTCTCTAATGAGCCTTGCACTTTCTCCAATATACTTGTCAACAATTGCACTGGACACAACCTTAAAACACAAAATGAAGAAATGGTTTGAAAAAAATAAGACATCATTCAAAGAAGTCACTACACAACAACCTCTCTTAGATCATTCACAGAATACAAGCTAAAGACATATAAACATTTCCTGACACCTTATTTTACTTAACATTGATACTAATGTTAGATGCCTTCTGCTGTACCTTTCTCCTCGCAACAAGTCTTGTTTAACTAAAAACCTATTGAATAGTTACCTTGAGAAAGTTTGCGTCCAACTGGCTGGCCACAGCTCTTGCAAGGAGTGTTTTTCCAGTTCCTATAAAATAATTAAGAAGAGCAATCATATGTCAATTATACATTAAGGTCGTGAAGATCAAGCAACAAACATAATCTAAATATTGAGTATGGGGCTTTAAGGAAAAATGAAGAGAAAATCAGATATTTGTAAAGCAGGTGACAGGAGCTGCTTGTTGGCAGAATATTGCTAGAAAATGAAAGAAAATGACAGGATTTACCCTCCTGAAACAATATTCTCCCAATCAGGAAAAATTTGTAAAGTCATGAAGGTAGTAACATAATTTATCATTAAAGGGGGTAAGTTTCTACAGAAATTGGGATGCTACATCAGTTGGAGAGTATAACAAGGTAATTTAGTGTTATCAACTGAGTTGATAACATAAATTGGCCACCACGAAGAGATTCAAACTTGATGTTTCAAGTGTTAGCCCTTCCTCAGCTCTGAAGAAGGGCTAACCCTTGAAATGTCAGCTTTGAAACTCTTTATGGCGGCCAATCTCAGTTATCAGCTCAGTTGATAGAACCAAATTACCTGATTTAAGATTAGATCTTTAAAATTAATACTCCTATAAAACTTATTTTGTTGGAAAATAAACTATTTTACCTGGAGGACCAAACAGAAGGCATCCTTTAGGTGGACTGATTCCAACTCGCTGAAACAATTCCGGGTTTGTCAGGGGAAGTTCTATAACCTGTGGTAATATTGTACAGATAAGAATAATGCAAAAGTGAAATTCCTCCTTCAACTGAAATTAATGTAAATTAAACAACAGATTTAACAAAGAGACTTTTGCACACAGTGAAAAACACAGACCTCTCTCAGTTCCCTGATCTGTTCACTTAGTCCTCCAACCTCTGAGTAAGAAATGTTTCCAGGATCTTCGTGGGACATATTGTAAACAAGAGGATCAACTTCTCGTGGAAGATACCTAAAAAATTGCAATCATTTATGACAGGTTACTGACTTAACTCACTGTAGGGTTTCTGGCATCACCTGAGTACTCATTAAATTCATGACTAACTATATTACTAATAATCATGATAACAACAACACCAAGTCGTTTGCTGAGCACCCCTCTAAATGTGTAAAATTTTGGATGGTAAAACTGCCATATCAGGTAGTCGGTGCCTTAGATCTAGATGAGACAAGGACAAATAAACTCTACCTCATGATTGTAAGAGTTGTCATGTCCAGAGCAACTCTTGTACCTTGCTTAAGCTTCTTTTTATCCACCTATCAAGAAAATAGACCACAGTTTTCCCTCAAAGTCTGACAAAAAGGTTCTGTTGATATTTCAGGAAAACAAAACTATCAGCATCCTCCACAGTACTAACCTGTCTCCGACAACCCACAACATAACGTGGACCATTAGTTGCCTTCACAATAACTAACAAGCCAAGACATAAAGAAAAAAGGTCAAATTTTTGTTTTTCTATTCAAGAGTAATGTACAAGAATCTGGGAGCATTGACTGTGAATTGTGATCTTCTTTGTAAGGATGGTCCAAATAAATATTTAACTGAGTTCATCAGCAGAATCACTTCACTATTCTCACTTTCACCAAATAAGTTGTTGAAATGTCACTACCTTCACAACATTCCTTTCAAATCCGCTCTCACTTTAACAATCAAACAAGTTCCATACTTTCTGTCACGCTTGAGTAAAATGAAGGTTATAAGTTGTAACTGTTGTGGTTCAGTTTTATCCATGGTTCAATTTTTTTCTTCCTCTGTAACCACAACAGTTCACATAAAGGTAAAAATTAAAGAACTGCAGAACAGATGGCGGAGTAGGAAACTATAAGTAAATCTTGTGAATTGAACGGAATTATTAATAAAACGAACATAAACAATTTCAGCTGATTATAATCTTACATTTTTCTTCAGTAAGCTGCCTTAGAACTTCCCCAACAATCTGTTAAAGAGGAAGGTTAGAAAATATCGTATAGTTAATTCAGTCTGTAATAACAAAAGACAAACACTGAAGAGCAGGATCACAACCATACCTGTCCAACACTTTGCAGAGCCTTTAAATCATTTTCAGATTTGTCATACTCCTTGCTTAAGTCTTTCAGTTGTTCTCTCACTAAGACGAAAAGAAAATTACGGTTAGTTATGTTGCAAAAGAATTCAAAACCGTGCAAAGGCCAGTTAATTTCATGATCAGCATCCGGTTCAAGTTCTTTCTCTACAATATTACCTATCACAAAAGGGAGAATCCTGAATACTTCTACTCTATAAAAATTTTAGCGCAGATATTCCCTTTTGCATTTATTTGTCACTTTGGCTGATTCACTGGAGCACGGTCAAATGCACCAAAAATACAATCACATCGTAACTTTTAATTAGGACATTGAACAAAGTTTGAATTGGACAAGGGAGACTTTGCTTTATCCTAAAACTTCTTTTAGATAAATGTTTCCAGAAGAATTAGTATTTTAAATTTAGGCATACATACTCTCTTTAAGTCGGGCATCAAGTTCTCTGTGTTCTAACAGTTTTTTCCTGTAGTTGACTAACGCTTTCTCCCTCGCTGTTTCGGTGGTCGCCATCTTTATTCGTGACTTAGCAGTATCCCACGAGTCAAAGCGGCTAAAATTTGTGGCGGGGAACCGCTGACCCTCCTTAAAAACGGCGGAAACAAATTTACAAGAAACAAAACATTTATTTCCACGACTATGAATTTAAATGAGATGTTTAGGGGCGTGAGGCTACATTACCGGTGCGCAATTACTGTTGAGGTAACAGATCGACTTGCACAGCGTGGGTGATACTGAAAATGGCACCTATTTCGACCAGTGGCAATGACGAGGGATTCTGGGGCGAAGCAACCTCCACGATCGATTGGTGCGAGGAAAACTATGCTGTAACATCATACCTGGCGGAGTTCTGTAAGTGGAATTTTGTATTCATACCACGCAGCTGTTGATCTTGGGTTGTAGCCGCTTATTAGCGATTAAAATGGCTTGCACCACATTGTTTTAAAATAAAAATACCCTCCACGCATTGTGTTGCTTTTTTAGTTGGACATGATCTGCCAACGTTGGTCATATTTTACAAGTGTTCGATCGCACGGTGTTTATGCACTCAAAATAGTTTCATTACGATCAGAGGGATTTTTTGTTGTTTAGAAAACGCCAAAATCTTTGCATGCTACCTAATTTGTTTTTTAGAAACTGTACTTCATCATTAAACAACCCTGAAATTTCCCCTGACAGTTTAAGCTTAAAAGGCGATCATGCATTTATAGAATAACCAGTCAGAGGTGTTAAGATGTGAATTTGAATGTCACAGATATAGACAAACATAAGTACTAATTTCATTTAACTCTTACTTAAAAACTCTCGCAGCTATGTAACAAAACAAAATTTTTATTTCTTCCAGATTGAAAATCATTTTTCTTTCATTCTCTGTTCTAGCAAACCTGACGTGGCCTCTAGTAAGGGTTGAAATTATTCAAATTTCCTTCAGCAATAGCTACCTCCGTTATATTGATTTTGTAATTGATATGACCCTTAGGACAATCAATACCAGTTAAGGAAAATGAAAAAAAAAACAAAAAAAGAAAACAACCCTTTAGGCTTGGTTTTCACCGTTAATGGATGGTTTATACTCTTTTCTCTTGTCAGTAAAGTTGTGTTACGTATTTATTCAACTTTTTGTTCTTTTTTTTCTTTTTATCTAGGGAACACCATAAGCAACTGGGTTTTTTTAATTCCACCCTTTTTTGGAGCAGTTTTAACATGGGAGTATAAAATAGAGAGAAGATACACTTTGGCCTTTGTATCATTGCTAGGTAATCTTTGAGGGATTAAGCAAAAAATTATCTTAATTAACTCTATCCTGTTTTCAAAGAATAGGTTCAAGATGAGGATTTTACTTTTTTTAATTTTTAATGTGGAAATATGATCATAACTGTATCTATTCCATTAATTCCCCTAATATTTGAAATGTGATTTTGAAGACTTCTTTGGTAACACTGAAAATGTGACCCTGAACAGAAGGCAAAACATAAAGAAACACACTTCTTAGAGACTTGAGGAGATAGACAAATCTTACTTTTTATTGTTTTGTCCAGCATTTTGTCTTCATTTGCATACATCTGAAGTAGGTCTATTGAAAGGTTGGGAGCTTGTAATTTAAAATTCAGAATTTCAGCTGGCTTCAAGATAATGAATTTGCATGTAAATTTTGTTAAGATTTTTAAAGAGATAAAAAACAAACAACAAATTTGGACTTGTCCTTAAAGATTCCTGAGAGGTTTGTTATTATTGATGGGTTGTAATTGGATGTTGAGCCAGCTGTGATCCATGATGGGAAAATATTCTAACTAATAATTAACTTAGAATGCATCTCTCCAGGCAAAATCTGCTCAAAAGGGTAAGGGCATAACCACCCTTGAGTCAAATTTTGCATTGTTTGTTTTTTGCATGATTTTTCTTATGGTAAGTTTTTATAAAATGTTACCCAAGTTTTTTCTTTACTTAAACTTACTTCATTTTTGAAGATCATATGCCAAGTTAAATGACTCAATTTTCCTTCAGCTAGCTAACTCTTCAAGAGTTATTTAAATTGTTAAATGACAAACAAAGGAAACTTGAACTTTTTCGTGCCTATAAATGTGTCTGATGTATGTCATAAGTAATTTCTCAAAACTGATGTGATAAACTACAAAGACACCATAATGCAGAGCATTTTAATTGAAATATGTTTACCCATCGCATTTGAAATAAGAAAGTGAGAAAATTTTGGCTACCAGTCCTTAATATCTCTTAATATTTGATATTGTTACTGTTTATTTAAATTTCATATGACTAATGGGTTACCTGCATACCATCCACTAAAAGATGTTTCTCTCAGTGAATTACATGTTCTTGTTGCTATGCCAGCTGACTTTTTGTGAGAATTTGTCATCATAATCACTGATATACAAATGTTTATTTTAGTTATAGGAATAGGATCATCATGTTTTCATGCGACTCTGTTGTATGAAATGCAGGTAAGGTTGTGCTGATTAATGAACATTTTACCTGTTGATTAAACTAGTTGTCATTTATCTTTTCAGTTATTACTGCTCCCTTTCCATTTTATCACACTTTTTTTTCATCAAGAGCTTTCTCTGAATATATATTCTGTTTTCTATTGCTAGAAAATAGAAAACAGGCTCCAATGAGTTGTAAAACACCAAGTTGACTTAAAACACAGGCTGTTACCCAACGAGCACGGGAAAAATAACTTTTCTTAACTTATTATTCAATTGAAAATTATGGCTACAATAATTTTAAACATAATACTTTAATTAACCACAACAGGAGGATGATTCTTATTTATGAGAAAATCTTAGTGATGATCATGAGATAATTGCTGATATACATGCAGCTAAGCCAATAAAACCTCTCCTATTGTTTTAATGATTTTATATCCAGTGATCTGTATATTATTATCTTGATAGCTACTTGATGAGCTTCCAATGATTTATGGAACTTGTGTGTTGATATTCTGCATGTAAGTAAATTAAAAAATATATTTTATTCATAAATGTTTTTTTTTTTATGCTGGTACTTTGTTTGAATTATGTGCTTCTCTTGAAATTATTCCATATCTAGAGGAGTCTTGTTCTATTGACCAGAATCCTCACTGAAATATTTTTAACAAATTTTTTGCTAAGGGAAATGAAAAGTTGAACTGAAATTAGATTAAGTTCTCTTGACTTTTGCATTAATTTAAATTATACAACTTTGACTTCTGACATAAAGAAATAACAAATATGTCATTCCTTTTTTTTGGTAAAAAAGGAAGAAATGTTGAGAAGTCTTTTAAGACTTAACTTTTGCAATAATTTTTAATTCTTTTTTACTCAGTTGTCATTGTTCTCATCGTCCACGGGATCACAACCAAACTCTTACATTATGCCTTATTGTCTGTTGTGCCATGATCACTTTGGTAAGATGTTATCATTATAAGATTTATGAGGTACTAACTGAAAGTTATAACAACTTTCTCTTTGTTAGAAATGCAAGAGGATGAAAAAATAGTGATAATGATGTATTTTTCCAGAAAATGTTCTTTACCTGCTTGTGGCTTTTTTGTTATATTGAGCCCTTCCTTACCTTTCCCCCCTCCAATCTGCTGCTATTGAAATTTCTAATTTTGTATGTTTAACCCCTTTAGTAAGTTTGCAAACCCTTCCTCCTCTCTCTGAAATTTCCAACCACCCCTTTTGGTTAGCTATAGAGCATAATTATAGTCTGAAGATGCAAATTGATATGATTATTACCATACTAAGCCAACTAAAAACTGAAAAAGTGATGTATTTTCAAAAGCAGTTAAAACAATTGGCTTTGTATTACAGACTCTCATGTATTGCTGGTAATATGTTAAGTGTAAGCAAGATGCAAACACAAATCTGGTGCACTGTGCAAAATAATTTATTTCAGTCATGATTTTTAAATTCTGAAGAGACTACAAGAAGAATTGAACCCTAAATTATTTTACTTTTGTCTCCAGGTATATTTGACTGTTGTAAACCCACTAATATTTCAGGTATGTGTTTAATGAAATTGAGCTCTGCAACAATACATTTGCAGATAAATAGGAAAATCTCATAGCATTCACATGTGTCTACAAACTCATGTACAGGTGATTTTACTAACCCTTAACTCCCAAAAGTGATTATCATGAAACTTCTTCCTATAATATCCATAAATTACTCAAAAACAGGAAATGAGAATATTCTAACTTATCAGGTAGAAGCACCAAGTTTTTATAACTAATTTACAAGGAAATGTGTAGCAGCTTTATGGGAGAATTAACAATCAGATCTAGGGAGTTAAATGGTTAATTGATAATCAAGCGCATGCATTTTAAAATGTTTGTGTGCTTTTCATTTGCTTTCTAGTGGGCATATGGTATTCTGGTAGCTACGCTTGTTATCAAAACTGGTATGGCTTGTAGGTAAGTAGTTATATAATTATATGTTTATATAATTTTATTTTGTGGTCCACATTATCAACCCTTCACACCCCATCATCAGCATGCATATTCTCCATACTGTTCTCTTTACATTTCTTATGGATCTTCAATGAGAATCTGTTTAACAATCAAGAGCTTTGTTAATTGGTGATCATTTCCTCTAATCTCGTGACCTTAATGGTTGATTCAGGGGTGATATTGTGAGAAGAGTTTAGATGCTAGTCACTCTTTGGTGATCAAGGGTTAAGACTGTTTTTTGTTTTTGCTGGATTAAATGGTTATTAAATTAAGAGGTGGTGAGTAAATAAGGGCTGGAAACTGTCTGAGAATGAGGATAAAGTTAGAAAATGCAAGGGCAGGGTTAGTAATGAAGTATGTAACATTACATTCAGGATAGGCAGTAGCTGTGAACAACTGCTTCCAAGCCATATAGTGCTTGCATAGGCTTTGGGTCATTTCTTTAGTGTAGTTTCATCTTTTTTGGGACCAAACATGTCCAACAAGGCTAGAACATGCCTGATCTCACTTCTCATGTCCAATGCATAGATTACCTATTAAGAGGAGTAAGAATGTGGCAAGAACATTTGGGCTCATGCTATTAATTACTCTCTTTGAAAAATTTACTCATATTCATACATGTATAACTTTGTTTTGCTCAGCTCCCTTACATGTTGAGTAATGCTATTTTTTATTTCATGTAACAGAAAACACAAAGGTTCAAAGAAACTTTTGTTCATATCGCTTTCAAGGTAAACACATAAATTGTGAAGTTCTAAACAGTTATTATGAACATATCAATGATGATGGTGATGATGATGATGAGTAGTGTTGACAGATGGCATAACAATACATTGTTGTTAACTTTACTTCTAGCTATGCTATTGGATTTATGCTTTGGAACATTGACAATAACTTCTGTCCATCTGTAAGGTAAGAACCCACTGTTGGTTACCACCTTAATATTTTCCTCTCCTCAGTCTAACAAATTATTCATCTGAAAACCAAAAATTACATACTTTGAATTTATTGAGTAACTATTCTCACACTAATTTACAGTTATTAGGTAAGAAAAAATTTGAATACACACTTCACTTGAAATTTATCTTTCAATCCCAACTAAGAGAAAGAGCAAGAGCCATTGCCACTTTATGCATCAGACATAATAAACTACAGCAGCAGCAGTTATGGGAGTTGAAGTTTTGCTTGTATACTTTTTTGGCTCTTTTTAGACTCTGGCTTTTGACACTTCCCTAAATGCTGTGCTGTTGTGAAGTTAGGTTCAGTGTGATTGTGGTAGATTTCTACTTAGAAGCAATACCTTGAAAATGTATGAAATTTATTATTTTTTAATTTTTACAGAGAAATAAGAAATTTAGTGTCTGCACCTATTAGACCTTTCACACAGCTGCATGCAATATGGCACACTTTGGCTGCCATAGGATCATATTATCATGTTCTTTTCAGGTTGGTATCAGTGTTTGTTGAAAATTGAATGATTAGAAAAGTTAATTGGGTTGGGGGGGGGGGTAACTAGAGAAAACTAGTGAAGTACAAGAAGTCATGCTTAGGAAAATGCAAGAAGGGCTTCATACAAAGAATTCTTGGAGGGCTTTGGCCTTCTCATCCTTTTTCCTGATAGGTAAAAAAACAATATGTAAGCCCATTCCTGCTGAGAAAAAACGAGCAAGAAGTTTGATGTCATATTTACAATTTTCTCCTCCCCTAAAAGAACTTTTCATACACTCTATTCCTGGTTGACTTTGATAGAAAGAGTCTGTGGATATGTGTACCTTTTCATTGGGTCATCTACAGTGGCCCTATTAAAAGGGATGGGAACTTCCAGGGGCTGCACAGAAAATTCACCCTGCTTTTTACCTATTTTATTATCTTTGGGCAAGACGCAATCTGATTGACATTTTAATACATGTTAGTTAGCTACTAATAGCTAGTTTTACAGTTGGCTTATAATTTTTTCTGTTGATTTCATTTTCAGCATAGATCTCAGGTTACGGTGTCTTGGAAGAGTAACACATCTCAAGGTTGGTTCTCAATATCATATTAATATAATTTTCTGACATAAATTAGGCTTTTCTCTGATGAATATGTGAAATAATGTCTTTTCAGATCTTTCATGGATGGCTTCCATTTGTTTATGTGTCGCGGGAATCCTTTGAAAAAGATGTTCTTCCAACAGTGACCCATAATGCTGCAATTTTTCTTTTGTTATTTGGTCTGGTTGTGAAGGTGTTGAAGTAACTTAACAATATAAATTGAAGGGAGCATGAAAAAAAGCCTCAAGGGAGTGCTGATTGTCTGCTAGATTCTCCTTCCAAATTGTCTGGTTTTTCTAGATGAACTGTTAGGAGAATCTGAAGTTGCTACAAGAGTTACTTATGGGGCCTTTTTCCTCACACCCCTTCAAATCTTGTAAACTTTCAGTGATAGTATATACTTGCTTGGGTAACATATTGAATAAGTTATTAAGTTAAGTACATTCCCTCTAAACCCCCCCCCTTTTTAATAACATCTATAATGAAATACACAGAAATTCAAGGGTTTGCTAATGTCTGATTAATAATAATTAATAATTAATGATTAATTTAAAATAAATGTGGTGAGAAAAATCAAAAATTTAAAATTGATATCATTGGTTGGGTGTTATATTATCTCTCAATTATATATTAAGGATTATATATTACGGAGCAGTTAAGAGCTAATATTTTTGGTCTCCAAATTTTCCTTCTTCCTTCAGTGATCTCAACAAGTAAGAATTTGAATATGTAAAATTGATCTTTTGATGGCAATTATCAAAAATAGGCAAACAAAATATATGTACTAATCAAAACACTTAGTTTGGTTGACTTTTCTTGGTGCCAAGTCTCCAGTGAAACATTTTCAAAATGCACAAGCTTGATTCTTCATTGGCATATACTTTAATTTTTTAATTAGTTTTCCATCTTTTAGCCAAACCAATAGGCTTCCAGTTAGTAGTTAATTGCTTATAATATATTAAAGTAACCTTGTATTTGTGATAAATTGTCTTTAGTAACATGTAAAATGTCTCAAGTTTGTGGCACATACAAGTATATAATGTAATGTATGTTTCAAGTTGAAATTAGACAATCATTTTATTAAAGGAAGGATTAAGGGTGAGATATTTTATTATGGGGCTAATTTTTGATAAACTGCAGAGTTTGTATAGAGGGTGAAAATTTTTGCATCAAATTTAGGGATAATTTTTGATAAGTTTTCATAATTATGGGTAATCAAGCATTGATTATAAATGAGAATATTTCAATCAAATAGCAGACAGTCTAATACAATTCTCTTGTGCTATTTTCCAATGTAATTCTATTATAGAACTTATTACACTAAAAGTTTGAAGTGACCCCAAAAGTGTGTTTAAGAAAGATTTGTTGATAGGTTGGTAAGTTTATTTCCAGCAAGTAAAAAGCATCATGCAGTTAACCACAAGTATATGTTATTTTTATTGTCTTTTCTCTTCAAAACACTAAATTTTCTGTTAATGTTTAGCTTTGTTTAAATATTTTAAATATTTATTGTCTCCCTTGCAACATGAAGTACAACACTTTAACAGTTATGTTGTAAGTATTTTATCATTGAGGCTGTAATAAAGTATGGTGCAATTGTATCATTATTTATTGTACACAAGAGTGGCTGCCATTGTTCTAGAAAAGTATTAAAGGATTGCAAAAAACTGTTTCAAGAAGTGTCTTATGACTTTTTTAGCAGTACCAAAAAGTCAGAGCCAAAGATGAAAAGTTTTAGAAATATCACAGTTTCTGAAAACACATTCAGTTTTCTTATCCCTTTATTAACTAAACATAAAGTAACAAGAAGGAGCTTTGAACATTTCCTAGTGAATTATTTTCACTATAAGTGTTAGTGGATACAGATAGTGTTTTTGTTAAGGAAGAGGAGGTTAATATTCCTCCCATAAGGTGAGTACCATTTGCAGGTTGGCAAGGCCCCATTCAAACCACCTTGTAGGTGAATTCTGCCAGCCTGGTTAAACATTACTAACTAGGGAATCAAATAAACAAGTTCTTGGAGTTACTCACAACTGTGATCCACTTATGTTAGTTTATCTGGAGGTACTGAAATCAATGGATCTATGATATACAGTGATCACTCTTCTTCTCTATCTATAAGTTGTAAAAGTTTTTCCTCTCTTTCTTTGCAGTCAACATCATCATTCCAAAAATTCTTGAATATATCTTTATAGAATTTGGGTTTAAGGCATTCGTTGTGAAGAGCTTCACAGATATCACAGGCTGCATACCTAAACCTCAATTTCTGTTCATAGGCGAATTCTTTTTTCCATGTGAAGTATTCATTATAAGCAGTGTCATTTTTGTCGAGGTATAACAGGTATTCCGCCAAAGCCTTAACAGATGGAAAGTCTTGCACACTTATAAACGAGCCTGGAGGGACTACATCTGGTGTATAGAAATCTCTTGTCAGTGTTATAGGCACTGAATTCCAACCAAGTGTACGCCAAAATTTCTCGGTGATGTAGTCAGTACACACGCTGTTTTCAAATGCCAGATAGAACTTATATGAGCTGAAAAGGTCATCACAATTTGTTGATCGAGGGCATCGATTGTCTTGACCAAAGTTTCCCGAACAGTGGCCATAAACATCAACTTTGATGTATTTCAGAAGTTTTTTTACGTACTTATCTCGCGTTCTTCCACATCGTGATACAGCCCATGATACAAACTTTGTTTTCCCAGCGGCATAGTCAGGAATTTCCGCTGGTCTCCCAGCTGACTGCAAAGGAACATAATGTGCATAAGGAAAATGAAAATCTGACTCCCTTTTGAAAGTTATGGTCCAATTAAAAAACCCCTCCGGCAAGGAAAGAAGAAGCTCTAAATCTGGGTTATTGACAATAGATTCTTGGTTTAAAAACGCCATTCTTTGCTGTGGGCACCGGTACTTGTGAATCTGTAGAATTTCTTTCGATTTAACATGGACTGGCATATCACCAGCATGAAAGATAATCAGATCACTTTTTCCTATATCGTATACATCATAGGTTATGTGGCATTTTTTTGTCGGACATTCCGAAAGATACTCTTCCGTGGAGTCGATTCTGGGCCATGGCTTGCCATTGAACCAAGGAGTGTATAATAGAATGGTCTTGATGTCATTACTGAAGCAAGTTCGGTTGGAAGTGACTTTTGTCGCGTTGCTACAGAGCCAAGGCTCGAATCGCGGATAGCTTGTTTCGTTCCTAAGAGTTCGGATCGAGTAGAATAATGAAAGAAGAAACATGCCCAGCAATATGGTGGAACTTATCCAGAAGATAAGTTTTGATACTTTTCTTTTGATTCTTTTGAGGTACATTAGAGGAATTATTCACTCGGGCTTTCCAAAGGAAACGCGGTAAAATTTCCGCACAGCTTCATACTATTGTTAAACAAATCTGTTTTCCCAATGGCAATGTATTGTTTTTGTCATTGTTTTCTCTATTCAAGAACTGAATGCATAATGCAGCATGGGGCTGTACGGAAATTTTACCGGAAACGCTCAAGTTGAAATTCCGTGCCCATTTGTTTTCCTCGTTCAGTCACAAATTGCCACAGCGCCTAGCACATGGTAAACAGAAGTTGTTGTAATATATACGCCATGGCTGAATGCCATATAGACGACAAAATGGCTGACAATATTCATGCTATAAGCTTCATGTAAGACTTACGATATGTCCTGGTTAGCTTTATTACTGGGATACCTGTGGTGGCCCAGTCATAAAATGCCTTTGTTTTTTTGTCGTTTTTTTTTTTTTTTGCGATTGACACTCTGACAAAGGGCTAACGCTCGAAACGTCAGCTTTTTTACCCTTAACGGTGGCTAATTTACGTTTTCAACCCAGTTGTTAACACTAAATTACCTGCTCTACCCTAAGTTAGCCATGTTCTGCCACGTTGACCCACATCTACCCTAAGTTAGCCATGTTTTACTACGTTAACACACATCTACCCTAGGTTAATCATGTTCTACCACGTTAACACACATCTACCATAAGTTAGCCATGTTCTACTGCGTTAACCCACATCTACCATAAGTTAACCATGTTCTACCACGTTAACCCACATCTACCCTAGGTTAGCCATGCTCTACCTCGTTAACCCACATCTACCCTAAGTTCGCCGTGTTCTACCACTTTCACCCACGCCTATCATAAGTTAGCCATGTTCTACCACGTTTACCAACATCTACCATAAGTTAACCATGTTCTACCACGTTGACCCACATCTACCCTAAGTTAGCCATGTTCTACCACTTTAACACACATCTACCATAAATTAATCTTGTTCTACCACGTTAACACACATCTACCATAAGTTAGCCATGTTCTACCACGTTAACCCACATCTACCTTAGGTTAGCCATGTTCTACCTCGTTAACCCACATCTATCCTAAGTTAGCCATGTTCTACCTCGTTAACCCACATCTACCCTAAGTTAGCCATGTTCTACCTCGTAAACCCACATCTACCCCTTAGTTAACCATGTTCTACCTCGTTAACCCACATCTACCTTGAATTAGCCATGTTCTACCATGTTGACCAACATCTACCGTAAGTTAACCATGTTCTACCATGTTAACCCACATCTACCATAAGTTAGCCATGTTCTACCTCGTTCACCTACATCTACCATAAGTTAGCCATGTTGTACCACTTTCACCCACGCCTATCATAAGTTAGCCATGTTCTACCACGTTAACCAACATCTACCATAAGTTAGCCATGTTCTACCACGTTAAGCCACATCTGCCCTAAGTTAGCCATGTTCCACCACGTTAACCCACATCTACCATAAATTAGCCATGTTCTACCTCGTTAACCCACATCTACCCTAAGTTAACCATGTTCTACCACGTTAACCCACATCTATCCTAAGTTAGCCATGTTCTACCACGTTAACCCACATCTACCCTAAGTTAGCCATGTTCTACCTCGTTAACCCACATCTACCCTAAATTAACTATGTTCTACTACGTTAACCCACATCTTCCCTAAGTTAGACATGTTCTACCACGTTAACCCACATCTACCCTAAGTTAGCCGTGTTCTACCTCGTTAACCCACATCTACCCTAAGTTAGCCATGTTCTACCACGTTGACCCACATCTGTCCTAAGTTAACCATGTTCTACCAAGTTAACTCACATATACCCTAAGTTAATCATGTTCTACCACGTTGACCCACATCTACCATAAGTTAACCATGTTCTACCACGTTAACCCACATCTACCCTAAGTTAGACATGTTCTGCCAGGTTAACCCACATCTACCATAATGGTTAGCCATGTTCTACCTCGTTAACCCACATCTACCCTAAGTTAATTATGTTCTACCACGTTAACCTACATCTACCCTAAGTTAGCCATGTTCTACCACGTTAACCCACATCTACCCTAAGTTAGCCATATTCTATCACGTTGACCCACATCTACCCTAAGTTAACCATGTTCTACCACGTTAACTCACATCTACCCTAAGTTAACCATGTTCTACCACGTTGACCCACATCTACCCTAAGTTAACCATGTTCTACCACGTTAACTCACATCCACCCTAAGTTAGCCATGTTCTACCACGTTGACCAACATCTACCCTAAGTTAACCATGTTCTACCACGTTAACCCACATCTACCCCAAGTTAGCCATGTTCTACCACTTTAACCCACATCTACTTCACGTTAGCCATGTTCTACCGTGTTCACCCACATCTACCATAAGTTAACCATGTTCTACCACGTTAACCCACATCTACCATAAGTTAGCCATGTTCTACCTCGTTAACCCACATCTGCCCTAAGTTAGCCATGTTCTACCACGTTGACTCAAATCTACCATAAGTTAGCCATGTTCTACCACGTTAACCCACATCTACCTTAAGTGACCCAGGTTCTACCACATTGACCACCATCTACTCTTAGTTACCGTAATGATTCGATTTAGCGCCCTCCTTCCAATAAGCGCCCCCTTTCGAATAAGCGCTCCCCTTCAAATGTGTTTTTGTTAATAAGCGCCCCTATTCCAATAAGCGCCCCCATTCTAATAAGCGCCCCCATTCTTATAAGCGCCCCTATTCTAATAAGCGCCCCTGTTCTAATATTACAGCGCCTTCAGAATACGTATCAAACGTGGTTCATCTTCCTTTAATAGCCGATATACCGTACGTGATAATGCATTACAAAAACAGTGGTCTTCGTCTGAGTTTCTCAACTGTTATGTCCATGTGAGAACATAATTCCTTCAAACGAGTAATCTCTTCTTCAAATTTTGTGGCGATTGCTCTGCTGGTTGTTCTCGCTAGGAACGCTCCGGGGACAACAAGTCCGTCTTCCAGTCTTCTTGATCCAGTCACTTTGACCTGTACTTTATTCTCATGGCGGGCTTTGAGAAATGTGAATATAAGGAAGGAAAGTTCCATCGGCACAGATAGCTTGATAATTGACGCAAGTGACACTGAAGTCATCGACATCGAATACGGTAGATAAACTCACGAACATTCAACGTACCGTACATGTATACTTGTTACAACTACGGTATATAAAATGAAGAATTCTTTTGAAAGTAACTGAACTTTCAACAATTTGTTACTGTTACAGTTTCTGTTATTGTTAGTTATTTTAACATTTATTAAAGTTATGCTTTAACCATTTGGTTGTTTCTCAAAAACTTAAATAAGCGCCCTGTCCCGAATAAGCGCCCTCCCTTGAGGTACCAAAAGTAAATAAGCGCCCCGGGCGCTAAATCGAATCATTACGGTAGGCATGTTGTACCTCGTTAACCCACATCTACCCTGAGTTAGCCATGTTCTACCACGTTCACCCACATCCTTGCACTTTCACCCTCATGACAACTGATTAGGGCTTCAATATTGATAGATTACGATATGATTAATGGCTTCTTATTTTTAAAGGCAAAAAGGGTTTTTGATACCGTAGACCGTAGAAAGTTCTGTTTAAGAAATAGGGTGTTACGGGTTTGACAGCCTTCTCTCAAGTGGCTATAAAACAGTCAAGCTATACATTTAACTATCATCAACAAGAGTCTCATTGCATGACATTGAAAAGTAACGTTTGGGGTATTGTCAACAAGATATTCTTAGAACTAGCAAAAACGAAATGCAGTTCATCATTTGATTCGTCATCAGAAATATAGGAATATAGTTTTCTGGTTAGTTTTAATCTGTACTTTATCCATGCAGGTGACGTAAAAAAAAAGTGTCTGAAGCCACCTGAAAGTGCCAGAAAGTGAAACAAGTTATATTGTAGTTGCTTTCTCCTTGCACTGTTGAGAATTCCCGGAGGCATATCTCAAAACGAAAAGGTAAGTATGGGAATCTCGATTGAACAATACCGGTCAAGTATTAGCTCTCATGACAATTTCGTGAAAACCAAGGATATCTTATCACGTTTTAATGATCATTGTTGGAGTTTAATGTTTGTGATGTTCTATTTAAATGTATTTTACTTGCCAGTATTGAAACAAGTTGTACCACAAAATGTGGAATGATGTGATGTTTTGGTTTTCACAAATGATTTTCTACAATGCCTATATTCCATTGCTTATAAGGCAGGCAAATGATGTAGAGGAAAATCAGCGCGGAAAGAAACGCCGTGAAAAAAACCCTCTTTTATTAGTGCAGTAGGTAATAATTAGGGATGTATATATTCATTTATACATCTTTTCATTTCAAAGACAAAGAGTAGAATGCATAATTAATAAGATGTGCATGCATAATGAGTATGGGGCTGTACAGAAATTTTTCCCGGCTCGGTTCGCATGCCTTAAGATCAGTTTACAAGCGAATAATTGAGTGAACTTATCGAGAATCATGTTACACTAAATGAGCTTTAAAATCTTAATCTTGATAAAAAGCATCTTCGGAAGTGTCATCGTATTTTAAGTCGTGATCGTGAACCAAGTAGAATCCAAGTACGAACTCTACAACGTCTGAGGAACTAGAGCAGAAAGGTTAGCGAATTTGTTTTCAAAAGTATATGTTCGAGTACACAAGTCTTCGAAAATGCATTGTTATATTTAAGTAAGGAAACATAAGCTTAAATCCTATGAGACAAAATGTAAAAGTTTAATAAAGTTAAAATCTCAAAGTAGACGGTAGTGTTCACTATTTTCTTGTTACAAAGTTGTGTCTTTACAAGAGTCAAACCCATGTTTCAAATTATTGTAAATTTAAGCTGAGCACAGATATAGAAAAGAACCCTGGCCCTCGCCCAGTGTATGTTGATGCCAGCGAAACAGTAGCAGCACCATATAGCCGAGGTAATGAGTTGGTATTTGAACGAAATGCTAGACAACAATGTGTTGCAATGAGTTTGTGCTACTAGATTTACAACAACAAACAAGGAGTCAGTTTTGCGAATGACCTCAGTCAAATAATGAATATTGGAAATCCGGATGTATTTAAATTTGTCTCAATTAGCCAGACAGTCCTATTTAATGCAGACAGATTTACTTACAATGTTAAATGCGCTTGATACTGGCTACGAACTAGAATACAGTGAAAGTTACACTGGTACTGTACATCAGGAGACTGAAATAGACGGATAGCAGTACTGTACCTCTTTACAAAGAGCCTTTGAATCACTATTATCTCAAAACTAAACTAATTTTACATTAACTGTGGGAGTTATTGGTGTTTCTATTTCTTGTCAGTAATGTTGATATGGGTTCAAAATATTTGATTCTCATGCAAGGGATGTATATGGTAGAGGCCCTCCTGAAGGTACATGTGTGCTTCTTGGAACATTATTGCTAGATTAGTATGTTAATTTCAGAAGATACATAACGATGATATATTTGAGGTGAAGGGGGTACACATTAATGAAGTTTAAAATGGCATAGTACTTCCTCTGAACAATGCACATGAGAGCATAAATTTCAATCTAAGTTGTGTTGTGGTCATCTATTTTCTCTGTTACTCTTTAATTAAATCATGTAGTTATTGGAGTTGAAACACTTAAGTTACTATTGTAGACAATAGCAAAAGACTATGTGACAATGTATGTTTAAATGGCTGTAATCATCATTTGATCTATCCAAAGCTGTTGTCTGTTTGTGGAGCTGAGTTTTAATGTTTTCAGTGATAACAAGGAAGGACTATTGTGTGATTGACTTGAAAGCAAATCAATCTTGAAAATGCTCTATTAAACAATAGTGAATGCACAGAATTTTTGATGTGACTTTCCTGCTATCCTATCAGTTGTATCTATAAACCTTAACATAAGTCAAAATAGATGTATTCCCTCCTGGTTTTTAATGAAAATCACATACAACCAATTCAGTATACTTAGAACATAAATAGTACAGCTTCACTTGTTGAGGCAATTAGCTGTATTTAAAAGAAATACAAGTCTGCAGGTCATTACAAAATACAATTTGTATCATGTTCATGTGCAAATGTTGACAGAAATGAAAGGAAATGAATGATGAAAACTCAAAGACAAAAACATGACTATGAAGCAATGGAACCATCAAAGAAGAGAATATTATTACAAAAGAAAAAAGTAAGGGATTTGACAAATAAACATGAGCTAAAGATGAAACAATTACAAAAGTGCAAAACAATGGACCCTACTATGAAACAAGATCTGCTGAATAAAAAAGCAGATCAGCTAAAAACAATGGATACTGCTAAGAAACAAGATCTGCTAAACAAAAAAGCAGGACAACACAAAACAATGGATACCAGTAAGAAGCAAAAACTTCTTGAGAAATGAAAAAAGGAATACAGCTACCATAGTAGCAAGAAAACAGTCATTTCACGTGTTGAACAGTTTTAAAAGAAAACGATGGAAGGTTCATTAAATATATGTTGTGTATGTAATAGAACACTTTATAAAAAAATCTGTCTTAAAATTGAACACAAGAAGCTACCTGCCTCGAGATATTTTTAAAATACAATCTTCATATGATTGAAAAGAATACATCTGCCAGACCTGTCACTCAGAAACCATACAATGAAAAATTCCATGTCAGGCAATTGTGAACAATTTTAATGTTAATTATGTACCAACTGAGATTGGAAATCTTAAAAAACTGGAACAAATAATAATTGCACGGCACATTGTATTTGATAAAGTAGTAGTTATGCCAAAAGGGCAATAAATAAAAATGAAAGGTACTATATGTAATGTATTGGTAAACTGCCAGAAAACATGTCATCAATTGCCTTGTCCTCCTGAACGACCTGGTATAATTCTCCTTTCATAGCTGTATATCAAGTGACACACAGTTGTCGCAGTTTTGTCATTAACATTAGGCAACGGACATAATCTATGTTTAAACATAACAATCAAGTTTCATTGAAAAAAAAAAAGCCCGAGTTCACGCAGATATGCGTCTAGTTCATTTTGGCCTGTGTAGAGTGGTACAATGCCCTCACCAAACAGATCGTCCCAGTAGGGTACGTACCTCGCACCAATCCGACTACCGTATAAGGGTATGTATCTCGCGCCAATCAGATTGCCGCATTAGGGTATGTATCTCCCTCCTATCATTTCACAGCATTTGGCTATCTTGCACTAATCACAACGTTTGGGAATTGTTTTCTTGCATATTATGTCAAGGAATCAGGGGGCTATGCACAAAAAAATTACATAAACCAGAAATTTTGGGTTCATTTGATGAGAGTAATGGTTTGTGGCCTTTGCGAAATTAAGGCCGAGATTTATCGAGGGTCCAACATAAGTTTGGCGGGATGCGAGATGAGGCTTAAAATCGAGGCGAGATGTGGGATACGAGAAATTTTAAATGCGGGATGAAAATAGGAAGGCGTAACCGGGATATGACCCATTTCGAAGACGGGATAGGGGATATGACGGGTACAGGCGGGATCATAACATAATCTAGCTCAAGTTGCGCGTCATGCGATATTAGTGACATTAAAAAGTATTTTTTTGATTCAGAAACGAGCTTAATTATTGCTTCCGTGAAAATTGGAGTTGATAGACCTTAATGACTCCCTAGTATCTCCAGTCTTCTCTGTATTTGTTATATGTGTTTACACGGCTCCATAGTATGTCTGGTTTTTTTGCCATCGTTTTAATTTTGCTCTCACGAGTATGTCTTTGAGTGAACCCCCTTTCTGTACGATATTATGGGCGGTTCTTTGAAGATTTCTCTCAGCAATGGTTGTTGCCGCATTAAATGTCACCTGCTCATAAAGATTTCGTTAAGGTTTTAAACTGTTGGGTAGTATTGTGTTACACAGGGCAAGATCCTATCAGTTATTTTTCCCTGTTGGAGGAAGGCCCGTTTACGTCCTTCAAATTTCACCTCAGAGGGCGGGTTGTCAATAAAAAAATTCGGGTAGCCTCTCCCTGCCAGATATGTTTTGAACTGTGTGATATTCTCTTCAGATTTTTCTATTGAAGCCTTTCTTTGCTCCCGATTGGTGACGAGTTGTGTAGAACGTGTACTAGAATCCCTCTGTTGGTTTAAGGTGGATTCTCATGTCGAGAAGATATTTCAGCCATAAATTTGATTGTTGGGTGGTGTTCATTTGCTTGTTCAACAATGAACTAGTTAACAACACCTCTGCTAGTGTGCAAGAGAGATTCTGTCGTCGATGTAGAGTTTCCAAACGAGCGGTTTGTTAGAGCTTTTATCTAGGATTTGCATTTCATTTAAGCCATAACGATTTTTACAAAAGTTAGTGCCATTTGAATATGAAGTTGATGAAGTCTGCTGCATCTTTGAGATATGACTTCAGCTGTTGTGCGATTGGCTGAAGAATTTCATCTATGTACCAGGAAAGCTTTTCTGTCGGTCCTCCCATGAATGGATTTTCTGTGTCTATAAACACACCGGAGAACAACCGTTTTTAAGCCAGCTAAAGATGCCTTAAGCAAGTCTTTGCCGTTCTCATTAATGAGAAGACATTATCAATATTGTAAAGGCTGTAATTTGTTCGGCAATTTAGAAAGGGCAGTGAACTAGAGCAACTTGGGTTTCACAAGGCGGGATCGGGATGAAAATGTTCGTCGCAGCGGGATGGCGGAATGGTATGAAAAATAGCGGCGGGATGCGGGATCGGAAAACTATATTTCGGACCGTCATTTATCGGGATATGAAAGGTTCGCATTTGACTTTTTGTATCATTTTTAAGCGAAAATGTGTTTTTTCCGCTCCTTAACTCACAACGCACACGCCGAACAACTTCAATTATCGGGTTAGGTTGAGCACGATATCATGAATTATCAATGCCGAGGTCTGAGTTATCTACTGAAGCCGAAGGCTGAGGTTGGTAACACAGATACGAGGTTTGATAAGTCATGACATAAAAAACCGAATTCAATAATTATATCATTATGCAATTTTTAAATAATCTGCAAAAGAACACATTTCTGAGGGTCTCAACGACCGATAGCCGTAAAACGGCCGACAAATTTAGCCATTAGGCGTAAAATTTACAAGTTTTAACCAATAGTCGTAAAAAAATTCTGATGATAGTGATGGAATGATATTAACCGTTAACCGTTAAATGGCCAAAATTTTAACCTTCAGCCGTAAAAGTCATCACCCCTTTAAGAACCTAACTTCTCTCTGAATTTGCAAAAGTTTGCGAGCATTAAACGGCAAGGAGCTTGGAAACTTTGAACTCGACATGATTATCAGTCTCGATAAATCAGAGTTTTCATTGTAAGTCTAATGTTACAATAAACAATTATTCCACGAGCGCGAGTTGGCTAAACCAATGAAAACTCTTGAATTGCATTGTCCAATGATTCAGTTCTTAATAATAATTATATACATTAGTATTACTTTGAAAACTCTGATTGGTCAAGAACATTCAGTCAATGAAGAGTCCCCCTTAAACCAACTCGCCCTTACTTTTCTATTGCCTTTTAAATAGAGTTCATTTCTGCCTAGGCCTTCTCGTATTCGGTTATTAATCCGCAGTTTACATATATGACTTTGTTAGATTCACAATCATTTAGAAGGTATAATTGTCTGGGAATAGTTAAAAAATGAAGTTTTAGTTATTAATAGCCATTTGAAATGAGGAAACGGAAGGGAAATGTTGCAGTTCAATTAAATTAGACTTAAGGGGCGTTTTAATCAAAAGCATGTTTTTTTAATATAAACCCCACTCACACGGAAGCTTGAAGACGTGTTTTTAAAAACGGTTGAAAATTGTTTTCATCATAAAAGCTGCTTAAACCAATTTTTGTCAACTTCAAATTAAGCAAATTGAAAATAAAAGCTAGTGTCTGCTTGAAACTTAAGGAAAATTCAGTTCTTCAGTTCTCTGTTTCTGAATTTCATTTAGTTCAACCCAGATTTACGAAACACTTTTTGCTGCTGTGAAGAATTGGAGTACTAATTGTTTTCATCTTCTTCATTGTCACTTCAAATTCTCGCCCCTTGACTCAGTTCAGAGAGCCCAGAAAAAGACCCCTTCCTAAAGTCAGTTTCTTTTTGTTGTTCATATCAGTGATTCACTTTGTCTTCCAGGAGGAACTGGAAGCAACATTTGAAAATCAATGGATATTCGACATACACCGATCATTTTTCCTCTCTATCTATAAGTTGTAAAAGTTTTCCCTCTTTCTCTTTGCAATCAACATTATCGTTCCAAAAAGTCTTGAATATGTCTTTATAAAATTTGGGTTTTAAACATTCATTATGAAGAGCATCACATACGTCACAGGCTGTATGTGTTATTCCCAATAAATCTGTAGAGACGAATTCTCTTTTCCATGTGAAGTATTCATTATAAGCAGTGTCATTTTTGTCGAGGTATAACAGGTATTCTGCCAAAGCCTTAACAGATTGAAAGTCTTGCACACTTATAAACGAGCCTGGAGGTACTACATCTGGTGTGTAGAAATCTCTTGTCAGTGTTATAGGCACTGAATTCCAACCAAGTGTACGCCAAAACTTCTCAGTAATGTAATCAGTACAAACGCTGTTTTCAAATGCCAGATAAAATTTATATGAGCTGAAAATATCATCGCAATTGCTTGATGGCTGGCATTGATTGTCTTGGCCAAAGTTTTCCGAACAGTCGCCATAAACATCAACTTTAATGTATTTCAGAAGTTTTTTTACGTACTTATCTCGAGTTCTTCCACAATTGGAAACAGCCCATAACACAAATTTGTTTTTCTCTGCTGCATAGTCAGGAATTCTCGCTGGTCTTTTAGCTGACGGCAAATGGAGATAATGTGCATAAGGATAGTGAAAATCTGACTCCCTTTTGAAAGTTATAGTCCAATTAAAGAACCCCTCCGGCAAGGAAAGAAGAAGCTCTAAATCTGGGTCATTGATAATGGATTCTTGGTTTAAAAACGCCATTCTTTGCTGTGGACACCGGTAATTGTGAATCTGTTGAATTTCTTTCGTTCTTACATAACTTGGCATATCACGAGCATGAAAAATAACTAGATCACTTTTTCCTATATCGTATACATCATAGGTTATGTGACATTTTTTGGTCGGACATTTCAAAAGATACTCTTCCGTGGAAGTGGTTCCGGGCCATGGCTTTCTACCAAACATAGGAGTGTAGAACAAAATGGTTTTGGTGTCATTACTGAAACAAGATCGATCGGAAGTGATTTCTGTCCTGTTGCTGCAAAACCAAGGCTTGAATAATATATAGCTTGTTTCATTCCGAAGTATTATAATTGAGAAAAATGATGAAAGAAGAAACATGCCCACCAGTAGAGTCGAACACTTTCTGTAGCAAAGTGGTAGTATTTTTCCACTGATTCTTGCTATGCCCATTCCCAAAAGATCTAATAGCAAAACACCGACTTGCTCGGGTGGATTTTGCTGTTCACTTTGTAGGCTTTTGGCTGGCACGTCTAGGTCTGTCACGAGACTGAAAGACAAAAAAACCATTTCGGTGGATAGTTTTCACGAGTGCGTCAACGTAAATGACTGAAAAGCTCTCTTGGAAACATTTAGGCGCTAGGAATTTGTTTAAAGACAAAACTGGTATCAGCAAGAATTTTATGTATTTGCCATTCTAGCTTACATAAGTTTAGGAATATGAATGGAAATAATATGTAAGTTAGTTAGAACCTTGTTTTATGTTATATTGTGATGGCTAAAAACACAGAAATCCAAAATGAACAAAACTACATATTTTTATGCGTTTTATGGGTGTTCACATCGCAAATTGTCAGGTTTTAGTTTCAACAACTTGCGCATCGTTAAGGGTGTAATCGCATTTTTTCTCCAAGCTCTGGCATAATTAAGACAATTTAATAATTTAAACTTTTCGTCAAAGAATTCTTGAGCTTGGATTAATTTGGACTGGTTTCAATTGCTGACAATTATTTCTTGGAAAGCTATATGGAATTAATTCTTGGAAAAACTATATATCATCATTTCTTGGATTCCTTGTTGAAATTTAGCTCGCAGCTGTGCAGAAGCAAAGCTTCGAGCAGGGGATGGCGATCGTTAAAAATTTCGACGAGCATGGTGGGGGGAGTCGATTGAAATTC